GGTAATTATAAATATTAATGATAGTTCGTTTAAAATTTATAGAGATACTAGTTTTTTTATATATATAGCTTCCTTTTTTTATAGGAGTTTTAAAATCGATGGGGGAATAAAAGGTTAATTCCCTCATAAGTTTTAAATATATTAATTTTTGTATACATTAATCTTTTCTTTTTATAGGGGTTTCAAAACCGATAAGGGAGTAGAGGGTTAATTCTTTTATTAGTTTTAGATGCGCTAATTTTTGTATACATTAGTTTCTCTTTTTATAGGGGCCGGTAATACCGGTTCGTTATTATTCTTTGGAGTTTAGACGAATATTAATATATATTAGTCCCTTCTCCTTTCCCTTATTAGATTTAGATAATAATTATTATGATACTTCATTAATTTTTAGAAAATTTATATTTAGAAGCCCTAATACCCTATATAAATTTTATTATATTATGTCATTTTTGAAATAGTTCTGTAAAATACGAGATTTACGCGAGATTAGCCTATATTAATTGTGCTTTAAATTATTTTCGGTTTAATTTATATAAATACTTAAAGATTCATTAGAAAGGGCCTATATGAAATTATTATTAGAATTAATACTATTATTAAGATATATCCGTTCGCCCTTAGTATTATCGATAATTATTTTTCTTATATTTTTTTCTATTTACTTAGTGATTTTATTAGGGTTTTAGATTATTATTTACTTATTTATTCATAAGGGTCGGACTTCCTTTATATTGAAGGTATTAAATTTTAATTTTAGTAATATAGTGAGTTTAAATTATAGGATATTAGGGGTATTAAATCTTAAGTTATTAGGTAGTCGGAAATTAGTATATTTTTACCATACTTTTTTATTCCAATATATTACATAAGTATAATTAATGAAGTTTTTATTAGTAAATAGATTTGTATATTTACTAGTTTGATAAGTTCGTATATTATTTTGAATAATTTTATAGATAGTTGCAGTATATAAATCAATAGCGGAAAGTTAGACGAATATAGTTTTAGTATTGTAAATCGAATTTTTATTCTACTTAATATCGAATGTAAAGGAAGTATTAATATATTCGAGGGCTATATTAATTACTTTTTATTAATTATTAATTATAAAATATTATATTATATTAGATTGTAGGATAGTATTAGCGAGCGGCTAGTTTATAATTTCGGGGTAAAATAATTATATTAAAGAAAGTATTTCGGGCTTATAATTATTTAATTTACCATTATAAAATAGGATGGGAAAGAAGTTTATTATTTATTGTAGGATGTTATAATCTTTTAAAGAGATAGCTTTATTGAGTATTATAAAGATACGGATAATTTGTAAGTAATAATAAATATTACAATAATTAATATTCATTATCTTTAAAAGCATTTTATATTTAAATTAAGTAACTGGAAAAAAGATTTTATTATCGATAGAAAATAATTGCTAGTTAATAGAATTTTCTCTAGCGTTTAATATAATTCGGCGTATAGAAGACTTAATAAACTTAGATTTTGAAATATAATTATAGTCGACGAGTTTAGCGATAAGAAAGGTTAGGATTTTAGAAGTAAATATATTTTTTTAATAAATATTGACTATTATAGAATTTTGTATTATATTGTTTTATTCGGATGCCTTTTTTAAGGCTTTAGATATTTTTAGTTATTAGGGGTTAGAAAATACGAAAAATTATATTAATATAGTTTATAAAGATATAAAAGAATATAAGTATAATGAAAATTTATTATTTGCAATTATAGGTATAGTTAATTTTAAACTAATTGATGATAATATAGCGGATAAAAGACGTCGTTTTGTTAGTTATTGTAGACGAAGATAAGTTGATTACTAAAGTTATTTTTATTTAAATTAAGAATATTAAGGAAAAGTTTATTGTATAAATAATAAATATTAATATTTTTATTTTTATTTTTTATAATAGCCGGTATTTAGAGAATATAGTTTTTGGCAGTTATTAGTTACTTAACGATTAGGAAGAGAAGGATAGATTATTTTGATTTCTGCCCGAATATAGCGGTTAGTCAATTTTTAGTAAAATAACGGATTATATTATCGAAGGATAGCGGCGTAATATTTAAGTAATTAAATAATTATTTTAATTTAAATTTAATATATAGGCGCTATTAGGATATTGTAAATAGGCTATTAATATTAGGATTATTAATAAGGAGATAGGTGGTAAGGTTTTATATTATATCCTTCCGACCGATATTAAAACTTTCTATACGGGTTATAAAATTGAAATTATTATAAATAATAATTATATTTAGGTAATAATTAACGCATTTAAGGTTTATTTAGAATTATGTAAGTATACAAGTGGATTTATAAATATAGGGACGTTTAATTCCAATAAGGGGAATTAAGTTTACCTTTATAGTATTTAAATATACGTATTGTAGAGATGTTAATAAATCGATGAATAATTTATAGGATAATTTTATACAAACAAACTATATTAAACCGGGCTAATATATTATATATATATAATTATATAGAATTATTTTTAAAGTAGATATTGAATAATTTTAGGATAAATATACTTATTTAGGGTGCGTAGGAGTTTATAATAATAAATACTATTATAATTATACGATTACGGATTTCTCTTTTTATTCGAGTATTATCCTTTAATTTATAAGAATTTTAGTGGGCGCGTTATTATATATATAGCGCGGTGAGTAATTCTATTAATTCGGGGGTAATTTTTATTAAGGTTCTATATACGGAACGAAGACGAGAGCGAATTTATATAATATTAGAAATATTCTTAACAGTAAGAATATTATTAGCGAATTTATTAATAATGAATAATATAAATGCTTTTATTACTTTTAGTTTTTGTATAAGTAATTTAAATTCTATATAGAGGGAAGTTTAGAAATATATTCGGGGTAGTTTCTATTTCTTTATTATTTATTCGTTTATTTAAAATTAGGTAGTAGGTTCTATTATTTATTCGTTTATTCGAGATTGGGTAGTGGGTTCGTTAGAAGAAAGGTTGGTATGATTTTATTCGAAATATAAATAAATATTGGTATTTAACAGTACTTTGCGTACGATAGGTTTTTTAAGGGCGTTAATAAATATATTAAAGCGTTTATTATATTATTAGGATATTATATTTTTTTTATTAAATAAAGAAGTAGATTAAGTATTACCGTAAATTCGTCCGATAATGATTTTTAATATAAATATTAATAAGTTCGAATAATTTTTGAATAGGGTTTAAGATATTAGAATTGTTATTCGAAATATTTATTTGAGAGGTATTTATTTTAGAGGCCTTAGAAAGGGGTTTTCTATTTAAAGTATTTGTTTTAAATGTAAAGGGTTTATTAGAAGATTCGTTGGAGGATTTTTGATAGGGTTCGGTATATAGTAATTAGAATATAGGTAGAGGAAATATAAATATAGAAGTTAGTTAGGTTACCTAATATAATTAGTAGGATATAAATATATTATTGATATTAAGAAGAATAGGAGAAGAGGGAGGAGAGAATAGGATTAATAAATATATAGTATTGGATATGTGTATAGGGCGTATATATAAAGTATATAGTTACGTTGAGTCGTATAATAATATATAGAATATGTTGGGAATATATAATTGGTTTACGTATAATAGACTTTTTTGTTTATGTTAGGTTTAGATTGTAGTATAGCCGCGTCTCTTTATTTTATAGGTCTAAATAGTATAATATTATAATTAGTAGGTGGGTAAGTGTAGTGGAGATGTTACAACTATTTGGACCCGCAGGTATAAAGAGACGTAAGGGCTATGCGTAGGTAGCTAAGTAAATGAGACTACGAAATCCTAAACTTTTCCTTAGTATTCCGGTATTAGACGATGCATTAGATTTGGTGAAGTTTCCGTCCTTTTTGTGAACAACATTACCCCCGGATATCGGATCTTCTTAAAAAGTTCCCAAAGTATCTCTTGTACTTCCTAGAAGCTCTTATTCAAGTTGCATCTTTCAGATCCTTATTATCGTAGTGCTACTGCTTTTCCTTCTTAATTCCCATACAATTTGGGCTCTCCTATATTAAAGTGGTGTCCCAGAATTTAGTGGCCCACTCTCTTGCAGAGAGTGGATGTAGTCTGGCCAGCCTTCCCTTACAAAAGCCAACCTCACACGCACGGGTATCTCCAGCGAACATCCTTATCCTCAGCGAACGAGCGAATATACTAACCTATAGCAAGCATACTAACCTACAGCGTATTCCAAGCGGGCATCTGGGTTTTCACCAAGCGGTTTCCCAGCGTAGTAAGTATTTTTTTTGTTCTATTTCTGTGTTTTTTTTTTTTTTTTTTTTTTTTTTTTTTTTTCAGGTTTGCCCTCCTGGTTGCGGCCTTGATTGCGTGACTGGCTAGCCCAATGTTGACATTGTGTGTTTGCCCCCTTTCGAGAACCGTTCACGCTCAACCACGTTGCTGGAGTCGCTGTGATGGGCGAAACAGAGTCATTCCAGCGGTTCCTGGCTCGGCAAACTCGCACAGACGGGACTTGCGGGAGCCCCTGAGCGGCCCGGAATCAGGGAACAACAAGGCAAAAATAGGGGCGAGCATCATGGCAGTTTTGGGAATTGGGATGAAGGTGTACCTGTGCTATACATTCCAGGGCATAGAGGTACATGCTATCGAATATTTTTAGAGCGAGCGACGCCGGCCCCCTAAAGTGGGTTAGCTAGAAAGGTCTCGTGGATCCTGTCACCCGGGAGCACTTTAAGCCTTATCACTGTTCGGTCACTTCGGTGGTTCGGGTTCCCTTGACCAGGCCGTGACAAGCCGTTGTTCACTTTGTTCGAGTCATTTTGTCTTTTCCCTCCCTTCCTTTCCTGTTGCGCTTAGACACACTGCGATGCGAATATCAGAAAGCGAGCGCTGCTAGAAGAGGGATTGCTCAACTATTCAACACATCAACTACCACGAACGAGCGACATCGGGCGACAGAGATAGCTACCTACCGACACGGTAAACAGCATGGCAGCCGAATCACTACTCCGGGCCGTACTTCGGCGCAAAGTCGAATTTCTTCGCCATGTCCGCCAGCGCCGGGCGCATCACTCGCACAAGCCTCCGACGGCCGGCGAGCAGATTCCGACACCGGGCAATGTCCCTACCCTTCCCTTCTGGCAGCGACTCGGGCCCCTGACGAGGGCGGCCATGGCATACGCGCGCGCCCAGCGCAAGAGGCCATATACCACCCAGGTGGCCACGTCGCTGGTTATCTGCTTCACTGCTGATCTCTCGGCGCAAAGGATGGGCGGGAGGGACTATGATCCCAAGAGGACGGTGCGGTCGCTGATTGTCGGGTCCATATCGTCAATTCCCAGTTATAAGTGGTAGGCGCAAGCCCTCCCTGTTTTTGTCTTGTATCGTATAAAGGATTGTGAGACTGACATATTTTGGCTTGCGCCCGCAGGATGTTGTGGTTGTCCAACAAATTTAATTACTCGTCGCACATCCTCTCGCTGGGCACCAAGGTGGTGGTCAACCAGATCTGCTTCACCCCGATCTTCAACACGTATTTCTTCGGCATGCATGCCTTTCTCGCGGGCGAGAGCTGGAATAATATCGTGGAGCGCATCCGGGTCACGGTGCCTGTGAGCTTTGTCAACTCGTGGAAGCTCTGGCCGGCCGTGACGGCGATCAGCTTTACGTTCATCCCGATGGAGTACCGGTCGCTGTTTGCGGGCGTGGTCGCGGTTGGGTGGCAGACGTATCTGAGTTTCTTGAATCGGAAGGCCGAGGATGGAAAGACGATTGAGCCGGCGCCGGCGCTGGCGGTAAAGGCGGTCGAGGCTCCAGTAGTTGCGGGATCGACACAGGCGGCGGCGGCGGCGTGACAAGTAGAGCTATCGACGCGAACAGAGATGGCGACGGCGGCTGTGAATTAGCGGATACGGCGGCGATAGAGGAGGGTGCATTTTCATCGGGGAACCTAGAGGAGGGGTGTTATTTTGGCATTTTGGGGTTGCATAGACATCATTGCATGGGTCGGCGTTCTTGTGGGCGGTTTTTGGTTGCATCGACATGAAGATATCGTGTCAGTTGAGCGAATACATTTTTGTTGTTTTTCTTTGGTCTACGGGATGCTGTGTCACTGTCCTCAAAGAAGGGGCACTGATGAATCAGCCGAGGGGCACATGGCAGTGGGTGGGTGGTCCCTGAAAGATGAAACCATAGATGGGAATTATAGTGGGTGGAGTCAGGTACCCGCCCGTTCATCCAGTTCCTGGCGAGTCGTTTAAATCGACTGTGTCTTCTGTTTAAATCGACTGTGTCACGGGCGGTCCCGAAGGTTAGGGTTAGTTAGGTTAGGGTTAGCGGTTAGGGTCAGTTAGGTTTAGTTCCGGGGGTGCAGGGGGCCGGCGAGAGGCCCCCGCGTGTGAATGTAAATTCAGCGCTTCGAAAAAGGTGTTTTTGAGCTCTCGTTGTCGTCGTTCAAGATGATGACTTTCGGTTATGACTTGGTGGTGATTGCGGACGCGGGAAAGCGATGCCAAGCTTGAGGTCTTGGCTGTCTCTGACAGCGAATTTGTATGGCCCCACGCCGTCGATTTAAACAAAAGACACAGTCGATTTAAACGGGTCGGTTCCTGGTTGACATCAGCCCAAATTCAGTGGGGTCTCCGCTCTCGGTGAGTCGAGCGAGAAACCTAACTGCCCGGCGGGGGAGCCCCGACCGGGACACCGTGGAGCTTCCGGCTCGGAGTCGTCCCCGTCCATCTAATCGTCATCGTCATCTCCACCCTGTGCTCTCTCGCTTCGAGTCACCCAAACTTTCCACCAAAACATTGAGTGTTGGCTTGGTCCAGCAAACACTCGACAGCCCTCACAATGGCCGCCCCCTACCTCAGGACAAGACCTGCCCTCTCAGCGGCCCTCCGCCCTCTTGCGCCCAAGCCAAGACTCCAGTCCTTTCCTCGTCGCCCGAACTCGACAACAACGACGACCACCACCACCACTACCGCTACCCCTACCCCTACCGAGCCCACCAAAGCTGCCGTCGCCGATCCCTCGATCCTCCCCCGTCGTCTAAAGCTCTCCGCCTACGCCGCCGCTCTTGCTGCCGTCCTCGGTGTAGGCTACTACTACGCGACAGACACCCGCGCCTCCGTCCACCAGTACCTCGTTCCTCGCCTCCTTCGCACCATCTACCCCGATGCCGAAGAAGCTCACCATGTTGGTACTGCCGCCCTAAAGGGCCTCTATGAGGTTGGCCTTCACATTCGCGAGAGAGTTCCCGAGTATCCCAACGGTCCTTTGTCCGTCAACGTTTTCGGCAAGCAGCTCCTCAACCCTATCGGCATCTCTGCTGGTCTCGACAAGGACGCCGAGATCCCCGATCCTCTGTTCGCCCTCGGTGCCGGTGTCGTCGAGGTTGGTGGCTGCACTCCCTTCCCTCAGGAGGGCAACCCCAAGCCCAGAGTTTTCCGCATTCCCTCCGTCGACGGTCTGATCAACCGCTATGGTCTTAACTCCCGCGGCGCTGACGCCATGGCCACCCGCTTGCGCGAACGCCTTCGCAAGTTCGCTCGCTCTGTCGGTCTTACCGAGAACCAGGTGCTGAACGAGGAGGGCACTGATGACATCCCTCCCGGCAGTCTCCACCCCGGCCGTCTCTTGTGCGTCCAGATCGCCAAGAACAAGAAGACGGACGAGAAGGATGTCAATGCTGTCATTCGCGACTACGTCTACTGTGTCGACAAGCTTGCCCCCTACGCCGATGTCCTTGTCGTCAACGTCAGCAGCCCCAACACCCCCGGCCTACGCGACCTGCAGGCTACCGAGCCGTTGACCAAGCTTCTTTCTGCTGTTGTGGACGCCGCCCAGCAAACCAAGAGGAAGATTAAGCCAAGAGTCATGGTCAAGGTTTCACCCGATGAGGATGATGATACACAGATGGAGGGTGTTGTGGAGGCTGTGTGGAACAGCGGTGTTGACGGTGTCATTGTCGGCAACACCACCAAGCGCCGGACCGGCATCGTTCCCAAGGGCGTCAAGCTGATCGACGACGAGCCCAATATTCTCCACGAGGAGGGTGGTTTCTCAGGCCCTGCTCTGTTCAAGAACACTCTTAGCCTGGTTGGGAGGTATCGCAAGATGCTGGACGGCTATGCTCTCAAGTCCGAGTCTGACAAGAGCGCTGCGCAAAAGGTTCTGTTCGCCTCTGGTGGAATTACCAACGGTGAGCAGGCCTTGAAGGTTCTCAATGCTGGTGCCAGTGTGGCCATGGTTTACACCGGCATGGTCTACACCGGTTCTGGCACCATCACCAGGATAAAGACCGAGATGAAGGAGAAGCTCGCTGTCAAGTCGGCGTAAGGCTTCTTGGGCGGGTATACTCAGGATACTATGCTGTAAATAAAACGTGCGTCTCTTACCAAAAATACCCTTCTTCGATCTCTCTTGAAACGCCCACCTCTCACCTGATGAAGCACATTATTTGGAATGGTACCTGGCTTAGATCTCGAATATCTTCCCGGTCGGCCCAAAATGGTTTCATATGGCAACCAACTTTGCGGTGAACTCCCGAAATGGGCTTACATGCCGACCCGAATATCTGGACGGCTAGGTACATCTGTTTGTTCGAAACAAGAGCAGACCGCTCCGAGCATTCACGAGGGCAAACATGTGCAACTCTCGTGCCATCTGCGTCAACCCGGGGATCGAGTAACCATTCAAGGTCGACGATTTAATGAGCTTCAATGTTCTGTTCACCAGGGCAGTCGCATCATTTCTTCGCCTACTATTCACGTCATGAGGCTGGAATCTCGGTGCCTGGCGATGTCAAGCTCACACAAGGATCAGCCCCAGACCATGATGCACGTGGCCCTGCTTAGATGTGTAAAATATCCAGACATCCCGGAACCTTCGTGTCTTGTTTCATCCGCATCCCTTCCACACTTCTTCCACACTTCTTCCACACGTCATGCATGGCATCATATGGGAATAGCCTCCTCCCGTATCGTGCGAGTCTCTGAAACTCATACCATGTAGCTGACTCCCACACCCACGCAATTAGAAAGACGTGGGGTGGTTCAGCTTCCTGTTCTGTAGCATTGAGGGAGCCTTATCAGTAACTGCCTAGGTATGATAACAATGGGAAGGGGGTTGCAACTCTGTACTCAGCTCAGGGGAGGACTATCGAAACTGTGACGACGGACGAGAGTTCCCGCGTATAACTAGCCCTGACCTACTCGGTTGGAGGGTAGTCCCGCGATATACAAAGTCAGTTAAGTCAACAGCCAACAGCCGCTGGGAAAGGGGATGGCTAGAGACAGTGACAACATCTTGTATCTTGCATCGGGAAACGATGCCGCTTGTGTCATGACATGTATCATTCCATGTGGTACCGGGTTATGGGTTCTCACAGAAAAGCCACTTATCATTCATTTGATATCCCCTCGGTCGGCCAAAGAAGCCTGTCTTCAACTTTCAACTTGCACAACTCGGGAGTCACGAATCCAGGAAGTGAACAAATCCGAAGCAGGGTATCACAACACAATCTACCTCGAGGAGGCTATGCGCCCGTTGTTCTACGTTCTACACACCTCAATTCCGGCGGCACTTGGTAGTACCAAAGGAGCGACGGAAAGGAAGGAAGCCGGATCTCCCTCATCTACATACAAAGAGGTGCCCATCGTACATCTGCATATGCGCTGCTGTGTGAGTGTCACAGGCACAGGCACAGGCACAGGCACAGGCACAGAGCTCTGTCTGCCGTGAAATGTAGGTACCTATCGAGAGACAGGGCATCGCATATGCACAAGGGAGCGCCATTTCACGACCAATAAATGCAATATATTTTGCTCGAGGGCCCCAAACATTGCGTTGTCTATTCAACCCCCGAAATCGATAACCGGGGAACGTGGGGGCTCTGGACCGTGGGTGTTTAAAATAGTGTAGGGGTGTGTGTGTGTGTGTAACCTTCCTTTTTCCCTTCTCGATGATTTCTCTTCTTTCTTTATTAAAGAAAGATGCTGGCTGGAATGGCTTTCGTCCCTGGCTCTTTTGCTGCTCGTGGAACAATCGAAGTTTGTTACATACGCAAAGACGCAGAACGGCAACGGGCCGGATAATACAGGGACACTGTGCTTCTGATAACATGGCTTCCGTGCTTCCATACATTGTACATCCATCCCTACAACAGCCATACCGAAAGACGGATGTAGGTAGGCTGGTTACATCTGATTACACACAACAAAGGACATACACGATGAAGCCGGGCAGTCGATATCAAGATGTGTGTGTGTACGCAGACTACCCAGTCCCGTGGGTGACCAGTCCCCATGTAAGGGGAGACTGGACGGAGGCCGGTGACGGTGACACTAGACTACCTAGTCCAGTACTACTTCTGTGGCTCTCCATGTCTCCGTCCGTGTACGCCGTCATCATCATCATCATCCTCTTTTCCCCATGGTTGTGATCCCCTCAAATACCGCACGCAATCTTTATTGTTCGGCATACATACCCTTAACGCCTTGTCTCTCTTTTTTTGTTTTTCTCTCTTTCTTTCTCTTCACGATGGGACAGCAGCTAGCACGTGGGAAATAAGCTTTGTGTTTCACCACACTTTTCTACTTAGTTGACCTTATCTTCGGCTTTGGGGTTCAGCCTCTTTCTTCCTGGTCATACCTTGTTTCACGGGCCAAAAGGCCCAGAAAAGAATGGGAGCTATGGTGGGCCTGTCTCCGATCTTGAGGCGCTGCTCACTTTGGGAACTTGTTGTTGTTCAGGTTCTTCTAATCCTGATTCTTCTCTCCTCGCCGGTGAGAGCATATAATATCACAAAGACGGCTATATCAGAGATCTTGGAGGGTTATCCTAGTTGCGCGGTAGGTTTAGTCTACTACTTCCATCCATTCAACAGCTGAAACACCATGATTACCTACCTCTCAAGCCTCGTCTACTTTCACACTCACACTCTACTACCACTCACTACTCTAAGAAGAAAGACAGACAGACCCACAGCTAACACACTCTCTCTCTTCCCAGGATGACTGCATAATCCCGTACCTCACTCTCTTTCCCTGCTCCTTTTCACCCACCTCCACCTCCTCAACCTCGTCCCTCGAGCCCCTCCTCATTGACTGCCTCTGCTCCCCTGAACCGCACCACCGCCCCTCCCTAACCTCCTGCTTCTCAACCTCCTGCCCACCCATCCCCCTCCTAACCGCCCTCAACGCCACCGCCACCCTCTGCCACGACGTCCCCCGCAACCGCTCCCCCCAATTAGTCGTCCTGACCCTAACCCTCGGCATTCTAAGTCCTCTCCTCGTCCTCTCCCGCCTAGCTTTCCGGCTCCTAACCCACCCCTCCGGCCGTCTAGGCCTAGACGACTGGGTCATTTTCTTGTCCATCCCCCTGGGAATCCCTTACACCATCCTCATCTGCTATTCACTAGCCAAAGCAGGAATAGGGAGAGACGTCTGGACCCTGAGCCCAAAAGAGGTGACGGAGTTTTTGAAGGTGTTTTATGTGCTGATTGAGTACTACGTTGCGATAATGGCGTACGTCAAGATGCCGTTTTTGTTTATGTATTTGCGCATCTTTGGGGAATCTCGAAAAACGAGGAGGGTGTTGTGGTGCACGCTGGGGTGTGTGGGCATGGTGGGAGTGGCGTTTTTGTTGCCGGTGGGTTGTAGGCCGGTTAGTTTCTTTTGGGAGGGGTGGGATGGGGAGCATGAGGGACGGTGGTGAGTTTAATCTTTCATTGTGGAGTTTTGGATTTTGGGTTTTAGATGGGGGGTTGGGCTGGCGAAAGGGTGGAGGGAGGGTGGTGGTGATGAGATGATGGTGTTGATGGTGTTGCTGGGATGGGGGTGGGTAGGTATATTCGAAGCGGAATGGGGAAGGGAATGAAGTAAAAGTGAAAAGAGAACGGATTGCTGACTATGTTATCACAAAAACAGTGGCAACGTCAACACCTCGGCATGGACCCAGTCCATCGTCACCATCGTCCTCGACCTCTGGATCATGGCCATCCCGTTGTCTCAGCTCCGGAAACTCAACATGGATTGGAAGAAGAAGTTGGCCGTTGGTTTGATGCTGTGTGTCGGAGTCTTGTGAGTTTTCTTCTCTCCCTTCTCCCTTTTGTCTTACCCCGGCCCGTTACTAACATCCTCCCAGCGACACAATAGTCTCCATAATCCGCCTCCACTCCCTCCTCGCCTTTCAGCCTTCCACCAACGTCACCTGGGACTACTACCCTGTGGCCGTCTGGTCCGCCGTCGAGTACCACGTCGCTGTCATCTGTGCCTGTCTCCCGGCCATGCGCCAGTTGTTGGTCAGGGTGTTCCCCAGGTTGGAGAGTAACATCGGGAAGAGCAACGCTAGTAACGGTGTCGGTGCGGGTGGTGGCGGGTGTGATGCGGGACGGAATACTCCCAGGTCTGGGACGCATCAGTATCAATGGCATGGACAGTCGAGAGGCGTGAACGGCCGGAATAGAGGGCCGCGGACGAGGGCAATGGCGGCAGAGACGGAGAGTGAGAGGGAGATTGTGCTTGGGAGCTTCCGCAGGAGTGCTGGTAGTAATGACGTGGAGGTTTTGGAGGTGGATGATGTGGAACGAGAGTCTGCAGATGGGAGGATATTGGCAAGTTCTTCGATGGACAGTACAGAGAAGCGAGAGGGGTTCGGGTTGAGTATTGTCGGCTGTTGGACGGAGGATGGCGGTCGTGTAGAGCCGGAAGGGTTTCCTTCAAGTAGACGATAGCTTTGTATATTAATGTTTATGTCAGCCTTGGGACCATCACGCCCTCGCAGTCGAGTCCGTGGATTGTACGTACCACTTGATGCGGTGAAAGCGGATTTTGACTGCGTGAGGCCGAGTTCCTGCTTTGTCTTGGCTGGTTCATATGAGATATTCACGCTTGTTCCTGAAGGATCTTCATATAGAAATCTTGAAAGGATGAATAAAGATCAACAAGGATGACATATGACCACTGGTACTCCGAAGTCGAGTCCTGCAACTGGCAGAACAGAACAACTTGGTTATACAGCCCAAGTTGCTGGCGTGATGGTCTTATCCTTTGAATGAGCCCTTGCTCAAGATATGATGTTTAAGCCTTTCAAATCGAGTGACATGCACATGCTGAATATCAAAACGCCTGGAACATTAACTAAAGGACTCGCACCAACAAACCGTCCAGATGGACACTAGTCATGTCCCGAACCAGCAAAATGATCGATGCTCAAAAAAAGGTTATTACTCGGAAACTCCAATATGGTTCATGAGAACGCCGGGAAAAAGTGAAGTTCACCATCCCGGTGCATCACGAGAACATCAAAAATGCAAAAGATTATGACAAGAGTGGGATTCGAACCCACGCCCTTTCGGACCACGGATTTGAGTTGTAACTCAGATTAAGGGTTAACCTTAACGTGGCGCCTTAGACCGCTCGGCCATCTTGCCTTAGTTGTTGAAATCTTGTGCGGACAACGGGCTTATAGGCGACACGCGAGGAGTTCGGCAGGGTGCCCGGATACGTTATGATGCCATTCCGGCGACGAGGATCGTGGGCAGATATTGAGTGAGTGTTCGATTGATGCTTTCGTATATGGGTGGAGTTATTTTTGCGTGAGGGAATTGGTGTTGCTTATAATGAGTTCGAAGCAGTGGTGCGTGGAGGGTGGTGTATCGCTCTTGCGGTAAAGGGGGAAGGTCCGAGGAGGGGGAGAACGAAGCATGAGTTCAAGCAAAGGGTTACGAGGACGAGATTCGATAGGGATAGGGACCGGTAGGATGGCAATTCAGTTGTAGACTTGACTAGTTTGATGGAAATAAAATCACGATGGATGATGAAGAAAGAGAGAGATCAAGTTGGAACGGGGAACAAGTGGAAGTTGGAGGGAAGGTGAGCCTCTCGGCGCATGTCAGGTACTCACAGATTCTGCCCAATGAGAAACTTCAAACTGCATAGTCCCCACTGTTAGCCGAATCCTGCGCAGTCAAATTGCCTGCCGGCGCATCCGGCAACTGATAAGCTGCAAGCGGTGCTGGCATCGGCGCTGGCGCATCGCCACGAGGAACAACGCAGGCACCTTTCCTAGCCGCCTGGACGTCAGCTGCTTCTTCGCTAGCTCTTCTTTATCGTATCTGCTGGACGTTAGTTCACTGGTGTCCAATTTCCCTCTCAATACCCAAGGCCATTGAAAATTCGAGGACGACGATGGCAATCTCCAAGCAGCTGAAGCTGTTGTTTACCAGTGGCTCGCTTATCGCAGCCGCGCTGGCCAGTCCCGCACAGAAGCCGCTCAGCGACGACGACATCGACGACACACCACTACCGCTTGTCATTTGGCATGGTAAGACCGACGTACTTACACACGGCGATTCCAACAACTGTTGATAACTAACCATTTCCCATCACAGGCCTAGGAGACAGCTACTCAGCCGCCGGCCTCCGCGAAGTCGGCGCCCTCGCCGACGCCGTCAACCCCGGCACGCTCGTCTACTTCATTCGCATGGACGACGACGGCAGCCGCGACCGCTCCGCCACCTTCCTCGGCAACGTGACCGAGCAAGTGGCCAAAGCCTGCGCCGACATCGCCGCGCACCCGATCCTCTCGACCGCGCCGGCCATCGACGCCCTCGGCTTCAGCCAAGGCGGCCAGTTCCTGCGCGGGTACATCGAGCGGTGCAACAGCCCGCCCGTCCGCAACCTCGTCACGTTCGGCTCCCAACATAACGGCATCAGTGCCTTCCGCGACTGCCCCTGGTCCGACTGGGTCTGCCGCGGCGCCATGGCGCTGCTGAAAGGCAACGCCTGGACGCAGTTCGTGCAGAGCCGGCTGGTGCCGGCGCAGTACTATCGCAACCCGGACGAGTACGAGCAATATCTCGAGCACTCCAACTTTTTGGCGGACATCAACAACGAGAGGAAGTTCAAGAACCAGACCTACAGGGAGAACTTGGCCAAGCTGGAGAATCTGGTGCTGTACATGTTCGAGGATGATACTACGGTGGTGCCCAAGGAGACGGCTTGGTTTGACGAGGTCAATGGCACCGAGGTTACGCCCCTTCGCGCGAGGAGGATGTACTCGGAGGATTGGATCGGGCTGCGCGAGTTGGATCGTAAGGGCGGACTGCACTTCCGCACTGCGCCGGGTGATCATATGCAGCTCACGGATCAGTTGCTGAATGAGACGTTTGCGGAGTTCTTTGGGCCGTTGAAGAAGGCGGAGAAGAGTGCTCCGAGACCGTTCTTGCTTGGGGCGGGTGACCTCTAATGACGATGCATGGTTTAATCAAAGATGCCGCATATGGGATTTTGGGGTGACTTGGTTCCCCAGTATATAACAGCAGTCTCTGTTAGAAGTTTCTTAGGGTTTGGATTCAGGACAGTTTGGTTATTTTCAGGGTTTCGGAGTCATGGATATTGGATAATGGTAATGGCAAGAGGGCGTAGGAGTTTATTGACATTGAGATCTTATATAATGGTCAACCGTTATTCACCATGGCAACTGTGAACCTCGGGTGTTCTTCAACAGTTTAAGTGCTTGCATCGCTCCCAAGCAAGGGATCAATATCTGCCCTGATTATGACGAAGTAAATGCCCTACGTCGGCCAGGTGTGTCTTGCAGGTTTCAATTCTAATGCAAGGTACGGAGGGCTTTTGAGACAGCGCATGGCATGTTTTTGAATGTGAGTTAGTTGGATTGGGGGTTGAAGAGGACGGTTGCCGAAATGTGGACCATCTCGATATGAGGAGGCTTGCCGGTGATTTTTCGATGGAGGTATGACCGTGATAGTTAAGAACTTAAAAATACTAACTATGGCAGCTTTCTCAAAGTAAATTGAAAGAGCTCGTCAATTCATGTGACGGCCGAAAGGAGAGGTTGCTATCCGTCCAAGCGGTCATCTCATTCCATAGCTCGGCAATGTGAAGGCTGGAACAACTTTGGTCGAGAACCGAAGGATCGAGGGGTACCTGCTGACCGGGCACGGAGGTGGAGTTCAGCTTTGCACGTTTTGTCGCGGTGTGAACGCGCCAGAGTCGGACTTTGGAGTGAGAGTGACAGGTGGTTGGTGAGTTGTTGTTTGGACGGAGTCCTCTGTATCCCGTTATGTATTGTCGTGGGAGGGAAGAACAAGCTGATATGCGAATATTGGAGAGACTTTAGGTGCCATTGCATTATTAGAGGCGAAAAGCCAAGGCCCTGCTCCTGCACAATCCGAGCTTTGTCAATGGTGAAAACGCCATCGGTCACGAATTTGATGAATACGACCGCCGAGAGGAGTAATCGTATAGTAAACAATCCAGCATGTTCGTGGGAACTCTCGTGGATATTTGAATGTTGAAGAAGAAAAGACGTCATAGGTAAATAGATGAACTCTCAGTGGTCGATCCACTGTTTGAATCCATGAAAGTGTGGACTACAAAGTGCTCATTGACCTTGATCTTTCGCTCCATGATGAATGATGATTGTTCACCGGAGAACAGCGGATACAAAAGAAAATAAAACAGTCATCAAATATTGGACAAAACGAGAAGGAACGACCTAGTAGAGGTTGCTGTGATCCGAGAGCAAGGATCCGGATGAATTGTGCCGAGCATGCGTATTCCCCGACCCCCCGATGGAACCGGTGCTGGACTTCCGTAACTCGGCCCGCCTGTGCCTGCCCTGTAGCTTCCGCTGATCGCCCGCCCAGCAGTGGCATGACAGTGCTGGGGAGCAGCCGCTACCAGACCAGACAGACCCCCAAAATGCGTGCTGCACGGTTCAGATGGCACACGCTGCCAGTCAACGCCAAAAGCGCGATCCAGACACTGGCACGACAGGCACGACAGGCACAGGCACGCCCGCTTACAGGCTGCTGCCAGCGCCGCGTTTAACGGATGGAACCGCAGGCACGTCTCGTCTCAATGGATCGCGTCTCAACGGAACTTGCCCGAAGGTGTCGTCCGGACAAAAAAGTCAGGCACGCTCACCCATGTTCCTTTTTGGTGAATGGGTCCCACAGGCACGGGCGCGGCCTTTCGCGAAATCCAGATGGTGCATATCGCCTTTTTAAATACTTTACTCATCCCCACTCCCTTGGCTACAGTATTTCCTTTGCCCTGGCTTCGCTTGTCTGGTCCATCATAGAAGACAGGCCAGATTTGCAAAGCGTTGTCTTGATTCGCAGAACCCCGTCTTTTGGCTTCTTGACGAATCCCGTCCCTTGGCTTTCTCTTCCTTTTCCAGCTCTGTTTTTAGACCCTCTTTCTTGTCCCTTGTTGCAGGTAAACAGACCGCGGAGACAAGAGACTTAGTGGCCCAATCCAAGCCAGGAAGTAGGCAGCTGGACGGCAGTGGACGGCAGCTGTAGCGGAGGGGGAAAAGACCGCACATCGGACGCGATCTGGACGTGGAGAACGCGACCTTGGAAGCGCCTCTCCAATCTGAACCTCACCTCAGATCCTGGGTCACCAAAACCTCCCACCACCCTCTCCTAGAGCTCAATTCCTCATCCTGTCCCGCCAATTGTCATGATCAGTACCTGACAGGATCACCACAACATGGATTCATCGCCATCGGCAACAAAGACCTTCAGCGGGATGGAGCCAACCCTGCCCTCGGTAGCAGGCATCAAGCGCCCGGCCCCGTCACTGCTGCCGCCGTTTGAGCCTTTGTCCTCATCCCCAGGTCTGCCTCGGCCTTCGAAGCGGCAGGCCACGTCCAATGCCTTTCTGAAATACCCAACGCCCATCCCGACCTCGAGTACTGGCATCCTTTCGTCAAGCCCTCCACGCGTCGGATACAACTATGGATATGCCGCCCCATATATGGCCCCCCGCCCCGGCCTTCAAAGGACCTTGTCGACCGTGTCGGAACGCGCCCCCCTTTCCGACGTACGCGCCGTGGTTTTGAACGAGAATGGGGAGACTCTTCTCATGGGAAGGTCCAGCAACTCGTCTCACTATCAACTCTCGTCAAACAGACTGGTCAGCAGAGTTCATGTTCACGCTCGGTATATCCCCGCCACCGAAGCGCTTGAGCCCAACAAGGTCGAGATTACGTGTACGGGTTGGAACGGTCTGAAGCTGCATTGTCAAGGGCAGACATGGGAGCTGGCAAAAGGCGATTCGTTCACTTCGGAAACCGAGGGTGCGGAGATTATGATCGATGTTCATGACACCAGGGTCCTCGTGCAGTGGCCGCCGCGGGAGAAGGATCGGGACTCGTCAGCCCCCTTGAGCGATTCTTCGTGGGATGAGACACCGAGGCCAATGCGACGTGGCCGGCGACCAGGCTCCGACTCGGACGAGGGCAGCCCCATTCGACGACCGAGACGTATCAGCAGCCCCGAGTCACCCACACCCGCCAACGGATCGACTTCAAAGGCCGACCTGGACGACTTGCTGTCCGACAACGATGATGATGGTGCCGCCGTTGAGATCTATGAGGACGAGGAGGAGGATGAGCAGGAACTGCCCAAGCTGACAGATACTGGCAGGGGAGATGCTACCTTCATCACCATCGTGGACCAGAGTTTTTCCATGTCGAGTGACTTGAGCGATCCGCGATCAGATGAGGATTACGCCGACCAAGATCCGGATGAGGAGAATGACCCCATCATACCTTCGTTTGGTCCCTGCGGCGAGAACCTGTCCAGCCGTCTCGAATCTTTCACCACAGCTACTTCACCTCCGAGAGCTCGTACTCCCGACCGCGACTACAGTGGCAGCTCCGATGAGGAGCGGGCTGGTAGTGTCACCCCGAAGCCTCTGAAGTCGTCAAGCGGGAACGCAGCAGGTGCCGCTCGGAAGGCCTCTCCTACTCCGGCTCCTCGCTCACCATCGCCCGTCAGCAACCTCAGCGAGGAACTGACAGCAACCATTTCGAATCATGTCATCAACCAACTCGCCTTCTCCAGACTATCATCCACGCCTTTGTCGACCATTATGAACAATCTTCCTGCGGATGATCGGAGACAGGTGACCAAGGATGAATTGCGCAGGCTCATTGAGGCAACAGCTTGCATCGGTATCATCGAACGCCAGGGCAAGGATGCTGCCGGTAAGCCGCTTGAAAGCGAGTATTATTATGTGCCCGAATTCGACACCGATGAGCACCGTCGCCTGGCTGTGACGGACGGCTTGCGGAAGCCTAGCTTGAGGGCCTGCCGCAAGCAGCACAAGGTAAGCGTTTTCCTTCTCTACCGCCTTACCGTTTGCTATGCAAGATCAATCGGTTAACATGTCGTGTCCACCTGCAACAGCAATACTATTGGAAGAAGCCTCGCACTCCCTGATTGTATCACCACATCAGCGCCGTCACCGTCATCACATCCCCCCATCACAACACCACACCCCATCCCCAACACCCATCCCAACACCCTACCCCTACCCCTACTACCCATACCCATTGTACCATTCTCCAAATCCCGCTATTGGCATTATGTTGTTAAGGCGTCTTACCACGGAGAATGTCTGTTTGTGTTTTCTGCAAAAGAAAAAAGTCGACATAAGCCCCTTTCACTGTCCATGTTAACACGTCATGGGGAGTACATTCTGTCTCCCAAAATCTGTATTTGCATGCTTCGGGAGGCCGCATAGCGCAGGGCGTCGTTTTGTTCGATTTTATATATATGTTTACCAGGCGTCAGCGTCTGTGTTGTAGGTTTGCCCCATTGGCCCAAGAGAAGAAAGGAGGAGAGAGGACGGAACGGAAATGTTCGAGACGAGACCTGCTGTGGAGGTCAACTGGTGCTGGCGAGAGAGTGTAGCTATACGCTGGCACGTCATGAAGGAGCATTTGGAAAAGCGAGAGGTTACATCACTGCTTGGAAATTCAGGCAACAATGATGAAATGAGGGAGGATCGATCTGGCTGAGGTTATCTGGCCTGGTGTAAGTGGTAGCTGCTAGCATTGTAGATGTAAAAGACATCTACAAACCAAATGAAGATGGCTATCTAGTCAGGCTGTTGCCGGTGCTGTTTGAAGAAGTCACCGACACATGTGATGATAAAGAGAATGAAGCTTTGGACCCAACAGCGTGGAAAGAGCAGCTGCAGTCTGCCGCCATAGCGCAAGGCCCAGACAATCACAGGCAACATGTGCCCCACTTTCCGCGGGCCCACTTTCCATATTTAGCGGTTAGCCCCTGACGGCGCCTTATCGTCCGTTATCGCATACAGCTGTCTAGCTTATCGATAAGCTTATAGCAGGAAAAAAATAAGCGTCAGTGCACCGACCTCCCCAAAATTTCCAGAGGGTGCCTTCTGTCGCTCTGGGAGAAAAAACACCTGGGACTCGTATCGCGATCGTCTCAATTCACACCAACCCCACCCACAGATATCTTCTTCCCCAGCCAACGAAGATGTCCAAGTCCACATCCGTTGTCAAGGCGTCTGACGCCGTCGTCTCTCCCGTCGACACTAACCAGGTTTGTGTTCTCTGGATCAATGCAATTGGCTTTTTCCCCGACTTGCTAACCCTCCAAATCAACAGATCACCAAGGCCTCCAAGGCCCTCCTCGCCCACATCAAGAAGGCCACCGCCGCCTCTACTGCCGTTTCCAAGAACCTTCTCGCCGATGAGGAGTCGACCGTCGCCGAGACCCCGATCTGGCTTACTCTCACCACCAAGAAGCACATCGCCGACACGAACCGCCTGCAACCCTCCAAGATCGTTCTCCCCAACCCCCTGAACGCCGATAACGAGTCTACCATCTGCATCATCGTCGCCGACCCTCAGCGGCACTACAAGAACGTTGTCGCCTCTGAGGAGTTCCCCGAGGACCTGCGCAACCGCATCACCCGCGTCATCGACGTCAGCCATCTCAAGGCCAAGTTCAAGACATACGAGGCCCAGCGCCAGCTGTTCAACGACCATGACATCTTCCTTGCCGACGACAGAATCGTCAACCGTCTCCCCAAGCACCTGGGCAAGACTTTCTTCAAGAGCACCGCCAAGCGCCCCGTTCCTGTTGTGTTCATGAAGCAGAGGGAGAAGGTTGACGGCAAGAGGGTGGCGAAGCCCAAGGGTCCCAAGCCCAAGCGCGACGCCGTTGAGAACGTCAATGCTAGACCTACACCAGAGATTGTGGCCGAGATCCGCAAGGCCATTGGCTCGGCGCTCGTTTCGGTATGTTTCACTCGCTCGGCAACTTATTCATCAAGGTGCATGTTACACATAGACTAACGCCCATATTTTCTAGCTGAGCCCCTCTACCAACACCGCCATCAAGGTCGGCTACGCCAGCTGGGACGCCGAGAAGCTCGTGGCCAACGTCGAGAAGGTCGTCAACGAGCTCGTCGAGCGCTTCGTGCCCCACAAGTGGAGCAACGTCAGGAGTTTCTACCTCAAGGGTCCCGAGACGGCGGCCCTTCCCCTCTACCAGACCGACGAGCTCTGGCTGGACGACAGCAAGGTCATCGCCGACGGCGCCGAGCCCGAGAAGGCCAACATCGGCAAGAAGCGCAAGGCTGCCGACGACGAGACCGAGGCCAAGGCCGAGGAGGGTGCTAAGGACGAGAGCAGGCCGAAGAAGAAGGCCAAGAAGGCTGCTGCTGCCGCCGCTCTTCCCGAGAGCAACGACGACAAGCTCGACAAGGAGATTGCCACGCGGAAAGCGACGTTGAGGAAGCAGAAGGCTGCGGCGAAGAAGGCTGTTGAGGTTTAATATCTTTTTTAACTCTGATCTGAAGGGACTGACTGATGGACTGGACTGGTTGGACTGGGTTGATTGAAAGCGACATGCAAGAGGAGAAGAATCAATCGTTGCTTGGCATTTGCTTGGCGTTTTGGCGTCCATGGTAAAACATAAAACACACGTTCGGGTTTCGTTGGAGTTGTTGTACAAGACAAAGACACACACTCTGTGGAAGGTTGGAAGTTAAGACGGGAGGTGGTATCTACTAGTTCTATGTACTAGGAGGCTAGTTGAAGAAGATATCCTTATTGTATTCATTCCCGAGCGGGTTATGGTTGTGTGAGCGAGCGTGGATGTTGCAGACACTTTTGATGACGGTTCTCATGGTGGCTGTTCTGTCGATGGGCAGCCTGGGGCTTAATATGTCTTGAGCCCTGTGTTCTATACAATCGTCCAAGGGGATCTCGGCGCAGCAAAGACTTATTTACCTGTCAAGAAAGGTACGGTGGAAAACGATTCCCATCGCACCATGACAGTCTTGATGATCGGATGAAACCTCAACAACGGACGAACGACAGCGCCATCATCACAAGTCTTCCGGATTCCGATACGCGATGTGGAGTAATCCTACCCAGCTCGGTAACAATATCCGACTGTAAAAGAAAGACATCCGGTAACTACCCCTACTGGTACCTTACTTGCTCAGCATGACTTTTTGTTGTTCAGAGAGTATCAACTGACCAGATGGAAAGAAGTTCGAGTTGATAATTTAGGTTCGCCCTATACTGAAAAGGGAAAAGTCTGTTCCCCACCCCCGGATTTACAGTGGCGCCTGCCCAGAACTGTCACACTGTGCTGCATAAAACAGTGTCCGAGTCTCCACTTCGACATTGTTCCGTCCGGCAGTGACACTTGCCCCACTTTGTCACTTTCCTTATTCTCGTTTCCTTTTCCTTCGACTTGTCACTCTCTCCTCACACACAGTGTACATCTCGACTTGCCTCTCCAACTTCAGCCTGTTTTTGTCGTTACAGAGGAGGGCATCCAGATCAACTGCCGAGAAACCACAAGACACCGTTCAACGCCAATTGTCATGTTCTCGTAAGCTTCTGCGGAGAAGACGATGAGGCTTTGTCAGGCAACTCTCCCAATGCCTGGATCTGTCACTCACTCATTCTCCGCTTCTCTTGACTTTGAGATACGACTTGAAGATGAAACGTAAGAGGAGTTGCGGAATTCGGCACGGAAGGACTTCCCAAGTTTCAAGTACTTCGGCCATCTCGGTATTGTGAGAGACTACCGCAGTGTCACCTCGACTTACACGACTGAAGAACTGCAACAAGAGGGTATCCATTACCAAATCACATCTCCCTTGCTGCTTGTTCTTCAGAGGATCACCATGACAACACCTCCGCATTCCCCTCTCCAACTACCCGGGCTGAGTCTCTCAGACAATAATCGGTGTCTACTTTTACTGCCGAGATGCTTTGTTGTCTGATGGAACCACCCCAACTCCCCGCCTTCTCTCCTCCCCGAGGGCTGATCGACTAACCTCATATGATATCAAGACTTTCAATTAACGGTTACCAATGACAGAATGACAGGTGTGACAAAGTGTCGGTTCGGGGCGCTGGGTGGTTCGTCTAATGGTTCGTCTAACCACCCGCCCTTGGCACAAGCTTCAGCCATCTTCTCTACTCCTTCGGCAGATGTTTATCACGATGATTGTGAGAGGGGATGGTTACCGGCCTCCCATATAACCATATGAGCCCCTCTAGATACCCGGATAGCGGTATTCTATGATCTCATCCTACCTCTCTGTGTGCAACCAGTCATGCCATCTACCTATTTCCCTGTGATATAAGCTCCCAGAACCAGGAGCAGCAGTCAACTTCAACAGTTGTTATACTACTACCACAGTCTTAGGTGACATCAGAACTGAAAGTCCGATTCCCGAGTTAGACAGCAAATATCGAAACCGTCCAAGCTCCTTTTGTCGACAAGTCCTTCATCATCGGCGGCTCAGGATAGCATCCTCACCATGGGTGTCGTGCTAGGGGTCAAAGATGGCAAAGTGTCGCCGACACGAGCACTCATCGGCACAACCACTACTGTGCTCGTCAGTTACTGGCTATACATCCTCCTATCCGCCATCGTCATCCGTGCCGCCTACAAACGCTACGCCTCACCACTACGCAAATATCCCGGTCCCTTCCTAGCCTCCTGTTCGCGTCTATGGAAGGTCCTCTCCACAGCCAGCGGCCGCACACACCTCGACCACATCGAACTTCATCGGAAATACGGTCCCGTCGTGAGGATCGCCCCCAACGAGGTCTCGGTAGCATCGCCCGAAGCAGCCAGGACACTTCTGAGCGCCGGCAAGCGCTTCTTCAAGACGCCCTTCTACGGCGTCTTCCCACCGCCCGAGAACCCCGACATCTTCACTGAGACCCGCGAAGATGTCCACGCCCAAAAGAAGCGAGTCGCCAACGTGCCCTACAGCATGGCTGCCATGCAACAGCTGAGTCCCTTCATCGACGACACCATCGAGCTGTTGGCGCGCAAGATCGACGAGCACATTGCGCAGCAACACAAGTGGGTGTTTGACCTGGGCGATTACCTCCACTACTTTGCCTTTGACGTGCTTGGGGAGGTGGCTTTCAGCAGGAGCTTTGGTTTTCTTGAACAAGGCCGGGATGTGGACAATGCGATCAAGACGATTGACAAGTCCCAGACGTACAATGGGATTGTGGGGCAGGTGCCTGAGCTGGATCACCTGCTGAGAAGGAACCCGCTGTGGCAGTTCATCCCCTGGTTGAGCACTAAGAATGCTCTGATCACAAGGATGGCGCTCGAGGAGATGGGGAGGAGACAGCCGTTTAACAAGGACACGGCGGTGCTGCAGACTGGTGATGCGAGGCAGGATTTGATGGCTAGCTTGATCTTGGGGCATTTGAAGGACCCGGAGAGGTTTGGGGTGGGGGATGTCTTTGCTGTTGCGCATGGTGCTATGTGAGTGCTGACTACCTTACTTTCTGCTCGTCAAAGACACAGTCACTAATCTTTCGTGACAACAGCTTCGCCGGCTCCGACTCCACCGCCTCAACAATGCAATCCTTCTTCTACCACGTCCTCTCCTCCCCCTCCACCTACCAGTCTATCCTGCACGAGATCCAATCCGCCGTCTCCTCGGGTACCATCCCCGCCACCGGCAACCTAACCTGGAACCAAGCCCAAACCTTGCCTTACCTGCAAGCCTGTCTCAAAGAAGCCATGCGCGTGCGTCCCGCTGTGGGACTGAACATCACCCGGCTTGTACCTCCAGAGGGCGCAGAGCTGGATGGGCACTTCTTCCCCGGAGGCACGAGCATCGCTGCTAACGGGTGGGTGCTACATCGTGATAAGGTGACGTTTGGGAAGGATGCGGATGAGTGGAGGCCGGAGAGGTGGTTGGAGAGCGAAGAGGAGGCGAGGAGGATGGAGAGGTATATGTTTCAGGTGAGTACAGTACATTCCGCCCGGTGACGCTGAATGGAGAGAGAGAAAGAGGCTAATAATCATGATAAACACAACAGTTCGGTGGTGGAAGTCATCTCTGTATTGGAAGGAACTTGGCGCTGTTGGAGATCAACAAGGTTGTTCCGCGGTTGTTGAGGGATTATAGGTTCGAGTTGGCGCACCCGGGGAGGGAGTTGAAGGCTAATGCGTCGTTCTTTGTCGTGCAGAGTGGGTTGGAGGTTTTTGTGCGTAGGGCGTGAAGAGTTTCTGAGAGTTTGGTGTGAGTGTCCGTCCATTGTCTGTTTTGGTTGATGTTGGTGTGATTTCTACGGTGTTGAGTCTACCATTACTCCTTTGGCAGCTTTTTCTTCCCCGTTTCTTCACTTGCCGTACAATTCAATACTGGTTTGTTTGTTAGTTTGGTTCTTCGATCATAGGTTGAACAGGGGAGTTTTGGAGCTCTCATTGGCCTTTGGAGAGGAACCGTCCTTCGTTTGAAGCGATATGGGACAATGGCAAGGGCTTAGGACGCCACAGAAGCCTCTTATGGGTGTCCTATTATGCCTTTCTCTATTTCCCTCAAGGCCTTTAAAACTAGAAGATATCGGTCTACGGTAATTAGCTAATAGAAAGCCGAACGCTTTCCTATATCCAGCAAAGTTGCCGTTTTTTGTACCAGACTAACAAACAAACCAGGGCTGGATTGTACACGTCTGGTAACATCTAGAAAGCAAGAACACTAGCAACGTTCCAGTTACCGGGATCTTTTCCCAGGCACAACACTTGCCGCACCTTGGTAACGTACTTGTTGGATTCCAGTCAACTCCACGTGAACTTCCAGACCACTTACCGAACAATTAATTCCCTTACTAGGTCGAGCCTTCGAAAAGTAACAGATCGTTACAACCCTGTATTAGCCTGTGGATGTATAAGCAATCAAGATAAACGAGGACGGGAGGAAGCGAGTGGTGACATCCGCGAATGGGATCCTCCAAAGCTTGAGTTTATCCATATTCTCAACTCCGTCCAACACCATTGTGGCCAAGCTCACTCTGGAAATCTGAAATCTACCAAAAATATCGATTTTTCAATTCTTGAATGGAAATGGAACCATCTTACGGCTTCCATAGCAACAATGGCGACAACTCAGTGTAACAAGCGTCGGTTACCATTCCGACTTGGACGCTTCCATCTCCTTACGGACTTGCGTTTCCCAGCCCACAAAATAGCACCTTGAGAAGTCGTCCAAGTCCGACGATGGTTGCTCCAGTTCGTAGTTCCTGTTCCATCGGCGGGACTGGCAATTCAGGTAGCGAGCAGACGAAAGCCATGGTCCAAAGCCGGTGAATCCAGACCATGAAATCGCGTGCTGCGACTAGCTTTCCGGCTCGATCGACGTAGGAGGCACTGGTGGACATAATGCGAGCAATATATAAGTGATAATCCCCAAGCCAGTATGGCAATGATCAACCCGGCATACTTCTGTGTAGCGTGCTTGGAGAGGAGTTTATTCTCACGGCTTCAGATAGAGTGAGGGATCACCACTAACAATCGAGGGGACGAGAGCTTCGGCAATTAAACCTACGACACACCCACTGGTCCTTCCCTTCGACTCCCGCCGCCACCATGGGTCCCTTTTTCATCTTGCTAAGGGTACTACTTGTGACCCTGCTGGTGACGATCTCCCACCACAGTGTTTCGGCCCAAACAACAACATGCAACCGAACAGTCAAAGCCAAGACCGGAGATACTTGTGCCACCATCGCCGCTGCTAACGGGATAACCGTCTCCCAGTTCCTCCAGTCCAACCCCAGCATAACCAGCTGCTCACAACTCACGGTGGGGTACGACTACTGCGTGGACGGACGAACGGCCACTGGCACCGCTGACCCGCCTTCGCCGACGGGCCCAGACAAGTCCGTTAGTACCGATGGCACATGTGGGAACGGGGTGACGTGTGTTGGATCCCGCTTCGGCAACTGCTGCTCGGAGCACGGGTTCTGCGGGGGTACGGCCGATTATTGCCGGGCCGGGTGTCAACCGGATTTCGGGATATGCGGTGTGGAGTCTTCGTCAACCTCAACGGCGCCGCCCGTCACTTCACCACCCCCCACCACCGGGCCCGGGGAGCCTTGCGGGACGGTGACGGTGACGACTACGAGTACTGCTTCGTACATCTCGGTGACTACGAGGACGGCGACGTCTGTTACGACGGCGACTGCGACGATTTCGGCTACGGCAACGGCTACGGCTACGATCACAGCTACGGCTACGGCTACGTCGGTGGTTACGACTACTGCGGGTGGGACGACGGCTACGAGGACGGTGACTGCCACGGCAACGGCTACGTCGATTGTTACTGCTACCGGAAGTGTTACGGCGACGATCACGACTACGGCTACGGCGACTACTGCTATCACGCAGACGTCGGTGATCTTGACGACGTCGACGAATATTGTCAGCATCACTAACACGGTTCCGGCTACCGTGACTGCTACGGCTACTTCAACGTTGACAAGGACGGCTACTAGTACCGGGGTTACTCAGACCTCCGTGATCTTGACGACGTCGACGAATGTTGTTAATGTGACGAATACCGTGCCTATTACGGCTACCGTGCCTGTTACTGCTACGGCTACGGCTACGATCACGCTCACAACCATAACCACTTCGACAGCTACAACTACAGCTACAGCTACAGCTACCACGAGGGTTATCCGCACCTCGGTAATAGTGACAACCTCGACAAATATCGTCAACGTAACCAACACCGTACCCATTACCGCTACGGTACCCGTCACCGTCACCACATTAATCACAACCACCGCAACAGCTACAGCAACAGCAACAGCAACAGCAACCAACACCATCCCCATCACCGCAACCGCAACCTTCACAGTAACAGCAACCTCCTACACCGGCATAACCCGCACCTCCGTAATCCTCACCACCTCGACCTCGACCAACATAATCGACACAACCGCCACCGCCACCGTGACCCTCACAAAAATCAACACCCTCACCACCACCGTTCAAGTTCCCGTCTATGTCACGCAAACGCAAACCCAAACCCAAACGAAGCCAGTAACCGCCACTTTAACGGTACCAGTCTACATCACCAACACAAAGCAAGTAACAGCAACAGCAACAGCAACAGCAACAGCAACAGCAACAGCAACAGCAACAGCAACAGCAACAGCAACAGCAACAGCAACAGCAACAGTAACAGCCACCTCAACAACCTACAGCTATTCAATCGCTACGCTTACTACTATTGTGACGGAGACGGAAACCGAGACTTTGACGTCTACGACAACGAGCACGAGGGTGACGCAGGTTACTAGCACTAGTACTAGTACGAGTATCGATACTTTGACGAGTATTATCTATACTACCGCTACCGCTACCGCGACGGCTACGGCTACGGCTACGGCTACGGCTACGGCTACGGCTACCAAGACAGTGACGGACACCAAGACGCCGCCTGCTATTACGACTACCGCTACGGTCACGAAACCGGGTCAAGTGATTACAGCTACGGTGACGGCGACGGTGACGAGTACCACGACGGCGACGGTGACGACGATACCGGGTGGTGGAGGAAATGGAAATGGAAATGCGCCGGGGCCGGTGGTACCGGGGACTTCAAAGACTTGTTAGTTGAGCCCGTCCGTTGTTGTTGTTTCCCTTTTTTTTTAGTCCCCGTTTTCCTGGGGTTTTGAAGGACTGGACCGTTAAGCTGACTTGAAAATTATTGATGCCCGCAAACTTTAGGCAAGGCATACGACAAGATCACCAACGACGACAGCTGCAGGGATATCGCTAACAGAAATGGGTTGTTGTTGTTGGATTTGTGAGTTTGAACAATTTTTTCTTCTTCTTCTTTTTCCGTCTTTTTCCCCGTCTTTTTTCACCCCCACTCCCTGAAGAGTTAACAACGACGAACACTAACATTGAAATCTTTCGCGAAGCTACAAACTTAACCCAGGGGTAAGTAAAACAAGAGACCTCTTTTGTTGTTGTTCTGTGTGCTGATTGATGTCCTTGTGAAAACAGATCGACTGCGATAACCTCTGGCCGGGATACTGGGTATGTACAAGGGCGTTCTAGGGAGGAGAGTAGGGAGGAGTTATGGAAATGGCTTGATCGTGGGAAAGTCCGCTAGAGAGAAGATATGATGGGGTTGAGAATAGTGTTGCAATAAAACGAGTTGAAACCAAATTTCGGTTCTTTACAAACTTCTATCAGTGACAGAATGTTGTTGTTGATGGCCAACTGTTTGAGATGCCGGGTACCCCTAATCTACTCGAGTTGAACCATTTCATACTTGAAAACCACTTTTTCCTATCCGCTATTCAGCTATAACCTAACCTAGAACAAACAAATGCGCTTTCAACAACCCAAAAAGGCGCTGGTGGCATACACACAGTAACTGCTAACCCCCTTCCCCTTAATCACCACCTCCACCCCTCCTCGTCGAACTCCCCAAATAATCAATCGGGTTCCGGCACAACGGGCACGTATTCTTGTTACTGTTCTGGAACCACTTGTACAGGCACAACCTGTGGAACAAGTTATTGCATGTGCCGCACCTCTTATCGGGCAGTTTCTTATCCGCCGACACGACCGCGTAGCAAATAGGGCACTCGGTATGGCCCTTGAGCGCACCGATAATGTTTCTCCTGAAGGCGGCCAGGCCGTCCGTGATGCTGCCGTTGGCGAACGTTATGACGCCCTGCGTGGCGCGCACCCAGCTCTGCCACTTCTTCTCGTTGACGGCAACGCGGTTCTCGCCGATGACCTCGACTGACTCGAGCGGGTAGCCGGCGGGGATCTTGATGGCGATGGAGGCGAACTCCTCGTCGATCTCGTAGCCGGCAGAGACCTCCTTGGCGGTGCGGTTGACACGCACGCGGAGCTCCTTCTCGTCTTCTTGGGGAGCTTCTTGCGAGGAGGCCCAGTCGTTGACTTCGTCGAGGGCGTCCGAGATCAGGAGCGGGGCGTAGTACTTGGCCATCCAGGAGTCGAGGGCGATCTTGGTCTGCTTGCTGCGCAGGTCGAGGTACCATGACTTGACGAGGCCGGGGAGGAATTTGAGCGAGAGATAGAAGAGGTGGACGAGCAGCCACTGCATGTCGCGCTCTGGGGTTCCCTCTTCGGACTGGCTGACGTCGTAGGAGCGGATGTGATCCACGCTGAAAGTGTTCTTATCGAGGTTCAGCGCCTGACCGGTGGAGTGGCCAAGGACGTCGAACATTAGCTCGAGCAAAGCATTAAGCGAGTTGTCGGCTTTGAGGGATTCCGTGTACTGCTTGCGGACTTGAAGGGGAGCCTGGTTGTACGCATCAAAAACGAGGTGCCAGCCAAGGAGGTAGGAGCGAATATCGACGGGGAAACCGGCAAGCTCCTCATCAGTGTACTTCTCTAATGCCGGGACAGACTGGATGAGGGAGAGAAGCTCATCGGGGAGTTTGGCGACTGCTAGAAGTCAGCATACATGGCAACTGGTAAGCAGAACACGACAGAATGACATACCCTTTTCTTCCAGAAGAGTCTCCAGGACTTCCTCTTCTTGCTGGGCAGGTAGGGCCCGGTGCAGCAGACCGAAGGCAGCAGTCTGAACGTCCCGTGAACAGGAAGACAACAACCCGTAAAGGTTGGTCAACAAGTCCTTCTCAGATGTGAGGTGCTTCAGGGGAATCTTCTGGACTACTCTGCAGAGCGTCTCATCGAGAATTTGGCGAGCCGTATTAACCACATCATGTGGCAACTCGAGCAGCCGAATAAGTGCCTTGGACCGGTCAAGTGCGGTCTCTTCCAAGGCCTCAACGAGGTCATCGTTAGGATCCTCCAGAGCCTCCATCGCTGATATAAGCCTAATGGAGGGCAAGACGTAGGCGGGCCATCGCTGAGGGGTATCGTTCCTGGCCTTCTCCCACAACAAGAGGCAGTAATCGACGGCTTCCCGCCAGTACGGTCCGTACACCTGGGCGACATTGGGCAGGATGCGGTGGATACCCTTGCATACCTCGGCAGTAAGGCCAAAGGTCATCTCGTCGGAAGTTTGCACCCACGTAGTGAACTGCTTAAGAGCGAAGACGAGTTTGCGCTGCTCAACCGGCGTCTTTGCCGGAGGGTAGACCGAAAGGCAGATGTTCAGGAGGACCACATTGTACAGGGTCTTCGGTGATGATGGGAAGCATCCTACAATGTCAGACACAAGACGGTTGTAAAGATTCGCGACAGCTCTGGATGAAGCAAGTCCTTCGTCGAACCCAGTAAGGAAGGCGATAGCGGCAAAGATGGTCTGCGGCGTGGCCTTCATAATACCAAGCTTGGTAAACCATTCGTCGAATTTGGCGCCGGGGACAGGGTAGCCATGCACGCTCACAAGAGCCTGGAACAGTTCGGTGAGGACCTTGGATGCGTACAGTGCCCTGGAACTCAAGTCCACAGCCTGCTGGAGTAGGGACTGAATGAGGGTTTCCGCCAAGCTGTTTCCGTTAAGATCACCATCTTTCCAGGCCGCCGAAGCCCCGGCTACTCGGGCAAGAAGCGCTGTGCCTAGATCCAGGAAGGACTGGATCTCATCAGATCTTTCTGTTCTGGTGTCCTCAGCGGCACGCAAGCTCCATAGTCCATTCTCCTTCATGACGGTCAAGTCGTCATTAGCAAGAACAGCAGTCAGGAAGATAAGCTCCAGGAGGTCGACCGGGAGGTTTTCCAGGTCTACATCAGTGAGGAGTTGGGTGGTGTATACGGCCATCCTCGCGGGAATTGACCGGCCCTGACGATCCCTTTTCAGGGTCGTTGGGGTGCTACCCTCGCCCTCTGTCGCCAGGAAATAGGCACCACCAAAGCTACTGGTAATGGACAGGGAAGGATCTGGGGTATCCCGCAAAAAGCTATAGAGCTCGGTGTTCCACATTTTCGCTGATGGGAGAATGTCAGCCAACGGAACACCAGAGCTCAGAATCTCCTTGGCATGGCGGACCAAGGTGCCGATATCAAGAGAAGATGGTTCGGCATCAGCCAAGCTACGGCGAATGACTTCAAGCCACAGCTTGTTCCCACCATACTGTTTCTGGATAAGAGACCTTGTGGCCGCAGCCTTCATTGTTCTTTCGGAGTCTGCTGTTTCCTCCAAAGACAAGAGCTTTGTGAACAAATCAACAGGGGCATCTGTGAACAGGGCAGACTTGTTGCGAAGTAACAGATCGAGAGCCTTGAACTCTGGATCATATTTTCCAGATACACCGATATCCTGCGCAAAGGAGCTAGCGAGAGACTGTAGCGCATTGTCATCCACAATAGCATGAGAAATACTGGCTCTGCAAAGTTGTTCCACAACGGTAGACGAAGGCTCCTCCTTGGCAAAGTCCTGCCAGGCTTCGACGATGAAACTTTGCAGTGATTCGCTCTTCTGCGCAACCGCCTGAGGAAGAGGGACAGACACCAGTTCCTTGACGATTGGCGCACCGGAGGGAAAGCCACGACTTAATGCAGCATCGATAAGCTTTGCCCAGACTTTCTCGGAGAAGTCAGGCTGATCCTGAGTAACGGCAGCCAGGCAAGGTGCCAGATATGGGAGTGATCGAGACACGACGAGCTTGTCGAAAGCTTCTTGGTCGTCGAGTGGGAAAACCTTGTTGATCAAATCGGTCTTGGAGCACAGGCCTGGAGCCTTGGTGAAGGCGGCCTTTAGAACAGCCGCAGCGCAAAAAGGCTTGTAGTTTCGCCTGGAAAGCAGATCCTGTGCACTTTCCAACAGTTTGCTCGAGGTCGAAGCGACCACACTCGGAAGATCAGCATCCCCATCGAAGCTCTGTTGGCTGGGTGCCCCCCTCAAGAAACCTTGTACTAGAGTAAACCAGCGTTCACCTTGGGCTGCCAGCTCCAACTGAGACTTTTCATAATCGGGGTCAACTTCAGGGAGAGAGTTGGAAAGACCGGTGGCAAAGTCGTCACCAAGCTTCTGCCATTCCTCCTTTGCTGATGTCCGCACTTCCTCGCTTGTTGTATATGGCACAATTTTCCATGCCTTGAACAAGTGTGGAGGCTGCGCATAAGCCCACGCCGATGTTTCTGTAGAAGGATGCAAATATTCCCGAGTTAACGGGTACAGGTTTTCCTGAAGGAATTCCGGGCTTGGCGTAGAGCCCGCGGTAATACGATCGACAGTGTTGAGATAACAGGCCCAAGCAGACGGGGTATTTTGACGCCGTTCCTCACGGCTCGTAATGGCAGTTCTCATGGACTTGAGGAACGCCGAGGCATTCGCAGCGTAATCTGGGGAAGATGTTGGCAAAATGGCAAGCAACTGATCCAGCTCTGCCCAGTACTCATCCGACCCTCCCTGAGAACCCTTCTGGACCAGAGGCCTTAGGCGGTCCAGGGGGCTCTTGCTGCCCCATACCTTGGGGAAACATTTTGTGACGCTGATCAATGCCCTGAAGAGATCCACGGCTGAGCCCCTCTGATCCTTCTTGGGGCTTTCGGCCACCAGTACCTTGCCGACATCCTTCAGTTTGGGTTCCAATAGACTAGGCTTGTTGTCGAGGTAACTTGCAACGAGCTGGTAAAAGGCGCGGCGCACGGACGTATCTTCGGAGGCTGCCAGGGTCCAAAGAGTATCGGCGTCGAAGAAGCGCTTCAGTTCGTCGGGGTATTGGTCGTCCTTGATTGTGGGCAACAGGTGCTGGATCATGGCCATACTACTTCCGAGCACGCGGTAGTATTTCGCCTCCATGTCCTCCTTGGATGTCGTCCTCTCATCACTAAGAGAGTCGGCTGTTTCGCGGATGGCCTCGTTGGCATATTCTAGGAACTTCCCCTGGAATGCGATCCAGAACTTTGCCTTCTTTTGGTCCGAGTCGAGAATGTGAGCCGAGACTTGGAGAGCAGCGCGGGCGACGCCCTTGTCCTTGTCGAAAGTGCCAGCAACCCATGGGCCGACAAGCTTGGGTAGCGTCTTTTCAATGCGTTTCTTGGCTGACTTGACGAGCTCGAGGAGGAGGTTGTGGGAGAGTTCTCGGACACGGCGGTTGTTATCGATGGCGGCACGGGGGTAGAGTTGAGCCCAGACGTCTATGACGGAGTCGTCGACGGGCTGGTCGGACTTCTTGACGCATGCTATTATCTCTTCGAGGGCCTTGGACTTTGTTGTGCTGTCTCGCTTGAGGAGGTTCTTGAAGGGCACGATGAAGTCTTGGGGGACGTTGGAGAGGTCGGGAGGCGGAGCCACGTAGGATAGCGATGCTGTCGACGACGAGAAGGCGCCAAAACCGCCGGAACCAAATCCTCCTTTCTTCATGGCGGCTGTGAGTAGTGGGCTATCGAGACCTGGGTTGTTCAGTTGTTCAGAGTCCGGAATCGACTGACGGCGGGGAAGCAACAAGAATAGCTTAATAAGCACGATAAAGAGGTTTAGATGGAAATAATGACACTCGGTTCACTCATAATCCGTGGTGTCTAGAAGAATTCAAAAGAGTTGTTTGGTGTAAACACTCATCAATCATCACATGTCCTCTTGGCTGTCACGACCGCTATGGTAACGGCGATGAGCCTGCCGGTATGATGCTTCACGTCTTCTCGGTCTACCTTTCCTGGTTCCTGCATCGGCTATGGTGGGGTAGCTTATCCGCTGGAGCATAAAATCTTGGTGCACGTGATGCGGGGCACAGTTGGGCCCAGGATGTTAGCGTTTACCACATATTGGCTTGCAAAACACTAACAGAGAAAGATCAAGTTCACCAGTTTTGGCATCCTCAACATCGACTTTGGGATAATGTTGGCCTTGACGTCTCGTACATGCTTTCCCAGTGTCGCTTTGCTGAAATCTAGTCAGGAAGGTCCCAGTTTGCTCACTCTGATCTTCGCTTGCCGATTTTCTCACTGCTTTTTGGTCACAAATGATGGAACATGGGCGCTCCGGAAAGAGCTCCTCAGAGTCCAACACAAGCCGGAAGATCGGCAGGTCGGATAACCTCTTTGACTCTGTGCACACTGCACAGCCCAATGCGGATGGACGCCCAGATAGCAGATGACAGGCAGTTGAGCCATCAGTCAGTTTTTCAATGTCTTGAATGCTCACTTTTGTTGAGCAACAACCATATTCACTCTCCTTCAAGAAGCACTTTCTGTATTCCTCAGTTCAATATCGTCGTTGCTGGGACGATGACGTAGTTGGCTCGCGCATTATACCGTGAAGTAAACAAAGCCTGGAAAGTTGAAGCTATCACGAACCAGCCGAGGATGTCTTGCCTGGTTATGTCACTCTCTAAAAGTCACCAAGGCCGAAGTCATCGTGAAATGACAAAGTGGATGGCATGGCCGGTTGAGCAGGTGGTTGGGCGCAAATGTTCATCATTACCCTTTCAATGTTGCCCTCCAGTGTGAGAGATTGGACATCACCGACCTTCAAACATTGTTGCTCTTGTCTTGGCGCTGACCCAGTCTGGTGGCGAGAGCGGGTTAGCGGGGCGGCCTTTTAGCGCTGGCGTTCCCCGGATGCCACGGGTTTGCTCCACCAACACTAACATCGTGGGAATAAGAGAACCCCACCGTGGACGTCAGCGTTCAAACCGGTTCTTGACATCGAGATTCAAGATGGTCCTTGTGTCGCAGGAGGTGTCGGTCCGTCTCCCCAGCTCATTCAGAGCAGCAGGAGGTCGCGTGGTTCGACTGACTTTCTGACCACAATGCCACTCACCTGCGCAGGCAAACAGTTGGAAACGCCGAAAGGGTCCAAAACTGTTTGGAGGGACTTAACTGTTTGGAGGGACTTGGGGGACTCACTTCACAAGGTTGCTGCCGTTGGCCATTCAGACCCTCGAAGACCGGGCCATTGTCTTACTGTGACGGGAGCATCAAGAGCGAACAAGGCGGAGGGCAATGCCATCTCAATGGTTCAAAGGGCAAGAAAGGGGTCCACCCCGTCAGCCCCTGGCCATGGAATGTCCCCCTCGTTTCCCCCCCTCTCCCAAGATGGGGTCCCCAGATCCCCCCGTTTATCCCCTCGTGTCCTTTATTTCCGTCCAACAGATTGGCTGACTTCAAAACCTCAATGATGCCGAATCCCGTCTTCCCTCTCACACAGTCTGCAAAAGTCACACGTCCTGCAAGTCTGCCTCCTGCTGCCAAGCCGTCGTGGAGCTCGTGGCCGCCATGGCTGCAACAATGTTTGGTTCCGTTGGGCGGATCGTCTTTTTGATCTCCGTGTGCCGCTTCCCAGTTTGGTAAGAGGATGTAGGTATCGGAGACAACAAGACTGCACGTCCCATGCACAAGTCCCCTTCACTGTGAGGAGTGAGGACTGTCGAAGAAGAGGGTCCCTCTCCTTCAAACTTAAAAACTCACAATGGTTCCCAACGTGTGCCCATCGTGTACTTTCTCTTTCTCTCTCAATATTCTCTTTTGGTTGTCTTTCCTCTAGAATTCTACCTCTTCACGTTCCTACATAGTGTGGTGGCACTGCGCAACCGTCCCACCCACAACCTCCCTCTCCAAATCAGTTCGTGACACTTGGTAACACTTGGGTGCCCTGTGTTTTACCAGAGCCACCGGAAGGGGCAGCAATTGAGAAACTGTCCTCGTCATCGTCATCATTGACGTTTATGCCCTTCAATCCTTAGCATTGACCACTTCCGTCTTTGTCGTGTAAGTGCCCCACCCTCCGATTCGTCCCGCATACTTTCCTCCTATCGTGATGCATGGCATAACAGCATTGTCGGTTGCAGTGCATTATATCAGCTGCTTTTTCCATTCCTCCTTCCTTCCTCATTCTTAATTTCCAAAACTGACAATAAACCAACCGCCAGTTACCGTTAAACCATCAAATGGCACTTCAGTTTCAGTCCTCATAACACTATATTCGCCATGTCGTTGACTTCTGCTTCCACTCCCACTTACCGTGCTGGTTGGGCCAAGGCCTCCTCTCTGGCTTCCGGCGCCGCTGTAGTTCGCCACCACCATCAACAACAGCAAACACGGGGCTTTCGCTTCGGTCGCGCCTGGTCATCCTACCTCGACCCCGAATACACCCAAGATGTCTGCCATCGCCAACGCAAAATTCGCTACAAATACTTCCAGACCTTGAACCGCCGACTTTCATGGGAGCAGCACCCCCTGGCCGAGGATGCCAAGTCAACCATCAAGCGCATGTCCAAGGACTATTGGTATCCTGTTGAACAGGAGAATTCTGCGCGAAGATATGTCGACGAGGAAATCGCGGCCAACACCATCAATAACCCAACCGGCATTCGTCCAGGTCAAAATATCGAAGATGCAGAGCGTGCACCCCTCGAGGACTTGCTATTCGGAGACGCCAAGAAACAGATGAAGACAAAGGCGGAGGCTCCTCTTGAGAAGTCGAAGCGCTATCGGGGTAACAAAAACAAGTTCAAGTCGGTGAAAGCGGACTCTGAATACGTGATTGACCCCATCACCAACCGCAAGGTCCTCAAATCAGCAACATTCGGCCTCGACAGCAAGGCCCCGCCATCCGGTCCCTATACATCTCAGTTTACCAACCTCAGCCCTCCAGAGCTTGACGCCTCAAAACCCATCTTTTATGACGGCCCACCTCCAGAGGCAGAGCTCAAGCTCTACAGCCAGGTCAAGATCGACGACGCACCATGGAACCCGATCGACCCAGCATCTGCCACGACTCTTTCAGATGTGCTTCTCAAAGACACATCCGCCCCTGACTTGTTGAACGCCCTGTCGTCGGATCATGCCGAAGTGTCTTGGCACCCTAACGCGGGAATTGCCGCGACCACAGCCGTGCCGCCTTTGGGTTCCCAACCGCAACCGGTAGCTTATGAGGCATCTGAGACCTTCAACGAGCAAGAAGCGACACCCGGGGAGCTCAACAAGTACGGACCTGTTAGGGCAAGCGAACCTGATGGCAAATACAAACACAGCATCGAGCCAGTCGCCAACCAGGCTGAGCTGGGCCAATACAACGCTGTTCGCAGCCACGAGCCCGATGGGAAATACAAGGATACTCCCGAATCACCTGCCGACCAGACGGAACTGGCCAAATACGGCGCAGTTCGCAGTCACGAGCCCGATGGCATGTACAAGCAGGCCTCGGAGAAAAATGTCGACAAGGCGGAACTTGGCCAGTACGGCGCCGTCCGCGGTCATGAACCTGACGGTAAGTACAAGGACGTCGTCGAGGAGAAGTACGATCCGGCTGAGCTTGCCGAGTATGGCGCAGTCCGTGCCCACGAGCCCGATGGCAAGTACAAGGAGGAGAAGGGGGTTACCAACACTCAAGAATACGACCCTGCCGAACTGGCCGAATACGGTTCAGTCCGGGCTCATGAGCCTGACGGTATGTACAAGCAGGAGAAGGGAGTTACCAACACTCAAGAATACGACCCTGCCGAACTGGCCGAATACGGTTCAGTCCGGGCTCATGAGCCTGACGGCATGTACAAAAAGCAAAAGGAGGTCAAAAACTACGACGAGTATGATCCAGCGGAGCTGGCCCAGTACGACGCAGTCCGTGCTCATGAGCCGGACGGTATGTACAAGGAGCAGAAAGCGTTCACCAACACTCAAGAATATGACCCTGCCGAACTAGCCCAGTATGACGCCGTTCGCGCCCACGAGCCCGATGGCATGTACAAGAAGGAAAAGGAGTACACCAACTACTCCGAGTACCAAGATTTGGACTCGTACGATAAACCATTCCTCAGCCACGAGCCCGACGGGAAGTATGCTGCGGAGATGGCACGCGCCGAGCCGAGATCCGAGCCTCCGGTTTTGAAACAGCTCCGCGAGCGCGAGCAGCACGCCAATGATGCGGAACTGGAAGCAGCTTGGACTGCCCACTGTGAGAAGAACGCGGTGGACGAGGCCAAGCTCTCTAAGGAACTGTCTCAGTACGGCGCATTTAGAAGCCATGAGCCCGATGGCAAGTACGCTGCTGCTGCTCAAGGGCGTCAGACACAAGCCCAGGCCGCACGGGAAGAGACTCCCAGCGAGGAAAACCCCCTGGAAGCTTTCACCTACGAAGACGCCCAGACCACCAAATCGTCTGCGGCCTCCGAGCCACAAACCGTTGAGACCACCACCACCACCACCACCACCCCAACCTCCGAACCAACCCTCTACAAAATCCTCGCCTTCAACCCCGACACCCAATCCGTCGAAGCAGCCGAGACCACCTCCAGCATCCTCCCCTCCTCCAACTCCGCAAACACCTCCACCTCCCCCGCCGACGTGCTCCCCCGCCTCACCAACATCTCCAAGTTCCTCCCACACTTTGCCCGCCTCGAGTCTCAAGGCTTCGAAATCGCCGCTGGCTCCGGAGACGTTCTTGTTTTTCGCAAGGTCCGCGAAGGTGTTACTTCCCCTCAATCTCAGACGACCGTCCATTCGGAGCCCGCCGCCGTTGCGCACAACACGAGACAAGCTGTTGCGGCTGCTGATGGTAGTGGTAGTACCGCCACCATGGCGACCAGCGGCGGCTCCACTATCAACCCCATTGACATGACGGGCGGCCTGGGTGGGAAGAGGGATTACCATGTTGCTGCGGGACGGTTTGCTAGTCCGACGGGGTTTGTGAATTATAACTTGCCATCTGCTGCGGCCAGTCAGTCTTCTGCTGCGAGTGAAAAGGTTCACTATGAAGAGGCTTCTGCGGCTGCTGAGACTCGACAGCAACAGGAACAGAAGCAGCAGCAGAAGCAGGAGAAGGGACAAAGGAAGCGGGCGAGTCTGCCGAAGCGCGCGGTGATGGGCGCTGCGTGGATTGCCGGGGGGGCTTACTCGGTTGGTGTGGTGAGGGAGTATTTTCGGACTGGGGGGGTTGATGGGAAGGGACCTAAGGGTCTTTGAGTTTTTTTTTCTGGGTTTCTTTTGTTGAGTAGTAAATGATCATGACATGACGGCGTTTTTTGGGGTTTCGATGGAAAGGGCGTATAGTATATACACGACTAGCGGAGGGAACTAGCCCTCAACTTGCATGCGATGGGTTAGGCAGGATTGATTGGTTTCTTTGGTTTGGCATTTTTTTCTTCTTCGCATTTTCCTTACTCTCTTTCTTTCGCGTGCGGCCGGCTCTTGGTAGTCGTTTCATGCCCCCCTCTTTGCAAAGCAGCAGGCAAACTTCAACATCATCATCATTGTTATCAATCATGGATTCATTCGGTCATTGGATATGGCAGGATTGGTGATAAGGATGGATCATGGATACCGTCCACACATATTAAGGTAGTCAGTCTCTCGTTGATAGCGGACAATTGAACAACATCAATCAAAGAATGCTTCTTATATCCCCTCAGGTGATCAAAATCTTGCAGGGACTAGGGAATGCTGCATACAAAAACAATACAGGCGCCTAACTCCATAGGCAGTGTGGAGTTCGTGATAGTAGTACAAAGTACGTCATTTTCGGAACATCCCAACCGATTTCCCCTCTTCAGCATTATTTAGGTTCGAGTCCTCATTGCTCCATGCTGTCGCCATTTTGTAAAGTGAAAAAAAAAGGAGAAAGAAAAGGAAAGCACACAACCCATTCAATGCCAATGTAAACCCATCCATCCCATCGACCCAAACATCGCTTTCTTGCAATCTGATCTCCTCATCCGTCATGTTGTCATGCTTAATCCACTGTTGTTTTAATCCCCATCGATGAACTTCCCTTGTGTCGTATCGTATCGTATCGTGTTATGTATGATGCGCAACACGCCTGTCGGCCGGCGGTGATATTGCCGAGCCGACTTGTCGACGAATAGTTGCACCACTGCAGCAGGTATTCCGTCCATCATCACCACCCGACCTTCCTCGGTGTCAGGCCTAGATCTAGTACCCATGTCCCTCCTCACTAAACCCCTCCTCCCCCGCCTTCCTCACACTACCCCCCGTAGACCCACTCCGCATCTGCATCTCATGCTTGTACTCCTCCTGCCCGTAGCTTTGTCGGCGGTCGAGCTTAGGTTGCCAGGTCGATGTGTTGTTCATGGCTCTTTGGACTGAGTTTCCCGATTGTGTTGACTTGCTCCTAGCAGTTGGGGAGGTGGGAGACTTGGTTAAGAGGTTGTTTGTGAGGTCGGAGTAGGGAGCTGAGGTGATGATGTTGGAGGGGGCGGCGGTTTTTGAAGACATGATGTAGGTTTTTTTGGGGTGTTGTGTTGTGTTTGTTAGGTTGGTTGGTTGATGCTGCTGATATGGTACGTAGTTTGAGGTATTTTGTTGGTGATGGATGTTGTTTTGTAGGTTGGTTGGTTGAAGGTTGAGGTTTTGTTATGTATGTAGGTTGTTTGGAGGTGGTCAAAGTAGGTCTTTCTGATTCTCGGTATGTTGTGTTGGATATCAATCAAGAAGTCGAAGGAAAGAGGACTGTTGCCGCTACCCAATGTTTCGCTTAAAGGTTGTAGTTGTAGTCTTAACTTCCAGATTGGAATGTGGTATGAGACAATTTTACGAGGGAAGGTGGGAAACGGAGTGGACAGAAGCCGGATGCGCGACACACCCAATTTATCTTCATCTTCAAAGCACGGGAATGGTCTGACGTATCATCACAACATCGGAGGCTGGATAAAGTTGGAAAGCCACAGTGGTGGTCGATCAATTCTGGCCTCCTCACCTCATTGTGCATCTCCGCTCGCCACTTGTTGGACAATTGGACGATGGGATTCCAATGGATTGACAGCAAATCATCTCATTGCTCAATGGGGTGGTAGAGGTGGTGATACAAATGAGGTGAGTTCTTGACCGAAGCTGAAAGCTTTATCGCGTTACGTAGGACTGCTGCTTATCGGTCCACTCGCTGTAGGGCTGTCGATTAGGGGCCCCACCCTTCCCGCCTTGGCCGCTGAAGATCTTCTCTCAACCCCCTGTAAGAGCGGCTTCAGTGGAACTGGATACCCTGACAGCGGAGTGCTGTGACGTTTTGTCAACTTCAACTTGCACACACACTTTTTCTTCAAGCCTCTTTGATATCATTGTTGACGACTAAGGAAGCTATCACTTGGAATGGATACGAATAGAATACGATGAAGGGATTTCCATTGCTCTTCTTACACTTTTGACATCGAGATCCGACGAGACCATAGCCCCGAAGCCGATGACGGTCACCGGTCAACCTCACAATGTTTGATCATGATGGCAATCACGGAACGACCCCCCCTTCAATGACCCGAAAGTATTCCGTGACGCCGTCCTCTCCCAATGCCTCCGCGGGCTACTAAGTCTAGTAGTCGGCACGGTTTCCTCCGACTCTGGGATTTCCGGTAGAGCCTTTTCCGAAATAGCCCTCGAATACCGCGAAAGCGTATTCCTCGGTTCCCGAATCAACACTGCTACTCCTGGGTCATTAATCTTCTCACCAAACGATTCCCGGATTGATCGTGTCGCTCTGAGCGATGAATCCATCCGACGATGATGATGTCCTTTCCCTCCCCTCCCCGTGGCCAAGAAGCTCGACATTCGCGAGACCCAGTCTGCTCGGATCGGCGGGTCTCCGATGCCTTGACCGTCGAGTTCGACGGGAGGGGGGCGTGTCCATGCTGCGACGGCTGTCTGTCCCTGTCCCACACCGCGTCCATTGCCCGGTCCCGGAGGCATCTCTCGGTATCCCAGCTCTGCCCCGGCAGCGAGGCGACCGCTTGGAAGCAGCGACGTTCGGCTGTCTGAGCGCTTGGTTCTGAATGTGAAATGAGCTCTGCCTTTTCCCGAAAAGGTGAACAGGAAGAAGGAGGGCCATAGTCGTGGAACGCTCAGCCCACCGGCTCTGCGTCGTCGGTTGATTAGGACACAAGACAGAATCCAAATTATGACGGCGACGGACAAGCTGAGCAGCAGAATCAGGCTTATACTGGTTCCGTGGTTGAGGGATCCGGTATCAGTGCTGCCTGATGTAACACTGCTGGACGTGGAAGACGGAGGCGCAATGGCTGTTGGGAGGCCCGAGATCTTGGTGGTCCAGGACCCCTGGGTTAATATTGATGGGTTGAAGGAGGTGGGACTTGGTGGAGGTCTGCTATCGGTGAGCAGAACCTCTTGGTTATCTCTCCTAACCATAGTTGCAAGTGTTTCGATGGCTCGTTGGGTGCTTGTTGTCATTGTTGGATATTGAAGGCTGTGTCGGGTTAATGCCCGTCAAGTTGATGAGTATCGGGTCGAAAGTAATTGGTTGCGGATCAAGCGATCTACCTCGAACGAGCTCAGGCCTGCCTCTGCTCGTTGGGCTTGGGTGGGAAGGCGAGCTATCAAAGCTGTGCCGGATGCTGTGTTTGTTGTTCAAGTGAGGCCAAAGGGCACATATGCCAGGTCGCTCGTTGGCCCGGCTCCGTGTCAGAAATAGTTGATGAGTGGTGGTCGGATTCGTCTGGTCAAGGCCTGCTTGCCATCTTGGTTTTATCGTCAACACTGGATGTATCGGCAGAAAGTTCGAACAGGGCAGGACAGCTCGAGTGAGTTGAAGAAAGAAAACAAGTTGCCTGGACGAGCTGAACAAAACGCCAGGCACCGGGGGACTACTCAGAAACCTAGAGTATGGTCCTGCGGCGAAAGCCCATCTCGGTATGGGAATAAAATCTCCATCTACCGAACATATGGTGATATTTCCTCGCGACCTTTGCTTCAGATGTAGGCGAGCAGAGCCGTGGCGCAGCTCATATCACTCAGACTTGCTCTAGGAGGCACAAGTGGCCCCCACAGAGACTTCAACCTAGACCATCGCAGCATAAACCTCTTTATTCTGTTCTCGACGTATCCAACATCAAATTGCCCGTGTTCTGATAATGGCGGTGCTGTCGTCTGCATATTTGCTCCATGTCTGTTGGTGGTCGTTGAGCATCGGTGCCTCTTACCCGTCAGTTATCTTCTCGTCCATGGAACAGATCCTATGCCATACACCCTCAACCTCATAGCCCACAATTCTGAAAAAGAGACTTTCCCGTCCTTATCAGACATGTCTCGGCAGGGGGCATCAAATCCACAATCACGACAACCTACCCATTCCATAACATCCGCCCTGGATCCTATCATTTTGTGCCACACCAGGAGAGGGTTTCAGGGGGCGCGCGGCGCAGATGAGCAAGTAAGGCGAACTCAGCTGTCATCTGGTGTAACGCTGAATGGTGTAGGGCTGATTCATCAGCTGGAAGCTGTGAACACCTCCCAGAAGGGACAGATTGCAACGGTTGAGGCGTTCGTCGGTGGCGCGGCCGGTTGAAGCCGTGGCCGTGTGTGGGTGGGTGGGTGCGCTCACGCTGACATTCACTCAGGTTCCCTGAAGTTGGGGGTACAACATTTATCTTGAACACGACATAGGGCTGCGCAGGCAGAGAAATCTGGCAGCGCCGAATCTTTGGAAAGTGTTACAAGATATTGGAACACAGGCCGGAAGGAAGTGTAAGTGGGCAGGCGGGCATGCGATCAAGCGATCAAGCGATTCAGTCGGCGGTACCTACCTTAGTCCCGGATTGGATAACCGGGATATCCTCAAGCACGAATTGGAGGATACTCTTTCCATTAGTCTATGTGTGCTTCCAAACCCCCTCGCGTCTACGGGCCGGACCTCTTGCATGCCAAACAGGTCAGTATCCGAGCTCAAACCAGCAAAGCAAATATGGTGTCGCGATTTGTGTACAGGTCGCTCATGGTTTGTCCTGCTGGCAGCAAACAAAGGTCAATCAAAGATTCGAAATCTGGCAACGTTCTGAACAACACCTGTTTGGAGGCGTGTTTGGATAGAGGTATTCTTGCCAATCGAACTGAGCATCTTGCATGTTCTGTAGAGGTATGTCCACAGAGCGAGTGAATGCTGTGACTTCCCTCCCCATGCGCTTACCCTAGTTTGCTGTTTCTTTCTATGCCAAAGACGGATGACGTACCACTGTTGATGGCGACATTCGGTTTTCACGAGAGGAAGGCACTACCTGACGCTGTGTGATCACCGGTACTCCCTTCCAGTATTTCTAGGCTGCTCTGCCCGGTTTCCGTTTCTCCCGTCCTCTTCCTTTACCAATTGTTGCCTTTCCAGCTCCGTCAACTGATTTACCAAATCAACTTCAACTGCCATCACTCACCAGCGACGACCAGCCAGTTGAACCAGATCCAAGCCCACTTGTTCTCCCCGCTTTCGGTCAACAACCAGGCTACAATGGAGCCTCCTGAGCTCAAGCGTCCAGCTCTGGGGGACGAGGTCCCCTTAGGCGCCTTGTACGACGCTCGCAGCGACACATTCCTTCCTAATTTATTTGTTGAAGAACTGCCGGACAACGTCGTGGATGCTAAGCTCAACGTCAAATCGACCGCACAACTCAGTAAGGCGACCACAATCCGCGACAAGCTTACTGCTCTCGGTATCACACCAGAGCTTGGGGCCAGCATCCTAGCTGGGCTTGCCCCAATCAATGTTTATGCTCCATATCTGAACAACCGAAATGGATATCAGCGCAGTGCCGCCCAAGCTTCTCTTCATTACACCATTACGACAGTGGAGGAAGAACTCAACCCATTTACCAATAGTAACAGGAACTACCGCCTAAATGACATGGATATGCCAACTCACATGGTTATTGGCATTACCTGGGGTGCTCGGTTTCTTGTTGCCGCTCACTGCGCCGCTTCTACCCCAGATGATCTCGCGAGACAACAGGAGCGCCTAGATTCTGTGTTCGAGAGTCTCAAACATACGGCTCTTGGGGATGCCAGCCAACCAAGTGTTTCGCCCGACGCGCCGGCATCACAAGAACAAGAAAGCAGTGTCTTTGGGGACTGCGATGTCTCGATCTTGGGCAACGTCCTACCGCCATCGACACTCGCCACTCCCCGCCCTTCTCCGCGCGCCCTTATCGATCGCCTTCGCGCCTCCTTGGTAGCTACCAACGGGGGCAAGGGAAAGCAGATCCAGTACAAGCTCATGCCGCTAGCGCCACTGTCTCGCCCACGTCTTAACAGCATAACGGACCCCGCCGTTCACCAACCTCACGTCACATATTTGGAGCGCTTTATTCGCTTGTTAGACGACTGGGCGGATGCGCGACACCAGTGCATGGAGTACATCGCACGATGCGAGAGAAACAACGACGCGGCTATTACCCCCGACCGACTACGCTCCATCAAGAGCCGAATCCGGTCATCGCATATGGCAGAGGGGATCTGGAAGCCAAAGTTCGGAAAAATCTTACAAGCCGTTCGTGATGGCAGAGCGAGCGCACAAAGTTTCAACAAAATGTTTGTCTTTGCGGAAAACAAGGAACTCGGGCCCAAGGAGGTGCTGTCCAAGATAATTGATAACCACCCCGTGGACGGCCAAGATCTCCAGAAGGATGTCAAAGATGAGGCCGTCACCTACGCATCCTTCAGGGAGAAGTGGTACAACGTGTCTGCTGGGCAACCCTGAGTCTCACGGACCGAGCTTGGAAGGTCAAAGTCTGAACTTGACACACCGGATGGAGAAAATACGGAGAGACCGAAGATCCTGAGCACTGCCTTTGAGGCACCCCAGGCGAATAAAGAACTTCCTGTACCCTCATCAGACGTGGGCTATCGGGAGACACGCGATCCTTAGGAGAGAGAACAGAAAGTGGCAGAGGAAGAGTGAGAGGAGGAGGAAAGAGGAGTGGTGGCATGGCTTGCCAGATCCACTAGGTACATGAATAATATAGGTAGACCGGCTACTAAGTAGCTTAAGACACCTCTACGTATTTTGGCATGCCGTTCCCGATCCGGACAGGTGATACAGGAAACCAGTGGTTTCCAGCACCTTGTAGAATAGTCTAGTTTAGTCATGGAGGTTCTGGTCCGTGACTGCCAGGCTTGGGACAAAGGTTCTTAGAACCTTTGTTGCCAGCCCAGTACTTAAGCTGGGCTCTGCACTGGCTTCCAGACCTTCCTCTTCTTCTTACGAATCATCACTTGCTTTACTGCCTTACTAACAACATTACTGGATCGTGAGGCCATGGATACTTATTCCGTATCAACAGGTAATATATTTTATATTTTTGAGTTTTGCAGAGTCAAACGGTAGACCACTATACCATCTGACCAAGCGGTTCTTGGTGGAAGGAGGGACTAAGCAGGTCCCTTAAGTGCCCTGGTCATTAGGGGTAGGGTTGATATCGGATGAAGGAGTGACGGGATGTGGGAAGGTACGGCAGCTGGGCCCGGAGATTCGGTGCCGGCTCGTCCCCCTGCCTCTATGTCTGTCTGCCTGCCAGTAGCTCCTTCCTTCCTTCTATAAAGGACCATATAACTCCCCCCGTTCCATACCCCTTCCAACACCCCCAGCCAACACCCCCACCCAGACAACGAACTCCTTCTCGTCCTCGCGATGGCGCAGTCAGTAGAGGTTTAACGGCCCGCACGCAGATCCTGCATCTCCCATCCCGTACCACCCCCGTCCGACATCCGACTTTGACTTTGACTTTGACTTCGATTCCCGCACCGGTTTCTGCCGGGGCAGACAGATCATGTGGTTCGTGGTTCTTTTTAACGAGCGAGGGGCAAAGCCGAGAGAGAGAGAGAGAGCTGCTTCACAATGTCGTAATCCACCGCGGGAATATACCACGGGAGTTTGAAGTTTGTATAGTACTGAGCTGAGAGGCCTAGTAGAAGAACCTCGGGAGGGTATAACTGGTTGTTGTTGTTGTTGTTGTTGTTGTTGTTGTTGTTGTTGTTGTTGTTGTTGTTGTTGGTAAATAATATTTTGTTTCCTTTTTTTTCTTTCTTCCTTTTTTTTTATTTTTATTTTTTTTCATTATCTGGGATTTTGGAGTATTTTGGATCTTTTTTCTCCTGGTGTTTATTTATGTGTAGAGGTGTAGAGAGAGAGAGAGAGAGAGGGGGGGTTTTGTGAGAGTTTCAACACGAGTCTTTATCATCCATCCATCCTATGAGTCGAGATAGTCATGACCATGTGAGGTTAGCGAACAGCTTGTCATTATGATATATATACAGTATTCTACACACTTTGATCATACCAGTGCCCTTGTGTCACAGTTGTACGCTATGGAATTATAACGGTCGACCTTGGCTCCTGAGTGACTACTAGCGGTTGTTACCAGCCACACAAGCTTATCATCACCCAGAGAGGTAACCATCCATTGACATCCAATATTCCTTCATCTCTCAACCGGCCATGTCCCCCATCAAATCCATCACATCGACCTAACAGCATGCTCCGGCCCTAACTCCCGGTCTCCAGTATGCACCGAAACAGCATCACTCTGGACATGCACAAATCCCTTGAGATTAGCCGTGCTATCCAGGTCCTCCTCCCTATACGACGCAGTAACAGAAGTAGTATCGCTATTCGCTTTCATCGACTCTGCCGATGTTGTCGTAGTGTTATAATTCGTCGTCGTCATCGTCGTTGTTGTTGTGGTCTTCATTTCATATGACGGCCTACTATCCGACGACGTCCTTCCAGCCGCTAGAGGAAAAGAAGGATGTAAAAACTGGTGGTATCGCTCCCGACCACTCACTGGTATCTCGCTTAACGCGACATCCCACGTTGCTGTCGCCGTCGTCGTTGGCCCCGGGCCGGACTGCTGCTGTTGCTCACTGGTCTCGGGAACTTCGATCACTGAGAGACGCTGCCCAAATGCGTTGCGACATGGCCTCCTGCCTACCGTCAGGGGTGGTTCGCTACTGGCGGCGGTTGGCTCGCCTGTGGCGCCTTGTTCGCCGCTGCTGTTGTTGGCGCGCGGGTCGAGGAAGCCAGGGAAGAAGCGGACGATGAGAGGCTTCAGGGTCATGACGCAGGCGATGACGATGGCGGTGTGGACTTCGAGTGCGGTCCAATAGTTGAGCTTGCCGGTGCTGAAGGTGATATCCTTCTGTGATATGTCTTGGGAAGCGTAGAGGTAGAAGACGCGGACGAGTGAGATGATGCAGATACTGTTGGGTAGGAAGAGAGAGTGTGGTGAGTACATGATGTCTCCGGGGGACATGAGTATGTGGTGGTTGGAATGCTTAGACTTACACAAAGCCCACGGCGAAGATGCCGATAACGAAAAACTTTTGTCGCGCGGGTAACTTCAAAGGACCGACGATTGGGATGGGCAGAAGAAAGATGAGAAAATCCGTGATGATTGTCATACTAAGGAAGCCAAAAGGCAAGAAGTGTTAGCTTATTAGTTTGAGGAGTCTGGACTAGTGTAAGATCAAGAATCAGCCTAACCCTGTGCAGCTCCAGTACCACTGGTTTGTATGACAGTTTGGTTTGGGTAATCCAAGCCCCCAAGGTTGAAGCGGATCCCAGTAATCTCGCAGTGGTACACAAGCTGTGCAGATTACTATAATCGTGTAGACACTGGTAACACAGACGATGACGAAGACAGCATATGTAGCCCTACGTGCCGATTCCACGGTGAATATGGTGAGATATAACAGGCAGATGGAGATCTTGGTCATCGCCAGCGAGGAGAAGTAAGCCAAGGCGGAAGCCCAGAATCCCTATTATAACGATTATATAATCTAGGTCAGTGTGATTTCCTGACGATGCGGCGGGGACGAGCAACTGAATAATATGGGGTGAGGACAACTGAACTCACCGCCATTAGAGGCACGTAATCGGCCTTATAATCGACGTTCCATAGGTGTTTGCCCATACCATGTGCGATTTCTGTGACTTCGTTAGGCTTTGCACTCTTTATATCATAGTAGGGAGTTTTTGACAGACCCATGCTTTGGCTGCCGGACATTCCCGCTGCTATTATCTGTCGAGATATGTCAGAACATAGGTACGAAAGTTGTTAGCAAGAAGCTTAAGACGTTAACCAACCAGAGAAAACAAGATGCACCAATCCGATGCCCCAAGCCCGTTAACAACCCTGGAACGCGCCCAAAATCTCAAGGCGACGAAAATGACAGCAATAGACCATGTCGTCCAGATTGCTCCCAGCATGGAAGGGCCATAATCTTCATTTATACGGTATCCGCGGGGTGGTGGCGTCGTGTTCTCATCTTCAGACCTGTACAGCACATAGGCCTCAGAACTGTACCTGCTCCCATGCATGCCGGGGACGACGAGAGCATCGAGGGGAAGGAGACTCTGCAACAGCTGTAGGTAAGGGCGAAGGATATACGCCTCTCACCCACGGTCACCCTAACAGGTCGGTAGATGGGTCGAACTCGAGGTTTGTATAGACGGGGTATCCTATCTAATCCCTGAAGCTTGGCGTGCTTAGCTTCACCCCGGCGGCGATCTCCGTGATGACAGAGTAGGATCGATCTCTGGGACTCTCGCCTTGCTCAAGGATTTTCACCTGACAACCTCCCTCGGTCAAGCGGGTGATGCTGAGCTGCTTGTTGGCAGCTGACGTCTAATTCGACCTGGTCGTATTGCTGAAATGAGATCGGTCCCAGCCAGACGGTACGCGGTGGATCCTACAGGCTGGTTTGGTTGGGCACAAGTGCCGGGCCGTTGGGTTACAGTGACTGCCGGGAAGGATAGTATTTCCCGACTTTGAGACTGTCCTCAAGTCCACGCCTTCTGGTGTCCTTGGTTGTTTCTGGGTAAGGTAAAACAAATGAAGGGGGCAAATACAACGGGATGACACTTGGACTGCTCGAGGTAGACACGGCAAAGACTGGTATAAGATGAAGGAGAAGAGATCATCATGTGATTTCCGCAAGACCTTGGCAAATAGATAGAACACAGTGTCGCGGATGATTGATAGAACGTGCCTAACGATATACTAGCGAGGTATACGAGAGAAAGGCCGAACACTTTCTGGTGTGTTGTCGTGTAAGTGTGTTCGGACTTAATTCCGCACACCTCAGCTCGGCTAGTTGAACCGTTGTGGTTAAAGACGCGGAGCTAGTGTAGGGCCTTGGCAGGATCGACACAGGCTGGATATCCTCCTCGAAGCCCCCTGGCCTGATGCCAGTGTGAAGACGAGATTGCCCTGGAGGGAACATTGCGTTGTGACGTTGTCCAGGTCTCCAGTAAACGAAGGGTTCTCAGTGGCTGGGCTGACTGGATTTGAATTGTTGCGCACAGGGGATCCCCGCGGAACTTGCCGCCAGCCCTGAGAAAACAACGAGCAGATAGGTTTGCTTACATCGTGATGAGAACCTCGCTCGCCCTTCTTTACTCCAGTGTGGAATCCCGTGGACCTGGTCCGAATCAGCCTCAAAACGTGGATGTCGTGGGTTGGAGATAGCAAGTTGATGAAGAGCGGCGAGCTGAGCAGTTAAGTGGTTGATGACAATATCATGGCAAAGGGAAAAAGGGGGGGAAGTCTTTTGATGAGCCTGTCTTCACACATTGCGCTGCCAGATGTTCTGGACCGAGTCCAACTTTTTAGTCATCCCCCACCACACTACCCACGGAGAGAAGTCCGTACTGTCATACTTTGACTAGAGATGGCTTCACCGCTTGTCGTGAGGATGTCTCAACGTTCAAAGAGCCACAGCTTCGAAATGAGCTTCTCGAAGAGGACCATCAAGGTTGCCAATGTTTTTTTGCTCGACCTGGTGGAGTTGGACCGTAATCCACTGCTCTATCGGAGTGTTGGTTCGGGCATGTTGTCGGATATAACGGGTGATCTTGAGAATAACTCAATGGGGTGAGTGTGATGGCCTCTCGGGTAAGTCACCAATGCAACGGTAACAAAGTCTCGGGCGTTGTTCTCTTCAAGTGACCACTGGGCGCTATTGGGTGTTCGGAGTCTGGAAAGGTAAGGTACCGAGATATAAATGTTACCATGGGACGAGTCCAAATTTCACATAGTGAGAGGTGAGGTAGGATGAAAGGTAAAAAGCACGGAACCCTAACCCTAACCCTGCCCGCCTTGTGAAGTCGTGCCTGCCGGGATCCTGGAAATACACTTTTCGCCGAACACCCAACATCGAGACGAACATCATCCAACATCAGTATTAGCCGATTGACTCATCCGGACACCAGTACTATCCCATTACCACCAAACATTAGTCCAGTATCGCATAGTCTCTAGCCCTCTCCGAAGAACTCCCAACCTCTCCGAAGAATCACCTCTCCATCACCTCGCCGAGCAGACGGCAGTGAAACACACGACATCTTTCACTAAGCCATACAACAAACCTCCAACCTTTCCCACACCAGCCAAACACAACCATGGCATCACCCCATCCAACAACCACAAACCCCTCCGAAGAAGACGACCCCATCGTCGCCACCTACAACGTCTTCATCAAGCCTCCCCTCCCCGAAGACCGCAAGCTCGTCGTCCTCCGCTACGTCACCAAGACCGCCCAAGACCCGTCCTCCATCAAGCCGCCAAGGATCAACAGCTTTCGCGTGAAGCCCGAAACGGGCATTTACGAGGTCGACATCCCTCTCGAGACCGGCGATGGCTACAACAAGGGCAAGGGTATCGCGTGGGGCGTGGCGCTAGCCAAGTCGATGGAGTCCAAGAAGGGCGGCAGTCTTGGTCTGGCCGGTGGTTTCAACATTGGTGGACAAGGAGGGTCGGCGCGCGGTGGTCCTGGAGCTGGTGGAGCTGGTGGTGGACGTCGCGGCGGTAATACCGGAGGAGGAGATGATGACGAGGCGCAGAATATGAGCTGGCCTGAGGCTGTGGCGCAAGGCAAGGCGATTATCGACCAGAAGTTGACGGGTAGTCGGAGTGCGGGCGAGGATTACGTGAAGCATATGGTTGGTGTGTTTCAAGGAAGTGAGTTTCCAGTCCAATCCAGTCCAACATCCACCCATAACCCCGGGGCCTCTTCCCTCCCATTTATCAGTTCCCACTCACTAACCACTCCCCCCTCTCTCAAACAGACAACATCCATCTAACCCCCGTAACCTCCCTCGTCCAACTCCGGCCCGTAGCCCCCTACCTCGACGCCGCCACCGAGCAAGAACGGCTCTCGCGCCTCGGCCCCTCAGCCGGCGCCGGCGCCGGCGGTCCCGCCGACAAGCAGGCCGCGGGGCGCGCGATCCACATGTCCATCAAGTCGTCAGACTCGGGCGGTGCCGGCGCGGCAGCCGAGACCATGGCGGACCGGCTGCGCGCCGTGCAGACAGAGCCGTGGCACAGCCTAAAGTGGTACCACGACGAGCACGGCGAGGCGTGGGACACGTACAACGAGTGCATGCTTTTGCGGTCGAGCGAGGCTGGCAATGCTGCGCCGCCGGTTGAAGAGGAGGAGGTGGACGAAGAGAAGAAGAAGGAGAAGAAGGAAGAGAAGGATGGAGAGGAGGCTGAGGCGGCGGCGGCGGCAGAACCAACGGATGATAGTGGTGCTCCCGATTTGGTTGAGAAGGTGAACAGGTTGCAGTCGGATTGGGGCGAGGAGCAAATCCTGCGGTCGATCAACGGGTTGGGGCCAGATGATAAGAAGCCCGGTGAGGAGGCGGTTTCGGTCCCCTCGGTTTTCGGCACGAAAAAGGCCACGGCCACGGCCAAGAAAGGTACCAACACCAAGGGAAAGGGAAAGGCAACGTCTTCGTCGAATGCCATGCAGCTTGACTAAAAGTCAAAGACTGTAGGCGGTAAGAGAAGAGGCTCCTGCACCGAAAGCTGAAGCGGCAAAGGCAAAGGGAAGCGGAAAAGAAGGACAGATGCGAGAGATAAAGCGCAACAAATAGGCCTTTCTGAAGCGGGAGGCCCATTATAGAGGTCAACTACCACTACCAAACCCTTTGGTTAACCGATAGATTCTCTTCTACTTTTAAAAAAAATATACGATACCCTACGACTGACTCCCCTTTCTTTCCCGCCTTCCTTCCTTCACAGGCTTGCTTCTGAATAACCTGCTCCCTCCATGACAAAAAAATCGTTATGGTGACAGGTGTGGTGTGGTGAACGATCAATGATGTGTGACCTCGCATTGCAAAAACCCAACCCCTTTTTGGTTCCCCTATTCTACAGGTGCGTCCATTTCATCCCATCCATCCATCCATACAACAATGCCGAGTTATATAAAAACCAACCGCCAAGTTCTTTTCTTTTTCCCCAGCAATGTAATGTAGGAAAGAAGAAACTCCTCCTCCCCGCCCAGGAGGTTACCCTCTAGTAGTAGGTAAGCCAAAATGTTAGCTAGGGTAAGCAATTCCCCATGAGATGGCCCATGTACATAGTTCCTCTCTTCTTCTACCTAGCTGCTTTTTTTCGTCCCGCCGCAAGAAGGAAGAAATATGAGTGAGCCTCGACATGATGAGAACTCTTCAAGAAGAACAATCGCTGACAAAACGCGATGCAATCAACGCAACTTTTCCGTTTCGATAATGATGATGATAATCGTCGTTGCGTGAACCACCCGCCCAGATGGTTTTTTTCAACGGACTTTCAAAGTCAAAGTGTGTAGGGTAATTGCCGAGTTGCTTACTGAAGCAGCTCAACATCGAGACCGATCGACCGCATGAAGAGGTTGACGTTCTGCAGGCGTTCGCCTGCGAGTGCTGGAGGCAGGGTTTTGGCGAGGCTGACGGTGTCCATGACACGATCCTTGACAGCAATGACAAGTCTTTGCTGCTGGTCAGGGCTAGCACCAATACCGATGGCCGCGAGAAGCTGCCAGACGTAGGTATCTTGATCGGTGGCAATGCTACCGGGGAAGATGTACGGAAGAGTGGGCTCGAGGAGGTTGAAGAACTGAGTGTAGGTCATATCCCTGTGCAATATTGTTAGCATTCGGTTCATGTCTCATGGAACCAAGAGTATAGGGGAACTTACCAAGAACGCCAATCCTGTTCACTGCCGCCGCCATTATGCTTAATAAGCTCTGCACGGCTCAAAATCATGGTAAGCATCGACGCGCCGATTCTACTCTTGGCGATGACGTCCACATTGCGCGTGCACACAAGACCGAGGATGGCGGCAACAAGATCGAGGCCGAGTTCGTTCATAAACGTAAACAGCGTGGTTACAATAGCAGCCGAAAACAGCTCAATGTTTTCACGCATAGCGGCGTTGAACTGGATGTCATCAGTTGTAACCTGAGCTTCTCGGACAACGTCGAGTTGGTCGAGATTCACGACAATGCGTGTGAAAATGGTAATCCTTTGCTCATGGTTCGTGTGACGGAAGATGCGCGGTATGGCTTTCTTGCCCTTGTTGTAACAGAGAAGGGCCATGAAGGGGTGGATGCGGCCTGGCTGGTCCTGATCCTGCACCCTCAGAGCCTTCCAGAGCTGCTCATTCAACGCCTGTCCTTCGCTGCTCCATGCAAAGACCTTGGCAAGAGCTTCTTGATCATCCTCGGCAGGCGCCATAGGCATGTTGCGTTCGTGGTCTTCCATCTTCATAAGTGTGGTGTATACCAGCTCGAGGGCTCTCAGTTCGTCCTTCTTGTCCCTTCCGTTAACAGGATGCGGTGCCTTCTTCACATCGCCGGCGCTGTCGTTACGCTTGATGTTGAGAAGCGGCTTCGGGGTCTTGGCGTTGCTGAAGGAAATCTTGCCCAAGCTACCTTCAATAACAAGCTGCTTGTTCTTGGGCTTGTTCTTGGCCGCCTCAACAGCGCGCTGGACCTGTTGTTCCATCCTCTGCATATGGTTCTCAGGACCCCGGTTATGGCGGCGCATACCTCCCTGGCGGCTTCCTGTCTGAAACAGATAGGTCTGAGCAAACTGGTTCAGAGGCTGGCTGGGGTGCTGACGATGGCCAGCCTGGATCTGACTATGGACTTGATAGTAAAAGTCCTCGGCGAGTGACTCGTCTGTGCCGTGTTCATTGGGATTTCCAGTGGCCGCAACAAGCTGCTGGAGCTGGATTCGGGTGATGAAGTTCTTGTCCTGTGGCGTCATGATACCATTGTCGCGAGACATTTGGAAAATCTTGTGGTTGCGTTTGGCGCGCTTGGCTTCCTGTTCAAGATAGGCAGCCTTTTCCTCCTCCGAGAGCTGAGCCAGCTGAGCGGGATGAAGAATCATGGTGGGCTGTCGCGGAAGAGAGCCTTGTTGCCTGTGGCCCTGGTGGGCGGACTGAGGACCGGACGGAGGCGTAGGGTGAACAGGCAGCCCGATCTTAGCTGCGTCGCCTGAAAGACGGTTGGGGTTCTGCAGAATCTGAGTGGGCTGCTGAGGAGCAACGGGTTGCTGATGCTGTTGAATAGCGGGCGGTTGGGAAGAGGGCTGGGCTGGCGTAGCAGGCTTCGAGTGAGGCCGCTGGAGGATTGTCATGGGATGCCCTTGCGGTTGATGGTACAAAGGCTCAACAATACCGGCCTGGAAATGGGCCTGCGGCTGGTTCTGAGCTTGCTGCTGGTAGAGATAAGCCTGCTCATGTGGCATTTGATGGGGCTGATGCTGAGGAGCAGGAGATGGAGTGGCCGCCTTAGCCTGGGCGCGCATCTGAGCCTCAACCTCCTCGAGACTCAACATCTTGCGGCCCCCAGGCGGAGCACTAGGAACGGCAGGCTGAGCAGGCGGCGGCGGTTGCTTCTTGGGTGCGACGCCCCAAAGAGCAGCGTCAACCTGAAGATCCTCGATCGGCTGCTCGTGGTATTTTTCATAGCCAGTCCTGGCAGGTCTAGCCGGGGCCTGCGCGAAATAGTTGTACGAGGGTCCGGCGATGGAGGGTCCGGCGGTGGACGTATAGGCCGATGGCTGCGCGACAGGCTGGGGAGCCCTGGCGGCTGGTTGTTGGCGGCTGAAACGAACATTTTCCTCCTCAATCGCGTTCGCGACCTTGGCGGTCTGGCCAAAGAAGTCGAAATCTTTGCCTACGGGACCGGGCTCGCCGGTATCGCCGCCAAAGGTATCATCGTTGAAGACATCATCGGTTTCATCCAGCTGGTCACCCAAGCCGTCATAAGTGTCTTCGAAGTCGATCTCTTCGGCTTCTTCCTCCCGGTTGGCAAGGCTGGCAAACGGATCGTGAGCCTGGGAGAAGCCGGGAGCGGCGGTATTATGGCGAGACTGGTCGAAGTTGAAGAAGGACATGTTGGCGATGTCTGTTGGGTTTATGGGAAAATTCTATGAAGTATCACTGTCGTAGGGTCAGTATACGTTGAACGAAGGATCGTTGCGGCGCAAATCCAGGCGCGAAGATGATCTTGGCTGATTGGCGAGGGGAAAGAGGAGAATGAGGGGCAAAGCAAGAGAGGACAAGACTCTGGTTGGTGAGTGGGACGAGAAGTAGAAGAAGGAACAGCCGTGAGACAGGTTCACAAACTTGTGGGTGAAAGGGAAACAGGCAGGCTTGAAGGTCCAGTGTTCAAACAGCCAAGCAGAGGGGCGACTCGATGGATATTCCACCTAGCTGAGGGTGGTGAGCTGTCTCTTGAAGCGCGGGGCAACGACAACAAGGTCAAGGTTTGGGACATGGCAGCCCAACTTTCATCTCCATAACGTGGATAACCCGAGGCTACAAGCACACCGTAGAGGAAAGAAATAGCAACGTACAGTACGAGATGTAAAAATGTTGGTATGATCGGTTTGGTCAAGCACCATGATGCTGCGATGCGCGACTCGAGGGGAAAGGAGACGTGTCGACGGCGGTGCGACTCGTGCAAAGGAGCGGAGCAGAGCTTGTCAGGGCGGCAACAAACACTCAACGCTCAGGTTGGAAATATTAAAACAAAGAAGCAAGAAGGCTGTGGACTAACGACCGAAAGCGCAACTGGGTGCGCCGCGGTGAAGAGGTGGATGCGGTTGCTTGGAATAGCTTGATGGCAGCGCACTCAAAAGGCGACAAGAGACGGAGATGGATGAAGTCAGGCCAACTCCAACCCAGAAGCCAAATCAGGGAGCTGTGGGCCAATCGATGGCCAATGGAGCCGACACAGGTGACGCTTTGACACTCTCCCCTCCCGCCCTCCGGCCTTGGTGTTGACTGACGACGGGACTCCCAACGGAAGGCAGCGAGTGATTGCCACGATTGGGCGGCAACCAGGGGCCCAGTGCCTGCCGGGCCATGGGATCCTCAACCGCCATATCCATTTCTTGCAAGTTGTTTACTTGACCCGATAGGCCAATCGGCAATAACAATGTTCGATAGAACGATACAACAATAAACATCAACTTCAAGGGACGGGACGACAACCTCATGGTCGACTTCTGGCGCCAAGCCGACAACAGCATTTCAATCTCCAGATTTCGATTTTGGCAAGCAGGACAGTAGCTCAGGGCATTCATCCTTCTGCCCTGACATCCATGACTAAACGTTGGAGCTCGTAAGGTGAAAGCTAATTTGGACAGCTGTTCAGACGGTGCTTCTTTGCGAATTTGCCATTTCGACGCAGGTGAAGCACACCGGACATGGACGGAGGCATGCTTAGCTTGATGTTGTTTCCCGACAGGTGACCGCTTGCAGTCGAGTGGTATCATGGGCCTGCAGTGGTGTTTCCTTGCTGTTTCTTCAGGAGGCATGTTTATCGTGGCCATTACATGGCAAAGAACTCGGAGGAGCAATAAGAAGACGCCGGCAGCAGATCATATCATCAAGACTACCTGTATGAGCTAGTCAGTCATACCTCAACATGGCAACATGTGAAGTGTGGACGTGGGCAGTGCCCCTGGAAGTTGACGACCTCTCAAGGGGCTTTTGTCCCTCACTAACAAGGCCACGCGAGATCCGCCGTGGCCCGCATTAATAGGGTACCTGCGGATACAGGTGACGACGAAGCTGTGGGGCACCCTAATGTTCCCGAACATTGAGGTGCTCAGGGGAATGCGCCGCATGCGACCATCAGGAACGGGAAGGGGAATGATGGAGATGTCGTATCCAACTGAAGAGGTCCAAACATGAACAACACTTGATATCCCGGGACATCTTTGGTTTGTGCTTCAAGCCTTCCGAGATCGTTGTCGCAAAAAGGACCAATATCCTAGTCTCTAAGTATCAGAAAAGGTATCCAGGGGTATTGTAGTCTAGAAAAGTGCCAGATCTCACTCCCTCATTCATCACAGGTCAACCAGCGGTCCGGGTACCCCTTTGCATACGCGGCCCGGACGTGGCACCCCTCTACCAATAACCTGGCACACCTCCGCATATTATCCATACAATACCAGGCAATACGAAGCTGCAGTGGGCTGGCTGTCCTGCCCGGCAAGACTGCGCCCGAGCCTTCGAACCCTGACAGCTAACGGGCAACACTTGGCTCCTCAACTTCTTCCTCCTTCAACTTCACTTCTTTTCCAGGATCCAAGCCTGGCCATCTTCTTTCCTGGTTGATTTGTCCTTTTCAACCACCGAGGCCATACGCCACCTACAGTTCCATCTCGGACATCTCTCCGAGATCCCGAAGTTCCAGTCTTCGTTGTCGTGCAGCAGCAATCGACGAGGGATCCGGGTCGCTTCCTTCCATTGTCCATTTGTCCCACTGGACCCGTGAACACGACGGAACACCATCAACACAACAAACTTAACTTTTATTTAGGTTCGGTTTGGTCCATATTCTTCCAAAATGGCGGCGGGCAGCGCACGCTACGTGCGCTACATCCTCTTTGCCTTTTTTGTATGTCTGATCATCTCTGATGCCCTTCTTTGCTCTGCGTTTGACGGTGCCTGTCCGCTTCCCCGGTGCCCCACTGACCATGACGTTAGGTCATTGCCGTTCTCTACTTCATCTCTACTCCGACATCCGTCGTGACCCCCTTAAAAGATAACTTCGGCAAATTCCAACAATCCACCGGAAACTCGAAGCCTTCCACCGGAAGCACTACAGGAAGCACTGCCGGAAGCACCACCGGAGGCACCACCGACGCCGCCCACGATGAGAAGACGCCCGTCAAGAGCAATGGCGCCGACTACGATCCTGCCCAGTACCCGTTGGCCATGACTCCGAACGACCCGGGCTGGAACGAGTTGTCTGGCGTCAAGGGTGGCCCTCGCATGAACGCGACCTTTGTTACCTTGGCTCGCAACGCCGATGTTTGGGAAATTGCAAAGTCGATCCGTTCGGTCGAGGACCGCTTCAACCGCCGTTACAATTACGACTGGGTCTTCCTTAACGATAAGCCATTCGACGACACCTTCAAGAAGGTTACCTCCTCCCTTGTCTCCGGCAAGACGTACTATGGCGAGATCCCGACCGAGCACTGGTCGTTCCCGCCGCACATCGACCAGGAGAAGGCCAAGAAGGTTCGCGAGGACATGAGACAGCGCAAGATCATCTACGGTGACAGCGTCAGCTACCGCCACATGTGCCGTTTCGAGTCCGGCTTCTTCTTCCGCCAGCCCCTCATGATGAACTACGACTACTACTGGCGCGTCGAGCCGAGCGTCGAGTTCCACTGCGACATCCACTACGATCCTTTCCGCTTCATGCACGAGAACAAGAAGAAATACAGCTTCGTGCTCAGCCTTTACGAGTATTTCGAGACTATCCCGACCCTCTGGGACAGCGTTACCAAGTTCATCAAGAACCACCCCGAGCACATTGCCGAGGGCAACTCCATGGCTTTCCTCAGTGACGATGGCGGCAAGACCTACAACAAGTGTCACTTTGTAAGTATCCTCCTCGACGGTCTACAGCATGCAGCACGCTTAGTCTAACAATTTCTGCAGTGGTCCAACTTCGAGATTGGCAGCCTCAACTGGCTCCGCTCCAAGGCCTACACCGACTACTTTGAGTCTCTGGATCAGGACGGTGGTTTCTTCTACGAGCGTTGGGGCGATGCTCCGGTCCACTCCATTGCCGCCGGCTTGATGTTGAAGAAGGAGGAGATTCACTTCTTCAACGACATTGCCTACTACCACGTTCCGTTCACCCACTGCCCCACCGGAGAGCAGTTCCGTCTCGACCGCAAGTGCCACTGCAACCCCAAGGATAACTTTGATTGGAAGGGATATTCTTGTAAGTCTTCCCAGTAGTTGCACGCTTTCACTGGACCGTTTACTGACCATAACCACCTTTCAGGCACTTCGAGATACTACGAGCTCAATGGTCTGCCGAAGCCGGAGGGCTGGCAAGATCAGTCGGATTAGAATGAGGCGAGGAAGAGGCAGTTATGAGGGAGGTGTGGGGATTAAGGCTTTATGATGGGGAAACAGGTCCGCAAACAAAAACAAAAGCGGACATCCACTAGAATGTATTATCGTTATAATGACCTTTTCGTTCTTATGGTGATATAACCCAATAGCCTAGAAACATGGGACGTATAAATGGGAAAGGTTAGGCAAAAACGAAGTTGTGTTTTCTCAATGTTCTGATGGGTATGGGTCGAGAGGAGCGTCAAGGGAAGTATGTAACAATCCCTTAGGAGTATGTCGCTACCACTGTGGGGAGTTGCTAGGCATTAAAAACGAACTTGTCAGCAAATCATTTGGTCAGGTCTCTGTCCTTCCCTGAAGATGTCACTCGATCCGTTGTCTCGTCTTCGGTACTGTAGAATCTCGAAGTCGGCCATAAATTCGACACTCGCACCACGAGAGATATGAACAGCGATATCCTGTTGTACACTTTTTATTTTCCTTATAGTACACGGACACTTGATAGTCTAGAATGCGGAATAATGAACTGGGAGCATGAAGCTTAACCACTTTCCCACGACACTCATCTCACATCATTCATCATCCTACTGCTCTGTGACCAGGGGGTATCATCTCAATTTTGCTCTCTTTGTGGCTAGCTAGCTGCTTAACCAACAGAGGCCTTCTTGGGCTTCTTGGTACCGTATTTACTGCGACTAGACATACGAGAACCAACACCGGCCTATTTTTATCAAAATATTAGTATAACTTGCTCCCACTATCTGCGTGCGCCCTTAATTAACCCACAGAAGCCAGAAGCCGAACTGAACTTACCAAATCCAAAGCACCTCTAACAAGATGATACCTCACACCAGGACAATCCTGGGCTCTGCCTCCGCGGACAAGCACAACACTGTGCTGCGAAATGTTGTGGCCCTCGCCGGGGATGTAGGCCGTGATGACTTTTCCCGTGGACAGGCGGACACGCGCCGTCTTGCGCTCGCCCGAGTTGGGCTTCTTGGGACGCGTGATGCCGACTTTGACGCACACGCCCTTGAGCGCGGGCGACTTGATGGACGATAGGGCCGGGGAGACGGCGTGGCGGGCGCGTTGGGGTTTGCGGCAGCCCTGTTTTTGTGGGAAGAGAAGAGAAGAAGATTTGGTTAGCGATTGTTGGAGCTATTGGAACGCAAAAGGATGATGACGGTGGGTGGTGGTAGTGGTCATGGTGGATATGTATGCCGGTTGGGGATGGCTTCAACTTAACTTACCCTCATGACCTGGTTAAGAGTGGCATTCTGCGCCGGAGTGCTGGAGAACAACCGAGCAGCAGCAGCGATAGGAAGTTGAGGGACAATGGAAGAGGACGATGGCATCAGCGGCCGCCGTAGCAGCAGCGACGGCTGCGCAGCCTGCGAAAACAAGTTCCGCAAGAAGGTCGTCGCCATCTTGTGATCTTGTGGATCTGATGGATGAACAACGAACGAACCCGGCTCCGAAATCGTTAAGTTCGGTCGGTCGGTCGCGGCGCGCAACACGCGGTACGGGATAGCGGTCCCCTTCCAGGCCCGGCAGGCGCACGGCAGGCCCGGCGGCGGCGGGCGGTACCAGTGGGAACTTTTTTGAGTCACGGGTTTGTGCACGTGGAGATAAGAAGAGCCAAGAAGGTACGTACCCCTACTGTGTACTTGGGGGAATGGCATTATGTAAGCTCGCGTGCGGCAATCATCGGTTAGCCGTGACAGTCACATGGCTGTTTTCCATTCTCCGTTTCGTTGCATCGAACTCGTTCATTGGAACCTCGCCGTTTCATTTGTCTGGCTCTTTTTTTTCTTCTCGTCCTCGATCCACGATCCACGATCCAGCAACAATGGTCACCGCCCGGCGCCCACCATCAAGGTCCATCATCGAGAGACAAATGCCCCTCCCCCCCGTTTTCTCCCCATTTGCTCTCCCCCGAATCCATCCCTGTCGTGGCCACCGTTTACCCCGGCCAAGGAAATCTTTGTGTGGGGAAAATGACTGCTAGACACGGAGCTTTGTGAATGGTGGAGAGCTTACCTCGGCAGAGGGGGAGACACTTGTCCCAGCTGTCCACAGCATATCGGCCGTGTGCCGGCCAATGCCATTGACCATTGTTACCCGCTGGCTTGGCTTTTTGAATTTCTGAAGAGAGAGGGAGAGAGAGAGAGCTCTTGTCCCGCTTGCCCGTAGGTATCCTGCTATCAAGGTGTACACATCTCCTTTTGGGTACCGCGTGGATTCTGCGGTAATGATCTGTTCTGTACGAAGATGCATAGTGACAGATGTGCGTATTACTATGCAAATATCAAGAGGAAATGGGACTCTCTTCACCTTGTCTTGGACCCTGGCTGTTATTGTTGTCTTCCATCCAATGCTCCGTGGATCATCCTGACTCGGGGTTGCGGAGCTACGTAGGTACATCTTTCATCTAGTCGTTAGTGTCAGCTGTACCGTGTGCCACGACTTATATAAGAACCCGAAGCTTGTTGCATCACACCCCCAATTCCCCTCCCCCCAAGCAATTGATACCCTTTCCGCCTTTTTTCTTCCCTTTTTTCTGTCTTCTTCGTCCTTCTTAGACAGCAACTCGCGCCAGGTTTTCGGTCGGTTCTATAATCACAACATACACATACATCAGACAAAATGAAGTCGTTCACTAGGGTTCTCCGTCCCGCCGTCCGCAGGGCTCAGGCTGTTTCCGCTCCCAGACTTTCCAGGACTCCTGTCGTCCAATGGTGAGTTTTGACGTTTCATCTCATGTCTGGTCTGATCTCCAAAAGAGATGGGCTTAAAGAGGGAGGGAGCAGAGAAACACAGGAAGACAGGGCGCCAGATGCTGATACTTGGTTTCCCGACATAGCGCTCGCACTCTTTCAACCACCTCCCCTCGCCGGGACATTACCGACCTGCCGCCAACCCCCATCACCCACTTCTCCGAGGTTGAGACCGCCATGGCCGAGACTGTCCAGAAGTTCGCCAACGATGTCATTCTCTCCAAGGTCCGCGACATGGATGAGGCCGAGGCCATGGACCCCTCCATTGTCGAGCAGCTTTTCGAGCAGGGTATCATGGGTGTTGAGATTCCTGAGGAGTATGGCGGTGCCGGCATGAACTTCACCGCCGCCATTGTTGGTATTGAGGAGCTCGCCCGCGTCGACCCCTCGGTATCCGTCATGGTCGATGTCCACAACACCCTCGTCAACACCGCCGTCATCCGCTGGGGCAGCGAGGCGCTCAAGAAGAAGTACCTCCCCAAGCTGGCCACCAACACCGTCGGCTCCTTCTGCTTGTCCGAGCCCGTTTCCGGCTCTGATGCCTTCGCCCTCGCCACCCGCGCTGTCGAGACCGAGCACGGCTACAAGATCAACGGCAGCAAGATGTGGATCACCAACAGCATGGAGGCCGACTTCTTCATCGTTTTCGCTAACATCGACCCCAGCAAGGGCTACCGCGGCATCACCGCCTTCATCGTCGAGAAGGGCATGAAGGGCTTCAGCATCGCCAAGAAGGAGAAGAAGCTCGGCATCAAGGCCTCCAGCACCTGCGTCCTCAACTTCGACGACGTCGAGGTCCCCAAGGAGAACCTCCTCGGCAAGGTCGGCGAGGGCTACAAGTACGCCATCGGCATCCTCAACGAGGGCCGCATCGGCATCGGCGCCCAGATGACCGGTCTCGCGCTCGGCGCGTGGGAGAACGCGGTCAAGTACGTGTGGAACGACCGCAAGCAGTTCGGCCAGCTCGTCGGCGAGTTCCAGGGCATGCAGCACCAGATCGCCCAGTCGTACACCGAGATCGCCGCCGCGCGCGCCCTCGTCTACAACGCCGCCCGCAAGAAGGAGGCCGGCGAGGATTTCGTCATGGACGCCGCCATGGCCAAGCTATACGCTTCCCAGGTCGCCGGCCGCGTCTCCGGCCTCGCTGTCGAGTGGATGGGCGGCATGGGCTTCGTCCGTGAGGGCCTTGCCGAGAAGTTCTTCCGTGATAGCAAGATTGGTGCCATTTACGAGGGTACCAGCAACATCCAGCTCAACACCATTGCCAAGACTCTTCAGAAGCAGTACACTGCTTAAGATGCCCGGGCGGTTTGACAGTCGATGTGTGTTTTGGTAGTAGTTATTATATAAGGAAGGATGTGCATGTACATATTGGTTAGGATATCATGGAGTTAAGGGGATGCCGAGTTTCAAAAAGGGCAGGAAGCACCTTGTGTCATGATCTAGAAATGTTCAGCAAGCTATTTTTTTTGGTTACTCATTCCCGCTGGTTTCTTCTTATCTGACTCTCTTCAGTTCTTCTTTAATGTACATGATGAAAGTTGCCGATATCGGCTTGGGGGGAGCCGTGAAGAACCGAATGATCATGTTGGTAGCCCACATCCATCATGCTGCCATCAGCCGTCAACACGCAACAAGCACTTCCTTGGTGCGGGTATGCTGCCACTCGTCCTGCATGTGTGTGCCTACGGACGCTGGCATGCTCTTGACGCACGTAACCAGTCTCCAGAATGTATTGATTCGAGGATAACCCAGAAAGAACCCGGCGGGATGGAAGTGAAGGTTTGAAGAGTTGACGAGTTTCTTTATGTTTGAACTTGTCATCATCTAGTAGTACGAGTTCGGCGTCGACTATCTTCAGCATAACCCTAACCCTTATTTCTTTTCACACGAACCCAAGACATGGATGGACACGCCGTGACCGCCTTTCCTGTCCGAATGGGGATTGCCTCCTCCGTCGCAAGTCGCCGTTGACGTTGCCTGAATGATTGCACATTAGAACTCTTTGGGCCCAGTCGGTTAGCATGTGAGTTCGATTCAATCAAAGAAAGAAAGAAGTCAACTACGTGATCAAAGTCCCCAAAGTGTGATTCGGCTGCCCAATCACAGCCCTCCACTCGGTCTCGGGCTCCCAATCCCATGTCCCAAGTGTGGAAGTCCTACCAGTGCCCTGCCTGCACCACCTGTTCAACAGTCCTACGGTATCAGCAGAGTGGACGGTGTATTTTTGTGTAGAGGAGTGTGCCCATCTCCTCGTTCGGGTCGTCTTTGCCCGTGGCTGCCCAACAGAGTGTGTGTGAGCTGTGTGAGACAAACAAAAGGGTTCCATTCCGAGAGGGTCACGCTGTTGCTGTTGAAAAATGATGCCAAGACGAGGCTATCGTAGATTTTGTTAGTTTCCAAGAACCACCCCTGGGCATGCCGCGCGTGAATTTGAAGAACAAACTGTGACTGTTGGACTAAGTAGTTCGGTACCCTAACCGCTAACGACTTTGGGATACCTCCAGGCATTTTTCATTGTTCTTGTGATGGCGGGAATAATGTTGTAAAAGGGAGGAACACACAAAGATAGCAGGCGAGGTACCTGACTGGGAACAAGTCAACAAAGTGTTGGATCAAAACCACGCGATCCCCGCCTCTTCAAAGGGGACTGACCACACTAACAAGGACCTCTGCTCTTTCCCCCCCAATCCCGCCATCCCGCCGCCCGCCTTTGCCCGAACAGGTGCCTGTGCGTACATCGACCGCCCAGAGTGTGTGCAGTGCCAGGCATCGTCGTCTCCCGTCTGGCTGGCTGTTTGGCTCCTCGAATCACGACAAGGGCCGCCGCCGCCAAACCTATGCGAAACACAAAACCCCGCCATCGTTAGCATCGTCCTCTCTCTACCTGCTATCTGCTGCCACCTCTATTCCGACATAGGTACGGTAACTTTTCTCCTGTAGCAGCTTTTCGTCTGGTCCATATCAACAGGTTGTGACGACGACATCTTTTGATTCTCGAGCCTTTGCACCTTGAAGCTTCAGTCGGAAAGGCACTGACGAGTAATGCTAACTGCTGCCCGCCGCCACTACCTCTACCTAGGTCCAGCAGTGCAGCACTCCATTCAGTGTCTACCTTATAAAGTGTAGTGTGCCTACCCTCGACCTCCATCCATCCCTCCTTGGACCTCCTTATCCGTCCTCGCTGCCTTGCCTTGGCTCGCCTCGCCTTCCACTTAGGAAGTGCTCAACCGTCCATCAACAACCACCACGACGCATCCGTTGCATCGTCATACTGGCATGCCAGCAGCATTTTAGTCTTCCGGATCCCATCCCGTCGTCCTCCCTCTCTCTCTCTCTCCCCCCGCTCTCCCGCTGCCGACACCGACACCGACACCGTCACCGTCAGACATTAGTATTGCCAGGAGCATCTTTACCTTTAAGTAATCCATCTCCCAGCGTCGCCATCGGTCCGCCGGGCCCAACACCGCCACCATGAACGACGAAGACAAGGTCCACGACATTTCCAAGAAGATCGAGCGCGAAAAGGCTCTGATCAATGCTGCGCAGGCCATGCGCCAGCAGACAAACAATGAGCAGGTCCGCTCCAAGCTCGACACCCAGATGCGCGAAGGGAGGAGGAATCTCGAGTTCTTCGAGGAGAAGCTGCGCGAACTGCAGATGAGGAGACTCGGCCATGGCGTCGACAACATGTCGCTCGGTGCCAGCCCAATGTCCGGCTCCCACCGACAGTCCGTCGACGACTTCGAGGGCCACGGCGCCCCCTCTCCTCCTACCAAGGATGGCGGACGCGGCCACAGCTCCCACCAGAGTCAGGGCAGCGGTCCTCTGATGCCCGCCTCTGGCCCTTACCCCGGTGGTCCTCCTGATTCTACTGTTCCGCGGGCGCGTCCTAATTATACGAGGCTCGGTAAGTTGGACATGTCCCTTGGACCAATAGAGGTTTCTTTTAACTGACGACGACGGTACTACAGATCTAATCAAGTTCGATACCCCACATCTTGGACCTCGCATCCAGCTGATGCTGTCCCAAATTCAGTTCAAGCTTAACGTGGAAGAACAATACCTAAAGGGCATTGAGAAGATGGTACAGCTCTACCAGATGGAAGGTGATAAGAAGAGCAAGCTTGACGCTGCCGCCAAGCGTGTCGAAAGTAAACAAAAGATTGTCCTCTTGAAGCAGGCACTCAAGAGATATGAAGAGTTGCACATCGACATCGATGTTGATGGTCCAGATGGTACGATCCCTTCCCGCCCTCATGCTGCTTGCGCAAGTACGCTTTTTGCTAACTTTGGATAATTATAGACGACAGCATCAACCTGCCAGCCCTTAGGAAACCCCTGAGCGGTACTCTTTCTATTCGTATTTTGGCTGTAAAGGATGTCGACCATGCGCCCCTTGGTCGTTTCGCGCGCTCCCCCGAAACATTCATCGCTGTTAAGGCCGAAGATATAGTTGTTGCACGCACACGACCCTCGCGAAACGACAGGTGGGAAGCCGAATTCCATACTTTCCCGGTCGACCAGGCGAACGAAATCGAGTTTACGGTTTATGATAAGCCCAGCGAGCATCCCGTGCCTATCGCCATGCTCTGGGTCCGAATCTCGGACATCGTTGAGGAACTTCGCCGGAAGAAGATCGAGGCCGAAATGACGTCCGCAGGTTGGGTTTCGGCGGACCGCGTTGGCTCCAGAGCTCCTCCGCCGCAATTCCCAATGGGCACCCAGAGTCCTCAGTTTGCGGCACCGCCAACATCCCCTGGATCGCAGGAGCAAAACACCATGATCCCACCCCAGGCGCCTCCGCCATCCCAAGTTGTTTCACAGCCAGTAGATGGTTGGTTCAACCTGGAGCCTTATGGCCAGGTCCACCTCAGTTTCAACTTCATCAAGGGGGCTCGTCCTCAGGGCATGGACAGGCTGGGTCGCAAGGGTGCCGTCCGCCAGCGCAAGGAGGAAGTCCACGAAATGTACGGACACAAGTTTGTCCAGAAGCAGTTCTACAACATCATGCGCTGTGCGCTGTGCGGCGATTTCCTCAAGTATTCCGCTGGTATGCAGTGCGAGGACTGCAAGTACACTTGCCATACCAAGTGCTACACCAGCGTTGTTACCAAGTGTATCAGCAAGAGTAATGCCGAGACTGATCCTGACGAGGAAAAGATCAATCACCGCATCCCTCATCGCTTCATTCCTTTCTCCAACCTTACCGCCAACTGGTGCTGCCACTGCGGTTACATGCTACCAATTGGATCCAAGAAGAACTCAAGGAAATGCTCAGGTATGTTTAGTTTTCCACTGTTTTGGAGGCCGATATGCTGACGATTATGACAGAATGTGCTCTTACAGCCCACGCGCAATGCGTGCATCTTGTTCCTGACTTCTGTGGCATGTCTATGGCTGTCGCCAACCAGATCTTGGAGGGTATGCGAACGCAGAAGAAGACTCATAAGGACAAGGCGTCCTCGATGAGTGAGCGTACCCTTAGGCCGGGAAGCAAAACCTCCATCTCGTCCGGGTCGATTGCTCAGACATCGACGTATAGTGGTTCGACTGCTTATACGTCTATCGCTTCGCCTGAAGCAACCGAGGCTGCCAAGCTCATGTACAGCCAAACAACACCCAGGCCAGCCGGCCCCGACAGGACCTCTACCAGCTCGACAACCGCCTCGGCGGCTGCGGCTGCGGCTATGGCACCAAAGCATAGCTCTCAGCATTCGCACGCCGGTTCGATACCCGACTTTGGTGGAAACTACGGTGGTTCTCCCGGCTATGGGCGTCCGGAATCTCGGGACGACGAGTACTCCGCCCAGCAGCAGCAAGGACATGGCTCGCCGCAGCAACGGAAGTATAACCCGGCGGACTATGCTAATATCGACGCCTACTCGAGCCCACCTCAGGCTCGTCCCCAACAGCAGCAGCAGCAGCAATCACCCCAGCAGGTCTCACCAATGTATCAGCAGAATCCTCAGACGCCTATTGCCAAGCCTCAGCCTGTGGCGCCATCCTATGATAACCAGGTGGTACCGTCCGCCTCCGGAGTGCCAGTTCCGACTAAGAAGCCGCTGCCATCGGCCACTGACCCCGGCACGGGTATGAGAATCGGTCTTGACCATTTCAACTTCCTCGCTGTGCTTGGTAAGGGCAACTTCGGCAAGGTCATGCTTGCTGAGACCAAGAAGAGCCGGAAGTTGTATGCCATTAAGGTGTTGAAGAAGGAGTTCATCATCGAGAACGACGAAGTGGAAAGCATCAGGTCGGAGAAGCGCGTCTTCTTGATTGCCAACCGCGAACGTCACCCCTTCCTCACGAACCTCCATGCCTGCTTCCAGACGGAGACCAGAGTCTACTTCGTCATGGAGTACATTAGCGGTGGTGATTTGATGTTGCACATTCAGCGTGGAATGTTCGGCACAAAGCGTGCTCAGTAAGTTGCCCCTTTGTGTCTTTTGAAAATACAGCAATAACTAACTGGCTTAGGTTCTACGCTGCTGAGGTCTGTTTGGCACTCAAGTACTTCCACGAGAACGGTGTCATTTACCGTGACCTGAAGCTTGATAACATTCTCTTGACTCTTGACGGACACATCAAGATTGCAGACTATGGTCTGTGTAAGGAGGACATGTGGTACGGCTCGACCACTAGCACCTTCTGCGGTACTCCCGAGTTCATGGCCCCCGAGATTCTCTTGGACAAGAAGTACGGCCGCGCTGTGGACTGGTGGGCGTTTGGCGTTCTGATATACCAGATGCTACTCCAGCAGTCCCCCTTCCGCGGTGAAGACGAGGACGAAATCTACGACGCCATTCTGGCCGACGAGCCGCTTTACCCGATCCACATGCCTAGAGACAGCGTGTCGATCCTGCAGAAGCTGCTCACGCGCGAGCCTGACCAGCGTCTGGGCAGCGGCCCGACCGACGCTCAGGAGATCATGTCGCAACCCTTTTTCAGGAACATCAACTGGGATGACATCTACCACAAGCGTGTGCAGCCGCCCTTCCTGCCGCAGATTAAGAGCGCGACGGATACGAGCAACTTCGATAGCGAATTTACTAGTGTCACTCCGGTGCTCACGCCCGTTCAGTCAGGTATGTTTTATCACATCACAATCCTAATACCAGCGTTCTCATGACTAACCTGACCCGTTTTTTACAGTCCTCTCTCAAGCCATGCAGGAAGAGTTCAGGGGTTTCTCCTACACGGCCGACTTTGACTAAATAAGCGTTTTTTTTTTTTGTTCAAGTCAATTGGCGGTGTGCTAGTATTGTTGGAGGATTAATACGCACCAAACTTGGGTGCGCGGCGAGAAACGTAGTGTGACGATGATGGTATAAAAAAGGAGAAGAATTGGAACCACAAGGCGGGACCAAGGTTGTGGTGTTGGGTTGAACGTTGGGAAGAAGATCTAATAGTTATTGAACACTAGTTATTATCCTATAGAAAGAGAAAGAAGAACAAGCGAAATGATGAAAGCCTTTCGGTTCGGGGTTTGGAAGTTGTTGAAGAATTGAGAGTTGTGGCGGCGCACTCGCACGAAAGAGAAGGTTGCTTTTTTTTCGCTTTAAACACTGGTCCGGTCTTTACTTACATCTCGAAGTCAGCGTTGTTTGAGATACCATTCTGGAAGAGTTCAGTTTGCTATTAAGGGGTCGGTCGGGTGCCTGGTGCGAAGTCAGAAGATGACGATTATTGTACACTAGATGAGTAGTAGATTGTGTCCTTTTTAGTCTAATTCCTCCTTCCCCAGTGCTTTTTGTCCGAAGTCTCTTTCTTCTAAAGATACCAATTATATACGAAAGATGAGTGAGAGTTGTTTATGTATATATACAAGAAAGAAATATGTCTGTCTATATACATGATCATCATCATCGTTCATCAACAACGTACAGATAAAGAAGAGAAAGAAAATAATTTTCATCCGCCACAACATCATACAACAACAACAACAACAACAACATACAACCACAATCAGCAACCAACCAACCAAGCAAACCAGCGTTCTAGTAAAAAGCCGCCCGCTCCCTTGCTCCCTTCAAAATGCAGCCAATTTTATCTAGCAAAACATGAAAACCCGCCCGCCAAAAAGCTCTAGAATACTTGATCGAAAAAATCACATCAGATCAAATCAAATCAAGCCTTCCCGCTACCTACACCACTCCTCAAAACGAAAAACGCAACGCTAGCAACCACCGCCGCACCCGTCGCCGCGCTCTCCAGCGCCAGCAGCGACACGTCCCGCATCTTGACGTCTATCCTCCTGTCGCTGTAGAGGTCCACGACGGCGGCCTTGATCTGTTGAGGATCAGAGAGCGTTTGTTGCCATTTCTGGGCGGTTTGCTTCCATGTTAGTGGTGCTGGTTGGGGCTCTTCTTGTGTCTCTGGTATTTGTTGTTGGTGTTGTGCTGCTTCTTCAGCAGCCTCCTCGGCGGCAGCGGCTATGAACTCGGCTGCTAGATCCATTTCTCCTTCTTCTGTTTCAGCAGCAGTTCCTGAGGAGGTGGTAGAAGTGGAGGAGGAACCAGAAGAAGAAGAAGTAGAAGCCAACGCCTGAATCTCCCTTTCCTGCTCCATCAACCTCGTCAAATGCGCCATCTCCCTCAACCCACTCGCCTCCAGCGCCTGCCGCACCTGTCCCAACTCATGTCTGACCTCGTCAATCACCCCCTTTTCGTTTTCGGCGATCCCCTTCATCAACCTCTTCCTTCGCCACGGCTCGGCAACGAACTGCAATACCAGAAACAACAGCACGTTCACCCCCATCAGTCCCCACGTGCCCCACGTCGACTGCCGCCGGATTCTATCGCTCCAGATTTGTTCCTCGTGGTACCGTTTTAAGATGCCGGCGTTCAAGTCGGCGGAGAGTCGCGACTCTTCGGTTTCAGCCTCGGTTAACTCCTGCGCCGCTTGCGCCACTTGCGCTTCTAATTCGTGATCCAATCTGTACAGACTGGTGAACCGCTCGAGATCAAGCGGGTTCCATGTGTCCTTGCGCGCGAGCAGGGTGGTCACCTCGCGCTGCGTCGAGGCGCGGTGCATGGTGAGACTCTTGTAATTGTGTCGGGCGTCGCGCAAGCGGGATTGGGCTTGTCCGTGGGCGACTTCCAGCTCGGCGTTTTGCCGCTTGATTTGCTCAATGGCGCTGTAGCCGGTCAGGTCGTTGAGGGTTTGGGTGGCGGTCAGGAGACGGGTCTGGAAGTTGTCCATTATGGTGGAGAAGCGGGCGGCGAGGCGGGCGCGGTGGGCTTCGGTGCGCGAGGGGAGTTCGGGTTGGGTTGGGTCATTGTTGCCGTTTTCGGTGGTGGTTTCTGAAGCCGATTCGGACGGGTTGGCGGCGCTGTCGCTAGCGGAGGTGGTGGGCTCGGACTCGGGAGACTTGGACGTCTCGGACTCGGAAGCAGCTGTTGGTCTTTCTGTTTCGGGCTTGGTGGCATCGGCGGTGGTGTCTTCTTTTGCCGACTCTGAAGGCGACGCCTCGGCTTGGGCCTGGGGAGGTGGTGGCATGAAGAAGACATTGGAGGACTCGGTCTCCTTGTTGTCCTTATTCTCGGTGGTGTCTTTGGGAGGTTGGGTCGAGAAGAAAAGTCGGCCGTCGCGAATGGAGAGGCGGAGGGTGCCCTGGCGCATGCATATCGAGGGGTTTATCGGTCTTCGTGGTACGGGAGCGAATTGGGAGAGAGGACGACCGGATGATAATGCGCCGGTGCCCCTCCACGAGGAAGGGCGCACAGCTAGCCGGATAGCTGTGGTGGAAGACATTATGATTTGTATGAGAGAGTTAAAGAGAGAGTGGGTGACCGAACCCAGACCAGACGGCGGGGAAGAGGAGAGATCTGGGTCAGTTGCAACGAGCGAGTGTTGCTGTCGGAGCTGTTGTCGAAGGTGGACGTCGTCGGCGGTTGGATGCGGTCGAGTGGTGCCAGCAATCGCGCGACTTGGGACTTGGGACTTGGGGGAATTGCCGGCAACTTGAGGAGGAACCGGCAGCCGGAGGAGGGGAGCTGTCGAGCCAATTCCAACTGGTCAATCCCACTTTCTTCCAATTCCATCCCAAGTCCACCCAATCGGCCCCACCAAGCCGGCTATTCTGCCGTCCGATATCCCCTTAAGCCCCCTCACCGCCTTGCACGTTGGAGTTGAGAATAACGTCATCAGACAACCCTAACCCTTTCTTCCTTTTAGCACTCAGGGACTATCCCCGTTTGGGTATCACGACCAAAACAAAGCCCCTGAATCCCTCGTCGTTGACGATGACCAAGGGGCCCAAGTCGACGTGATACACCCCTCGTCCGGAAGGGGTCCGGCATCACCAGTATGCGGACACTTTACTCCAAGGAGACTCGCAGTGACGTTTCCCGTCCGATGTTTGACGCACTTGTCTAAATTCTCCAAGGTTCCGTCACCCGGTAGTTCGGGAGTTGTCGCCCGTCCCTCGGCCTTGTCTCCTCGGTGGTCGAAACCTTCATCATGGGTTTCCTCTTCCTTTCAAGATTTTTGCGTTAGAGACCCAGAGCTCATGGATTTTCTCTTGGCTTGGGAAAAAAAAATCCTATTTGGCAGTTTCCATCCGGTGATTCCGGTCTTCCGTTCCGTCCCTTTGCGGGCAACATTAACTCTCAATCTATCCTTTTATAATTGCTCATTACTTTACATAGGGAATGCAGGTCAATCATTTCTTCATGCTGCATGCCGCGCTGGCTGCAGCTCAGCTTTCAGGACCTGGGGATGATGGCACACCAAGCAGAGACAATGTCTTGACTGCAAAAGCGGAAGGAGGAGGTCCTGCAGCGGTCACGCCCTCGAGTCTGCATACCGACTACAGTTCGTTGAACACCATCTCAAACCCAGATACAACCGCCAAGGTCGATCCGAACACAGCGGTAGAAACACCAATACCAAATAACCCTCCCGATTCAGAAGCCGGCCTTCCCGTGGGATCTACAGGGGGGGGATCACCACAGTTTCTGGAGTCAAATCAACCAGCTCCAGTTCCAGTTCCAGTTCTAGAACCAGTTCAGTCAGAGATAGCACCTCCCGAAGTTTTTGCCCAAATTCCAGAGCTGGCCGCGTCACCTGCAACCGAGACGGCTGGAATTGTCACATCTGATTCACCAGGCAGCACTATCGCTACTACACCACTCGTTACTCCAAATCAGCCTACGCCTTTCGCTTCCGTTCCTGTCGAAAGCCTGACGCAAACACCTACAGTAACTCCATCTCCAGCTGAAGCCACCAAAGCAGCCATTCTCGCCGTGCCCGACTCCTCATCCCAGGTCTCAGTCTCAGACATACAATCGCCATCTGCGTCAATATCCGACCCCAACCCCAGCTCTCTTTCAAGCGCCTCACCATCCGCCACGGCAGTAACAACCGAAACCGCAATCCCAGCAGCACCATCAACCACTTTTCTCTCGGTCATCACTTCATCCACCACCGATCCTGCTCTTGGGTTTATCGCATTCGCCACGGACTCCTCGGCATCTTCTTCACTCCCCTCCTCACTCACAACAACCCCATCACCAGCCCCCTCCTCCTCATCCCTTTCCTCCACCACCTCCACCTCCACCACCGATCAACCCGCAATGGCCTCCAACACCGCCATTGACGCCGCCTCCTTGCAACCAGCGACTACATCCTACCCTCACTCCTCAAACGAGTACCTCTCCTCCCAAGCCAAAGTCGCCATTGCACTCGTCTCAGTGGTAGGGGTATTAGCCGTCATGGCAGTTATTGGCTACGTGCTTTGGCATATGAGGATGCGGGATGCGCGGTTGGAGCGGAATCGACGAGCAGCATTGGCGCGGGGGGTTGGGGGTGCAGGGAAAGGAGGAAACGGAGTAGCACAGAGGCATAAGCGAAACCTAAGTGTGGAAGAAAAGATGAAGCAGACTTTAGAAAGGGAGCATGACGTCCCGCTGGATATTGGGAAACTTCAGGCGGAGGAGCATGGAAACCCCACGGATGGAAGAGCTGTGAATCGGTTCAGTACCATCAGGGAGAGCAGCGAGGAGAGCGAGGACAGCCAGGGAAGTGGAAATCAGCAGCGTTTCTACAGGAACAATGAGCCTTTGGCTGTCATGGCGGCGCCCATGCCCCTGGGTGAGGACTCGGACGGTATGGCTATGGCTGGTCAGAAAGAGGTTGGTGTTGGATACGGACTCGGGAGGAGTGAAAGTCAAGAAAGCGAGGAGAGTCATTATAGCGAAGGGGGTCAAGATGAATTTGGGAGGAGCGAGACTTTGGAAGGTCAGCGAGGTCGGTATGTGCATGAAAGAAGCGAAAGCCTGCGCAGTCAATGGAGCGCTGTGGAGGGCTACTACGGGATAGAAAGGTTGGAGACGGAGGTACAAGGGCAAGGGGCGGAGAGTGGCTCAGCGGGTGATGCTGGTGCTAGTGCGGGAGCGTTGGTGTCGGAGGAGACGTTGGTGAAAACGGAGTCGAATGCCTCGACGTCGTCGGGCCGGTCAGGGGAAACCATTGGAAAGGCATTTTGAATAGTCCACTTAGACTCGGTAAACCACCCCCCGCCGCCGTCATGGATGTTGCTTTGCGATGTCAGAACTCATTCAACCTTGACGGATTCTTTCCACGTCCTTGATCTTCCATCATACAAACTGGGCCTCTCGCATGCGAAGTGTTTGCAGACGTTTTGGAAGCCGCGTCCCAGTCATTGAGCCGTAGTGGGAAGGCGTGGTCAAGGCGTGATTGTCCAGATTTCGTTTGCATTGTTATCGGCAAACAGCCCCGAGCGGAGCATTGCCGGCATCTCGTGGATTGCTGCAGGAAGACACGTTGAGGACATGGCCAGATGACCTACCATGAAGACGGAATCAAAACCATGACGGAATTGGTGGAAACGCGACTTCGATATTCACATCGTTGTCTTGAGTTACATTGACTTGTACCTGTACCATTTCTCTCGTCAGATGGCAGACACGATCAGGTACCTACCAGTAACGGTTGATGGCATGGTATCCATCTCCCCACGATGGGAAGTGACTACCGAGCATGAGAGTGACGTGAGATACCTCCTTGCTGTAACTCGGTCGCCTTCTCGGAAGGTTGTAGGGACTGAACCTTCCTCTTTTATAAAGGCAGTGCCAACTCCCAAGGAAAGAGTGCCTCGATACACTCACACTGACACCATTCATCACATCCTACTACCACTCGAAACCAAGCCTACTAGTTCCATCTCGTTCACATCATTCTTTCCATCTACACCACGGCCAAGATGGCCTCGCCTGTGGTTACACGTCCAGCTCTGGGCTTCGAAGTTGACCTGGGAAAACTCTACGACTCCCGCACCGATACCTTCCTCCCTCACTCGCTCTTCAAAGAGACACCAGCCAATGCAGTTGACTCTAAGGCAAAGGTCAATTCGACTGCCAAACTCAGCAAGGCAACCACGTTCCGCCAGAAGCTTGCTGATCTTGGTATTGGAACCGAACTCGGAGCCAGCATTCTTGCAGGTCTTTCTCCCATTGACGGCTGTGGCCTGTACTTGACCGACCATCACAAAAGTCCCGGCGATGTTGCCCATTCTTCCTTGCATTATACAATCACGACGGTTGACGAGGAGCTCAATCTCACTGCCAGTGGTGTGAAGGACCTCATCATACCCGACGTTCTCGATAGCGCCAACGCGACCCACGTGGTCACTGGCATCACCTGGGGTGCTCAATTCATCGTCACAGCCCGCACCAAAGCCGACGACCCAACCCAACTCGCTCGTCTCCAGCAATGCCTCGACAAGGAGCTTGAGTGTCTGCTACAGGCTGCCCTCGAAGCCACTCATGTCATCGAGTTTTCTTCAACGGAGCTAGTCCAATACGGCCCGTCGAAGGAAATAGTTCAGTATGACGACGGTAACGGCATCTTTCATGACAGCACTTTGTCAGTTCTGGACAATGGTCTCACAGGTGATTCACGGCCGCTGGCTGCCCCATCTTCGACTGCCTTCATCTATGACCTTCGCAGCCGCCTCCACGCCACCAATGATGCCAAGGGAAAGCCTATCCAGTACACTCTTATGCCCGTGTCGCTGCTATCTATGCTTCGCCTCATCGACATCCAACATCAGCCTGTCATTCACCAACCCAACGTTGATTACCTGACGTACTTCATTCAGTTCCTTGACGACTGGGCAGATGCACAACAAAAGTTCAACAACTACGTTGCCCGATGCAATGAGTGCCCCACGGCTATTCCGCCCGATCACTTGCGTCTCATTGTGAGCAAGCTCCGCCCCGTCAAGACCGATGAGTTTGCGTTCAAAGCAAGCTTTGCAGAAGCTCTCAAAGACGTCCGTTATGGCAAAGCGAACGAAGACAGTCTGCGCGATTTGCTTGTAGGGGTCGAGGGCAGTGAGTTGTCACCTGAAAAGCTCCGCTCCATTGCAATCCACCGTGGAACACTTGATTTCAAGGATCAGATGAGCAGCCTGGGAGCGACGTACATCGGCTACGGCTCGACTTCTCCGACGACGATTCTCTCACGCGGGAACTTCGATGACGCGTTTGTCCTCAACTTCAACAGCAGTCTACGGAATTCCCCCGAGTGGGATGAGACAATTCACCTCTTCGAGGAGCTCTCTTCCTTTCAAGGCAACCGGATATTACTCCTTGCTGTCGATTGCGATGCTGCCGGGCACCTCTTGGATAAAGTCTTCATCAGCCAATATCGGAGCGGCCGTGTTTTCATTGAGGATCTACTGGAACATCGCAAGATCCTGGCATCCAACTGCATCATGCAATATGACCAAGAGTGGCTGGATAGCTCCGTCAATACCAAGCCAGTTCAACGACGTCCTGTCAAGGTCCCCTGTCCTCGTCAGGGTTGTGATCAGACCTTGCATTGCCAGTGGATTTGTGCTTTGTGCCGTTCACTTGTCGAGTACGGCCATGTTGATGACCGTCTTTACTGTGACTGCGGAGCTACTCCATTCGACCATTGGGACTTCAAGTGTCAAGACCGCAGACACGGGTCAAGATGGACACGGTACGAACGTCCTGTGCTCTCTCAACTCCTCAACAACCTGAAGCCCTTCGATGAATTGAACATATTGGTTCTGGGCGAGACTGGCGTGGGAAAGTCGACATGGATCAACGCGTTTGTCAATTACCTGAGCTACGACACTCTTGAGGATGCTCTACAGGCGGATGACTTGAAGTGGGTGATACCCTGCTCCTTCAGTACTCAGCTTAAGGACGACTCAGATGGGAGAGGCAAGTTTGTTCAGAAGGATATAAAGATCGGGTCCAGCAAAAGTGAGCATGATGGAGCTCGTGGGCAGTCAGCCACCCAGTCAACTGCCGTGTACACTGTTGATATTGACAACACAAGAGTCCGACTCATTGACACGCCTGGCATCGGCGACACCAGAGGCTTGGAACAGGATAACAAGAACATGGCTGACATTCTTCATGTCCTTCGCACATACAAGCAACTTCACGGAATCTTGATTCTTCTCAAGCCAAATGCTTCACGGCTGACGGTTATGTTCCGATTCTGCATCAAGCAACTCTTGACCCAGCTGCACCGTAACGCAGCCACCAACATTGTCTTTGGATTCACCAACACCCGTGGCTCGAACTACAAACCAGGCGACACCTTCAAACCTCTGGAGGCCCTTCTAGCAACTACACCACGGTGCAGCTAGGGCTGTATGAGCACAATGTGTACTGCTTTGACTCGGAGAGTTTTCGCTATCTCGCTGCTCAGAAGAAAGGCATTGACATGGGCCTCATCGAAGACAACATGCGAAGCTGGGAATACTCCATCGCCGAGTGTAAGCGACTTGTCAAGTACGTCGGGGAACTTGCGCCTCACAACGTCCGCAGCACAATCAACCTCAATGAGACTCGTGACCTGATCATCAAGTTGACGGAGCCAATGGCGCTTATTGCCCAAAAGATTGCAAGTAGCATTGCGGTCAACAATGATCAAATCAAAGAACTCCAGTCCGCAAAGCTTTCCAGAGATGAGCTCGAGAAAAGTCTCTATGTCCAACGCGAGAGCGTCGAGTCGTATGAGGTGGATGCACCTCGTACAATTTGTACCCATCACGATTGCGTTGAGGTACGGAGCGACTTCCAAGGACGTGATGAGACCGTGGTTGTCTACAAACAAATGTGCCACAAGCCCTGCGGCCTTGGAAACCAAGTCAAGAGAAATACGAAGGGGGATGATGCACTAAAGGACTGCTGGGCCATTCTGGACAGCGGTTTCTGTAAGATTTGTGGGCATCATTATATGGACCACATGCACATACTACGACTATCGATCCATGACTTACAGGTACGAGGACAAAAACATCGCACAGGATCTCATCAAGTGGGCGACAAAACTCGAGCTTAAGCAAAAGGCCATCGACATGCGCGAGGAGGCAGTGGCGGAGTTCGAGCTCGAGTACGCCCAAGTCCAAGAGGCAGCCATTCAGTTCGGATTCTTTCTCAAGCGCCACGCCATTGAACCTTACAACGATGCCACCATCGAGTATGTTGACCATTTGATCAACCAGGAGCGTCTCAAGATCAAGAGCGGAGGCAAGAAGGACACTCTGGACATGCTCGAAAAGTACAGAGCAGAACACATCCAGAAAGTCAAGGTCCTCACCGAGGCCATGGACAGGGGCGATTCGGACCGCGTCGGTGTTCGGCAGCTCATCGACAGTTTGTACGGCCTGCCACACTTTGGCGAAGACCTTCGGAAAATTGTCACGGTCAACGAGAAAGCTGCCGAGGGCTCGTTTCGGGAGCGATCATACAACGTGTCGGCTGGGTCACACTGGAAGGGGACAAGCAAGAAGTTGACAGCGCGCCGAAAGAAGGAGGAAAGCAGGCTGATGACCATGTCCAACCGATTCGCTCCGCTGGCTTCGATGTCCGGGCATGGTCATGTAACTGCCGGCTATCCATACGAAGTTGTCCATGTCTCGAATGAAGGGCGACTCAGGAGTGAAGGAAGCCAGGTGCCGCATCACGAGGTTGTCCATGTCTCGCATGAGGGCAGACTAGGAGGGGAGAGGGATCCGACGGCGATGGAGGTGGACTCTCACTGGGATCCCACCGTTGCGATTCGGCTGCAAGCTTCAAGGCTTGCTCGCTTTCTTGGGTTCGGTGGTAATGCTTCTGGGTGATGTGTTTTCCTAGCAAATGGTGGTGTAGTGTGTAGTGGATTTCTTTTGGATGATGAGACTTTGGAGAATAATTTTTGTGACGTTGGTATAAGAGTTGTTTGTCCCATATTGAAACATGATAGATAGAATGCAAATTGACATCGACTTTTGGGAACCAAAACACCACCTTGTGGACGGTTGGATATCGAAAGGCGAGGAATCGATTTAGTAAAAATGATGTGTGATCAAATTCGAATCCTGCCAGCCCCTTCATTTACTCTGCGTTCTTGATCGATGCTGATATGTTGCCGTCGTGGACCAATTTCTCCCGACTCTACACAACCCATTGCAGAGCTGTTCAGCTTCCAGCTTCCAAATGAGCGTTGAGATATTATCACAGCGGTCACTAGGTCACCTCAACCTGCTTCAACCACCCCAGTCAGATTAAAAAGTCCCCTCTGAGGGTTACGACTGAAGCTGAACACCCTCCCCCCTCCCTGACCTCAACTCCTCAACAACTTGCTTCAACCACCAAACATGTATCCTCACATCGTCCGTAAGTTCCGGATGGAAACTCGTTCCGAAAACGTTCCCCTGGCGCACAGCAACGATATCTTCTCCTTTTCCCGTCCCTTGCGGCTTTGGGTAAGTGCCCAAGATCTCAACCTGCTCTGCCCTCTGCTTTTCCGAGGCAGAAGAGCTGGATGTGATAATCTCCTCCACAACCGGCGCGCGGATAAACACGCCCCTGAACGGCTTCTCCTCTTCTAGGAAAGGCAACCGCAAATCCCCCACAAAACTCTGGATCTGCGTGCCGTACCGGTTCCGCAGCACCTTGACGTCCAGCCCGCCGATGAGTTCTTGTCCGCCTTGTTTGGTCGCTGAGGCGGCGGAGGCGAGCATGACTAGGCCGGCGCAGGTGCCCCATGTTGGTTTGCGTTGGACTCTGTTGGTGTGGTGGGATGGGTTAGTGTTTTTTTTGTTTTTTTTTGTTTGCTATGGGGGGAAGGAGGGGGGGAGGAAAGAGGGAAGTGGAAGTGGGTTGAGGAAAGAGAAGAAAGAGGAAAGGCAACAAAGAGGTACTTACTTGACAAATTCCCGTAGCGGGTCAAGCAACCCCAGGCGTCTGGCAACAATAGCCATGGTGGTGCTTTCTCCTCCCGGGAGAATAAGGGCGTCGCATTGCGAGAGTTGGGCGGTAGTGCGGACTTGGATGAAGGTGAATTGTGGTGTTGGTGTCGGGGATTCTGTTGATTGTGACGATAGTTGGGTAGCTGCTTTTTGGAGGAGGGAGATGTGCTCGATTACGCCGCCTTGGAGGGCTAGGACGCCGACTGTTATTTGTTGGGGGGTTACGGCGTCGACAGTCATTGCGTCTGTGTCTGGGTTCGAGGGAGGTATGTGGTGGTTTGATGTGATGTGCTGTTCTGGGTCAATGGAGCGACGAATACTATGGTCGGTTATCAAACCCGGTGGGATGTGGTGGTTGAGTGATGACTGTCAAAGACGGCCGGCGATATCGGAATATCTTTGTAAGTGATAAGGGAACTTCAGCAGTCGGGTATGGTATGTTTCCTTCCGTATCGGAGTCCAAAATTTGTGTAGACTTGGATGATGACTCTTTGATGGGTCGGCTACTGTAACCTTGTTGTGTTACTCAGGAATCACTGTAGTTTAAAAGAAAGATGTTGATATCACCGAACCCCAAAGCCGAACATAGGCGGCGATGGTAGTATCGTCGGGTAATGGGATTGATGTTGCCACTCGGGGGGGTCTGTGCAATGATCGCGCCCTGGTATCACTAAGCGGCAGGTGCAGAGCGGGAAGCGGGACGAGCGGGAATCTCCTGTCAGGGAAGGTCTGTTGGAGGCGAGTCATACACACACACGGCTAACCGATCAATGTCCGTGAACTCCCGTCCTCTTCCTCCATTTCTGGAGGAGTCTGATCGGCACAGGAGGGGGGGTCCGTAAACCGGAACTGACTCACTGTGTAAGAGCAAATCGGTGTTGATCCCACATTTTCGACTCGTCTCAGCGAATCTGTAGTGTACTGTAGAGGTACCGCAAAGACTCACTCAAGTCGGATTTATCCTCACGTTGTACAGCCAATCACATCTGATGAAAGACTTGCATGCTGACGCCTCAACGGGGCATGCAGCCCAGCAAACCAAATAATTGGCAAAAATAGTGTGGGGATAAATCCGACTGAGTGAGACTTGGCGGGTATCATATCCCCGCGGAATAAGCAACTCCCCCACAAGGCGAGCTCGTTTTTTGGTTGCCATTGCCAAGCATCTTCCAACCGAGGAATACGAGCCCGTTAAGGCGACTGTGTAAACGGTCAGGGCGACTGTGTGGGGCCATACAAAAGTCGAAAGTCGGCCATGCCAAGACCACCAGAATTCCAAAGCTTGGCATCGAGTCTCCGCGCTACAACTATTACTAGAATTATTATTTTAGAAGCGCAACAACAACGCTCAAAACTCAACCTTTTCGTAACGAGAAAGACATATTCACACGCGGGGGCCTCTCACCGGCCCCCTACACCCCCGGAACTAACCCTAACACCTAACCCTAACACTAACCTGGATTGCCGGCGGTGACTTACACCTTTCAGCAGGCCTGTCTCCACACAGTCGCCCTAACGGGTTGTACAGTCGCGTTAACGGGCTCGGAGGAATAAGCAAAGTTTGAGGGAAATATCCATTCAGCATCGAGGAAGGAGGAAGCGACGTAGAATGTAAGCGAGGGGTTACAGAGAAATTTTTGTTGGTGCAGGAACGATGCTCAGCCGAACGTTCGTGCCGTCTCTGCGTGTCTGCTTTCCCAATTGTCAGTCAGTCAGAATTCCGGATCAGATGACGACAGAATATGTGAGGCGGCAGATACCCAAAGCGGATATCTGGTTCGCTTTGATTGGCTTCCAACAAGCTCAAAACATGAAACTCGACGATCGATCGACGCTGGTAGCTGGATGGTTGACAGCCGAAACAAAAGACAAAAGAAGATAGAGTTGCCGAGTGTCGGTTCAGACAGAGAGATGACTAACACATGACAGTGACTCCATATGGATCCGAAGCGAAAGACTGCCCGGGCAACGCCGGGATCAACGGGTCTCGGACCTCTCCTCTCCATCGGACCTTTACTTCCTACGGCACTTTTCAGTCCAAGAGGTTGCAGTTGCCGACCACACTACTGCAATGCCCGTGGGGAAATAATGTAGGATGTCGTCGTCTTGGCGAGGAAACTGCGAGGGTCTTGAGGGTCCAGATCGTCCGATATAGGCGCACACCCAGAGTCCCAGTACCTTCCGTTTTCCCCTCAAGCCCTGAGTCATCAACGTAATGTCATTGCGCTTCAAAAAGTCTATTTCCACGACCTGTGACCGTGACCAGTTGCTGTGATAGAAACAAAACATCAAGAAACAAAGCCTTGGTCGTGAACCTGATCGAGTCTCATCAACCAAATTCTTCACTCTTACCTTTACCACATCTCTCACCTTGCGAGCTTGCGCGTTACACATCTTACCTCACAAACAAACATCACACTCAAAATGGCCTCCACATCCACCACCAACGGCGACGACTTCCTCGTCAAAGCCGGTCTCGCCCAAATGCTCAAAGGCGGCGTGATCATGGACGTGACCACCCCCGCCGAGGCTCGCATCGCCGAAGAAGCCGGCGCCTGCGCCGTCATGGCTCTCGAGCGCATCCCCTCGGACATCCGCGCCGCCGGCGGCGTCGCCCGCATGTCCAACCCTTCCATGATCAAGGAGATCCAAGCCGCGGTCACCATCCCCGTCATGGCCAAGGCGCGCATCGGCCACGTGGTCGAGTGCCGCATTCTCGAGCAGCTGGGCGTCGACTACGTCGACGAGAGCGAGGTGTTGACTCCGGCCGATGACCAGTTCCATGTCCAGAAGGACGGGTTCAAGATTCCGTTTGTTTGCGGGTGCAGGAACTTGGGCGAGGCGCTCAGGAGAATCAAGGAGGGCGCGGCCATGATTCGGACCAAGGGCGAGGCCGGCACTGGAGATGTCGTCGAGGCGGTGAAGCATATCAGGACGGTCAACGCGGAGATTGCCCAGGCTAAGGCGGCGCTGGCGAGTGGCGGCGAGCTGGCGGTGGCGAAGATGGCGAGGGAGATTGGGGCCGATGTTGAGTTGCTTAAGAAGACGGCGGAGCTGGGCAGACTGCCGGTGGTCAACTTTGCGGCGGGCGGTGTGGCGACGCCGGCGGATGCGGCGCTCATGATGGAATTTGGGTGCGATGGTGTTTTTGTGGGTAGTGGTATCTTTAAGGATGCGAAGACTCCTGAACATGCGCTGCAGAGGGCGAGGGCGATTGTTAAGGCCGTGGCTCACTGGAATGATTATGGTGCGTTGGTGGAGGCGTGCATTGAGCATGGCGAGGCTATGAAGGGTATTAGCAACGCGGGTATGAAGCCGGAGGAGAGAATGGCTGGAAGGGGTTGGTAGAGAGTGGAAGGATGTGGTGTTGTTGATGGCATGTTTGGTGTGATATAAAAGCACAGTTAAAAGGGGGTTCGGAACGGCACCCGGGAGATGGTTTGAGTTGCAACCCTGAGGAGCTTCCGCCGTTAGTTACACGTTATGAATGTGACGAGATATTTGTTGTAGCCATGGCTCTATTACCTACCGTAAAAAGTCGGGAAAATACCTACGGATTTCAGGCGTGCAGAAAATTCCCTTTCTGTGCCACATATCTGTCGTGTCCAAGCAGTCAGAGCTGCTTGCTTGCCTCAGAATTGGGGATTTCTTAGAGAATCGTACAGTCTGTTGCATTGATTCTACCTACTAGTAAAGCATGAGGTATGTAGCCGAGTCAGGGAATTTTCTGCACACCTGAAATCCGGATTTCCCGTTTTTACGGTAGGTTAAAAACAAAGACCTGGAGTGCTGGCAGAGGGATTTTGAGATCGTCGCGTGACAGTCTGTGCCGACTGGACTTGACATGAGAGAGATCCGATCTCCTTTGACCTCTTTTCTTCTCTGGTATATAACCCGTTTCTTTTCCATTTCCCCTGCTTTATCTGAAATTGTATCGAGACTGGTTTTCCACTGCCATAGATAGTCTTCGAGGCGTTATTACCCACCTCAACAGGGAACTTCATCCGACATCTCAAAGCCATCGTGCTGGTATTGAACAGAACAAATAGAACCTGATTATGGTACCATCCGACCTTTGTGCATGGTCAACGGACGTTATAAAGCCAGGTAAATCAAAAGCGCGCATAAATATGTGCCATGTACCATTAGTCAGAACTGAGACCGTTTCAGCAGCCAGCATTGAACGTTGCAGTTCATGCTTCTGCTCAACAACACCGCGAATCTCCCCGAACTGCAAACTCCTGTCGCTCTGCCTTGGCTTCTTCAACACCAACCCGAAGCCCCCTCATCCAGCTCTCCGAACCAGGCCTCGGCATACTAAGGCTCTTCATCCTCATCGTCCGACTCCAAGTCCGGATCCGGCACCTGTAAATCCGACGGCAACGGCGGCATCATTTCCACATTGGTCGGCTGAAGCGGCGGCGGCTGATGTTCAGGCGGGATGAGCGTATACGGCAAGTTCGTCGGGAGACCCTGGGCAGCCGCCTCGGCCGCCGCCTTCCTCTCGTCCTCCCTCTTGATCTTGGCCAGCATGTTGCGTACATCGCTCTTCTTGACATACTGATACTTGTCCCCGAACGAGATGCGGATCCCAATCGTCAGCTGCCTCAGGGTGCACTGGGCATCGCGGTGCATGATCTTGAGCCAGCGGGCGCCGTCCTGCTCGATCTTGCGGAACTGGGCGGGCACGTTGACGCCCGGTTGCTCGCCCGTAAAGGGTTCGTGGTTGTGCTCGGCGCACTGGACCACCACGCGCCACTTGTCGTCGTACGGCCACGCTTTCTCCTGGACGGCTTTCATCTTCATCGGACACCCCGTCTTGGTCGACCGTGATTGTCGGATCCCCCGGCTGTGAGAGGTGTACGTCTTGCCGCCCTTGGAGCAGCAGAGGTTGTACCGCCGGTAGTGGCCGTCCGGGTCCCGGTTGAGAGAGGACACGATCACGCAGGCGTAGCCTTGCGACCGCGTGAAGGCCTTGAGGTCCGTCTGGAGCGCTTCGAAGGTGGGATACAACCGGTCTTGGGGAGGGGGCAGGAGGGCCATCTGGAAGTTGGGTCGGGCCGGCTGTCCCTGTTGTTGCTGGCCGGACGGGCCCGGTTGGCCCTGCTGTTGGGCTTGCTGGCCATGGGGTTGCTGCTGGGACTGTGGTTGCTGCTGTTGGCCTTGCTGAGTGCCAGTAGCATTTTGGGTCTGGATGGGTTGAAGTTGCTGCTGAGTGTATTGAGTCTGCTGGTGTTGATGGATAGCTGAATTACCCTGGGCTTGGGGCTGCTGTTGGAAGTTTTGATACTGGTGCAATTGTTGCTGTTGTTGCTGCATTTGCTGTTGCATTTGAGGCTGGGCCGGCTGAGGAGTCATCTGCAGCTGATGCTGGTGCTGGCCCATGGCCGCCGTCTTGGGCTGTCCTCTAGGCATCGTGGGTGATGGACAATATGATGGACAATTCAATGCCCTGGATGATGGCAACAAGATGCGTGTTTAGACAGTGCTCTTAGAGCCCTTGACGTGACCGCTTTGGGTGGTGACAAAGCGTGCGTGCGCGTCTACAAGAAGGAAAGGCAACGCGCTTGGGTTCGTATGTGCCAAGATGCATCACCGCTATTTAGACTTTCGGCTGCGGGTAAATTTCCATATTGCCAACTGGTGCGGTATCTTATCGTTCACGTAACAGCTGTTTTCGGACCGGCAAACCTTCTGCTTTCCATTCGTACCCCTGAACGGATCCAATGGTTTCTGGGTTCCCTCGTTCTTTCCAACGACACTATTCTTCATCAACTCTGCGATTTCGAAGCTCAGGCTGCCCATTGAGATTCTCATCATGAGGGTCTGTTTGATAAAGACCACTGTTGCATCATGCCGAGTCATCTGTTTTGCAGATGTGAGATGACAGTTGCGTGCAGTGGTGCAATGTAAGATACTGTACCTGCACGTATCTTCATCCGCTCGCAGTGGCAGCTGCTGCATTCAGGTTTGTCTTTTCTCAAAGATGGCAAACGCTCTTGCCTCGCGATCGAACATTTGAACCAGCATTTCGGGGATTTCGGGGCCAAAGATGTTCGACTCCCCTTTCTCTCGCGAGACTTCAGTTTTTTTTCATCAATCTTTTGACAAAGGTACCGTCTCTCTACACCATCCGCCGTTCACGCCAATCAATGCTTGCTCCCGATTGTCTTGAAAACTCGCCCTTCCAACGCAACCCTACTGTGATGGCTATATCGCAAAGACTCGCAATATCCGAAACCCAAATCTTTGACAGGTTCTCCCTTTTGGCCACACGTGCCCTGCGGTTATTGCCCGTCTTTGCGGTGTATCAGCTTGACTACATATCTCTCTGCTGATACTACCGGTTGACGGGATCGGCTTACATGGAGTGTCTGCCATTTTTGGATCGCTGTTGCCTACAGCCTTATCAAAGTTCCATTCCACTCCCGTCCTCACTGCAGGCCTCCACAGAGACGGGCTCATGGACACTCCTTCCCAGCCAGAAACACATTGGGTCTCGTGGCCGACCTGAACGCAAGAATCAGGGCTCCATCTCTCTCACTGGACTCACTTCTTAGTTCCTGGACCGCCTTCGTCTTTATATCGTCCTTCCAGCTTTGTCTTCTTATTTCATGGCTCTAACAAAGTGTTCATCGCGCTGACGACGAAATATTCGACCTTTCACGGCATCAAGTGAGACCAGTGAAAGACATGGTGAGTATTGCCCAAGAGTAGGTTGTCATCCTCATTGACCATCTCAAGCGAGGTTTCTCCGGTGATCCTGACGACCGAGGAATAGATGGGTTTCATCAAGCGCGGGTGGCTCCCAAAAACGGTACCCTCCTCAAATCCCGCCGACACCACCAAGCATAAATCACCTAGACCGGCTACAAGGCGAAATTTCCCCGCCGGACAATGCCGAGGTTGAACAGAGACGCAGCAAGGTTTGATGGCTTTTCACGAGTAGAGACAGTTACAGTCTTCAAGAGACACTGCGTGGCTCGCAGACACGCGAGATGAACCTCAATGACGACAAATATGGGAGCCAAGCCGGGAAGCAGCTACGCCAGCATACAGACCAACAGGTCAACATCCTGTCGGATCAGAAAAAGTACAACAAGGCATTCGCATACTTCGCTAGTTCCCTGGTAGAAACACGCGCACAGGACACTGTTTGGATCGATATCACATGTCTCCGATAAGCCCAGATTCCGCCAAACACGAAGGATACGATGATCAGGCGTGAACTGGAGAAAATTCCGGAAGACCTAAACAAGCTTCTTCACTCGATTTGGTCAAGGATTCTCAACCCCAGTGACGTCAACACCGATGATGTGAAGGAGATGCTCCGCGTTCTCGTGTTGATTAAGGAGCCTGTCACTCTAGAAGAGTTGGCGATTCTTACCGGGTTTGCCATCGATGACGTGAAGAACTTGCTCCATAAGTGTAACCTCCTGCTCAAGGTCGAGGACGGAAAGGTTATATTTGTCCTTGAGAATCAAGTGAAGGAGCACCTAATGGATAGGCGTATGGCATTGCTTCAATTCGGGGATCACGAGTTGAAGTGGCAACACGGCGTTTTGGCCTGGAGATGTTATGTCCATCTCGTCGAAACTTTCAAATCCCAGAAAGAAGAAACGGATGCCCGTCAAGGGAGCACTCCGGAAATAACCATTGGAGATTCATCGTCGGGCAGGCATGGACCAGTCGCTGCGCCCATAGAGCACGAAGACACTCGTGAAGGTGACATCTTGACACCGGATCACAGCGATAGCCACGAGATTGATGGCGGGAATGGCAGCCATAATGGCCAAGATGGCTTGTCCACTGAGGCACCACCCCCGAAGGAGACCAATCCTTACAACCTCGACCTTGCAAAACTTCTCGAATATCCCGATTAAGCACTGGCTCTTCCATGCTAGCTTGGCGACGAAAGGATTCGCTGAGAGAATGAGTAGGGAAGATGATTTCTGGGCACGCGACTCCCTCGTTCGCAAAAAGTGGCTCTGGGCGTATGTGGCCTTCGGAAAAAGACCCGCATTTGGGTTTGCTCACGTCTGAGAACTTCACAGGTTTGCACGCGGCAGCGTCCCTTGGTTACGCCGAACTTGTGGCGTCATTGATGGACAGGGGGATTGGGTCTCGCTACTATTGCTTGGTTTCCAGAGAGCCTTGGACGCCGAGAGTGAAGCACCTATCCAGGAGGTTCTCAACAGCTTTGACTACACCAGTTTGCGAGAAGAGGTTGTTGAAAAGCAGAAGGCGGAATCTGAGACTCCTGCCTTAGGCAAACAGTTTCTATACTGGGGGGCCAAGACCAAGTCTGATAGCTACCCGGTACTTAGGGTCTGTGTTTGGAAGGTACAGTCACCAAACCACCGCGGGGATTTTGGCTCAGTCGGTAGATGGGGCGCCACATCTAACCTGTCTGACCACTTCCTTAGTAGAAGCGGTTCGTTCGAACCTGCCCGAGGCCGCTTCGAACAACCATTTTTGTCACTTTTTTACCCCCTCATCTATTTGAATACTTCCTGGAGATGTTAGCATTTGCATGCCCAGTAGGTAATCTACCTGCACTCCTTGATCCTTCAATTGCCACGCGTTTGAATGGTCCTTCCAAGTCGGCAGTCATTTACTCCGACTGTCGGACGACAATGGGTCTCAAAGCATGCAAAGGGGTTATGGTGAGGATGACTCCGGGAATGGATCTGACGCTGGCGCTGGCGATGGGGATGGCAATGGGGATGAGGGTGATATGATTGATGACGACGAATACTAGACAGGTCGTTCTCTTTCTTTTCTTGGGGATGAGTTTTTGGATTTGGTATCCTTGGATATGGCCTCTTCCGATAGCTTTTTCTCATAGATATAGTCTGTCACGATATCGATTTTTGGGTATTGAATTCAAGGTCCTTTTCACCCTTCTTTATATTTCGGTATCTAGTTGCTCGTCAATGTTGTAAATGACGGAACAACGATTTAGCCTGTCAAACATTCAGGCAAACTACGCCCACACTGAACCCTCAAACTTAGATAGCTTGTTTCATGATGACGAAAGCAAGCGAATGCCATTACTTTTTCTAAACTATAAAGTTCAGGGGAAACGAATTACATATATTTCATTGTATGGACCACAACACTTTGAAAGTTGCCAGTTGTGACTAAAGTTTATCGAGGAGTGAACAAAGAGTGTTTTGAACTGCTGGTGCATCAAGTCATCATGCGGTATCCCGGTATATGCATATACTGGCTGTACCCTCTAATTGAGTTTCGCCCGAACATGCCTTTCCACTCCGGGCCGTCTGTGGGAACTTGGGAAGACCCCGTCACCCCGGGTCCGAACATCTTCACCACATGGACCGGTAAAGCCCACCACCGCGAAACAAGTGGAACTCAGCCCTACCCGAGACCCGTGATGTGATACCTTGAAAGAACTTACAAACCTCACAGGTGGAAAACCCTTTGCAGCGTGCATGTGTGAGACGACAATCAATCCATTTCGTCGAATACCACCACACAGAACCTCAACCCGCTCTCACTTCCACCACACACACGCACTTACCTACTTATTGGTCGCGCAACCGCAAGTCGTGGCCCACGACGTTCTTCCTGTTGTGGAAGTTACTACCAAGCAACCAATGTGTGAGATCCAAGATGAACGCCTCTCAGTCTCAGCCTCTCTTCTACTCGCCAGCACTTCCCTCTGAGCTGCTCTGGTACATCATCCACCGATGCAGTTATCCCACCACCTTGATCGTCTGCTCTAGCCGGTTGGAGTTTCTTGCGGCTTTGGCGAGGGATATTAAGCGAGGGCAACAGCAAGAAGTATACGAGGAACAGTCACAGGGTGAACAAGAACAAGGAGAACAAAAAACTTCCTTTCAACCTGAACCAGACCAAGAAGGCATATCTACAGATACACAACATCGAGAAGAAGAGCCCCAGGAGTCATCACACTCGCAACTCCCACGGCCAAGTCAACAACAGCAGGCAATAATAGCACCACAGCCAACACAAGATCAGCCCACCAAAACAACAACAACCGCCACAACGACCAAAATAACCCCCGGCCCCGGCCCCGGCCCCAGTCCCTGGGTCCCCTCCCAACTCCTCGCCTCCCCCCTCTACCAACTCGCCGTAACACGACACATCCGCACAGTCTTCATCCCCACCGTGTCCCACCTACGTGCCTTTCTCTCTGTCTTTGACCCCTCCTCTACCAACTCTACCAACAACAGCAGCAGTAGTACCGGCAACAAGGTTCCCGCCCCCCCTCCGCCGCCGCCTTATGGATCAGGATCAGGACCAGATCATCAACCTGGTAGTAGTAACCACGGCGGCCATCAAACAACAACACAACGTATAATAATAGTGTATGGCTTCCTAGCATTACACCGCGATTCAAGCGAGTGGAGCGTGCAAGGACTGAATAACAGCGTTGCTGTGTTGTTGGAGGCTGGGAGGAGGGTGGGGTTGGGGGTTGTGGTTGTTGAGCCTGTTGGTCATCATCACGATTGTCATGATGATGATGAGAAGAAAGGGGTTCTGCCGAGAAGTATGGGTATGATGATGGAGAGTTTACTGGGGGAAAAGATGCCGGTTGTGAGCGGGAGTGCTTTGAAGGGAACTGGGGCTGGGGATTTGGAAAGAAGTGTTGGGATTGCTGGGAAGACGGTGGATGTGAGGAGGGTGTTGGGTCGGTGGTTCCGGTTTGGGGTTGGGGAGTGGGAAAGGGAGAGGGAAAGGGGCTGTTGTTTGGAGAGGTAATCAATGGTGGTTTTGGTCGTGGAAGGAGGGGAGAGAATATGGGGCTGAGAAGGGGCAGTGCACAAAGCACAGCACAACAGAACCGAGTTGGTAATCTAGAGTTTCGTGGTCTCATTCAGTGTTAACGACTTTTGATGCCTCCTTTGATAGAATAAACCGGGAAAGTTACTCTATACCCAACCTTCCCCAACCTGCTGGTAAAACAACCGAAACGCCATTCCATGATATCCATGCTCCAAAAACCTTTCATATGCCAAATAAAACTTGACTACTTCGCCGTGAACTGAACGCGGTATACTACACGTTAAACAAGAACAAGTGTGCGAACAAAGGGTATCATAACGTATCAACCAACAAGACGCCCGCTCAGATGGCCTGCTCCATCTCGGTAATGTACAACTTAATGTGTGCCTCCATCTTGAGGTACTCGTCGTGGGCGGCATGGACTTCGTTCTCGATATTCTCTTTCAAGTCGAGCATCTGGTTGAAGGAAGGCCTCTGGTTAGCATTTCTGATATTTTTCTTGTCGTTCAGCGCAATGCAATGCAAACATACCTTCTTCTCCGTCTGTTCAATCCTCACCCTCCTCCTCTCGATATCCTTGCCCTTCTCCGACCTCTCCTCCGTCAACTTCCTATGCACCGCCCTCAACTCCTCCATCTTCTCCTTAGCCCTTTGCGCCTTCTCCTGGCTCTGCGTCCGCAAGTGCGCCGTGCGATCAACCCACTTGGCCAATTGCCTCTTGAGCAGCGCCTCCTGCCGCTCTACCTCCCTGACATTTTGTCCCCGATCCGTAAGCGCGTCCCTTTGCCGTGCGTTCTTAACGTTCTCCTCCTCTTCCTTAGCTAGCTCGATGGCGATCTCCTCCAACAGCTTGATGCACGAGGCCACGTCCGAGGCCACCACGCTGAACGAGTCCGTTGACGTCTGGAGAGCTCTTGACCGCCTATCCAGCGCATCGATGTGTGCCTTGTCATTGTTCAACGTGTTGCTCAGCTCCGCCAGACTAGCCTGCAACGCCGACGGGCTCTGTAGCACATAAGGCCGGAGTTTCGCACTCTCCTGCTTGAGCGCAATCTTGGTAGCCGTCTTCTCCTCCAGCTCCGCCGCCAGCTCTCCCTTCTTGGTCTTGGCCTCCTCCAACCTCGCAGCCACCTTCTCCTGGCTTCGCCTTAGCTCCAGCAGCCGCTTCTTGAGCTCCTCATTGCGCACCGTCTTCTCCTGAACCAGCACCTCCATCGCCCTGCGATTGTGTCTCATCTCCTCCAACTGCGCCTCCATATTCTGGTTCTCCACATACAGCTGCTCGATGCGCGCCTTGGTCTGCTCGGCCTTGTTGCAATGCTGATCAATCACGCTCGTCTGGCTCTCGCGGAACCTGACAAAGTTGATGACATAACTCAGCATCCTGACCAGCCGGTCATGCGTCGGTTTGTAGAGGTCATTGAAGCTGAAATCATTCACCCCGCAATCCAGCATCAGCCTGCGTAGCGACACGTAAAACCCCAAGAGGTTCCTCGTGTCGGACGGCATCATGGCCTCGCCCAGTTCGGGCCCGCAAACGTCCTCGGCGGCCGCGCGCATCGCCGGGTCGACCGTCTGGCGCGTCTTGTTCATCAGCAGCTCGCCGAACCACTCGAAGATCATCTGCACCTGGATCGGGTTGGGCTTCTGCAGGTCGGCCAGCGTGAAGGGGATGCCGAGCTCGTTGATGCAGCCGACGATTTCGCGGTCGGGCAGGCGCATGTTGGCGTAGGCGGCTTCTTCTTCCTTTTTGCGCTGCCGCGATTGTTGCGGCTGCGGAGGCAGGATGGACATTCGTGGGTTGAAGGCCATTTTTGGCTGTGGTAGGGTGTGCTGGGCACGAAGGGGACTCGGATGGGCTCGTGGTTCGCGGTTCGCTCGATGATTTCGGGGTTTTTGTGTGTCGTCGTAAATGTCGCGTAGATGACGACAATGGGTATCTCGTAAGGATGTTGAGGGGTGTTCCAAAAGGGTGGCTCGTTGGCGCGTGTCCAGACGCGTTGATCTTTGTCGCAACTTTTGGATGGGGTTGGACCGTTGGAGGGTGGTGGTGTTGATTGAAACCCATGTCATGGTGGGGTGGTTGCTCCGGAGACGCTACCGTGCGGGACTTGCCGTTTAGATGCATATTTGCTTATGACGGTAACCCCGCAATCTCTGGCTCTTTTCATGTCTCCTTGCATTCTTTCTTTCTTTTCCCTTTCCCCCTCATCGTCTTTTGTTATCTGTGGAACCTCCATTTTCGAACTCATGACATCTCTTCAAAGCTCCATCAAATTGCGTTTTGAATGCCATAACAAATCTCAATATTCATAAATTAACCATATACATCAACCCTGGTTTGTTTGTTAGCGCGGGACTTCACTACGCACTCTTCGCAACTCTGTCGCAGGAACCACGCTAACAAACAAACCAGGGTTGAACTATACACCCAGACCTTGAACCGACGAAAGCAAACCACAACACCGACTTCACACCACAACAGAAGACTCGGATTCTCAATTGACTGTATCATTACAATACCGCTCAGCCAGAACCACCAATATAGCCCCAGAGGCTCCTATGCAAGCAATAAATCAAAACAGATCACTGCCCTCGGCGTCAATGGGCCAACCATCCAGCCAAACAGACACTCCTCCACCTCATTGGACACTCCCATCGGCCCTACAAGATATTAGACCGAACCGAACACTACACAAGCATCCCATCCATCAGATTAACAGACGACAGATGACAGATGACATGTACCCTTTCAGATCCGTTTTTCTTCCGATATTTTAGAAAAGCTTAAAAGTTAAAAACGACTGCGGGCATGGATGGGCGCATGATGGACATCGGGATATTAGGTAAGATGATCTGCATATCACATACAATACACGTGTAAGGAAAACGGATACTCCCGACCGAAACGCTGGGTATTTCTCGGCGGGTCGTATATAGAAAGATCTGAAAGGTGAGAGAGAGTCTCGGAAGGTTATGTAAGGCGCAGATCGGAGAACCGTTTGGATGGATCCAGGTTTTTTCCGACCTACAACTAAAAGTTCCCGTTGATCACATGCTCGTCTTGTCTTGAAGTAAGCCACAATTCTGGTCCATTCCGTTTTCTTCAAGTGGGCTTGGGCTGAGCCTAGTCTAGAGAGCTCAACTATACAAGTCAGGCTGAAAGGTCAAGGAGTCGAAGGATGTACCTATGCCTCGTACAAAACCAAAGCAGTCAGCATGCAAGTCTATATTGCCTCCGAGGCCCAGGCACTTTTGCAGTCCAGGATACAAAACCAACGACTGAATGAAGTCCATCCGGTTCCTGCATTTCTTTGCAGTAGCGGAAGCAGAAGCAGCAGCAGCACCACCACCACCACCACTCTGCTCGCATTCGCATTGCTTAACCAACAACAAAACGAAACGTCCAGATTGCGAAAAAAAAAAAAAATACCTAGTAATCCGAGTCACCCAGTTCATAAACTTGCTTCAGAGAATATAACAGCACATACGACCATAGATGGTAGAAAACTCGGGATCCCGTCCGCTCTCCCATAGATAAGCTACCAATCGCCTGACTAGTAGTTGGGTCGGTGACGACCAGCGAATCCCAGGTGTTGTATGTTCATTTTTTTTCGTTCAACTTTTTTGCTGTTTTCCTGTCCGTATTGTTGTGTTACTGTTTCCGGTCTTCATTTTTTTTTCTGTACCTTTCTTTCTCCTGCTCCTTTGTGAAGCAATTCAGCTCTTCATGGTCTTCACACACACCTTCAGTGGAGACCCGTGGAAACTTCGTTCCATAACTTTCAAATTCCTACCGTCCCTTACCTCTACCAGCAGACCACGGAATGAGATGCCGAGACGCTGAGTCTGCAAGGGGAGAAGGAACACGCGAGGCAGCGTCAAGCATAAAGACAAAAAGCATGAGGAATCATGAAGAAGGATCAGCCACTTCCTCTCCCGATACCGAGAGGGGGTAAGATATCGTAGGCGACACCATAGGTGACCATAAACAAACCTGAGGCTAGGTAGGCAATGCGCAATGCCCCCAGGGGGAGAGCTTCTAGACGCCCGAGAGTCGCGAGAATCGGGAATACGGAAAGTGGAAGCCCACACGACGACAAGACGAGCGGAGAATTCTTCGTTTCTTTCTCTTCTTCAGGCGGTTAAGCACTGCCCACTTCCACCCCTTCTCGGAAGATCTCCCCGCAGTAGTGCTATCCTTCTGCACTAACACGCATACACACATTATGTACCTCCGGCAATAACAATGAGCGGAGGAGGAGGATGCTCTGGAAGAGGCGTTACGAAGCTGAGTACCACCGTATTTGGCGCCGGCCAGGGCAAGGCAAGGCGAGGCGTAATAAGGGCGGATGTGGATGTGGCGTGGACCAACAGCCAGCCGCGGAGTCCAGCGTCCCGGACGGCTTGCGGCTGCGAAACGAAAAAGAGGAAGGAAGCGAGAAGAGAAGCGTGCCTCGGCGGTCACGACACCAAATAGTTCGGGGGAGGCGTCTGCAGAGTTGCGGGAGCTGGCTGGTAGGTATGGCGTTTAGGAAGTATGGTATGTATGTACGTATGGGTATTCTTAGCATGGGAGGGAACGGAATGAGACGGAGGGGGGGAGAAAGCGGGGGATCTGTGAAGATGTTTTGGTAGTTAGTTCTATGAGATTTTTGGCTATGCTCTTGATTAGTAGTCGTCGAATTGGTATGAGAATGATGCGGTTATTTCCATGATGGTATGGGAAGCACGTGCACACGAGAAAACAAACCACCGGGAAAATGCTCAAGGTGAGGTTGAACCGTGAAGAGAAATGAGACGGCCCGGGGGGTCCCGTCGACGAGGGGACGTCGTGAACAGCAGTCCAAAGTGGAGAAAAAGACCCCAGTTTCTTGGCATTCGATTTTCGGAAGCATCCACGCACCCAATGTTTTTGACTTTTTGATAGGGCTGTCGTTCGGGCTCTTCCTTTTCTCTCTCCAGGGTTCAAGGTTTGCTGGCCCGTTAGCAGTAATATAACCTAATGCTCCAGGGTGTGCCTGGCCTGAATCCAGACGGATGACGAGAACGAAAGAAAAGCAGAGAAGTAATACTGTAAACCAAAGAGAAAGACGAGGACGACCTGGACCCTGAATGTTTGCACTTGCAAGTCATCATTCTGTCATTTAATTCCTTAATCTTCAGGTACCGGATCAGCCCATGGATGTTTTTTGTTCCCCCTTTACCCCTGACTAGTAACATGACTGAACGGTGACACCTACAGGGAACCTAGGAACACCCTTCTCTTCCCAGTTCCCCGTAAGTCCTTGTGGTGTCATTACTCATTAATCCCGTGTTGTTGGAATGTGATAGGACCAGAAAGCCATGGCATGGTTGTTGAAAGAAGAGTGGGAAATTTTTCTCTTCATTATAACGGCGGAACCTTACATCAACTTGTATATTGGAATTCCTGATTCCTGCGGCTTATAAGATGAGATATGCTGTACGCAGCCGCCAGAGTGCAAGGGCCCATCCATCGTGCCGTCGTGGGTTGTGAATTTCGTGGAATGGCATCATCTTTCTTCCCGCGACGGACAGCAGCCCGCTCTGGGGGGCATGGGCGCGATCTGACCTTTTTCCTTCTCCCTTGGATGGATGACTCGAGCGGGTTGCCATGAGGTAGGTACCTCGAGCATGAGCATGAGGTGGTGGCCCATCCAGTCCAGTGATACATTTTCACTTTGCTTTTCTTTTTCTTTTTTGTCGAACCGTCGAACAATCGAACGGCGCTCACCGTTGTCTTAGTTCCATTGCGACCACGGCTGATGCGCCTCATCCATTCCGCGAACCTGGCCCGCATCAATATCCATTCAGGCACGCAACAACTTTGGTGTGTTGTGAGCCAATGAAGCTTGGGTGGATCCTTGTGTGACTGATTGGGTTTTCTTTCTCCTGCTAAACATCATGAAATCTGGGTCATGTAAAAGTCGTGAGTCTTTCGTTGTAGCGTCGTTATCTGTTCTCTCCAGGCCTGAGTTTCTTGGTGGTTACAACTCAACTACGCCCGTACTCTTGTGCGCAGTCGCCGCAAGCTCCCGGGGAGTCTCTTGTGCTCTCAATTTGGCATGCTGTGGGACTTGGGTGGTGCTTGTTTGGGTCGAGCGTGTACGATGTTGACGAGGCGGATAAAGTGACTGTATGTCTTGATAAAGTGACGGATCTCTAACCCAAAGGAGACAGATTCACTGTGTACCGTAGCCAAGAGTTGTATCAACGCCGTCGCCGTCGCCATCACCATCATTATTACCCTCATTATCGCCAATCCCATCATCGCTTGGTATTTTCCCCTTGGTGTTTTCGTTCTCAATGACCCCTTGCCTTTAAAGGCATGCCCGGATTTTGCGCTTCAGTACCGTTATAGAGGACGTACGAGCGGCGGCGGCGCAGCACTTAGGGCGCCGTCTCCGTCTGTCTTGACCACCGTTGCCGCCGCAGAGATGAGCCAAAACTCCAGTGAAAACGAGGAGGAGGATGAAAAGGAGGATAAAGTGGAGGAGGAGCACCCTGCGACTCTTCTGACTGAAATTTGCATCGCGATGCGAAGAACCATATTACCCGTTAACTTGCCTGTTGTTGACATCGCAGGGCAAATGTCTGACCTATTTCTCCTTCGGGTTAGAGATCCGTCACATTAGCGGATCATACAGTCACTTTATCCGCCTCGCATGTTGAAGCCGCGGGTGTGAATCGGGAATTGCAGTTGCGGTTCTCGGTTAAATCCAACAAGCGCCGTTCACGTGTTGCCCGTTGATGCTGTCTGCTCCATCGTCACGCATCATGCCCATTTCCTGCAGATCTCTTGAAATGCAGTGACTCTGTGCCTGGTTTGTCAGCTTGTTCGCGCGGGTGGATTCCAACCGCCCAAGACAGCCATTCAGCGCAGGCGGCCCGCTGCTGCGCAACCTACAATAACTCCACGCTCGCTCGCTCTTGGTGATAGCCTCTCACTGCTTCTGACCCTTATCGCCGTCCCCTTGAAGAGAGATGCTTTTGGAAGAGAGATTTATCCACGACCGTTGTGCTCGGATACATGGATGCTGCCGTGACTCTGGCAACTCTGGACATCTCAACACACGTGTCAAGCTGACAGACACCGGGCCGCGCTGTAGTTGAACGACGCTTTGCCCTGCAGAAACTATCGGCAGCTTTTTTAGTTACCATCCCCAGGAGTGGACCGCCGCTACTGCATGGGGGCTGCGCGTGGAACGGAACAGTGGAACAGAAAGCCGCAAACTTTTGGATCCATTGCGCTGAACACGAAGCGAGGCGACGGCGACAGCGACGGTGATGGCGATCTCCAACGTGCCTTATCAACATCCCCTGGCGTTCAGCACTAACGTGTGCATCGTACGTCGTTTGTGAGCGAAGCTGGGTTTGTTGGGGCTCGCTTAGCCCAAGCAAGACTTGTACAAAAAGACAGCATGACGCCAATTCAGATGCTGTCCGATGGGCTGAAGTTGGGGGAGAAGGGGCTGCTATGACATAATTGGCTCCAGCGCACCCCGATTCTGCCAGATTGGAGGGGGTAAATTGGAGTTTTTGGGGTCCCGCACCGCACGTCGATGTCGTCGTTTTAGCGAACGAACACACGGAACTCCATTTCTTGCCTCCACCAACCTGAACCAAGCGTCCCGTCATCGTGTGAGGTGGGTGGTCGTCTGGTTTGTCTGGGGGGTTTGTTACCGATACAGAACTGTTACTACAAGGACGGATACGAGCGTCTCGGGCACTGGTTGCAGACGGCCACGGCGACCCCAGACTAGGGAGTGGCCGAGACCTCTGCGCCTGTCAGTGGTTATAAAATGGCTGGTCTGCAATGCGCAATGGGAAGAGCCGACAGAGTATGTTGGGTGCAAATATTGGCAGCAGACATGCAATGGAAGCTTTCAAGTGCAGATGAAATGATTGACGGGGAATTGTCAAGTGGAGCTTCAAGGACACGCAAAGAGCAAGAGATAGGCGCTGGCTCCAGAAAGATAGGTACTGACGGGTAGATTTCCGGACTGCCAAGAATCCATTGTGACCAGCCGGCATTTGCTGTGAATCTTGATGCCAGATAAATACCCATATAAAAGCCAGGTATGAGTAGAATCATTAAACATCGGCGATGGAGACTTTCTTTCCAGAGAGGTCATATTCTTCAAGGTCAGCATGTCCAGCTGATGTTCAGTTTGCCAATATGGCGTCCAGAGCCCGATGCAGGCGGGGGGACACAGAGCATCCGACTCCGGACTGGGCCCCGTCCGTCTTGACGTCCTGGTCCTGGCAATCTAACAAGTGCCCGTTCCAAACGGCACGCCAGGCCCTATCCCAGGCCCTATCATGAGCTTCAGATGGGCTTCACACCACCACGTTTTCGGTGCAGTCCAATGGCTGCCGCCCGTGCTTGAAGCACCTGCCATTTTCATGGCAATGACCGGTGGGCGTGCTCGACCGTTGGATATTTTCCGTTTTCCATGTCTTCATTGGTAGACTATCGGTCGTGATGCATATGTCCGTCACTTGCGGCGTCCAGTAGGTCGTCGTCCAGGCTATCTCGTGGTTAAGATGAGAGGAGAAAGGTGCGGAGATGGGTTGCGCCAGACGCAATGCGCAAAAGACAAGTCGAATTAAACATGAGCAGTCGTGGAAGATGAGGGAGATTATCATGATGGCGGGGAAGACCTAAAGCTAGGGAAGTCGCCAGTGACGCCGCGATCCACTTCACGTGTAACATTCACGCTTCCTGTAGTGACAATACCATACTGTACGCCAATGATACGCGTGCGGAATACGGAGTACGGAGTACCTTTGCTCTGGCTGCAGGCTCAAGAGGCCCTAATAGTTTAGCGCAGCTCCACTTCAGACTTCAGACGCACGCACGCACGCTGTTCAAGGGTTGCAATTGACCTTGCAAGTCGCAGTTACCGTATCGTAGGGCAGGGCAGGGCAACAGGGCAGCAGGGCAAGCACGCATTTTCAACGGCATCTGGATTCATTCCTGTCCATCCACGGCAGGGATGCTGGGGAAGCTCTTTTTTAAAGGCAACTTCAGTTGGAGGGAGTCAATAAGCTGTCGGATACACGACGACGCGATGCCTTGGGATACCTCAAAGAGGACGGATACTCCAAAGCGTGACTCCAGACTCCAATGACTTGTGAAGAAAGTGCGAGCTTGAATCCCGGAAAACGGATCCGTACCTTGCTTCATACCCTGGCTTGTAAGGTATCCTTCTATTTTACCTTACCTTGTACATAGGCGGCACTTGCCTCCCGGTCCCCATTGCTCCCCACTGCGCTTCCTTCCATCCTTTCCTCTCCATGCTGATTGATTTCTTCAATTCCCTTCTCTTTCATTTGCTGCCCATTCATCCTCCGCCATCATTTCACCTGCACCTCACCTCCAATCTCCATCCATCGTTTCCCTCTTTTCTAGGGGACCGCCCCGTCTCCCCGTCCGGCCCGCAGTTACATACTTTTAGTTTACAAAGGTAATACCATTCAGTTCCCTTTCCCCAGTCGTTATTTACCCGTCCAACCCAATACACGCGGTGCACCTCCAAGTTGGAGCTGTGCCTCTCAAATACGCAAGCTATCCCAGATCCCCTCTATGACCCAAGCTGCCAGCGCCTTCCACCTCCAAGTTATGCGATAATACCTCTCGTTGCTCCCTTCGTCATACCTCCAAGCTGATCACATCCCACCCCACCTTATTTTTGGCAAAGGCCCTTTTCATCCCAACCCAGCAACAGGGAAAAATTGGTTGTCGATCATTCCTACCTCTGCCCTCGCTCTCACTTTCCCTTGCTCACCACTCCAGCCAACATCCTCTTATTTGTTGCTCGGGACCTGCTTTCCACGTTGCGCTCAAACCTCCTGGTTTGCCTCCGAGTCCTTCAAGAGCCGAATGCTACATCGCTTCCACCACGCGACCGCGGAACAAAGAATCACTCGTGCACTCTCTCCAACAAGGCAAAGGCACTCATTGACAATTCTACCGGTAGAACATCATTCCCTTGGCATACCTCCAAACGAACCCGGCCAGGCATAATTGGATCAGTACCTGACTACCTCGACACTTGGATATACCACCATCACTGCCACCCCAGCTTGTCGCGACAAAGAATCGCCACCACGCAATAACCGCCCCTTCCTCTCGCTCTCTATTTACTCACTCCTGCATCACATCATCGCGCCTCTTACATTGGCATACACCAAGCATGGTTTGAAGATATTGGCCCCTACAACGGATTCGTAGGCCGTCTGGTTACTCGTATCGCCTTCTTTTGGTTTACCACTCCTTGGAATCATGGTCATAATGAGCCGATCGCATCTACTACAAAACACAGACAATACCAGAAATCAGCCATACGCGCCATTTTACAGCTAGTTGCACATAATCAAACAGCTTCTCTGGTTGCACCTCGACGGCATCTTGCCAAACGTCCGTCCCGAACCATCATGGCAATCTGGCCATTCCGGCGGAAAAGCCGCAAAAGGCGCTCTCGCGCTGCCACGACGGATTTCGATGGCCACCGAGATGCTACCCCAATAGGCCAAGCTTCGACAGCGGAACAGGCAAAGACAGGGCAGGATCGAGCGGAGCCCCATAAGCTACAGCGAAGAGCACGAACGTATAGTTTCTCTCCCGGCCGCCACGATTCGATAGTACTTGGGCGGAAGATGAGTGTTGGAGGAAAACGGAGAGTGACGGGACCAGCAGCGACATCCCAGGGGCCTAACAGCACTGACCTAGGTCGGAACGTTTTCTTCCGCATGCCCACCCTCCACAATAAACGCGACGGCGATGACCTACTACGGAAGAAATCGAGCAAGAAAAGGCGGACGGAAGATCATGCGCGGGAGGCGGAGATCAAGGCAATGAGCACATATGTGCCTGTCCGAGCAGCAACTGAGGCCTCAATGGCGGGACGCCCCATGAAGAAGGACAGCAAAAGAATCAAGAATGGTTTTGGATTTAGGGGCCAAAGATCCTCGGACGTCTCCTTACCCGCCCCCGAATCCCTCCATTCGGCCTTTTCATCAGACTCGGAACAAATCTCGTACAAGGTTTCGGCATTCGAAGCACTCGCCCCCAGACCAACCCTTCGATATGCCACGCATCCGCGACAGGGCTCTACAAATGGTGAGGTTGGCGCATCACCGCTCGCCAAGAAACCCTCACAGCGCCAGAAGAGGCTCGTAGAGCCCATACCGGAGGCGACACTGAAGGCTCATAAACGTGTTGACGACCTCGCTAATGATCTTAGCGCGAGTGATCTCCGCGAGTTGATGGAACGAGATCGACGACGGCGCGAACGGAGACAGCAACGAGAACAGGAAAATGCACAGACGAAGCTTGCCAAACGGGTAGAAAAGCAGCGTGCCGACGATGTTGAAGCGCAGAAGGAAGGCAGAGAGTCTCCTCCAAACCTGGAGAGAGGCGTTCTTGGCCGTGAGGCTGTGGGCTTGGGAATCGACCCTGCGTCTGCGGTGGTAACGTCATCAAGGATTCGTGAATCGGACGAGCTTTTAAGGCCAGTGAGAAAGCGTTCAAGGGAAGAATTTAACGAGGGAAAGGAGGAGGAAAATGTGCGACCACATCCACTGAGATCTTTCCATCGCACGGAAAGCATCCCGGTCGAAACTCCCACTTCTCCCCTCGGGCCAGAAGCCCCTGGCTTAGCCAGTCCGCATTCGAGGAGTTCCTTTTTCAGCCCGAATGGTCGGTCATCTCGACAAGCCTCCTTGGCCAAAACGGAGCGCTCGGAACAGATGCGGAGAGGGTCAGAGACCAGCAGCTCCAGAGGGCACCTATCATGGGCATCCATCTTCAGGTGGGGAAACAGAAACAGACGAAGCTCTGGTGGGCCGTCTTCGTTCTCCAACACGTCGCGCGACTCGATGCGTGACTCGATGCAAACGCCACAACTACACGTGCCAACACCACCAATCAATTTCACCCCGCGACGGGTTAGCTCCGGGGTACCGAAGCGCACGAAATCGCGCTTCCGTGAAGATCTTCCAGAGCTCCCGCTCTCACCACCGGGATCTAGGATACAGTTAAACGAGGGCGATTCGATTCCTCCCACGATCGCCGAGGCTTCCCCTAACCCAAATAACGATCTCGATCCTCTAGGAGTAGCGACATCGGAGAATGGCCCTAGAGATGAGACACCAACGTCATCAGAACAGAGATCCGTGGACGCACTCCGTCATACGCCCTCTTCCTTCGGCCACCCCGATGAGCGTAATATGACCCCCGAACCGCAGACCATGTCGCTTGCCTCCATAGATTCTGAGGCATCATGGCTATCCGGACGCTTATCGGCGAAAAGGCGAAAGTCGTCAAGTATCATGAGGTCATCGACACCATATAGGCAGCTTCCTCGAACATCAGAGCCGGATAACGAGAATGAGGATGGGCATTCGCCTGAGCATGAAAACCTGAATGAGGAATCCTCCATCGTGGATGATGATTATCTATCCCGTGTTGCACGCCCTAGTGGTGAACGTCCCGGGTGGAACCGGCAGTCCAGTGGGGAGGCTCGTGCATCAAGTGATTGGGAGGAGGAACCTCATTGGGGATCTGTCAGGGAAGGGCAGCCCGTTGTTATCCACGGTCATCCTGCCAATGTCCGAACGAAGAGCTTCGAAGGTTATCTCAATTCATTGGGCGACACGCCCGAGGCAAGCCCCGGACTCCCGGAAACCGCGGGGGATGTGAAGGACGAGGAGATTCGGCGAGCGACCAGCGTGAATCTCGGCAAGGGACACGTACGACACTACAGCGCCGGCAGCGCTCGGCTACTGTCCCTGTCCCCGCGTTCTTCCACCGATAAACGGAGGAGTCTACCACCGAGACCCCTGGATTATTCGGCAGCGCAAGCAGCTGAGGTCGAGAAGCAGTGAGTAAGCGATATGTAGTGTTATGGCTGGCTGATCCCGCGAAATACCCCCACGCTCGTTTTGATTTGCTTTGTTCTTGTTCATAACATATCGGGGAGGCGCTACTTAACCGACCACCATTCACTCGTTGGAGGCGCTTTTCCTTTGTTCTTCACATCAAACCACACCACAAAAAGTACCCCATTACCCTTCTGTCAGGATTACAAAAACCCCCCATATTGTCGCACAGATCAGCCATCCCCAACTCTACGTCTCGCTCACACATTTCTTGCTTGGCTCCGGCTTACAATGCTTCGGTCGCCATGGCGGTTTCACAAACAAAACAAAGGTCATGGCTCAGACCTGACAAACTCGTGGTCACTCAATCCCGCCTGCGCTTGGTCATTTATGCCATTGCTTCCCTAGGGATGTTTTGGGATACTCGCTTTCTAATATCGGGCCCTGCTTTTGTTTCTTCTCGGATACTTTTATTTCACGCAATGCTTTGTTTTTGCTTTTTACTTTGATACCAGATAGGATACCCCCAAGGAAGCGAAGCGCATGGCAGGCAGGCAGGCAGGCGGAGAGACAAGGAAGGATACATGGGAAAACAGGACTATACAGGAGGGATGGATGATTCTCTATCGATTGCTCTCCTTGGCTCTACTTCTCCCGAGGTACAAAGGAGAGCCTAGCTAGATAGATGATAGACGGCCAAAGGAAAAATCGGATGGAGTTCTACTTCAGTTACATGTCCACAAAATGATGTGATAGATGCTCTCTTACTGAACCTTTCGCAATGTGGTACCAGTTCGTCACGTCACGCTACCACATGAGGACAGGACACAAACATGCTCAATACGAAGGTTACATTCACCCAAGGAAACCCAAACAACCATCACGTCGCCAGTGAGTGAGCGGCGGTTACAGTATCCATGTTTCCATGGTACGATGATACCATGGTGCAGAAAAGAAAACGAGTTGACACGTGTTGGTGGCTTGACTTGACCACACGTCCACACCTGCGCTTCCTTCCGTTGTTGTAATGTAAGTTCAAAGTAAAAAAAAAAGGGAACAGCAGTTGACAAATACCTAGGTGGTATTCTCAATATCTCAACCCTTAGGATACCACGCTGTAGACTTGTAAGGACCTGGTAAGATACCTACCTACCCTCACCTAACTCGCTCACAACTTGACGAAACTTCCGTAGTCCACAATGAGAATGTCTTGATTCAGTTATGTTTCGTTGAATTGATGGTAATGGTTTCTACATATGTTTCGGGTGACGTAAGTGTCTTTCTTTCTTCTCTGGACTGGGACAGTAGCAGGTAGCTACAGAAGAAAAGCAAATATGGTTTGATGTAACTTCGCTTACGGGCAGTTTACGAAAGCGTTTGAAAAGTTCGTGTGGTGCTACTGTATGTAATTTATCATGAACTACTTCAGTGTGTGGGAGTTCTGTTCATTTCACATCATGGTATTGTGACGGTTCTGAATGTCAAGTCATGTAAGTCTTGAATTGAGGTACGTAGTTTGATCACTTCGGGTTTGCTCACTTTGTGTTTCTCTCCCAGGGCTCATATGTACTCAGTCGCTCCTTCCTGACGAGGCCGAGGGTGTGTCATGAAACTGAAGCCCCTTCCTTCCTCAACGGAACTTGGGATGATCGTATCTGCTTATCGATAATGAAACTGGGCAGAAGTGGAAGGTTCGTGAGGAAGTCTCATGGAAGCACCTTCCCTCTCTGACCTGAAAACCATATGCGCTTGTCCATAGTGAGATACAGCACCCGGTCCATGGGGAAGTGGTATTAGGCACGGTATATTACGGCATATTGACACTCTGTGAATGGCAGGATATGAAGCATCTGTGAGGATCAGCATCTGTGCTATACAGATGCAATATTCTATTATGAAAAGCAAGAAAGCTGTTTTTGATGATGGTGCAACACGAACTCCGCTCAACACGAACTCCGCTCCAAATGAAGTATATCACTCTGTATCACTCCATATCACCCACCCACCCACCATCTGACAGACACATAAACTCCAAAGACTTAGAAACGCCAGGCAACAAGCCCCAGTGTTAACACAAACAAAGAGTCCTGGATACACTCTCACAACGCCGGGACATGCCGGATCAAAAGACAAAGTCCGATTTCGGTTCGGACTGTAAAGAAAATGGAAAGAAACAGAATGAAAAACTGTAAAATGGGTGTGAGGGATCACCAACGGCGACTATCGAAGACATTAGCACTCATTCACTCAGGTCGAAAGACACAGACGGAGTTGTACTCACCCAAATGCCGCAGCAACCTTGACCCTCGGCGCCACCTTCTTAGGAGCCACCTTCGACTTGGGCGGCTCATTAGGCTCGTCAGTCAAACCCAGCAGCTCCTTATCCAGCGCCGTGAGGGGTGATTCGCTGCGTTCGCTTCTGCTGCGACTGCGGCTCCGACTACGTGTCAAACTACGACCACGGCTAGCGGAGCGACTGCGCTTAGCCGTGCTTCTTGCTGGCGAGAGGTAGGACGAGGCCGGACTACGGCTGCGGCTGGGACTGCGGCTGCGAGACCGCGTCCTTTTCCTCTGCTGGTATGGTCCCGAAAGCGGTCGGTTGTCTCTCTCCCTGTCCCGATCTCTGTAGTCATCGCGGTACGAGGATGTGCGAGGTTTGCGCTCCTGCGAGCGGCTGCGACTGCTGTGGTAGCCGCTGTCGTGGCGCATGTCCGCATACTGAGATGGTCGCTCTCTCCCTCTCTCCTTGTCTCTGTCGTCCCTAGATGACGAGGACCTGTTGTCGTAGTAGGCATCCCTATTGTAGCGATGGTCGGTTGATGGGACCTTCGTTTCACCAGCCTGTGGCGACCAGGGATCGGCACTGAGGTTATACCTGGGACTCGGGGAGGGCCTACGAGGAGGTGGTGGATAGGTGTCGCGGCCGTGACCCCGGTCAGGGGTATCCCGCGGGGGCAAACTCTGTCTGGGCCGCTTTGCATCCCTGGGATCTCGATCGCGCCCGTCAAAGGAGTCATCCAAAGGACGCTTTGGATGTTGCTGATAACCTCGGTGTCCTCTGTCGAACCCGGATGATTGTTGATCGCGAGGTGCGGAATGTCTGGGAGAGAAATCCCGGTGCTGATCGAGTCGAGGGCGATATCGATCAATTTCCGGTGTCTCTTTACGTTGGTTCCGCGAGATTGTGAATTTCGGCGGAAGCTTCAACTTGGCTTCTGGATGAGGAGGCGCAGAAATTATATGCGTCGTGTACTCATGCTCGCCGATGCGCTTCCTGATCATTCCCGGGTAGAACTTGAAGACGGGGTCTAGCTTGAGAACAGACCAGAAAGATGTCTCCCGGATTGAGAAGGCAAATTCCTTCTCATTCTGATCGTTGAAATAAAGAGATTTGACGCATTTGGCATTGTATGCAGGCGGAATCGTGGGATCATCCGTATAAGTCGCAGGTAGAGGAATTCCGACCGGATCCGCCGGCTTGAAGTCAAGTTCGGGGAAAATGCGCTGCAAATCCTTCTCAGAAGCTGGATCCCATTCACCATTTCCTACATCCTCCTTGGGCTCGGGAACCGCTTTCTTGGAATCTGTGGGCTTGGATGTTCGCTCAGGCTGGACTGTTCGTGGCTCCTTTCGGCGTTCTTGTCGCCCAGGTCCGGCTCGGTCCTCTGAATCGTTCACATTTCGACGCCTGTCGTTCCTGTCGTTCCTCTCGGCTCTCTCAAACCTCGCAGGCCGGTCGTGCCTCTCAGGCCTTTGGTTTCTATCATTTCGCTCAATGCGATCGTTCTTGTCGAACCGTTCGCCCCTTTCGTGACCGTCATCTCGATCACGTTTGTCAAACCTGTCCGGCCTATCATGCCTGTCATGGCGGTCAAACCTGTCGACTCTGTGGTTTCCTTCATCTCTGTTGTGCCTGTCGTGTCCATCTCTTTGCGCATTCGAATGCTTCGGGCCTTGATTCTGTCTCTTGCTACGATGCTTGTTCGCGCCAGAATTGGATGGAGGAGGAGGCGGTAAATGGGGAGGAGCAAATGGCGGCGGTGCCCATCCGGTAGGAGGAGGATATGGCGGGTTCTGACCTGGTGAGTAATGGTATTCCGGCTGCGGTGGCCCACTGTAGCTACTAGGATAAGGAGGTGGTACAGGCGGCGGCACGGGCAGCGGCGGTCCTGGTTGTGAGTAAGGTTGCGGAGGATAAGCCCCAGGCGGGGGAGGGGGGACACCGTTCGGGTAGTAGTTGGATGGGGGATACGGAGGAGGATACTGTGGCTGTCCATAAGGGGGCTGCGGTGCGTACTGCGACGGAGGCGGTGGTGCAGCCGGCGGGAACTGGCCGTACACAGTCGGCGGCGGGGGAGGGTAACTCCCGGAATATGTTGGTGGTGGCGGCGGTGGGAAAGAGGCCGGAGGATAAGCTTGGATCGACGGCGGCGGTGGTGCACCGGGGGGATAGGCTGGTGGTTGCGGCGGACCGTATCTTGTGATGGTTGGGCCTTGGCTAGGAGGCAACGGATACCGAGTGACAACGGGCCCCTTTTTATCATGGGATGAACTGTTGCGATCTGACGAGTGACCTTGGTGTTCCTGGTGCTGAGACTGCCATCTTTGAAGGCCGCTGGAAGGACTGTTAGTCCCTTGTGACTAAGACACATGGGCAAAGGGGATCCAAGGCTACTCACGCAGGCACATCCCGAGTGGGCTCTGGACAAGCGACGACCCAATGGCCCCGTGTGCCGCAGTTATAACATATTGGTTCGTGTTGGGAGGAGGACTGTCCCGGAGCGGAGTCAACCGCCGCGGCGGATGACATATTATATATGCGTTGACCGGGGGGTGAGCAAGGAGAAATGAATAATGGGGAACTGCAGTGGTTGAGTCACTGGGATGAAGATGAAAGATAGAAGCGTATAACTGCCGAATGAAGTAGGTATATCAGGAGTAGCCTTGTAGTCCCGTGCAAGTATAGAGAGGACCTTGAAGCGGACGGCGATGATGGCTTGTAGCTTCGCTGATGGATGGGCGAATGCCTATGATGGATCAGGTTCGCTGCGAGGACATTAGCCTGGCGAGCGACCACCGGGAAGCAAGGAGAGGATCTCGGACAGCGAGCAGATGCAGACGTGAGCACTGGGAATGTCGCGACCTTTTGGACATATAATCAACGGGCCTCGAGAGCGACGTATATCGAGGCGGACGTATACCAGTCGGGGACACTGAATGATTTGGGATGTACTGCTATGGCAGTCACTCTGCAGTGCGTCGAGGAAGCCGCCTAGGATGCCCAAACTAACAATGCCGCGGCATCAACGAATGCTGGATTGGAGATCAGAATGCAAACAAAAGTCTAGAGACAAGGCTGCGATGAGTGGCCTGTCGCCGGCGTGTCGCTGCAGTGTGGTTGTGGTGTTGTGGAATCTGTCGTGGCTCGACTCTGTCAGGAAGCGATCCAGCTGACTTGCCCTACTGACTTCCGATGCAAGTCGTATTTTTGGAGGTTGAAGAGCGCCGTCAGAAGTTCAGCCGCCACCCTCTGGGCGCAAGAGAGCGGGGGCTGACACGCACGAATCACGTGAGAAACAGCCCCTTACTGCTTCGGGAATTTGGGGTCTGGACCGGCTCCGACTCGGCAAGCTGCGTTTGCGTCTCATCGCTTTGATATGATTGATGTTTGCTTTCATGATTTGGTTTGAAGATTGATATGTTCTAAAAGAACTAGAGGTATAGAGAATAGGACGATGCCTGCAAGAAGAAGCAAAAGCACAGGGCTGGCCATCATCTATGGAATAAGGCCAGTGCATCGACCTCAACGAGAGTCATATAACAAACAGGATGGCAGAGGCCAAATTTGAGAGCTAGAGTGAGGAAATGAGATGTGTTACCTGTGACCTTCCCGTCCCCAATTTCCACGGTTCCCGAGAAGCTGGTCCGAGATAGAGGTTGCCAATGTTGGCTATCATCAACCTCACACAGATGACTGCATCGGAAGCCCTCAACCGCGCCCTCGATAAAGCCAAAGAGGACATGGCAAAGACAGGTTGCCATGATAGCGCCCATGATGCCCTGCCATGATCCCCATAAACTGCCCTGTCGTCAACTGTCTTGATGGACAGCAAGACTCTGAACGCCTTCCTCCATGTGGCCAGCTACTCGTCGATGAAATACCTCAACTCCTGAACTGCAATGTAGGACAGCCAACTCTTGGGCTCGATAGACTTCAAGCTTGAATGCCAGTGAAGGGGCAGGCAGATGAAGCAGAGAAAGGAAATAACCGTAAACTCGGGCCAACCGAGGCATCGCCAGCAAGGGCAGAAACAACGCGGTGAAAGGCACTGGATGCCTGGAGACGACGCCAGAGAGCAACACTGGACTTGGGCATCTCCTTGGTCCTGGGAATCTGGCCAGCAATCAATCGACAGAATGAACAGACAAAGCAGAAGAAGCCATCAAAGATAACATGATGGACAGGAAAAACCTGGACTGATGGCCAAAAAGCGCCGCATCAAACCAATGTGTCCGCTGACACTGTTGAGAGGTGGGAAAATGCGCTCGTCGAGATGTCTTCAGAGGTGGCCGTGAGGCAGCAAAGCAACAGAGGTGCGAGAGAGGAACAGGGAAAGGAAATTTGCGAGGGTCAAGTGGGAAGAGAGGAGGGAGACCGCTGGCTTTTGTATGAACCGATTACCAAGTGGGGCACAAGCACTCAGTCCTCGCCAGTCCAGCCTTCCAGTCCTTCGCGATGACGGATGGTTTCCCAGCTGTCTGCCTGTTGCCAGTGTCAACTGTCAACAACACAGCTGCACTGGATGGAGGGCACGTCAGCCCGTCAGCAGCAACCCAGGGGCACCTCCACTGCAGGCGGGAAGCAAGTGCAGGTGCAGACTGGCGCGTCGGGCCTCCTTCGATTCGCCAGGAATCAAGGCTTCAGCACTCGGGATTACGCTTCAGCAGCACCAGGCACGACCAACTCAACAAACCGACATCGCCTCCATTTCCAGTATTCCAAATGGCGGCCCCGCCCATCATGTGTATTCCTGCCAGGCCGCTTGCGACTGCTCTCGCAAAATCCGTCTACCAACATTTCTTTCCACCTTTCACCTCTTTTCGCAAAGCTGTCCCACCACCAAGTGACTTTGGAGGATTGCGCTCCGTCGTCTACTGAAGCTCTTTCGCCCCGTTCGATGTGACAAACCCATCTGATCTCTCCGAACATGTTGGTTCGCATCCATCCAACCACCACCATTGACATCGCTCGAGCTGGGAGAAGCACCAGCCTTTACCGCAACCCGTGATTGCTGAGCCTGTCGACACGACACTACCAACTGCAAACTTGCCCAAGTTGGCTTTAGTCCTACTACACGAGCATCATCTCTCTGCCCGCCATGCCTGGCCTTCCTTGTAAGTTGGTCCATCGCACACCCTTTGCGCCACCAACGTCGAGAACAACAGACAGGGCCATGCCCCTCCTACCCTTCCCGCGCCCCGCCAAAAGAAAGACACCGACAAACCACCAACATACATCCAACAACGAAGCAATCATGACAGACACTGACATGTGACGTACGGTATAGCTTCGGTCGACCTCGACGAGTGCATCTCGCGCCTCTACAAAAAGGAACTACTCGCCGAATCGGTTATCGAAGCGATATGTGCCAAAACAAAGGAGCTGCTGATGCGCGAAAGCAATGTCGTGCACGTTCGCGCCCCCGTTACCGTTGTCGGTGACATCCACGGCCAGTTCTACGATCTGATAGAAATATTCAGAATTGGTGGCTACTGTCCAGATACGAATTATCTGTTTCTAGGTGGGTGGTGATCTTGGTGGTGGGAGCAAAGCGGCGGGCGGCGTGCTAACCTTGGGAGAACAACAACAGGCGACTATGTCGACCGAGGCATGTTCAGCGTTGAAACGATTTCTCTTCTTGTCTGTTTGAAACTGAGATACCCCAACCGCGTCCATTTGATTCGAGGAAACCACGAGTCCCGCGGCGTAACGCAATCTTACGGCTTTTATACCGAGTGCTCGCGCAAGTACGGCAATGCCAATGTCTGGCATTACTTTACCGACATGTTCGACTTTCTCACATTAAGCGTGGTCATCAACGACCAAATATTCTGTGTACACGGAGGTGAGATACCCCCTTCCTGGGCGCCAGGAGTGCTGGGCGCCAGGTGTACAAAACAGTTGCTAAACCTCTTCTTCCACGACAGGCCTCTCCCCCTCCATCCACTCCATCGACCAAATCAAAGTAATCGACCGCTTCCGCGAGATCCCCCACGAAGGCCCCATGGCCGACCTAGTATGGTCCGATCCCGATCCCGACCGCGACGAGTTCAGTTTATCCCCCCGCGGCGCCGGCTACACGTTCGGGGCGCAGGTAGTCAAGAAGTTCCTGGCGGTGAACAACATGAACCACATCCTGCGCGCGCATCAGCTCTGCCAGGAAGGATATCAGGTGCTATACGACGACCGGCTGAGCACGGTATGGAGCGCGCCCAACTACTGCTACCGGTGCGGAAACATGGCCAGCGTGCTGGAGGTTAGCGACACCGGAGAGCGTTTCTTCAACGTGTTCGCGGCCGCGCCTGAGAACGACGCCGTTAAGGATCAGCAGATGAATCAGGACAAGTCGGCCGAGGGAGGGGCGTTGCCTGATTACTTTTTGTAGTCGGCGAGAGATGCGCATTGAGGGCGGGATAGGGAATAGATCGCATTGAAGTGTGCGAATACACTGCATATACCCACGCTAGCGACCACAATGTCATAGATTACAAGCAGGCGGGCATGAATGATACTTGGAACGTTCGGTTTTTGGACAGTATACAAACCAACGAAGCATTCTTCGTACAATCCAAGCCGGGAATAGTTGGTCTTGTGATGCAGTGTCAAGCCTCCAATCTTTCTTCGTACCAGACGTGAGAGTTATGTGTCGTTATACTACTAAGATAAAAATGTGTATGTATGTAGATAGATATAAAGGAAGTTTTCTCTCCCCTTCCCTCCTGCCCAGAAAGGGGGGTGTGTGGTGACCAACCATCCAATCCTGTGGCCCCTATTCCATTCCATTCGCTTGCGTCCTGTCCATTTCCCCTCCTTTCCTATCCATATGTAGACAAGGTGAAACAGACGTCGCTTTCCCTTGTTAAGTTGCGGTAGTGTAGTAGTATCTCTTCTCCTGCTTCTTCATATTCGAAGCCGGCAGAGAGGACTTCTGGCGCGTGTTGTCGTCTTTCTTCCTCAGCGATCGATTGATTCCCGTCTTGATCCTCTTTCGAGCTCGCTCCTCAATACGCCGAGGCGCATCCCCCCCATTCTCCTCTTCCTCCTCCTCCTCCTCCCACTGGACTATGACAGTCACGGCATGCCCCACAGCGAAGGCGTACGTATGTGTGTTGTATATCCCATGCGGCCGACTAGCCGACCGAGCCGGCTGGCTGGCTAAAAGGCGAGGAGGAGAACGAGATGATGATGATGACGATGAACGATGGCGATCACGACGATCTATCTAATCGAACGAAGCGGAAGCAATTTACCAATCCTTGGCAATGTCGAAGCTCCACTCGAACTCGAGATGGGTCTTGCCATCGTCGTCGACGAAGCGAGAGACGGCGTTGTAGTTGCCGCGGGCGAGCATACCAGAGGGGGCCTCCTCCTCGGCGACTAAGGTATTTCGTAAAACTTGGTCAGCTTTTTTTTTTTTGCTTTTATTCAAACACAGACAGACAGACAGAGACGGACAGGACGTCCGTCCGAAAAAGAACAAACAAAAAAAAAAAAACTACTCACAAGTCTTGGTATAAATAGGATTCTTATCCGTGTTGGGCGCATAGCTTCCAATCATCTCGCTCGTCTTGCCACCGGGGATCCTGATCTTGCCGCGCTTGACCGTCTGGACGTAGTGCAGACCGCTCAGGATCTCGTGCTGCACCTTGAACTGCGCCTTCATGGTGAACTTGGCACCCTCCTTGATGGTGAAGGGGTGCTTCTTGAGGTCCTCGAGCGAGCCCGGGGTCGAGAGGTCGATCACGACGGGCTCCCGGCCGGGAGACTCCATGGAGAGCGAGTGGATGATGCACACGCGCGGGTCGTTGGGGTCAGACAGGTCATTGCCGCCGCCGAGGCCGAGGGACTCCTTGTAGCGCTTGAGGGACTCGTCGTTCTCGTCTAAGGGGGAGGGGGTTAGTCATTGTGGTTCTTTTTCATGATTGTATGCCTTGTGTATGTGGCTGAATGCGGTTTGGTGTTGTGAATGACGCTGCCGTGGTCTTCCGGTCTGGCAGATGGGCCATTTCGCGATGGCTCTCGCCCCCTCATCTTCGAATCAGGGGCATGCCCTGTTGGGAGTTGTGAACGTCTGCGACGACCTTTGCGATTGTTGACTTGGCAGTCAAGTAAACAATCGCAAAGGTTTCTGCCATGGGAAACCATGACGAGCTTTACTTTGCGCTCATAGTGGTCGTGATTTCATGCCAAAAAACATGAAAAGTGGTCATGTGTGAGGCGTTGCCATAGTCCTTGCGCCGTGAAGCATTGGCGGTGAAAGGGGTAAACCATCATGTCGTCACCGCACCCGCAGTTCCCCTTTTCCAAAAGTCCCACGATCCGCGCGATGCCGCAGAGAAGATGCAGGTGAAAGAAGATGGGTATGATGCTGAAAAGAAAACAAACAGTGAAGACAAAGGTTGGAACATACCCATCTTTTGGTACTCAGCCAAGGACTGCTTGGGCTGAGAGAGCTTGTAGCCCGAGTTGTCCTCGGGCATCAGATCTTCGTCATGTCCGCCGGCCATTGTGAATTATTGGGGTTGTGGTTGTTGATTAAGGTAGTAGATGAAAATCGGGTTGCGAGGCTGAAGGTTCGGGATATGAAGGATATAAAGTTGCGATAAAGTGTCAAGAAAGACAGGACAGGAGAAAAGAAGAAGTCGAAGCTATGATGGTATTTACGGCGCCGATCTGATGAAGGTTTTGGAGGGGTGACGAACAAAGGCCGGAGCTTATTTATTTGGGCAACGGGAGCACTGTGCACACCCAATCGACACCCACACAGTTCCAGATTGTCCACCCACGTCCACCGTCGTTCGCTCCGAGTCGCCAGGAACCACTCATTGAGAGGGGCTGAGCCCAAAGAGTCAACTGAAGAGTGAACCAGTGTGACAGATGGAACATGGAGGGGCTCACTCTTTCAGGTTGTCTTCTCTTTGGCCACAGCTGTTAAAGCTGGTGGGGCCAGGGGGAGCTGCATCTGCGATTCGGGGTCTCGATGCGTGGGCAACACCAAGACGGGCCCATCATTGGATAACCCATGGGCCATCTGGAACGCTGTCGACCTCTCGAGACTTGTCCTTCCTGGTTTCCGTGTGCAGAACATATCAAATCTGGAATCCCCTCATTGACTGGTTGTTGTTGTTGATGTTGCCTTGGGAGCCTCTGTGCCTCTTGACTACATCGCCCCTCGATGCTGTGAACCAGACGGGCCTTTGTTGACTCTCTCACCTACTTCTCTCTAGGGACCTACCTGGTGGATTAGTGACCAAGCTACCACGATGATCTGATGGAATTCGACAAGTCGAGTGGTTTCATGAAACTGGCGATGTGGTCGCCAGCGGAAAAACAAGTGCCTCTGTTGTCACCGCCCCTGGGAGGAAAAAAAAGGGGTTCACCGGTTCAGAGCTTGGAGAAGGTGTAGCGATGGTGGTGAGCGATGGTGCCAAGACGTGAGAGGGCCGATTCCGATCAGAGGCATTGGAGTTTTGAGTCGTTCACCGCTCATTCTTCCCCGCCAGGGACCCGTCCGCTCTAGATACGGGGGACTCTCTTCACCGTTGAAGTCCCGGCATGTCAGATCACGGAACGGGCCACCCTCCGGTTATTTTGATTTATATCACCGCCCTTCAGCCTTCTTGTCTTTTCCTTCTCCTCGGCGGCTGAGATCCGTTATCTGCGGCTTGTCTCACAAATGTTAGCACGGAATGGAGCTTGATCCAACACGAGGCAAGCTGTTTGTAGCATCCCGGTGTGAATCACTTGGGGGACGCCTCTGCCTGGTGGTGTAGAGGTCTTGGCTACCCCAGATTGACGCGGTCGACGGGTTCCTGGACGGGATGACGGGTGACAGTTCAAAGCGTGTATCACCACCAGATGTGGCCAGTCTATGACTTGATGCCATTCCCTTTGCCCCCCGCCGAGGCGACCGTCAGTCCAGCAAACAAGATCGGCCTTTATCACAATAATGCCTCATCAGGCCTTGTGTCGACTTGGTTGACATCCATTCGCCGGGTCTTGACTTTGTCTGTGGCTTCTCCAAACACCGCAAGGCACACCCACGCAAGCACTCAACTCTGCAGCAGAGACGTGAAGAGTGTCACTGCGTGTGGAACATTGCTCACATTGCATCCGTGGAGGACCTTGTCTCTCCGCTTTCTGTCTGCTGCACCGCTACTACCGCTGCTACTGCTGCAAAGTGCAATGGGATGCGTCGAGATGCGGACGGCCGTCTCTGAGTCTGGTAGTATTTATTGGTGGGGATGTTGGGAATCCAATCGGCTTGTTGAGCACACACAGCGAGGAAGCGAGTGATGCTGCCACAGCTGCTAGACGCTTGGGCCACCCCACGCCAAACACCCTTCCAGAGTCGTCACTGCCGTCACTCGTCTCCGCCCAAGCTGGCCCTGAAAAGTGCCCACAATCAAATCCCAAGGTGGTGTGGCCCGTGTCCCATGATCCCGCGACACGCTAAACCCTCCTCAGCGGACGACGTCGCGCTATTCCTCTGCACTGCTGCACCGAAGGTCTGACCCCGGTCTCGTTTCCCCCATCAACCCATCATTTGTCCCATCCTGCCTCTCCCCGTTAGCTTCCAGTGCAGTGATTCCCCAGAGTCCAATCTGCCAGATTGCGCGCGACCGACCGCACTTTTCCCACCCCCGAGCGGTCTTGATCGTCATCATCCCTCACACACCTTCAATCCCATCCTCCGCCGTGCTCTCCACGAGATTCCAGCGCACGGGAGCATCCATTGAATTAGCATTCTAGCCAGAATTCTCTTTGGCTCAAATCTCTTTGCTAGTAGCAATTTTATTTGTGTGTTTGGCTCGTCTTGGTTACCTTGTCCCCCCGACCATCCCGACCAAAAGGACACTGCGCGACCTGCGCGCAAAAGATTTCGCCATTCACGACACCAATAGGAGACCACCCATTGTGGCCATCGTCGCCTCCCCCAAACCCATCCCAACATTTGTATAGCTGTTCAGCCACTCCCCGCGACATCATGGCGACAGTAGCTAGGCATCTTCCGGCCCGTCGCAACCCTCTGATGCTCGAGGATGTGCCCTCCCGTAAGCCACCGTTCACAAGTGCGTGAACGAGAAACCGGAGCTGACTTGCGCAACTACAGACACAGATCTTGCAAGCCGTCGCCGCTTGGGGCAGACTCAACTGACCCCTCGCATGGTCACCGCTGTTCCGGGCGCTGAGGTTGATCCGTCGTCTCTCCTGGCGTTCGACTACGCCCACCTCAGAGCCCCTTTGCCCAAGGGTATCGTCTCGGGCATCTTCAAGTCTTCTCCTCCCAGCTACTTCCTCATGCGCCGCAGCCAGGATGGTTACATCTCGGCTACCGGCATGTTCAAGGCCACTTTCCCATATGCGTCGACAGAAGAGGAGGAAGCGGAGCGCAAATACATCAAGTCTCTTGCCAGCACGAGCCCCGAGGAGACCGCCGGCAATGTCTGGATTCCCCCTGAGCAGGCTTTGATCCTCGCCGAGGAGTACCAGATCACCCCCTGGATCCGAGCCCTTCTCGACCCCTCAGATATCGCCGTCACAACCACCGACAGCAGCGCGCCCAAGCAGATTGCTCCTCCTCCCAAGTTCTTCGGAGCTCAGCCTCCTCTTGTTGCTCCCACACCGCCTACGACTCGCAGCACGCGCAGCCGTCCTAGCAGTCGCCGTTCCTGCAGCCCTGGCAAGGCTACAACCAGCAGCAAACGCGGCACCACCCCTCGCAACACCACGCGCAAGGTTACCGCTGAAGCTTCTGCCACCACGGTTACCACTACTGCCACCGCTACCGCTGTCCCTGCCACAGAGACTCCCGCCACCAGCTTCGCCGACTCCCAGGCACCTACGCTCATCAATGGCGAGATTCCTACCTCTACCCCGATCAACACAGTTCCAGTTACCAAGATCCAAACTGCCGAAGCAGAGCTCAAGGTGGAGTCGGTCGAGAGGGAGCCTGTCGTTGTGCTGGAGCCTATCGAGGAGGAGCCAAAGATCAAGGTGCGCATTGATGAGGATGTCAAGCTGGATAAGGATGGCGAGGAGGTCAAGCATACCAAGGTTGAGCTTGAGGTGCCCTTAATGGCGGGTGAACCCCCGTCTAAGGAGGAGGCGAGGAAGATGATCGAGGAGGCCAAGGCTATGGTTGAGGCTGCCGTCAAGGCCGATGCTGAGGCCGCGGCTGCCCTTATTGAGGGCTCCAAGGCCGATGTTGAGGATGAACAGGCTGAAGGCGAGGCTGAGGCCGAGACCAAGGCTACCGAGGAAGAGAAGGCCGATAGCAAGGGCAAGCGCAAGGCGGAGAAGATTAGCGTCGATGAGGATGAGAAGGCTGCGGGTGAGGCTGAACAACCTCGGCGAGCCAAGAGGGTGAAGACCGAGGCAGAGTTGCGCAAGGATAGAATCCGGAAGCGCGCCTACCTCGGTCTCACCGCCACGTTTGCCGTAGGAGCTCTTGGGTACGTGCTGCTTCTTTCCAAGTGACATATTGACCGTTTGCTAACTTTTTCTGCGTAGTGCCCTTCTTCCCATAATCACACCGTATGTGGCCAACGTACTATAAATCCGTTTGGGACGTAGACACCATATTTCTTTGTTCTGTTTAAGCCGAGTTGGCACATGACGCGATATTGAAGGAGACAAGGGGCGCAGGCCGAGTTCGTTCAAGGAGTCTTCTGTGTACTAGGGATAATGGTCGTTTTGCTCTTGTATCTGGTTAACCACGGGTCAACTCGAACTTCGTGGGTAGCTTCGGTGTGCAGCATGGTTGGGCACCAGGACTCGGACGGAAATAGGATTTTCTTGAATTCAAGGTTGGTTTCATTTTCGGTTTGTTTTATGTTGCACATACCCCCCACTTCGGCGTCTGTCGCCTGTCAATCAACGATTGAGAGTCCATGGCATGAAGGGCCATGGCTTTGAATGGAGGTGGACCGGTCGTTGGATGGAATCTGGTTCTCCATGTAGGAACAACATAGGTATATACAATCTTTGAACACAAGCGCAGGCGGTATGCTATTGATACTCTCGCTGAGGTGGGAACGAAAATATTTCAGCGGAGGAAGACTTCAGCTTCATGCTGGGCTGGGAGGCTCCTTTTGTAGATAGTCGAGTCTAGTGGACTGCGTCATGTATGGAACAAAGCAGATCTTTCGGCAAGGGATTTTCCGAGGTCTATCTTCAGTGTCAGATATTCTTTGTCATGTATGCAACGCAATAGTCACACTGGCAGTTTCTCATCGTTCGGCATCGCCCATTGACAACAAGCCAATGTCATAGACTCGACTTGGACAGGCATGGTGGAGAGGTACCTATTCTACCATATCGTCTGGTGTTTGCAAGTTATCAGCTTATCGCAAGCTTCAGGTGGGGGGAAAGCTGATATGCATTTACATAAGCTCTTATCGTTGTAAACGAGCAGACTCCAATTGAGCTCCAATTTTGCAAGCGCACGAGTCATTTCCGCTCAATCGCACATCGCATATCTTTTCCTTTTTTCTCCTCTCTCCAATTTTTTTCTTCTCCCTTTCCCACCAAGCATCAACACCACAAACATCATCACCATGATGTTTTGCGGGCTTCGTTCTGGCAGCCCTTAATTGGGAACTGTCAAAGGGGAACATGACCTCGGCGCTCATGCAAGCGTCGGCCGTTACCCCTCGACCCCTCTTCTTCACCTTCTTTTACCGAGTTAGCTTCCATTGGGCTTCTATTGGCGATCCCATGACCTGCTTCAAGGCCTTCGTGGCCAAAGGCGGCAATGGCCGGCTTTACCTCCGGGTAACGACAACCACCTTCCTGTCGTCCGCCTGTACCACATACGCGCCTGGCTGGTACCGGTCGACATGCCTACCTACGCCGTCGAACAATACGACTGCTTAGTCAATCTTTCAACCGTCGGGTTTCTCTCACCGTCCTTCATCGAAACGCATTGTCGAAACGCAATACGCACTCTTTACACGTCACAATGAGGGCAAACACAAGATTGTGCAAGCAGCTGTTTGCTCAGCGCCGGACTTTCTCGTCCACTGCGCGCCGGCTGGATAACTATGCCTTCATTGGTCTAGGCCAAATGGTACGTCTCTTGCCCTTACTGCGCCCACTCGGGATAGGTTGCTGACTCTCAGACTATAGGGCTATCAAATGGCTAGAAACCTACAATCCAAGCTTCCACCAAGCGATACTGTTCGCCTGTATGATATCAACCGGGGTGCGGCTGAAAAGCTCGCCCAGGAGATGTCGGCACAGCAAGCCGGAGGAGCTTCCGTTCACGTGGCGGACAGTGCAGCCGATGCTTCGAGAGAAGCGGTACGTGACACTCTCGCTCTTTGCCTTCATTCCCTTTCCTGCAAAAGCTTTTATGATGAGTTTGTTCCAATTCATGAGTTTTTCTAAGTTGGGCCCAGCGTTTTGCTGTGGCTTTGAAGTGATTACTGTTATACAACATAAGCCAATCCTCTGAAAAGCTATCACACAATCTCTATTATTGTCATCATTCAATGTCAATGGCGACCCAAGACTGACTGGAATCTTGACATAGGACACGGTTGTAACATGCTTGCCCGAACCTCAGCACGTCAAGGCAACATACGAGTCGATCCTGAAGGCGGAGCTACCTGCCCGTCCTGGCCCTCGTCTGTTCATTGACTGCTCGACCATCGACCCTACGTCCTCGCGTGAGGTTGCCGCTGCGGTAGACAAGGCCCTCCCTAATGGGCAGGGTCACTTCGTCGATGCCCCAATGTCAGGTGGTGTTGTCGGAGCTACCGCTGGCACATTGACATTCATGCTTGGTGCCCCCGAGTCCCTTGTTGCGAGGTCTGAGATCGTCCTGCAGCGCATGGGCAAGCGGGTGTTGCACTGCGGTCCTCAGGGAGCAGGTCTGGCGGCGAAGCTTGCCAACAACTACCTGCTGGCAATTGAGAATATTGCCACCGCAGAGGCTATGAACCTGGGTGCCCGATGGGGCCTTGATCCGAAGGTGCTCGCCAGCGTGATCAATGTCAGCACTGGAAAGTGCTGGCCCAGTGAAGTCAACAATCCTGTGCCGGGCGTTGTAGAGACTGCCCCGGCCATCCGTGACTACCAAGGTGGTTTCGGGATAGGACTGATGCGCAAGGACTTGAGGCTGGCCATTCTGGCAGCCAAGGAGGCCGACGCCAAGCTTGTGCTGGCGGACAAGGCTTCGGAGGTGTACGAGACTGCCGAGTCTGAAGAGCGATGCAAGGGCAGAGACTTCTCGGTTGTCTATCGGTGGTTGGGTGGAAAGGAGTAGATACTGAAAATATTAACACCGTCTGCTTCTACTTTAATTCGTCTTTGATTACTCTTCGCGACTTTCCTTCTGCTTTCTGCTTTCGTTGTGTCCCAAAGTCTACCAGCTATCCTATGTAACGTCTTGCGCTCGAGTACTGGCCATCATTGGTCGTGATATATCCTCGACGTCGCTTTATGGTCGCTGTGTTAAGACCCCTATGTGTCCCTCATGTCTGATACTATGTTGTTGATCTACACAATCACAACTTCTCACCCATCACCTCAGCAAGGTATGCTATGCCGCCCAACCCCGAACACTCGCATTTTGCGTTATCGTATCTTTTCTGACCGGATTCACAGAAGCATCATCGTGATCGAGATAAACACAAAACGCCACAGTTCTTGATGGACATGACACTCATCTAACAGGCGACTATCATATTCGCCCGCAGGGAAAGATGCACAGCGGCCGAAAACCCAAAACCCATCCTTGCTTGAGGCTTATCCATGTTTTCAGCTCCACGTTGTCTGTGAAGGTGGTGAGGGTGAATATATTCAGGGCAGATGCCACGGAACTACAGTCATCGAACTCGAACCAGAGATAGTTACTACCATATTACTTTCCAAAACTTCATCATTCATCCAATAATTCATACGCTCTAGAGCTTAGAGCCAACCTTCAACTCACTCTTAATCTCGTCCACCAACTCCTGCACCCTAAACGCACACCCCCAGCTACCCTGATACCCCCACCCGCCATGTCCATAATTATGCACCACCCACGTCCCATCAATCTTCTCCTTCTCGATCCTCACGCCGCCCTCCCTATACGGCCTCAGGCCCACCGCATGCCTAATCACATCCAGCGCCTCGATGCCCTTCCCGCCCGTCAACGCCGGACACGCCTCCACGGCGCGCTTCATGATCCTCGTCGCAATGTTCGGATCCGGCACGCCGTCCCAGTTGCCCTTCATGTACGTCCCACCCAACACCGTCCCTCCGCCTGCCGCCCGCTGCATGATGTAGCACAACTCATCATCATTCCCATCATCCGTGCCGCTCGTGGACACCATGTTCCCCGCCGCCTCGTTGCGGACTACCACCACCTGCCCGCGCGCGGGCATGACTTTCTTGTCCATCACGCCCCCCAAGCGGCAGGAAAGCAAGCCCGTGGCGTTGATGATGATATCCGGCTTGCGACCCGTGATGTGGCTCAGCGAAGCCGCGTCCGAGATGTGCTTGAGCACGGCCCGCTTGAACACCACGCCGCGCGCGCGGCACTGGCCGACGAGCCAGGGGAGGTAGATGGCCGTGTTGATGCAGACCGAGGTGAAAGAGGAGCCCGAGGACATGCCCTCGGGCAACTCGGAGGCGGGGAGGTCGACGTAGTCGGGCATCAGGTCTTTGAACCACGGGTTGCGCACAAAGAGGCCTTCCGAGAGCGGGCCGGCTAAGCTGCCGCCGGCGGCTTCGTCTTTGGCGCGGCGGTAGAGGATGGAGGTCTGGAAGTGGATGCCGGCTTCTGGCACAGTCTCGGCGAGTTTTTTCAAAACGGGCCACGTTTCGCCTTCCCACCGGTTGTATTCGAGGGCCATGGGCAGCACGTTGGCGCCCGCGAAGGGGGAGGTGTACTCCGCGTCATAGTCGCCCGGCATGTGCTTGGCTACTACGGTGATGGTGTTTCCTCCCTGCTTGGCTAGCTGGAGGGCGCAAGTGAGGCCGCTCACGCCGGCGCTGTGATGGACGTCATTGGATTAGTCGGGGCGATCAACGACGACGAGTGGTTTTGTGAGACCATTATGGTGTGTGTGATGTCTTGGGTAGAGGTACTTGAAGCGTTTTCAAGATTTGATAGCCGATACCGGCCGGGGATTGTGTGAGACATACCCTACAACGACAATCGTGGACATTATGAATATGGAGGAAGTGAGGGAGGACAACCTGAAGTCCTGAGATCAACGGGAGTATAAAATGTCACAAAGAGTCACTGCCAGGTCAAAAACAAAAACCGCACGTCTATTCAGCCTTTATAGAAGCTACTTTTCCTTTGCGGGTTAAATCATATCAACATGATCAAACCTCAAATCAGCAATGGGATCCCCGATCCGGGCCGTTCTCTTATCTTTTTTTAGTGGATTCTACCGGCCGGTCCCTTCCCCCGCACGCTGTAGCATCCACTGATGGTCCTTGCCGTTAAGGGGTCTAGCCCCCCATGGGTCGTTAATGTACAGTCCAATACTGGTTTGTTTGTTAGCTCGAGACCTCGGGTCAACTTCCCTAGGCGTTTTCATGCTGTGCATATGCCTTTTCCAAAATAAAATACACCGTATTGGATCTTCTTGATGCCTTTCGGATCCGTACCTAGCCATTTTCATGCTGTGAATATGCTTTTTCTAAAGTAAAATACACTGTATTAAAACTTATTAATGCCTTTCATTTAGTCCTTGTAAGGTTTAGGACAATTCGGAAGAGATCTCGTCCAGTATACTAGGAGTACGTAGGTACTAAGCTAACAAACAAACCAGCACTAGATTGTAGTATAAAAGGCGCGCCCTAGCAGACTCCGCTACGGGCAACTCTAACCGCTCGGGTTGCCGGTTGCGGAACGCTCCCGCTACGGTCCGTCTCAACGCCAATGTCCCCGCATTCCGAGCGTGAACCCCGCTGAACTTTAACCTCGCTCCTTCTCGTTCTTGTCCTGCTTGGCGATACATCGTCTTTTCAAGTCTATTGGCGCCGATCAGAATACATATTTAACTATTGAGTACCATGAGGCAAATAGACGGGAGTGACACCACAGGATATTCCATGTAATCGACCCTCCCGTCCCTGTTTCGAACCTCCAGCATGGCGATATCGGTGCCTCAACGGTGTGACCGTCACGCCGTCTCAGTGCATGCCCGCTTGGCGTGCGTAGGGCTGAACACGTTGGCATGTTGGACTGTTCAGGTTTCTCCAGATATCCATCGCTTCGGTCGCCCAGCTTCGATTGAATCTCACGTTCCAGATACACATTTTGAAACCAAAACCTCGGACTTGAGGCGTTCATCATCCGTCACGATTGGTTCATAAGCGGGATCGTCGGACATCCTCCAGACCAGTCACCTCCTCAAACAACAAGATTGGCTCTACACCATCATTCTCTCTGTGCCACGCAGCCACGGCGACAACGATGATCGATATGCCCACTCAACAGTCCGGATGCCAACCACATCGACCCGGCCGGACCGGGGCGGCGCAACTATATCTTAAACTGGGCCAATAATCTCACCCTAATATCTCACCTAAAGATGCTATTATAGTGGCTCCGCCGCTAGTCAGACGGGTCGATTTTGTAGACCTGACGAGTATGGGACTCAGCATTGGAGTTCTCTCGTCTTACCCATTTTTTCTCACACATTCGCTGATCTCAGGAAACCAGTCTTTGATACTCCTTCAAATGTTTTCATCTCTTCAATGATTGACGCATCATTTTCATGCCGAAAGGCAATGAGACTTTTCCACTGAAATTCATACTCGACCGACTGTTTCGCTGAAATGTCAAACACACCCGGCCAGGATGAGGTCCATTCTTTTAGGGAATGGGCTTCTAATCCTCACACTCCCACACGAGGCAGCCCTATGCCCAACGAAACCGGGAATTATTTCTCCCACCACCACGAGCATCGACCAGACAGTGGACAAACTGCTTATGGGAATAACCAATATCACTCCGGATATGGGGATGGACTCACTACACCACACAGCATCTACGACTACAGCAAACCTGTTTCTCCTCACCCAGATGCCTCACTGGTCCCTCCTGGTTCGATCTACCAGCGGCATGATGATGAGACCAAGCTCTTACAGGAGAATCTATGGCAACAACAGCAGGTCAAAGGGACCTCCCAACCGGTCAACTTTTCAACTGTCCCCTTGACTTCACACAGCCTGGGTTCTCCTCCTGTCATCAGGAGTTCAACAGCCCGACTGTCCCGGCAAAGACGCTCCAGCTGCGCCTGCTGGCCATGGCGATGGAGGAAATCATGGAACATGTACCTCTGCCTGCTTTTCGGCGTTGCGTGTGCTGCTTCCCATCACTTCTACTACTGGTCGCTCGACAGACGACCAGCCACGAACCAGATTAAGATGATGCGATATGGAACCATATTGGCCTTCGGAGCGAAAGCAGGTCTGAGCGCTGCCGTTATTGTCGCTTTCCGGCAGCGGGTATGGACAACGGTTCGAAAACGGTTCATGACTGTCGGCGCCTTGGATGCCTTGTTCTCGGCTACGGAGGACTCGCAGGCTGTGACGAGTCGGGAGATGGTCCAAAGTGCAAAAGTGGCGGCGCTGCTGGCGGCATATGTCTGGTAGGTTTCTTCCCTGTGCCGTTCCTTTGTGAAATACTCGAAACATATGCTTACATATGGGTAAGGCTGGCACCGCTCGTAGTAGTCCTTACTTCGAACACACTGCTCGTCGTTCCAAGGAGGGTTGAAATCCGCGAAATGTGTCCAGGAGTAAGGACGCTCAACTTTACGTTCGAAGAAACGTATGAGTGGAGGAAACCTCCCAAGATTGACCGGCTGTTTGAGATTCCTCTATCTCTATGGAATACCACCAAGGAATCAGAGAAAGACACTCCTGAGTGGTTCGACTACTACACCGCACCCAATCCTAGTTTTCAGAATACAGCCACTATCGGCTCCTTTCTTGAAGAGGCCGTCATGAGGAAGAATGCACCAATCGAGACATGTGGGAGTGGTTGGAGCTGCTCTTTCGAGATCCAATTCATAGCACCAGCCTACAAGTGTACCGAACTTGGCAGTGGTGTCGATTCCAAAGTCAACAACCTAACCCAACAATCCGGAAGCATCGCTCCGCCCTTCAACATGGACGTCCTCCTCCCCAAGGGAAAATTCACCTACTACGCCTTCACCAGCGGCGGCGAATACTCCACCACGCAAATGAAAGAAGTCGGCATCGGCGGCCGACCAACAATGAACCCCCCCTTTCCCAAACACCTCGGCGCCTTCCGCACCGAGCCCATCATCTGGCTCGGCTACGTCACCCTCGCCGACGCGCTGTCCAAAGCCAACGACACCAACCCTCCCTCAGTTCCCTCCAGCCCGTCCGATCCAGCCTGGAGCACCTCCTTCGTCCCGCACATGTTCGCCTGCGAGAACTACGAATCCAACTACACGGTGCGTATCAACTATACCGACGCGGCCCAGTCCACCAACGTGACCAAGGTAACCTACCTCCGCCCGGTGATCAACACGACTTACACCCCCCACATCGACGCCAACGACGGCACCGCCGACAACGTCACCGCCGTTCCCACCGCCAACTACATCCTCCCCACCTCGGTCCCCCAATACCGGCGCACAGCCGCCTACCACTCCTTGGGCTTCATGCTCCGCGACCAGATCAACGGCACGGTGGGAATCGGCGACGACCGCGATGACCTCGTCAACCCCATCGCCAACACCAAGGCCATCCAGACGTCGCGGCTGCTCGATTACGGCAACAACTACTTCCCCTTTCCGGACATCCAGCGACGGATCCAAAAGTTTTACGAGGACATCATCCTGTCTGTGCTGGGAAACCCCCAGTTTGCGAGCGTGGTCTGGGCGGCGAAGCCGGGGGAACAGAGCGGCGTGACGTTTAATAATGTTCCTCTGGACCAAGAAGGGCAGAACAACAGGCCGCCGCCGCTCACAGACGAGCAGAGAGCGTACCTGTACCCGTGTACCAAGTTTCGTATGGCGCTGGTGTACAAGTTTAATGCGAGGTTGCTGTGGATCGTGTATAGCATCTCGATCGCGCTGGCGGTGATGGGGGTGGTGGTGGGGGCGTTGGCGCTGAGGGAGAATGGAGGGGTGGTGAGGGATACCAAGTTTTCGAGCATCGTGGCGGCGACGAGGGGGAGTGGCTTGGGGAGGGTGAGGTGGACGGATGGTGCTGATGGTGGGGTTTCTTCGGTTGGGAATGGGACGGTGCCGGAGGAGGTGAAGGGGTGGAGGATGGGGTATGGGGTTGTCGATACTTCTGGGAGTGGTGGCTATGGTGATGGACGGTTGGATGTGGGAGACGGAATGGGAGGGGGGCGGACGGTGTTTGGGTTTGGGTTCGAGGGGGATGTGAGGCAGTTGAGGAGGACGCCGAGTTTGGTTCAGTTGACAACGTTGGGGAAGTAGGCTTGATAACGTACGTAGCGTTTTGGGTACACTGTCCGGTCTTCCTATTTCTCATGTTGGGACACTGGGTGGTAGTTGCGTACCGGCGGCAGTCTCCATCCTCGTCGAGCTGTAATGGTAAGTTACAGTCACGTAGCCTTGACACTTTACAAGTAATCACAGCCTAGCCGGCCGGACAGCCTCGCACCCCAGGCCTCCGCGCATGCGCATGCAGACACTCACACAGAGCTGTTTCCAGGTGCTTGTTTCAAGACCTTTTCATTTCCTATCTATCTTTAGGTATCATCTTCGCATGTCCATCCCATTATATATATCTCCGCTTATTCAAGCTGCTTGGTGATGGCCGCCTTGATACCAGCGGGGTTGGCACCGACGACATCGCCAGCCTTCTCGCCGTCCTTGAAGATGATGAAAGTGGGCATGGCGCGGATGCCGAGCTCCTGGGCGAGGTCGGGAAGGGCGTCGACGTCGAACTTGGCGAAGTAGACAGTCTCCTTGAACTGAGGCTCCTCGGAATACCTTTTCAAGAAAGAGAGAATAATCAGTTAGTGAACTGTTTTTGTTTGTATGAAAAAAAAAAAAAAAAAAAAAAAAAAAAAAAAAAAGGCTGGGACGGGAGTGTTTCGCTCGCGCGCGCGTCATGAATCACGGTAGGGAGGGGAGTATGTATGTATTTATGCTGAAAGAGCACAAGGCTGGGGCTGGAACTAGTGGGATCGGAAGGAATCGAAGGAACGTACTTGGCGACCACGGGAGCGATAGCCTTGCAAGGACCGCACCATTCAGCGAAAGCGTCGAGGACGACGATGTGGTTCTTGGAAATGGCCTCCTTGAACTCGTCCTTGCTGTATACGAGATATTGTCAGTCATTGTGTACATTGATAGGCGGATGTTTGCGCCGGCGCAGGGCAGGCAAAGGCAGCATTGCGCCGTGATGCCATTGACTCCAAGCTTGGCTTCCATCACAGCCTCGAAGGGACAGGAGAGGGACAAATAGAACTCACGTAGCAATGTTGTGGACAGTCATCTTGGGCGACGAAGTGGTGAAGAACCGGGAAGCGATTGAAGGGGTATTGGTGATGATAGGGCGAGGAGTAGCTCTGGTGAAGGTGCTGACGGCAGGTCTGATGAATTTGGCGGAGAACATGGTGTAGGAGAGTTGAGGGGAAGAGGGGTTTTTTACGGTAAAGCCCAACAGAAGGCTGAGCTTTTTTTACAAGAAGACTGCGCGGAAACGGTACGGTACAATCACGCAAGGGCGGCACATGGCATGGAAGCTCTTGGCTGCCCTTGTCCACTGCACTGCGCAAAAGCTTACGGGAGCAAGTCAAACAGTGGTGGAGCCTTCTCCATGTTCCCGTTTTTGATGATGTAAGAAAAGTCTCCATTTGTCAGGTCCCGCCGATGACGCGAACGGGGACTTTGCCGGGGGACCCTATTGACTCCGCCAACCACCAATTGAATGGAAATGTCCAGCCTCGATTCGCAATCTTTCCCCTCTCCTTCTTCAACTCGACTCGATTTGATCGCGGAAAATTCCAAATCTCAGTCATGTCCTCCTCGTTCCATTCTTACAAATCGGTGTCGCCAACGACTTTGTTGATGGTCTCTTTACTCAGAACTTCCAACATGTCTCAGCCCGTCCATCACTCAACAAGGCTACGACAATGTCTTGGACTTGTGCATCCTGTCAGCTCATGACCAACGCACGTCATTGCACGCGATAAGCACTGTCCGCTCTCGCCTTAGCTGCTTATCTTGCATTCTGTGGCGCAGTCATCCAGAACACCATTCAGTCGGCCGTTTCAGGGCTGAGGTTTTGGGGTCTCAGATGCCTGCGCTTCAGTCACACACGTGCACCCAAAAGGCCTTACCATTGCTCATTTTATGCCTGGCCGCGGATCTTTATGGACGGTGAACTGCACATCGGCCGGACGGAATTTATGTCAATCTTGTCAATCTCGTGGCAAAAGCGAGTCAAATGAGACAACATGAACTTCAACACCATGGGCAGTGTGGCTGAACCTCGAGTTGCTGGGTGTGGATCCCCTCAGGGGTAAACAAAACATCTGGACCCATCGCCAGGGCAACCATCTCCTCTCTCGTCCCATTTCATCCAGCTTTGCGGATTATCAACCGAACTACACACAGAGTATTTCTCTCTTCTTCCTCGACGACCTTCACAGTATCTGTTTCTACGTGGGAACGGCGACCAACGTTACTTTGATGCAGAATCGGTTCGGATCGGACTCTGTTGTTTATCACGGGTCAATTAACCAGCCAAATCACAGAAACCTCAAGCCGAAACGGCAGTTAGACAGGCCGGAACTTACTCGTGTTCCCCGGAGGATAGTACCGGAACTCATGACTATTATCGAACGAAGGCCGCACGCAAATCCAGCCTCCGGTCGGCGCATTCTGCTTTCCCACAAACCGCAACTCAACCTGCAACTGGTCGGTGTCCGGGTTGCAAGCGTACGTCGGTTGGAAGAGGGCTCTCGGGTCGCCGCGTTCCGTCATGAACATCTTGACAGTGTCGTCGACGTTGGATTCCTGCGCCGGAGAAGTCAACTTATAAACTCTTTGACGAATATCTTCCCCTTAGGAATTGCGACAAACTTACCTCGCCGCCAATGACAGCATTGATGGAGACCCAGTTGATCGAACCATTGATGAGACGCAGGTTGGTAGTAGTGTCGCCCACCTGTGGTGAACCTCCGACATATAGGTGCCGGTCACCACCTCCGGAGACCATCAGGTTCATGTACTTGTTGTGGACTTGAGGATAGGAGGCATTTTGGACTTGGACACGGAAGTTGCTGGCGATGTTGTTGGAGAGTGGTGTGCTTGGGATGGTGCAAGCGGTTGCGATCGTGATGAGGGCCGTTAAGCCTAGGAAGAACCTCATTGTGAGGATGATAATTGGATTGAAGAGACGCAACGAGCAAGTATTCGGACCCAACATGATGGATCCAAGTCGGTTGGATGCCCGGGCATGCTCGCTTTATGGCTTACAACAGCACGAACGAAGAAGCATGTTTGTCAAACATAACGGCCAACCCACCCCCTTACACTGTGCTTCCCCATGGGGCATATAAAAACGATATGCCAACAGTCAGCGGCACGACATTGACCGGTCCGCTCCAGCAATGCAGACAAAGCAAAGCCAAGTACATCTTGGGGGGTCTTTGCTTTGCCTTAGGATAGGAAAACTGGATTTGTTTTCTTGTTTACTTTGTTCTAGTTGGCTTGTCTACATCGCTCGTCCCGTTCGACTCCAGAGCGCTGATCTAAAAACATCAAGCGCACCAGTCGCATATTCAGGCTTCGTATACATGCAGATGAAATATGCTTTGTTTGTGTGAGCGATAGCCTTTTTAAGTCTCCATTGGCTACTGGGCGCGAAGTGCGGTAGTAGTATTGGCGAACTATTAGGTCGGTCTAGTCTACGTGTGTTACACCCTCTTCGAGGACTTCCGAGGTTGCAGAGGCTAGCTGATGGAGTGCATATGATTGAGGAGATGATACAACATGATGCCGTCGAGTGTTGGCAGATGACTTATCTCTGCAACTACTGGAAGTGGAGATGATGACTGGTAAATGCGGAGGTAAAGGTCAGCACTCGAGAGTCGGGTCATCACTAGAGTGATTTTTGTCGTCGCCTGGCTTGGATTTTGGAATGTTTTATACCATGTATCACACCAACTACATACGCGGTGTAACGATAGTTTGGTTCGTAAATTTCTTTCCGCAATGTGAAAGAGAAGTGAAGTGCGGCCAATCAGTTGCAAAATCACCCGATATACGAAGGTTACCTACCTCTATAAGTACGATATCTTACCAGGGTTTCTTCAACCCGACCGACCAATCTACTCCAACCCATGGACTCGGAGACCCAAAAGCCGGGGTCCCATCAATCACATCTGTCCGTGGGAAAATGACAGGCAACGACGCCCGTGATACAACATATGGCTGCCTCATGCAGAGTTTCCTCAGCCCCAGTCAAGGTCCCGACACCGAGAGAGCCTTACGGACTGCCCAATAACACATCGCCTTAAAAGCATCTGGTTGGGGACATGGGTAGTTCATACGTCTATTGTCTATACCATACCGAGAAAATACCGCTTGCTTCTTTTATTTTCTTCTAAGACGGAAACCGAAAGTGTAACAGTGGCCTGTTACTAACCAACCTATCACTCCTGTACCCAGTCTATGTAGTGTCCAGAAACCCCGAGGCGGAGAGAGAAAGGAACAGAAACAGACAGACAGACAGACCGACGCCCGCTAGCTCGCGAGCTCCTCACTTACTACCAACAGCAGCCTCCTTGACAGTCAGCTTGCCCGCAGCAATGTCCTTGACCACAGCGAGGATATCGAAAAAGTCGTGGAACGTGCGGAAAGGCACGCCCTCCTTTTCGCAGTAGGTGATGAGATCTGTTGTGGTGTAACAAAGTCAGCAACAAATGGCCCATGGCAACGGTAATGGTAATGATAATGGTGAGTGATTCGTTCGACCGCAGCATAACAATAACATACCCTTTCCGGCCTTTGCAAAGAGCAAATCGGTCTCCTTGGCAGCTGAGAGATCCGAGACGCCATCGCCGGCGTAAAAGAGGACCGGCCTTTGGTCGGCGGGCAGGTTGGCGTAGGGGCGGATCGCGAGGGACTTGTCGTGGCCGAATCCACTGTTTGTTTTCTCAATGTGAGCTTTTGTTCCCAAACAACACTGACAAAAAAAAAAAGAAAAAAAAAAAGAAAAAAAAGAAGAGAAGGCAACAAACCTGTCATCATGGAAAGTAATCATCCACCCCCCCTCCTCATTCACACTCTGCTTCCCCTCCCTAACCGCCACCTGGTTGCTAACAATCTGCAAGCTATCCGCCTCCTCCTTGCCCAAGAAATGGGCCAACAGCGCCCTGATCACCGGCTCCATGCCACCTGACAAGATAACAATCGGCATGTTATTCTCCTTGGCCCAGTGGAAGAACTCCTTGAAGCCGGGGTCCAGGTTGATGTTTTGCAGCAAGGTCTCGATGCACTGGTCAAGGGGCGTGTGGATGCTGTCCAGCATCTCCTGGAAGCTGTCGCGGAAGTCGCGGCGGCCGAAGAGCACGTCGTCGTTTCCTCGCTTGCGCAGTTCGGGCCCGAAGCCGAGGTTGTCCGTCATGAAGTCATTGCTGTCTTGTTGGGTGATGGTGCCGTCGAAGTCGGTGAAAAAGATGAATTTGGGGTTGGTGGCCAGGGCGGGGAGGGAGGGGGACTGGTCGCTGGATCCCATTTTGACGGTGTTTAATTTGAAGATTGGAGGTGGTTTAGGTGAGACAAAGATGCGGGAGAGAGAGGTAAGGAAGTGAGGTGAGGTGAGGGGAAGTGAAGACCGGAGGATGTCCGAAACTCGACGGTTAACAAAGGAATGACTCGGCGCGGGAGATCCCAACAGAAAGCCCCCCCTCCACCGGTACCGGGCCCGCGGCCCAACGGCACAGTAAGCGGCAGTGGACAGAATTCACAGGGTTGGACCCCATCGGCACGGTGCCTGAGACCCCGAAAGGCCTGAAACTTGGGCGCGTCTCGGCGACCGCATCCCCGATGTTAGTGGACCATTTTGGCGGGTGCTACCCACTGTTGCGTGCTAAGGCGCCGATCCGCCGGTTTAGTTAACAGGCGATCGGCAATCATGGCCGTTCAAAAAAAGATTCCGTAACGGTGATTTTGCGCTTCTGGCAAAACAGAAAAGGGGATTCAAATTGAGATTTGCAGGAAAGGCATACCGCCTTGGTTATGTACGAATATACAAATCAGTTAAAGAATGTTGTATAAGTGTATCGGCTGTAAATGGCGTGGAGATGGAAGATCGGGTCGGGATGGCACTTCACATTGGACGAAATATGCATGTACCGAGTGTGCCCCACTTATTTTCTCCAAATTCCAAAAGTTCCCGTCCAAAAGTCCATGATTTCATCAACCATTGTTTTCTTCTCGAATTTTCGCTTCTCTTTCCCCACGTCTAGAATTTCCTCCTCTTCAGAGCAGCTCACCACTCCCCAAACACACAAATTACACGCACGAACAGCAACCATGGGCAAGCCAAAACGCCACGTCCACGCCGCCGACCAGGAGTCACTGACCCCTCCCGACCAACTTACCGATTCGCAATCCATTGCGCGCGTCGTCAAGGCCGAGGGCAACAGCAACTACATCTGCGAGCTGCCCAACAAGAAGACCATTCTGGTCGAGCTCGAGTCTCGCTTCCGCAACACCATCTGGATCAAGCGCGGCGGTTATGTCTTGGTCGACTTGGGTTCCATGGAGGAGCGCAGCAAGACTGGCAGCAAGGTTGTTGGGGAGATCATCAACATCGTGAGAGACGAGAAGGCTTGGAGGAAGGAGCCTTATTGGTATATTCCCAATGCTTCTCTCATCAAATTGGAGAGAGAAAACTGACAGAAGGACGAAACACAGGCCCAAGCAGTTTGTCAGACAGACTTATGACGAAAGCGAAGACGACGAGGAATCGACCGTTGGAAAACTCCCGCCTAGCGACTCGGAAGACGAAGAGTACGGACCTTGAAAAAGTCATCAAGAGAACAGAGATACCCAAATATTACGTTAAAATACCAGCCAAAGAGTCAGACAGCAAATACATCACCGCATCGCCGCCTCCTCCTTCTTCGAAGACGACTTCGTCCCAGGCTCCCACTCCTCCCGTGCGCCGAACCAGACTCCCGCGACGCTAACACCCAACACGCCCACCACCACCGCCGAGCTCACCGGCGTACTAGGAAACACATTCCACGCCCACTCCTGTACCGCCCACAGCAGATACACCAAAATAGGGTGCAACCCCGCGCGCCAGAGGAGGAACGGAGTCGACCAAGCGACATAGGCATAGAACTGATAGTGGAGGGACCTCGCAAAGAGGAGGCCCACAGCGTTGGCAGACATGATCGTGGTCAGGATATACCTCGGAGTGACATCCCGCGCCGCAGCGCGGTGCTCGGGGCCGGTTAGCGGCGGTTTTCCCGCCAGGAGGACAGGAGAGATTAGCTGAACAAGAGACTTGCGCGCAGGTTTGATCCAACGGGTGGTGACGAAGATTGCCAAAACGAGAACGTGCAAAGCGAGCAGTGTGAGCGCGAACCCCTTGCTGAGAAAGGCTTCTTCGCCGACGAAGCGCCAGTTGACGGTCCATTTGAAGAAGAATTGCCGGGAGAGCTCGAAGGCGCGGGAGAGGTATTCCGTGGGGTAGTGCGCCAGGAAGGGGACGCCGATGAGGACCTGGACTAGACCCATTGTTGCTGCGAGCTGTAGAGTGGTGACAAAACTGCCGCTGCCGAGGAAGAGGATGATGCCTACGGCTGGTAAAGAGAGTAGTAGTGTCATTTTGACGCCGAGGCCAAGGGTGTAGAGTAATGCGCCGGCTTGCCAGTTGCGCCGCTGGAGGAAGAAGATGGCGAGCCACAGGAACAGGACGGCGAAGCAGTCGTTGAAGCAGCGGAGGACGAAAATACTGTGTAGCCGTTTTGAGAGGATCAGGAGCGGGAAGAGATATGGTGGTGCCTGGTTTGTCCATCCTGTTAGCTCCTCTCCCATGCCGCACTGCCGCAACATCACTTGTAGAAGATACCTTGGCCTGCCAATAACACCCCATCACAACCCCCAGCGTGACCATATAAAGCCCTGCAAAGAGTTGTTGCGCAAGCAAGATATTCCTCCCCTCATTCGTCAGGTGATATAGTCCGGTGTAGATGTAGACGTGCGCAGCCGGATAGACGAGCGGACCGGTGCCGCCGCGGATCTTGGTGTAGTCGCGCTCGCCCGATAGGATCTGGGAGACTTGCTCCATGTAGGCCGTCCAGTCGATTTCGGTGTCTGTAAAGGATAGTTTTCGATCGTGAGCATACGGTTCGTTACCGTACTCCAGTCCGCGGCGCCGGTTTACGTACAAGGCACTTTCCAGATGATCAGCCCGCAGAGGAGCGCATCGGCCACGAAGAGAGCTGGCGGGATGAGCATCTTGTCAGCGGGGTGCCCGGTGAAAGCGGGATGCACCTTTTGGTGATAAGGAAGGAAAGCTGTCGCAAAGAGGACGCGTTGCGATCGATGCCCGAGGGGACTTTCATCCAATTTCATGTGCTAACAGTCGTCATTTTAGACAGGGGCAGCGGCGCACTAAATTATGGGATTACAGGGGGTTGTGGAGCCGCTTGGGCTAGCTATCCGAGTGGTCGTAATAATCGGCACACCGTTTGCTATATACTTGTAGAGGTAGTACAAAACACGGGGCGTCTGATACACTTGATCAGATCGAAGCGATTGAAACGGACTTTCCCTTTGGGATATAGACTTAAGTCGTCACTTCGACGACCGTACCATGAGTGCTATCCAACTGTTTTCACATGTTCCAAAGTTTATCAAGGGTTTGTTATGGGCCTTCGAATGTCACAAGGGCCTGATCCGATGTAAACAGCCTGGCATCCGACTGGCCCATCAGGGTGTTCCGCTTATTCTGACAACCATTCCCACCGGCTACAACATCAGAACGACATTCTCCTCAAACTCTGCCGTCTAAATCCCACTCATGTCCTAGAGCCAGTCTGTACCGGTTGGCCATTCTCCTCATCATCTATATCGAACCCATAGTATGTTTTCGGATCATTGAAGCGGACATGCCTTCCGGGTCCCCTAGGATTGTTCAGAGCCTCCATATCGGCCTCTGACAGATCAGGTCGAGCCACGGCCTCCAAATTCTCCCGGATGCGTTCAGCATCGAATGACTTGGGCACCACGCTGGTACCACGCTGCACAGCCCATTTCAAGAGTACCGCGGCCGGGGTGGTTCCGTGCTTATCAGCAAGAGCTTTGACCTGATGGGAGGTCAGTCATGATTTCCAGATATGACAACTTGAACGTACAGTCGGATCTTCCAGCGGTCCCGTAACGTGCTTGTTGGGGGACAACCACGTCGACAGGCCGACCTCCAAGTGGAGAGTGTGTGGTAACGTGGATTCCTTGCTCCTGACAGAATGCTAGCAGCTCATGCTGAGGCAGGTATGGATGGAGTTCGACCTGGTTCACATCCGGCAGTAGACATCGTCGAGCTGTTGACGGGAATGGCTTCTTTCAGTTCTCTGGGTGGGAGATGCGAAGTTGAAGTGAACAGACTGAGGGAAGCTTAGCGGCGGCTCAACAGATGTTGTTTGTTATGAGGGGCAACCCCGAGTTTTAGTTCCAATATTTGATGTTACACCCGTCATCAGGTCTTATTTCCGGAACAGAACACCTCAATGGTGACTGAAGATCTCCCGAGTATATCAAGAAAAGACAGGCCAGCCCAGCCTTCTACCACATATGAGTTCCAACCAAAAGGGTTAGTCCAAGCATCTCCGTTCAATATTTGGGACTTCCTGATGTATTCGACCATGGTGAGTATGAAGCGGGCACAATGACCGGTGGCTGACGTTGTCGACATATCGGGACCCTAGATCTTGAGCTTCCAAGTCTGTCAAGTATTTTCCACTCTGGATGTCTCTATGTTGAAGCTGTAGAGATGAAAAATGTTGTGATATCTGCGCGTTCAGATGAACGGGGTAAAGTGGAGGGTAGGTGAGATATTTGGTGGTCAGCAAGGTACCTGCGTGGTAGGGTCCTCAGTGGACCCCTCCTGCCCCGGATTCCCCACTTCCCAATCCACCACAGCTCACGTCACAGCTCACCACTGCTGGGCGCTCAGCGCGGCACCGGGATCGCAACTTTGTCCACTCCAACTAATCATCACAACCACTCGAACGCGCTCTCCGAACAAAGAGCCCAGTGCGCTGAAATACAGCCACTGACCCAACATGGAATCAATAGCAAGGATCTCGTCGCTGCTAGAGAGCGGTAAGCTTGACTCCCTCTTCAGGTTATCACCATGTCCTCCTGCTGACATGTCTCTGTTCCAGCCCGAGAGCTCACCCTCGATGCCGCCTCGGCCGCCCGCAGCGCACGCAGCTCCTCCAAGCCTCTCGATCGCGTCCAGGTCAAGAAGCTCCTCGATAGCCGCAATGAACGAGAAGTGTTGGACGGTCTGCGCCGGGTCATCTCCGTACGTCTTATCCTATACCTCTGCCATGGTGGCCATGGGAGCCATCGCTAACAGCTCGGTCGCATTTCGTCCAGATGATGTACCGCTCGCAAAAGACACACCCTCTCTTCTCCTCCGTCGTCAAAAACGTCGCCTCTCCGAATATCGAGATCAAGAAGCTGGTTTACATCTACCTGATTCACCATGCCGAGGAGGACCCCGACCTTGCCCTGCTCTCCATCAACACCATCCAGAAGTCGCTTTCGGATTCCAACCCTCAAGTACGCGCCTTGGCTCTACGAACAATGTCAAACATACGGGTACCCGTTATCAGCCAGATTGTGTCGTTGGCGATCAAGAAGGGCACCGGAGACATCAACCCCTACGTGCGCCGAGCCGCTGCCTTGGCAGTCCCCAAGTGTTACCGACTCGACCCTTCCCAGATGCCCCAGTTGCTCGAATACCTCTCGACACTCCTGGCGGACAAGCAATATTATGTGGCAGGCGCCGCCGTCACAGCCTTTCTGGAGATCTGCCCGGACAGACTGGACTTGATACACAAGCATTACAGGCAGTTGGTCAAGATGGTGGTGGACATGGACGAATGGAGCCAGCTCTCAACACTGCGACTCATGACGGTTTACGCACGAAAATGCTTCCCGCGACGGACCCGAATTGTGAAAGCCCAGGACAAGGCGGCTGATCTTCATGACTTCTACGGGGATAACGCCGCTGCAAACACGAATAATGACTCGGAGGGCCAGGAGATTGTTGTTCTTGACCCTGATCTTGAGCTACTCCTCAACAGCATCAAACCCCTCCTCCAGTCACGAAACTCGGGCGTTGTGGTGTCAGTAGCACGCTGTTACGATGCTGTAGGCACACCCGAGTACGTCAAGACAGCCATTGGGCCATTGATAGCCTTGCTACGAGGCGCTCAGGATATCCAACAGGTTGCGCTCTTCAACATCGTATCCATCTGCCTTACCCGATCTGCCGATTTCGTTCGCTATGCCTCGCACTTCCTTGTGCGTGCAACGGATACGCAGCCCGTATGGGAACTCAAGCTGGAGCTTTTGACCCTCATCTTCCCACATGCGCCTCCCCATGTCAAGAGCCTTATTCTCAACGAGCTTGAGCATTTCAGCCGAGGAACCGATAAGGCGCTGGTTAGGGAGGCAGTCAGGGCCATTGGCCGCTGTGCCGTCACAGACACAGCAGCTGCACCCAGGTGTCTGCGGTTGCTTCTCAGTCAGATCACTAGCTTGGACGGCACGCTGGCCGCAGAGAGCTTGACAGTGATACGACATCTGATCCAGCAGGACCCAACTGCACACGTCGCCACGGTCGTAAGGCTGGCAAAGAACTTGGACTCGGCCACCGACCCACACGCTCGCGCCACCATCATCTGGCTAGTAGGCGAGTTTTCCGGTCTCAACGGAGAAGACAACATCGCCCCTGACGTGCTTCGGATCCTGCTCAAGGACTTTCCCTCCGAGTCAGAGATCGCTAAACGACAGATCATCCTGCTCGGCGCCAAAGTCTGCCTCCATTACCTTAACCGACAGATCGTAGCATCACAAACGGCCGACGGCGAACCAGGGCCTCCACCCAAGCTCCTCGAAGACGATGACCATCCAATCGCAAAGTTATGGAGTTATGTGCTCCTCTTAGCTCGCTACGATACCTCGTACGACCTCCGTGACCGCACCCGTCTCTACAAAGCCTTGCTTGGCGTACCCCAGCTCGCGACGCTCATGCTGCTCGCACCCAAGCCCGCGCCCCAAGCTCAGAGTCCATCGGAGATAAGACGTGGGTATACCCTTGGCTCTTCAGCCCTGGTCCTCGCCGATGCCGCTGGTGTCCACGGCGTCAGAGGCTACGAGGACTTGCCCGACTGGGTCGAGGAGGGCAAGCAGCCGGATCCGAGACTGAGAGAGACCGGTGTGCCGCCAACCGCGACGTACGGTGAGAAGCGAGTCGTACCGGCTTTGGAAATTTTGGATGGTGGATCCTCTAGGTCAGTGCCCACGAAGGCCAACGGTCTGGGAGAGGGAGTAGGGACAAAGACACTTGATGATTGGCTTGCGGAGGAGGAGGATGTGGGTAAGAAGGCGGTGCCTTTGTCAGCACCTGTGCAACGGCAGGTTGTGGAGGAGAGTGAAGAAGAGGAAGAGGAAGAGGAGGAAACAACTGAGGAAGATGACGAGGAGGAGGAGGAGGAGGAAGAAGAAGAAGAAGAGGAGGAAGAGGAAGATGATGAAGAGGAGGGTAGTTCATCGGAAGAAGAGGAGTCTGATGGCGACGAGACTGAAGACGCGAGGCTGATGGGGGCATGACATTCAACTACCTAATGCCAGTATGGAATGAATGGTCAACCGACATGGAAGAATTCTTGATAATCGACGATATCAAAGTTATGTTGCTCCTATTCCTCCTCATCATAGTCATCGGTCCTTGATTCCTTCCTGAGTTATCCGACACATCCTCTTTTCTGTCCAGAAGAAGAAGGGTACTAAGTTGTATTCTTCTTTCTTCCCACATATACAATAAAACACCCAATCTGAACGTTCTGCCATGCTATGTTACAAAATAAAACCGCTTAGTTCCTCTCGATACCGACCAGGCTCGGGGAAATGGAAACAACAAGAAACAAAACGAGTACGACGAGCACGAAGACGAGGAAGGCCAAGGAAAGAAAGTGACTGTTGGGGCTTGAGTGAGATCGACATACAGCCACGGACTCTCAACCGGCACTCAAGTTTGATGTGGAGGGAGCGCGAGGCTCACATTGCCCCACATGGCCCCCAGGACCGGTCTGATGGTTGATAGAATTGTGGCCGCCTCCGGGCGCCGGTGCCGGTGACGATGACTGTGTCGGGAAGCGGGAAGGAGAGGGACTCGGTGCCCGACTCCTGCGTCTTCTGGCCGCCATGTCCGCTGTGCGGAGACCTCTTCGGAGTCTTTGGTCGTGGTGTTGGTGGTTGTGGTAGTGGTGGTGGTGGTGGTGGTGAAAAGCATCTTGTCCTTGGCGTTGGTATTGGCCTTGGGATAGATACTGAGGCATTGGAAGATATCTTGAGTCGGGAGTGTTGAAGATAGAATTTCTTGATGGAGAACGTAAGTTAGTCGGCGCCCAAGAAAGACACTGGGTGTAAGACGGGAGGATAGAGTGTGTCATACTCACCTGCTAGGGGCGACTTAGATGGTATACCAAAGGTATAGCGATGCTTAGAGAAAGTATACTAGGTTGAGATGGTAAAAAAAGGCTTGGTGAGAAGTCGGTAACTTGGATGGTTTCGAGTTGAAGCTGTGATTGTTGTAAGTGGGTGGTACTTCTGGGGATGGAAGAAAAAGAGGAAGAGGGGGCGAGCCTGGGGATTAAGTATCAAATTCATCGGCCCTCCAGATTATTGCTTCCAGGCCGTACGTACGGCCTTTTTGGCTCTTGATCCGAGCAATCAAAGACGAGTGCATCTCCGTGGTGCATCTTTGGAGTACATCTTCGGTTCCTAAAAAAGATGTATGATCCGGAGTTCGTGATGAATCACTGCAGTCCCATGCCCGCCTCGGCCAGCTCCCCCTGAGGGTGGCCATATATGCATCATCAGGCGATAAGCAACAATTCATCAGTCAGTTATCTTGCTCTGCCTGTACCTCATCCTACCGTAAAGACTCGGAAACATGTTTTACAGGTTGCAGAGTCAAAAACGTCCAGCAACCACGTACGTGCTTTCCGACGTGATTGCCAAAGAGTAACCCTCGGGCGCATACACCGTTTTCCTACACGCACCCAGTTTTCGACCATGTTGAAGACACTCAACCAGACTTCCACATTTGCTCTTAGTTTCGCCAAGAAAAACACCATGACTTCATAGTCAATTAAATCCCAAACTCCCTGTAGCCTTCCCTCAATTCAAATTCCGATCATCGGCCACACATTTTGTACGTTGTAAACGGTGGACGCTGCGAATGTAATCATGCCCAAAGAAAGCCCTTGGTAATTTTGTGTAAGAAAAAAAGTAACGCCGATAAGGAAATGAAGTAGGCAAACGAATCACACCAATTTTGAAGAAAATATTGGTGGTTATTTTGGTGGGGAATTATCACCAAATGTCTTTTAAATGTTGGGTGCGTGTCAGGAAAAGGTAGGTGCGCAGAGGGTCACTCCTGCCAATAACTTCTGTGTCGTGAACTTCAGCAGCCGGAGTTTGGGACCAACCTGATGGGCTAAATACATTTATTCCTTCCGTGCCAAGCTCCTACGCCTTTCTCATCTGGCAGATGGATCTCGTAGCCTGGCCAGTCCTTCTGACTGACTACTTCCTCATCCAGGTGACGTCGCAGCTTCAACAATATCTATGCCCGGACTGGGATTGTCTTTATGAACGGTGGGATCGTAATACTAGTCACTAGTGATTGATTTTGTTCTTGAGTTATCTGACCGATCGTCTTTCTCGTCTTCAGGAAGTGCGATGATGGTCGGTTGTATTCTTCTACACTCCTGCCTGCACAAAGAAGTATTCAATCTGAGAGTCATAATACAACCAACGGTACAGTCCCTCGCAATGTCATGCTTCCATATGAATCCCAACAATCTGTCTTCCTTTTTCTTCGTCGTATTTGCCATCCTCGCCTCATGTTGCCTTCCATTCCCATACCCAGTCGAACCGCGCAGCAGACTCACCACCATCAGGCAGGCTTACTCACCTCCAGTCCTCCTCCTCCTGCATGTGCCACACGTCCCACAATGGGGGCATGGGAGAGAAAGCGGGCAAGAATAAGGATAATGGCGGGGAGAAGAAGAACCGGGGGGAGAATCAGAGGAAGAAGAAGAAGGAGAACCGGAGCGGGATCGGGTCGAAGAAGGCGTCGGCGCGTTACTTCTGCGCCGCCGCTCCGCCCTGTCCACCTCATCCTCCCGCAGCAGCTGCTGCTGCTCCGTTGTGTCTGGCGGCGGGTCTACCGCCGAAAGCCAATCCAGGTTATCGGAGAGTTCCAGGTCGGCCACATCGGCTACCCCACGCCCACGCACGAACTCACGTACGTAGGCAACCATATCTATGGTTCGAACCACAAACACATATACAATCCCAGCCACGGCCAAGATCATGAAAAACCCCAACACCATTCCCCCTACCAGAACCACCATCAACGGCACAATATACACTGCCAGGAGAAACATATCGGAGAAAAGGGATTCCATCGTACTGATAGCGTTAATAGAGGCTTGGTAACGGAGGTGGTGATATCGGCAACGTTATTGGGTATCTTACTTAAGTGTAGTGGGGACGAAGCCTTTTCGGTGAAGAAAGTTAGCTGGAGCCAAAGAAAGACTGGATGCGAGACGGGGATTGGAGGGCGTCGTACTCAGCTTGTTTGAGGGCGGCTTCGATGATCTTTGCTTGACAATCTGTGGCTTATGCTCGGGTACTGTGACTGCTGGAGGTTAGCAAGAACGAACGAGGGAAGTGTGTGGAATGGACATGGATGACGGACTTGCAGAGAGTTTTGGAGCTTCTTGGGTGCAAATGTCTGGAGATATGACTCTGTGGTATGGGTACTGTCTCTGAGGAGAACAGTGGCGTGTTCAGAGAAGAGATGAATGGGATGGAGATGTGAAAGAAACTAGGAGAGAAGTTGGTAGCTTACATGGGTTTGACTGGAGCTCTGGTTGGTGTGCCTGATGTTGATAAGAGGGGAAGAAGAGAGTTCGATTAATAGGTGGGGGATGGGGTGTTTAAATACAGTAAACTCATGGAACCTCGAAAATATTTTGCCCGGCAGTATGTAGGGAATCTGGCTCTTGACACAGGTCATTTGTGACGAGTGCATCCTTGGTTCCCGCATGAATGTATCGCTAGGAGTATGTGGTCATGAATATATGAAGTTCCGATGTCCGTCTCGGCCATCTCACCTTCAAGCCCGCAGATATAAAAGCATGATGGCACGAGGCGAAGCCGAATCGGGGCTCGGACGGGCTTTCATGACCATATTTTGGAATCTAAAGCAGATAAATCTTGTTGGTCATGCTGGATGCACTGGCGGTACTGCTATCATTGTAAGAAAAAGATCAGGAAATGAAAAAATGGTGTGTCCGATCCGGGCATCCGGGTTGGGATATCTCGATGAACATACATAAACGGATGGCCGATGCGCCTACGTGGAGGCAAGACACAACGGGGCTTTGGCTGCAGAAATGGGTTTTTTTCTTGACCGGCATTTATGCATAATAAAGGGGTCTTGAAGCAGACATTTGCTGTGCTATGTGAACTTCGGGGTTCAAAAATGTATCGGACTTCCCTGGCCGGTTTACTGACGATAATGAGACGTGCCTGGGGCCCGAAGACCGCAGTCGACATGAATCCGTATGGGACTCCGACAGGCTCCTCAGGTGTGGCTGGTGTCAACACACTCCCGGCTGCGTAAGCGAGTTCCCATCAGTTGTGTGGGCTTATCGAGACAGTACAGAAAATTACAGACAGTTCATGATTTCGCAACGCAGCTCTGAGCACGTGGAGGCGTTAGGGATACCGAAGAAATGGTCGAGCATCAGGGACGAAACTACAAGCATTTACCAAGCCCGGGCAGTTGGTTCCCGATGCTAGTGGAAAGAGGGGGGTGATGATGGTTCGAAGTATGAATGTACGGTTGTTTATTTATTGTAACCATCTATTGACTGTATCTTTTCCTCTGTATCATGTCGATGGTGGGGGCAATGATGGGAAGGCGATGTGGGTTCATCTACGGTGTTAGGTTTGGCTGCGTGGGTATGAATTCGTCGAGAGGATGCTGCCATGTCCTGGTGTGGGCTGGAAGAGTAAACAACCATCGCCCTCCTACAAGATCTAAGATTCCGCTATGCATGTCCATCTCTGCCGGGTCGTGACACTCGGGCCTCATGTTCCCTCCCAAGCACCGAGCAGTTCTCCCTCACTTCCAACCAGCAGCCAGGTTGGTGGACTTCCTGCTCGAGTCGTAGTTGGAGTTCTTCGGGATCCCTCTCGCTGTATGCTCGCCCATGGTCGACATCGCCGTCGCTTTGCCCAGCTGTGCTCTTCGATTTCAATCTCCTCTCCCACGGTTGCCGAGTTGGTTATCTTCGGATGCCCGTCTGTTGCTTCCTCGCTGATGCCGGCTGGTTTTGGATATGGATCTCTTCTGATTAGGGATCTCGTGATAGAGGACCAGGAGGTGGGAGTCCTTGACTCGCAAGGAGCGGATTGAGGTTCGAGGTAGGTTGCGCCGGTGAGGTGTGTTGATGGTCTGGCTTCCTCGCAGACAAGGTATCGTGGCTTTGGGCGGGGTTGGCGGGCTCAGATGTAGAGGTAAGCACGTTTAGGTGATGACGTAGTTGAAGATATCGACCGGGTCTGGCAGATGGGCGGGGGGCGGCTGCGGAAAGTTCAGGCGCGGGTTAAGCAGACGGAGATTCGAAAAGTAAAGAACGCTCGTGATGGTATAACGGGCCATGCCGTGGCTTATCCCGATGTCGTCGATATTTGGATCATATCCCACTCCATCTCTTCGTTCGCCATTGTTAGTATCGTTGGTGGTGGTTGAAACTGAACACATCGCCTGGAACTCCCTTTTGTGTATGAGTGAGCCACTGAAGCACGGTGGTGTGGTTTGTCCGTCGTCCTTGGGGCTGGCTTCCTCTGCAACCCAGCGCATCAGTTCCAACCCAGCTGTGATGACTTCATGGTGCTCTTTTTCAACGGCAAGACGATCAAATCTTCCTCGCCCTTTCCTCCCCATATTGATATTGCCGTCTCGTCGGGATGAGGGCGGCTTCGATATTGGAAGGCGACGGGGGAAACGCGCTGGAGCGGGGCGCTCAAGAGAAGGGACGAAGGGTCGATATCGACAGAGCGTATCTTGGGTAGGTGTAGATTCCATGGACCATCACCGCGGACAGTCAGTGAAATCAGGGGCGCCCTTCCATGATGAGTTGGTGTTTCGAGCATTGAATGCAAGGCTGATGGAATTGATTTGGAGTGACTGATGGTAAGAAAAAGGGTTCCGGTATCGGCTGCCGAGATGCATTTCCGTACAAAAAAAAAGAGCTTGCCATTAGTTATCTGATAAGAATTTCCTGTACCCGGAGTTAACGACATGAGCTGCATGCATGACAAAGATTGTTTACCCAGGTCACATAACAATGTAGCGATTCTGCCGTAAGGTACACTAGGGCAGGTGGGTAACGCCGATAGCACTTGCAGAAATCCTCACCGAGACATCATCAACAATCGCCGGAACATCAAGATGACTGGTCAAGGAAGTTGACCTCGACCCCTAGGTGTGTAAGAAAAAGGCACAAAACGCACAAAAAGTACAAGGGAACACATCCAAAAGTGCACAAACTTATGCGGAGTATCGCCAGTGATTTGAGTTGCGTTAGATATTCCTACCCATAATTTCCTTTCCCGGATGCTCCTACCCTTCCTTGGTCAATCTCTCTCCTACCTTCCTCAAGGCAACCTTGACGCTCAGCAGTGACGTTTTAGGACGCTACCTTTTGGGACGAAGACTTCGACGGTGTTGACCATCGACGGAAGAACCTTGTCCAAAACCATTCCTTGTTCTCAGGCACCGGCTTGCTCCCCTCGCTCTTCTGTATGGTGGTCCACCTATCCCAAAGGTAATCCCCCTCCAACGACAATGCCCTTGCAAAGTAATCCGTCATGAGGTCATTCGGCGACAAGGCATCATAACAGCCCAAGAAGTTCGTTCGGAGCTTCATGTCGATCCAGCTAACATCGCCCACTTCTACCAGGTGTCCAGAGAGGATGTATGTCACATCGGCAATGTCTCGCTCGGTGGAAGATCTCCTGATCATGCAAAGCTTGTCATGAAGAACATATCCAACGTTCAGGCAGTGGTACTGCTTCTCGAGTGAGAGGGGCGAGGAAACGAGATCCCTTTCATTCTCGAACTCCTCGAGTACTGGGAGGAGGCTTTGGCCAAGGTTCGTGTCGGATGAGTGCTCATGGCCGAAAAACCGCAGATCGACTCGTACCCAATGCGTGGTGTTGTCGTCGCTATCGGGATCACCGACCTGCACAAAGATGGTCTTGTGTGTCGTATCTTTGACTCCTGAGAGAAACACCGAGGGCCGAAGGATCCTGTCAGACAGTGAGCGACAAACCCAGACCAGAAAAAAAAGTGCAAAAAAAGAGGAGTGGGCGTGAATCGAACGTAGGACGTGAGACGGCTGGAAAGGAGTAGAAGAGCCTTATTTGCGTAGCCGGAAGACGCCAGCTGTAACACTAGCTGTCAGACGAGCCTCCTAGCCCACATGGTACTAGGACGCAATTGCCCCCGGATCTTTACCAGGTGACAACTCCCCAGGACCCAGGCATTGCCAGGGCGGGGGGAACGTCTGACAGCCCCGACGGTCGGGTTGAGCGACGTGATGCGTCCATCACGTCGCTCAACCACGAGCCCACTGAATTGTTGAGAACCTGGTCCGAACTTTCGACTTATCAACCGGCCTTGGCAGCAAAGATGAGATGAAAAGGGAAGGCTGATGCCGGCTGATGCCTACCTTAGCTCGTCTTTGAAGATGGTGAGCCATGCGCTCGCGTCAGTGTTGAGGATGGATAATGGGACTGCCAAGTCAACATTCTGACGAACACCCTGCATTCCCCGAAGTTGGAGAGAGAAACCTCCCATGACGGCGTAAGGGATATTTTTCTTGTCGAGGATGTCCGTGACGATGTCGAGCGCATCGACTAGCTGACTTGTTGTTGCACCCTTGCTGGATGAGTTGAGTATCTCCCACTCACGGCTGCCACAGTACTCCCCAGGTGTTAAGGGGGGTGGTCGGTCAAAGTAGTCATGGATAATGACAAGACTGCTCTCGGTAGACTCAATAACAAAACTTCTCTCAGGAGATCCAATGAAGAGACTGTTCTCCGGAGATACAATAACGAAACTGCTTTCGGTTGACTCCATGTTTTCTCAAAACCACCTGGGGGTTGTCTCGAATGTTTGTGGTAGTGTTGCGTTCAAGCTGTAAGGCGACAACTTCTTTGTATACATATGTCCTTTTCTTCATGGAAGAAGAGAACCCAAGGGTGATAGCATATACTTATGCTAGATTGTTGCTTCTGTAGGGGATATTCATCGTTAGCCTATTCAATGCCATGAGCAGGCCCATCGACTAACAAGGGCTGTCCCGGACACATCTGTGATGCTCTTGATGAAGCCTCAAAGTTGTCCACCATCGATGGTTTTCATGCTTGCGATGGGATGAGACACCAAACTGTCCAGACCCTCTCAACGGCTGAAAAAGGATATCCATTGCAAGGTTCAAAAAACAGTGTGACTGGTGAAAGATGACAGAGAAACTATCTGGGTCAGTGGGCATAGTTCATCATCGAGATTAATATGGTAATTTCCATGTCTTCCATTGTCCAAGTCGCCCGGCAGTAGAGCTGGCAGTGCCTCAGGGAGAGCCGGTAGCGTTCCAGCCAGAGCAGGGAGTACAGGAAGGCCTCGCGGCAGACCCCGCAAGAACACTGGTGCCGATGGACCGCCGCGATTGAGGGGAGGATAGATTGATTGATTGACAAGGTTTTCATTCACAGGGTTTCATTCATGTAATGATACATGTAAAAAGTATCAAAAAAAAGAGTTCAGGACTTACAGTGCGAACCCCACCCTGAGTCTCTAGAGAACGAGTCTCCTGAGCCTACTCCGAAGGATAGCCCGTGACTTACCCATGCCTTAATCTCTTTGCCTTACTGACATTACAGGACTTGTGAGCAGATTCCCTAGTTCGGTCTCCCCAGTTCGGTCTCCCCAGTTCGGACAAGTTAATATAGATCTGAGAGATGTTAGCAGTAAGGGGGACTACGCGTTTACGACAGTCACATTGCAGGGTGAAAGATGAAGAAAGAGGAAGAAAGAGCGTCACAGATAGGATTCGAACTCGTAGTCTACTTACACCAGTAGCAGTGCTTTGGGCGTCCCCGCACACCGCTATACCATGGGGCCCTCATGGCACCCCCTTTCGGGGGCTGGCGATAGTAGATGGAAGAGGTAGAGATTATAAAGACGATTGGAGCGTTGTTTAGAGTTATTTGGGATTGTTTCGGATAATGATAGGAATCTGAACTGGAGGGTGATATTTGGTAATGTCTGGTAATATCTGGTGATGTTTTTGTTGGTGTTTCTCTTTTGGATGTGGATCCAGCTTTTCACGGCTTAAGATGTGGACTCGTGGGCGCTTCACTGTCTCCCCTGGATTTGGCTCCGCCCGGGGGAAGACTATTTTATTGTAATTTCCATGTCTTCCATTGTCCAAGTTCTGTTTACCTACCTATTCCTCACCCTGTTAGCTCAGGGGTTCCTTAAAGGAGCGTCCGGCGGAGGTGCACTAACACTTACACCAAAACCAAACTGCCAGGTGCCAGTGGATCTTGCCCCAGCTGGACGCTGGAAAAGGCCCCACTATGACACAGCATTGACCAATCATGAATACCGGATTCGTGTCCGCTCAATCGTTGCCCAAAAAGGGACGTACCCAGTCACGCCAATTCCAACGTCACTCGTCGAACAAACATCAACTTCTGCGGTTTGCCAGTAGCATCACCAACCTCGCCGGTGGCCGTCCTGACCCATCTACCTGTCTTTGCCATCCTTTTTTCATTGTCCCACGGGGAAAAGAGAGCATTCCCTTACCGGCTGGTGGCAATTACGCGTCGTCCAGTTCACAACCCAAAAAGAAGGAAGGAAAAAAAACCTGCCGTCTGCACGCACATCATGGCCGAAGTTGCTGAAGACCCAGAAGACATTTCCGAATCTCCGGCAGCACCAGGCAGCCATGGCTTGCATGAAACGTCCTCCGGGCCTCAAAGCAAAAAGCGCAATGCCTTTGCTGAGCTGATGGCGCCCAAGCCCAAAGCACCCAAGCCAGACGCTTACTCAGGTCGGTCATCAGCCGGCGCTCGTTCCCCCTCGCACAAGAATTCGAGAGGCAAAACAACCAAGTTAAAATGGAGCGGTGCCTTGGTTGAGTACATTGACCATCCCGACCGCTTCCCCCAGCAGGTTATCCGCGTGACGGATAAGACGGTTCTAATCCGTGACGCCTTCCCCAAGGCCACCGTCCATCTTCTGCTCCTCCCCCGGTCCCCCGCTCATCACGATCTGCACCCGCACCAAGCTTTCGAAGATAGGGACTTCCTTGCCATGATGCGAGACGAAGCTGCCAGCGCCGCCCGCCTCGCTGCTGCCGAGCTCAAACGCAAGCTGTCAACCTTTTCCGCTTCGAGCAAAGCACGCAACGAAGCCATGGATAAAGGTGTCCCTTTCGACCAACTTCCGGAAGGCCGGGATTACCTGTCGGACATCCGCATCGGCGTGCATGCCCACCCTTCCATGGACCATCTTCACGTGCACATCATATCGTGCGACATGCATTCAGATAAGGTCAAGCATCGGAAGCATTACAACAGCTTCAACACGCCCTTCTTCATTCCTCTCGAGGATTGCCCGCTCGCCGAGGATGACGAACGACGCAAGACATCCTTCCAGAACGCAAACCTGTCCAAGGGATTTGTTTGTTGGCGCTGTGGACAGGAATTCGGTAACAAATTTGCCGAGCTCAAGAGACACCTTGAGACCGAATTTGAGCAATGGAAGAAGGAGTGAACTCTGTACAACCTATGACGTTCGCGCCAAACCTATAAGGCACGAGCGGTTCGAATTGGGTCGACAGGAATCCCTTGTGTGGAAAAACTTTTGTCAACCATACCCCAGGCGTGCCCAGGGTGATGAGGGGTACGTCTCCAACTTTTTGACCGCACCAAAACGGGAGCTCTTCGTAATCTGCGTCGGTACGAAGCAGTTCGAGCATGCAAGGTGGTCGCGGTGCAGTACCTCGGCTGGCTATGCATCACCACTGCCTGTTGCTTTTCGCCCGAGAGAGTTGGAGTCGCGCAGTTGGAGGCGCAGTTGGAGGAGATGTCACCACAACAAAAAACGAGACAAAACACTGACAAAAATCTGTATCATCGACTGTTCCCCGCATCAGCTTGTCCGGCCAACGTAGCTTGTTGTGATGTGTTGAAACACCAGGAAGAGGTGTCGGGGCCACCTATGGGCACTTTCACTGTTTCCGGTTCCTGGGAGCCGACAACATAGCCACTTGCTCGGTGTTGGGGTTTTCTCCAACGCTGCTTGTTTACGTTCATGTTTACACTCTTTTGACTGTCAGCGATGATGTCGACTTGATGTAGAACTGTGGACGGTAGCTCAGCAATAGATATTCAAGAATGGCCAAGATGCCACACCACCTTGGTCCTGTTATGGGGCTTCCTTGCAACAGGCACACTCCCCGCACTACACCAACGATTTACAAGGAAGATAGAAGTTTGCTTCTCCTGTTCTCCTTGGCCCGAACGCGTATTCCTGTCACCCGTTCCTGCGCAGAGGCGCCAAAAAGTGTCTGCTCTTGGAAGCTGACCCAGATTGGGGATCACCGCCGCTCGAAAACAAGGACTGTGCTGGCATCATCAAGATATTTGTTTGAACAAGTGAGCACCCCTCCCCAAAATGTGGCCGCTACCAATCAGCTTGCAGTCCGAAACTGCTTCACGCTACCTGTATGGCACCTTTTGGCCTTGGATCTCACGATGTACGTCCTTACATGACTCGGCTCGAACAAGGGGTTAGGGGGGCAGTGAAGCTGATGTTACAATGTCAGGCTTCGCCAGTATGCCTGTTCTGCAGGAGTTTGGTGCTGGCCTTGCCAACACCACATTCATCCGTTTCACTTCATCGATACCACACTTCTGTGCCACGTCACATTGTGATCCAGGAATCATGAGACTGGCCTGCTTATCCTACGTCTGGTTAGCGTCCATCTTGGGCATTGGTTTTCGAGGACCTGCGATAGCATCGTCAGCTCCTTGCGTGGACCAGTCTGCCCTATCAGTGACAGTACTGGGAGGCGTAGTTCACGGATTCGTCAACAGTACCGAAGATCCATGTGTACGCCAGTTTCTGGGAATCCCTTTTGCCCAACCCCCAGTTGGAAACCTTCGTTTTGCCCCGCCAAAGCCTGCTGCGCCGTTTGGTGAACTCGAGGCCAAGAAGCTTCCTCCAAGTTGCATCCAATACCTCGCTACAAGCCCCCCATCCATCTTCACCCAGGACGTGAATGAGTACAACCTCCAGGGTCTCAACACCACCAGCCCCGATATCAGCGAGGACTGCCTAACTCTCAGCATCTGGGCCCCGCCAGCTACCACCAACGACAGTCTCCCCGTCATCATCTTCGTCTACGGCGGTGCCTTCCTCACAGGAGGTCAAGACGTTCCCGTCCAAATCCCCACGGGCTGGGTACAGCGCACAAAGAGCCACATCGTCGTCACATTCAACTACCGCCTCAACATCTTCGGCTTCCCCAACGCCCGCGGCATCCCTCAAAACGAGCAGAACGTCGGTCTGCTCGACCAACGACTCGCCGTAGAATGGGTCCATGACAACATCGCCGCCTTTGGCGGTGACCCTACACGCATCACCCTCTGGGGCCAAAGCGCCGGTGCCGTATCCGTGGGTTACTTCCAATACGCCTACCCTACGAACCCGATCGTGAACGCGGTCATCATGGACTCGGGCAACGAGCTGACGCCGGTGGCTCAAAACTTCGATGTTGCCCATCTCGGTTTCACCAGTATTGCTGGCAAGGTGGGTTGCGGGAACCTCACGGCGGCCCAGGAGCTGGCGTGTATGCGCTCTAGCAATGTCACGGCTGAAGCCATTGAGAAGGCTTTGCAGACTACTAATGAGGAGGCGGGGACGGATATCACCAAGTTTTTGTTCTTTACGCCGGTGGTGGATAACAGGACGGTGTTCCCGGATTATACGGCGAAATCGGTGGCGGGGCAGGTCGCCAATGTTGTAAGTTTTCCCCTTTCCCCGTTGAAAGATCATGTTTGCAGACAGATAGATGGGGAGGCTAACAAGCCGACCCAACTCCTCAGCCAACAATCCTCGGTAGCAATGCCCAAGATGGTCTCGCCTTTGTCATTCTCAACCGGAACAACACGGTCAACCAAACCGCCGCCTTCGGAGCCACCCTGCACTTCTTCTTCTGCCCAGCTTTCAAAGCAGCCACGTAAGCTTGCTTACCACCATATCCTCCCTCCCCTTTCCTTTTCCCTCAACACCCCACCCACCCCCAGCAGCCCAGCCAGAACCTACTCTAACTGAACCTTACCATCAACAGTAACCGCCTCCTAGCCTCCGTCCCCGTCTTCCGCTACGTATACTTCGGCAACTTCGCCGACGTCTCGCCCCTCCCCTTTCTAGGCGCCTACCACGGCGCCGAACTCCCCCTCATCTTCGGTACCTACGACATCTTTCCCGAAACTTCTACTACGCAGTCGCCGCCGGCTGACGAAAAACTCGAGGTAGCAACGAGCCATGCGATCCAGGATGATTGGGTGGCTATTGCAGCCAACGGGGCTGCTGGGCTGGAGAAGAAGAGGGGATGGCCTTTATATGCGAGTGTGGAGGACGGGTTGATTAGGATTTATGGGGTTGCTGCGTCGGCGGGGGATGTATGGGGCATCAGTCTGGGGGGTGTAGGGGGTATACCGGCTGGGGTGGCGGATGCGAGGAGGATTGAGGGGTTGTGTCCTGCGGTTTATCAGCCGGAGGGGATGAGGGTTGTTTGAGGAATGCCCGGGGGAAGGAGAAAGGGAAAGAAAGGAAGGGGGAAGGAAGGTTAAGTAAGTGGTTTGATGGGAAGGATGGATGGAATGAAGATTGACGAAGAAAAAAGAGCAAGCGGGGAGTGAGGAGGACATTGTTACTAGATGTCCGTTTATGGCATGAATAAATGAAGAAATGCAACAAGGTCAATTAGATCAATTAAGATAGATACCTCATCCGCCCCAAACCACAACATCTTGGTACCTTTTCAGCATTCATTACCTAACCTTGACGTTATGGTACCGCCCACCCGCCCGCCCGCCTGCCCGAATGGTTGCATCTACTCAACCAGGAATCCCTCTGCCTGCTTATCACGATCAAGATTAGAGAGGGTGTAGGTAGGTACATCCATAAAACCAGCTTTCTCTACGGTTTTCACACTTTCGAGTGCCTCTCTTTCGAATGCCGCCCCCTTCTCTTTCATTCAGTCAACCAGCCTCCCATGTCCTCGCTTCCTGGTTTGGACTGGCCTTACACCTGGCTTCCCGGAACTCAACGTACCTCCTCGGACTTCGACCGTCTTTCGCCTTGCAACCCTGATGCATCCCGTTCCGCCCCGGAGCATCCCGAATGGACAGATTCATCGGAGGAGACCTAGATGTTATCGGAGGAAACCTGGGACTTGATGATGGAGACCTGGACATTGTTGGAGGAGACCCGGACATGATCGGAGGAGACTTGATGGGGACATGGTTATGATGATGATGATGGTGTTGATGTGATACTGGTGCAGCAGCAGTTGGCATCCATCCCCTTCAGGCCAGGTGAGTCCTTCCCCTTTTCGCCTCATCCATGCCCTGGCTGTTACCTTAACAATGCGTTCTTGTGGTTATTTGGTTGTTGTTGGGGTTTTCTTTTGAGAAACGGTACCTCACTAACTTCTCTCTCTCTGGCTTCGTGTCTACACTACCTATCCATTCTCTCCATATAGCGATGGGTGATGATGATGATGATGATGATATGTAATGTTGATATGTCGTAAGTAACTGCATATTTCAGCGCTAACAGACAGAACACGCCGCAGAGCGATGATGAATAGAATAAAACCTCCTTAACAAGAACGAGAAGAAGTCCAGCCGACGCGACTCTTTCCTATACGTCCATCCACCGATTTTCAACCCCTTCCCTTCATCCCTATAACCTTTGTACACCGTATGCTGACAGACCATGGATGGTGGTCCCTCGGACATCGAAGCTCGTCACATTTCTGCGCCGCTGGTGACAGACACTGCCTAAGCCGCTCTCCCTCTACTGAGAGCCGAGTTCCCGCAGATTCTCCTTCTCTTCCTCGTTCAGATGCTGATACCAGCGATCATTGAAGTTGCCGATATTCTCCGTCGCAACGCGGACAAAGAACTCCACCAGGTACTGGCGGGTTTCGTCATCACCGCGATCGCGCAGGGCGTTGTTACCCTCGGCCCAGCCCATGAGCTCGGCCTTGGTGGAGCCGAGGCCGAGATCGAGAACATCGGGCTCATCCTCCCAGCCCTCGTCATCCTCGTCATCGTCTTCCTCTTCGGCCTCCACGTTTTGGGCCGCGGCCGCGGACCGCGCACCGGAGTAGTTACCGGCTGTGGCGCCGAGCTCGTCGACGAGCACCTTGACGATCTTGAGCGGGGCGGGGATCTGGGTGTATTGGTCGGGGTCTGCGAAGACGGATGGGTTAGTAAACTAACTGGTGGGGAAGAGATACTGGAGCGATGAAGTGTTCGGCTTACTTTGCTTGGCCCTTGATCTGGTTCTGATTCTGGTATCGTTGTTGATGATGAGATCGCCCTTAACCAGTGTCTCATTGACGCGCGCATCGTTAAGCTCGTACAGCTTGGAGAGGGCAATGATGCTAGAGAGGAAGAGTCAGTAATTGCTCTCAGAGACAGACATAGAAATGGGCTTACTTCTGACGAATCTCGTCGTATCCGGAGAAGATGGCCGAGTTCTCGAGCCATTTGCTAAGGACAATCTGGAGTCCGTTCTGGCCGTCAATAGGAGTCTCGCTCAAGAAGTTGACGACATCCCGGGCGCCTTCCACGGTAAGAGACAGGCGCGCAAAGACAAGAATAAGCGACTGAATGATGGCCACTTCTTGAGCGGTGTGTAGACGTGCGGCAACCGCCCTGAGGAGCTGGGCAAGATAAGGTCCGAGACGCTGAGGACCAGCTTTCTCGACCAGCTCTGCCGCGAGACCACCAACATCTGAAGCAGCATTATCCTCCATAGTAGGGTCCAAAAGTCGGTCGATAATCATCAAGCAGACTTCGAGTCCTGAACGGCCGTTTTCATCGTTCCATGCAAACACTTGTTGGTGATCATGCATGAGCATATGCTTGACGGCCTGCGTGCCGGGACGCAGAACCTCTCCTTCTGTCGACGACATCAGAAGCCTGGCAAGCTTAGGGAGGGTGTGCTCGACGAAGCCAGCAGGGAGAGGCTCTACGCCAAACTCGACAAGGATCGACAGTAGCTCGACGGCAAGCTATGAGGTGTTAGTACAGCTGTCATACCCGAGAGGGGGAGGAAGAAACACATACAATGATAAGCGGGTCGTCTCCAGTGACGTTGGCCACGTCAAAAGCACCAGTGATAGATGGCAGGACCTTGGCGCAGAAGGCTGGGTAAGCAGTGGCGTCCTTCATGGCCTCAGCAATCTCCTCGAACGCTTCGCAAACGCTAATTTCTACATGATAGTTGGCGGCACCGTGCTTGCCAAGCGTGAGCAGCATGTCAAGAGCAGTGCTATCAGGTTGGAGAACTGTGCGCATGTCCACGGCAATGGCTGCCTTGAGTGTCTCAACGATAGTTACTAGGAGGTCGTCCGAGTCCTCTAACGAGGTAAGATCCAGTCCACTCAGGTAGCCCTGGATAGCTTGGAGAATGTGGCCTTGGTACTGCGGCTCAAGGGTGGACCTGAGGAAGCCGTCCATGGCCTTGATGCAGGCGACTTGGACAAGCTCCGAGTCAGAGCTTCCAACAGTCTTGATGGTTTGCTCAAGAAGACCATATGCCGGGCTGCCGGCGGCCTGGCTTAGCGCAGCTCCAGCCAGGAATCCTCGAGCACACAAGACAGGCATATCTTGCCTGTTGACGGCGTATTGTATGATTTCTCCGTAGGGGTTAGTAACCTCGACGGGAACACTCTTCTCGCAATCCAAAAAGTCGTTCAAGGCGCAGTTGAACAAGTACAGCGAAGCCTCTTGCTCACGCCAGTTATTGGCGTTGGCGCTGTTACCAAAGAGAGTCTTGGCAACCTCATAAAGGCCTTGGAAGACCTTGGGCCCGAGCCATTCGCCGAGCTTGACAACCACATCGCCACATGCCGTTCTGGCAGTGTAGTTAGCACTGACACTGGTCTCCTCGGCAAGGAACAAAGACACATCAATGTCCCACAGGCCCTCCTCCTCCTGTGTGACCTGGGAGTACGAGACCAACAACTGGTTGAGCTTCATGACCCAATCGATCTTGGACATGTCAGGTTGGGCCTTGATGTCGGCCTCAAGGTGCTTTTGTACAGGGCTAGCACGCAAGCACTGGTTGAGGAAGTCAAGTTCGTCCAGCACCAGGAAGTCGAGGGTATAGGGTAGACCATCGCTGTCTTCCAGGCGGCTCTGAACTTCGTTGTTGATGAACAAGTCCTGGTAAGCGTCCTGAAGTCTCGACAACTCTTGCCAAACGGCACTGAAGAAGGTGGGACTGTGGGGAAGCAGCAAAGAGGGGAAAACGGTCTTGATCTTGATCAGGGTCTTGACGACCTGGACCTTGAGTGTGATGGGGCCATACCAGCTTTGGGGCTGGGAACCGGCCTCTTCGCGGTCAGGAAGTGGTGAGTTGATGACAAGCTCCATGAAGGGGAGCCAGCCGGCCAAGATTTCCTGGGCGAAACTGGTGACTTCCTTCTTGTGATCATCCTTGGCCATATCCATCAGATCGAAACAGCTACGGAACACCACGACAGCCAGGGCACGATGGTTTTGTTTGCGTTCGTTGTTGAGGGCGACATCGTAGCACGCCTTAATGATTTCGCGTGCGGTGCCGAAGAATTGCTCGTCAGTCAAACTTTCCTCGACAAGGTCTTGAAGAATGCGCAAGGCACCGTGCAGCTGGTCGTCGGTTCCGGTTGGCATGACACCCAAAACACTGGGCAGCAGGGTAGGCCATCTGTCGGGGAAGTCGGCCTGAGCAATCTTGCTGACGACCAGACTGGTGGCAACCTTGACCTTTCTGTCGCCCTCGCTTCCCAGGCAGAGGGCAAGCAGCACCTCCCTGAGTTCGTGCTTGTAGTGATCTGAAATAGGGAAACGAGGGGCCTCGCCGTCGTCTGGGCTCCAGTTGTCCTCGATAAACTGACGCAGGTAGGTCAAGGCAGACTGGCGAATGCTGACGGGGAACGAGGCGTTGATACCGACGCGGGCGATCGCAATCGGGAAATCGGGGTTTGCTTTGGCGTGGGAGAGATCGAGCTCGGCCTGTTTGCGAGGGCCCTCGTCGGGAAGCTGCGTGTTGGCGAGCAGCTGCGCCAGTTGTTGCTCCATTTGATCCATTGTATAAAAGATGGGGTTTGTGGAAAAGATGGTGGGAGAATGGTGGTCGCGTAAAATCGTGAATATCGATAGCGGAATCAGGGCTGTACGATCCAGTCGAAGTTCCAAAATCTAGTCGGGGTATAAGCCTGGTAGCCGTTCCGGGGTATATGGTATGCGATGTACGGGCTAAGATGGGATCAAAATCGGGATCGAGGAGTTGCGCGCAAATGTCGAGGTGCCCGGGGGACTGCACGTGTCGAGAAGGGAGGGGTGTTGTCGTCCAAGAAAATGTAAAGGGCAAGCTACTAAGACGGGCGCCTTAGTTTTTGTCGGCAGAGTGAACAACGGGAGGCGGTAAAGCACGCCCGTTATAGTACGGCTCTGGTGGTGGAGGTCGTGATAGTCCAGGACGCGAGCGGAAGCTATCTGAAGATCATGGAAGGGAAGAGTGGAAGGAGAAGCAGCTGGGCTCCAAAGGGTCGAGGTTCGTGTGAAAATGCTACAGAATATTGAAATTGCAAGCCCGGGCTGCCGTTGCCGCCTGCACATATTATGTCCAGCTATCTCAATGTGCGGGGCATAGTGGGGCTCATCACCTGCTTTGGCGTTAAAGGTTCCAGTCCGCGCGGTCATTGTCTTCCGCGAATCTCGCGCGTCTCATCACGCAGTTCAGAAACATCTCAACTTTGGGCAAGTGAAAGTGGAGAGGGAGGGGATGAGAACGAATGACCGTCATTGTCCCACAACATTGGCCCTTTCATCTGCATGATTCTGTATCTCACAAAAAGCCTCTTCTTTCTCCCCTTCCGTTGGCCTACAAGGCAACCTGATCTTCCAAGATCATTGTTCAAGTCAATAAAGTCAAGTGAGGAAGCATATCGCCCGTATCAGTCAGATACAAACCACACCCATCGTCCCCGTACAACGAGTTTCATTATTAATCATGTCTTCTCCTGCCCCATCCTCTCCTTCGTCTCCCCTTCAGTCTCGACCAGAGCACCAACATCGCCATCAGGAAATCTACGAAGAAGCCCCCTCCCAGCCACTGCCCTATGATTCAAGTATCGCCCTGTTACAATCCTTCAACAACTTTCTCGTTGTCGCCATTCACAATATCCTCTACTACCGTGGCATCTACCCTCAACCTACCTTTCTCTCTGCTCGCGCCTACAACCTCCCAGTGCATCAGAACCGCCACCCTAAAGTCTGCTCTTGGATTCGCGATGCTGTCAAAGCCGTGGCCGCTCAAATCGCCGAGGGCCGTGTATCGCGCATCGCCGTCGTGATTCACTCCCCCTTCGAAACAACACAGTCGTCTGATCCGACACAATCAGCATCATCTCAGAGCATTCCACCAGGCTCGGTTCTTGAACGCTGGATGTTTGACGTCAGCCGATTCCCAGCGTGGCCCGGAGGTGCCAAGCCAATGCGAGACTTTGAAAGAGCCCTCGCAAAGGAGTACAGAAACGAAGACAGTCGAGACGACGAGTACTATTTCCCCACCGCTCAGACAGTGAGCTGGCCTGATCTCGACGAGCAGTTACGCGGTGCACTACGACGGACGGCGTATGCTGCCGAGAAGATGGATGCCTTGCCCGAGGGATGTACCTTTACCGTGGCCGTGGAATTGCGAGACGATGCCCTTGCGCCCATTGGGGTAGGTTGACCGTCTCCCTTGGCCGACTAAGCGGTTTACGCTGACGTCTGGTTCTGAATTAGCATCCCCAAGCCTGGATTCCCTCCGAACCCAATCTTCAGCCCGCCTCTCGCTCAAGACCGGAACCAGGCGCAGACGTGGGAGGTGTCAAGACAACACCAATCCGCTCTGTCGAGGCAGGTGCCTTGTTCTTCGAGTGTTGGGTCGAAGAAGGCAAGGCGAAAGAATTGTTGAAGGAGTAGGCAGGATGATTGTCACAAGCACAGTCTGATCCTGGGTGACTTGATCTTGGTTCATGGTGATGTTGTCGCAAATATTCCCCTCGACGGTATTCTGGCCAGGCACCGCACAGGGGGAGAAGCCAACAGAACCGCCTGCATGACCATCATCTTGCGCTCAACAGGAGACACCCCTCACCGAGCCTCACAGAATCCACCTTTTTCCATTCAACACAATCAATGCGCATCACAGTGGCTGTGGAATCGCCATTCTTCAACAGCAACATGAGGTACTGGCAAAGCTGGTTTGGGTTGCAAAGCATTGTTATTGACGGACTACCTCGAGCTTTAGCGAGCTCACTGGTTGTTTGCTTCCACTTTTCTACCCCTGCCTTTAGAGACAGCTTTCAGGGTCCTCGCTACGTAGCAACAAACCGCCCTCTCGTCCTCATATCCATCGCTATCCAAACCATCCCTATCAGAAAGAAAAAACGGAACAAAAACATGACTGGCATCTGATCTCAGGCCCTCACCCTGAAGGCCACCTAGGAGTGGAAGATAGCCCACTGAGTCGTGGCCCTCCAGCCGGTGCAAGTTGTTACCCCCTCAGCACCAATCCTGCCGCCCGACTGGTACGTGTTGATGGAGACCTCGACCAGGTCCGCGATATTGCTACTGCCGACCTTCGTACCGCCGACGTTCATGCTCTTGATACCAAATACACACGTGCCCGTGATGACAAGCCTGCACCATTCACTACCGAGCAGGTCCAGTAGAGCCGACGCCTCAAAGTGGCCGTTGTCTCTGCGGTAGTAGTCACGGACGGCCCCGCAATCGCCAGTGGTAGGGGAGGCGCCGCTAGTCTTGTTGACCAAGGTGCTGTGATCGCACTGGTCCGCACCTCCCGCGGTGTATTGGAGACGCTTACTCTTGTTGGGGTTGTGAGATGTTCCGTGCTCATCAACGGAGCGCTTGAAGGCGGGGTGGACGAGGACGGTGTGCGTGATTCCGTCGGCGGTGGTGATAGTGTCCTCGATGTAGGCCTCGGTCTCGACGTTGTAGACGTAACCATCGGGGGAGACGGCGGTCTTGACGGTGGCAGCTTCCTTGGGAATGACAGCCGCGGAGGCGAAGATGGTGGCAGTGAGGCCGAAGAGGATGGTGGAGGCGCGCATGTTGATGACTTGGGGTGTGGTCTTGAAGACTGTTGGGTTTTCTGGTGAACGCTGACTGGTTTGGAGGATGACTGAAGTGGTCCTGAAGGTAGATGGACGCGGATGAGGTTGAGGGTGAGGGAACACAAAGGATGATTTTGGAAGAGGATTTTGACGCTTATTATACTTCTCTGGCCAGTATCCCATGGCCTCAGCTCACGATTGAGGCTCAGTCAACCCGGCCGAAGTTGTCTCCATGTGTTCCTGCCTCCCGGGCCATACTCTACCCATGGGTGATGCAAGCGTCTGAGGAACCATGGTACCGCAGCGGAGAGAATGGTGAGGGCATCTAGCCTGAAGGCTGTTAACAGCTTGACCTACATAACTCATACAGTCGTACAGCGTCAGCTGCCAAGTGGCTAGTTGTATTTGTGTAACGATACTACTTTCCCATCTCTTCGATTCAACTATTTTAAATCATAACCCTGTCTATAAACCCCACCAGGCTTCTAGATCAGCAGCCATCACATTCCTTTTCTTTACTTATGCAGTTGCTCAATTCCACCCATTCCATTGACCACAGCTCTTCCTTCCATCGCGGGAACAGTAGAGTTCCCCGCGTTTGTACGCCTTGTGAAAGTTTCTGTTACATTCCAGTTTCGCAATGCAAAGTCTTTTCAGCCTCAGTAGTAACCTTGTGTTTGCTCAACCAACTAGGTAATTTCAACCACCGCCTTTTGATGTAACTACTTCAACCTTCAATCTAACTTGGAAATCGGAAACACTCTTCAAGAGATAGCGAGCAGAGCCTGTGAATACATAGTGCGGAACTGAGTGAAAGAAGTAGTAAGGGAGAATCACTCTAGCAGTGTCGGTGTAGCCGCCAGTATCACTATCAACCAAGTCTTCACTCTATCTGCTATGGTAGGATAATACCGCGCCCAGGGAATTGCAATCTCCGCAATTATGTGTTTCCTGTCCGCACGCAGCCCTATAAGGATGTCGAACCTTGCAACCTACCTAGCAAAGCAACAGGACCCGAATCACCCTAACTTCCCTGCTTCTACCTTCCCTACGTAGTCGTCAACTCGCCAGAACATGATGGGACAGTAGACCCTAGATGCAAGATGGGCGGAGGCAATATTACACATCTGATCGTCAACGGAAGTTACAGCATCCCATCAGCACATCCATGTCACGGTTCGTCCCGTCGACCGTTGTGGACATGACATTATTTTAGCACTTTTCCCGCTCCACTCCGCCCCTACCACACACACCTAACACAGTATAGTCTACATACCCTACCTACCGTAGTGCGGCTCCTCGGTCCGTCCGTATGACGCCAAGGGGCAACGAACTTGGACAACGCAACAGGTAAAGTTGTTCATACTAGGAGGTACATAGCGTAGGTGGATCTGGTTCTTCCTTCGTCTTAAACTGACAACATCATCAAGGTACCTAGGTACACTGCACTATGCAGGTAGGTTTGTAGAACCGAGGCGAACCGTAGCCGACCAGAGAGAGAGAGGGGGAGAGAGTTTTGTGGTATCTTCGTGGTTATGTTGTGGACGACGAGCTAAATACTTAACCTTTGCTGTAGCTGCTTTGCGGCAGAACGTTCACTGAGGCCATATAAGAGCCCCAAGTTCAGACCTTCCAACAACTCACATTAGCCGACGTGGTAGGTATGCAGCTGGCCTCGAGTTCAACTTGGGCTTGGGCTGCTGAGCTTTTTGCTTTTCTTTTTTTTTCTCCTTTTTTTTTTCTCCTTTTTTTTTTCTGCACTAATCAGTAACTTTATGAAAACTGGATCACTGCGCCTTCCACCTTGGAAGAAGGGGGCGCGTATTTTTAATAATGTTTGTTCAATTTATCTCGACTATAACTTGAAAAGTTCCTTCGGTCACCAATGGACACGTTCCATCCAGACACCAGTTCTCGGTTCCACTTAATGCTCACCAACTGAGCGCTTGGCATGTTAATACATACACCAACATCGTTATAACAGAGTTTCGTCCCGCAGTGTCGCAACTCGTATCCCGCCAGGTGCATCCTCCCATCTCTCTCCTCTGCCTTTGTTTTCGTGACCATCCCTCGTTAGGTAGACTGACTCCTGTCCTTCATACCAAACCCTAATATCAAGACACGGCACGACATATAAACCCAGAACACAAACCGTGTCCTTTCAGCTTACTTCCCACAATTAGATGATATCCCCTCCGAAACCGCCAAACCCTCCTCCTCCTCCTCCAAATCCAAATCCACCTCCACCAAAGCCCCTCCCCCCTCCGCGCCCACCATTACCAGGTCTATTCCCCCCAAACCTCGGCGCACCTCCAGGACCAACAGGATCCCACCTAGCCCCCGGCGGCGCTTGGTCATCATAACCTCCTTCGTCGTCTCCTCCTCGCGGGCCCTGGAAAAGCGGATCATCAAAAGTCGGGTGCATGCCACCTGTTCCAAACCCACCAGGTCCTCTCCCTCCGGGTCTTGGTAGTCCACCGAGCGGCGGCGCAAACGATCCCCTAATCGGATCATCTGGTCCCAGACCGGCTGGATATAGGTCACTTCTTCCGTAATCGCTTCTTCCTCCTGGATTGGGTCCGCCAACCAGACCCGGTAGGCCGCCGCGAGGGTGGCGGTTGATCTCATATTCATCCTCAAAGTCCGGCGGGGGGAAGTCTCCGGCTGGAATCGGTCGACGGGCAGGCGGGTCGAGGTCGTGCGGGTAGGGGTATGGTTGAGCAGGCTGGGGCATTGGGTCGGGCATCATGGGAGGAGGGTTACGAGAGCCACCGGCGCGACGACCAGCTTCATCCGCATCTTGTCTGGCAGCGCGGTCGTCGGGATTCTCCTCCTCTTGGTACCCCTCCTTTTGCAGACCGGGAACAAGGCGCTGGATGATGTTTACCTTGAGCAGCGATGCTAGGTCGGCGATGCGTTCCTCGGAGATGAACACCTTCTTTAACTTCTCTGGCAGGTCAGAGCGGTCCTCTTCCCCCTTTCCATCTTCAGACATAGTAATCCGAATAGGCAAAGCAGCAGCCGAAACAAAATCCCTAGTCGTAATTTCAAACCGCGCAATACGCTCGTCGCCGACCCCCAACCCACGGATCTCAATCTTGGAGCCCATGCGGTCGACGCGAATCACAAAACGCATCGACGATTGTTCGTGTGCGTAGACGAAGCAGTGCGAGGACAGGCTGCGGTTCCAAGTGCCAGGCAGGCGCGGGGCGAGGGATTGGCACTCGGCTTGTTCTTCGGGCTTGCTGTCTTCGGAGAAGCCGAGCAGGCGGAAGCCCACGGAGATCATGGCGGCGTGCACGAAGAGGGCGACGGCGTCGAGGGAGCTGCTGAGGTCCGAGGTCGTGTCGTCTTTGGCGTGCGTGGGCAGGGCGGCGGCCATGTTGGAGAGGATGGTGGCGGGGCTTAATGGGGGCGCCATCGTGGTGGTTGGTGTAATTTGTTGATTAAGTGGGTGGTTTCTTTGATATGCGATATAGTTGAGAAAAGTAGATGTTGAAGGCGGTTGAGTTTGCGACTGGTGTGTGTCGATGTGGTTTGCAGAAGTGAAGTTGGGTGTAACTGGTAAGTCGTTTGGAGGTCGTTATAAGTTCACGTCATCCGCGGCGGGAGGGAGCTCAGTTCATGTACCCTGTCCCGGTTACCCCGCACCACCTTTAGGCAGGCAAGCAAGACGCAACGTCAATCGTACTGCAGTGACACTCGAGTCGAGCCTTGTACGTAGTTGGGCAATGACAACTTGTCCAAGTCGATGAGGCAAAGATACGCCGTTGCTGGAAGATGCCTAAACTGAGGTGGCAGTGAGGAGAGAGGGAGGTTGTTGTTCGGTAAGGATCTGGTTAAATGTACTGTAATTTACTGTAATTTATGACGCCACTCCTTTCAGCCCTACAACGGTGGAGGTGACGATCAGCACCAGGGTGCGTTATCTTATCGCGCTTATCTTATCGCAGTGTATTAATGATCCGGATCTGGTCCCGTCACTCTTCCCGTCCATCTCAAAGACACTCCTTAACACACAAAACGCCAATTTTACTGCATCGTTGAAAATCATACATCATTGCATACGCACACTAGACCAATCCATCGCCACCATCTCTTACCGTTATACACTAATCCTCCTTTTACCATCATCACCGCACCGGCGTCCTTTGAACCACTCGACATGACTACACTACTGATGATGATGGTGATGGTTATAGTACCCAATAGGCCAATTCTGGTCCACGATATCCGCTCGGATGTACAAAGCCGATGAGTTCAAAGCGTACTTTGAGTCTTCGGCATGGCAATCCAAGCAGAACTTTTTATAGCCGGGGAAGGCAGTGCTCATAGGCCGCTCGTGAGGTGGCACCGGGATGGGGGGCTGCTGGTGCTGGTGGTTTCTGCTGTTGGAAGTGATTGAATGTTAGCTCCACGGGCACTCGACGACACAGAACAACAGAAAACACAAGCAAAGGAAACAAACGACTCACAACCCATCACCACCTCCTCCTCCTCCTCCCTGCCCATCCCTCGACCCCCTCCTTCCTCCCCCTCCCCCACCACCATGACCCCCATGCCCCCCCTGCCCCCCCTGCCCCCGACCATCAACCTCCCCACCACCAAACCGACACCCCCCATCATGCCACCCATCTGTAACCTGATCCCTCCACAGTATCGCAGCCGGCTGCTTCGTCCCATCGATCCTGACCTGCATGATCGGAATCATCTGGTTCGGCGCGATCCAGAGCATCTGGTGTCTATCAATGCCCTCGATGTCCCTTTCCTCATTGGGAGTGTCGCTGTCAAAGACAGCAACAAAGACGGTCTCGTCGTGAAAGAAATCCGACCGGCTGACTAGGTACCGCTTCTCGTCATCCGAATAATTGGGCGTGTCGTGGAAGACGAGGTGCACTTGGCTGACGCCAGGCATGGAGGGGATGGGGAAGCCCCAGCCTGGATATACTGGTTCTGGGGTGGCGTTGTTGTTGTTATTGTTGTTTTGGGGACCGTAGTGGTTGAGGTTGTGACCGAGGTTGAGCTGGGGGGAGGTCAAAAAGTGGACGAGGTCGAAAGCGATTTCGTGCCGGAGCATGGCGCGCTTGTCGTGGTCCCGTCGGAGGGTGGAGGTGGTGGTGGGCGAGGATGGGTCCGTGGGCGAGACATCCCAGAAGGAACCGAGCTTGTAGCAGACGATTTCGATGACGCCCCATGTGGAGAGTGGTGGGAGGAGCGGGAGGATGCGGGCGATTTTGCGGGAGATGGAATACTCTTGGAGGAGGGGGGAGTGTTGGATTTTGAGGAACTCGTTGTAGACGACGAGGGAGCGGTCCTCGCTGGAGAGGGAGCTTGACCTGTTAACACGGGGGGAGCTGTTAACATCATAGAGGCAGTTGTGAGTTGTGGGAAGATTGAAGGAGGACTTACGAGTCTTCGCTGTCGCTGGACATGGTGGTGGGCTTTTTTCCCTGACAGCGTCAAGGTACGTGAGTGATGAAGCTCTTGGTGTAAAAGGAAAGAAACGACTGCTGATTGGTACAAGGGAAATAAATGTCAACAAACAGATTCGTCTAACAAACAAAAAACTTGCAAAGTTTCCAAACGAGTGTTCCAACGAGTAGAGACCAACGAGAATAGCAGCTAGTACTGCAGCTTCTACTGGTCCTTGTACTGGCGAAGCTCAGGAGTATTGCGTCCAATCCTTCCCATATTTATACTTTCCCCATCTGTGACCCTCCCATGAACAATTGACCGGAGGAAACCAGGGATCTCGATCCAAAATGATATCCCATGAACCCTGTTATGAACTTCCTCTTCAGTGTCAAGTCTGACAAACGGACCTAGGCTTATGAGCCCTTGCAAGCTGGGGTTAAATCACCGGTCTTCAAAGGTTTACCCGATGGTACCCTTCTTCTTCACATCCTACTCCTCTTCCTCCCCCCAAGAGCAAAAGCCTTGTCCAAACCCCAATTCCAAGTCATGGCTCCCGGCATATTCAACGAGCTATCATTCGTTTACCTCCCTTTGTCCTACAACCATGGTCATGGTTATCAAAACATATCATATTATCATCCAACAATGTTTCTGCTATCCTTCTCCATTTTCCTCTCGAGCTCCTGCCCTTGAACCTAAGAGCCCCCAACTGTTGTAATGTTCCACAATCCAGTACCGAAGGTGCATCTGTCGGTACCCGTGTAACCGTCACACCAAGGGAAGAGAGAGAGGGAGGGTTTGTGTGTGTGCTGTCATACAGCGTTGACTATTATTCCCCTTATGAATGTGTCGTTTGTTCTTGAAGTGTGTACAACGACGAACGTTGCGTGTGTGACCATGTAAATGTCCCTAACCACCTCCCCCCCAAACCCCAATTCGGTAACCTATTGAAGACGGTGGTCTTGGAGGCACAGCAGTTTAGCCATGTATGTAATGTGTTTTGTGTTCCGCATACAAATTGGTCGTACATGTTTGACACATGCATACCTAGGTAGGTGGGTAGCGGTGGTCCATGGGGAGGACTCCCTCTGGCTGGCCCGTCATCACTCATTCGGCCAGTTTGTCGTTTTGCTGCTGGTTCCAGAAGGCTAGGCGGCCATGGTGGTGTACTGGTAAGCTCTCACCTTGGCTCTCACCTTCCTGTCTGCCTGCCGGAACTTGGGAAATACGAAGGTCGAGACGGGTTATGACATCTTCTGAATCCCTCCTGATGCCTTTTCCACTTTCAAACAGTTGTTGGCTGATTCGGACGAGAGCGGTCTGCTGTCTCAAGACCGTTGTGTTCACCTTGCCGCTCGGCTGCTTTGATCTGCCGGTCCTTGATGCCTGGAAGTGTTTCGAGGACGTATATGGTATATCGGTCAATCAGGTTTAGGTCATCGTCATAGTCAAGACCGCGGATGAGGAAACAGTCATTCTGTCGGATAACGTTATTAGCCACGGAGTAGAGAGCTTTAATGGAGATGAGGTGGCAAAGTGGCATACCCAATCTGACCAGGCCTTGTCCAAGTTCTGACACAAATCCGTGTCCTCCAGCTTGCGCCGATTAAATACGAGGTTGCCACCCCGGTGATTCCACTTGTAGTGTTCCGGTTGGTACCTTTTCTCTCGTTTCGTGCCCTCTTCCGAGCTTTCACTTTCTTCGACAGCTGCTTGGCAGTCGGACGGATGGCAAAGTCCAGGGAGTTCATATCCAACGAAAAAGTGTCCCTGCATATCGTCGGTCAGGTAGATGGTGTGCAAGATGTGAGTGAGGTTGGAGACCCTGTACTTCTGGTCTCTTTTTGACTCTGCCATGCAGACGAGGTCCCAAGTTTGACTTTGTGGGTCGAGATTTGCATTTTCGAGAAGTCCTGACACAATATTCTGGTCTGTGATGTTCCAAAACTCGTAATTGCCGTACGAAGCAAAGAAGAACCACTCTTTCGGTTCCCGAATTGGAGCATAGCTTCTCAGGGCAAGGTACGATTTTAGTAGCTGGTCATGCTGAATGGAGGTAGTCAGCCAAAGAGGAAAGCGACGAAAGTGAGACATGGTAGCATAAAGAGGGTCCTTACCTCTCCGTGCCTTGAATGGTTCTTCTCGCGGGACCAGATTAGCATTCGTATTGAACTGATCATGGTCATACTTTTCTTCCAAATGAGGGAACCATCCTACATACATACCTCTAGAGAGCCTTGGGTATGTCTTCGCTGCAGAAACTCGTTGTCGGAATCCCACAGATTCCTTGCAGGCGCTGCCACCTTTTGTGTCTTGCGTATCCAGTGGTTGTTGAACATTTCCAGACTTTCCAAGTACGCAAAGTCTCTTTTAGTGCCTGGCTCTTGGTCAACACCCCAAAGGGCCTCCTCGCATACCACATGCGGCACAGAGTCCAAACGTCCCAAACGTCCGAAGCATCAAAAACAGCGCGAAGGTCCCTTTCCAGCTCAGTTTGGCCATTTTTGGGTGACTCTGTACGCGATTCTTCTGAAGATGTTTCGGATGGGACGACGGAGAAGGATTCACTCCACCCCTCTTCATATTCATAGAAAGGATACTCGAATAGGTCTCATCGACCGTCCTCGTAGAACCCAGTCTTGGCAGCTGCAAAGTGTACGCCTGGCCAGCGAAGCAAAGGACGGTATCTGTCTGCCACTTAGCGAGCCACCAGCCTCCAAATCGGAATATCGTCCGGATGCGGAGCGACAGCAATGTCGGCCAACTCTCGACCGAGTTTCCATGGATCTGTCCTCATTCTTTCAAAGAAGTCTCCGTTCAGCTCATCAGAGATCATCTTTTCCACTCTCCTCTCTCGTATATCACCAGGGAACATCCCATCATGGCGTACGCTGAGTTCTTCAGAAAGTTCATCAACTTTTCCAGTATCGGCGACGACGCATCCCGGATGAAGCAATTGGGCCAGGACATGGCGGAGAACCGCATCCGCCCATGACCACCTGAGAAACAAGAGACGGCTGATCTCATCAATCTCTTGTTCGTTGTCTTTGGACACGTCAATGTAGGGGCTGGGGGTGAGGAGGACGGCCTGAACGAGGTAGCGGTCCAGGTCGGAAAGGCGCACAAAGCCGGTGTGGGTGAAACGTTGGCGGATCTCGGAGAATGAGTCAAGACATGAGATCTCACGGTGGACGTTCTGGATGAGACTCGTGATCTTGGGCGTGGTCAGTCGGAGCTGCCGGTGGAGGGAGTCGGCGGTTGTCTCCATGTCTGAGTCCTCTAGGAGATGTGACCTAAGCAGAGTTTTCACAAAGTATCAAACTTGAAGGAAGGCGCGTAGTTGAGTCCAGAGGAAGATGTTCCTTCCTCAACACCGTCAGACTTCCTTCCCATTGGGCATCATTGTGTTACTAAGCAGATATGATCCAATGGTTCTCCTGTGTTACACAAATAGACTGTCAGCAAACGGCAGGCATGGGTAAATGCACATTGGCGGCAGGCAAAACTGACGCATAGCCTGCCGCAGAAGTTGTTTTCACATCCCACGCAACATTGCCCCAACACCGTGACTCTCTCTGTCATAAAAATGCTCGTTCTCAGAATTAAAAAGTTCAATGACCATCTCTTTCTGCACAACTGTTTTCTTGTCGTCACTCGCTTCATTGGCTGGTCCTGGTTGTTGCCCATCCGCTGGCGTCAAGCCCAGACGATGATACCAGAGTACAAACCACCCCAGTCTTCGACAGGTCCGGTACTAGGATGAAGTATACCCATTGACTCAATTAGAAGAATGAGGCTCTCAATAACAGGAGGGTAAGGTATGTTGTGGGAACGACGAGGTAAGCGCCTGTAAGCGGCCAAGCCTGTAAGCGCCCAGCAACATGACACGCTGCCAGGGGAAGGCGCGGTAGATGGTCATCTTGGCTCAACACCATAACATCTCAGCCCCGTGTAAACAGCTTCTGTATTTGATGAAGGGGGTCCGTGGATGTTCTCCATCTGTGAGATGGATAGGAAAAACGACCTGGTAAGGTTACCTGGCCCTATCCAAATCGACACTTCACCTCTCACCACCCTATGCCACCGCCGGCTTGGTTTGGGATATCAAGCCCACCAGGTCTGAAATCTTTAATATCTAGCAAAACATCAAATGGCAAGAACAATCATGTCATCTCATCAAGATGTTGGGATAGAGCTCCAACCAATCGCTTTCCCTTCAAAAACATATCACCATCTCTCCAGCACCCTCACCATCCACGAAACATCGGCCCCTTATATCCAGCATCACTACACTCCCCAACAGCTTTACTCAAATTTCCCCATTCCAAAATATCCCTCACGCATCAAGGCTATTCGTGTTCTCGACCTTGACCCACTACCTCCGTCTTTCATAGACGATTCGACATCAAGACCATCCTTCGCTCAGGAGCAGCAACCCCTAACCGGCACTCTCCGCACAATTAACTTCGCTACTTGTCCTGATTTCACGGCCCTATCCAATGTCTGGGGGCTCCCTTCTGATGAAAATTTCATCACAATTCGGTGTGATGGTAGTGGTGGGCATGAAGGCAGCGGGATATGCAAAATACCGATACCCAGAAACTGTCGAGATGCACTGGTTTCTTTGCGGAAGTTGCACAGTTGCAGTTCTGAAATTCGAAGCAGCGGAAGCACGAATGAAAGCAGGGAAGCAAAGGCGCCGGTGCTCGCGATCTGGGTGGACGCCATATGCATCAACCAGCAAGACGAGCGGGAAATGCCCGAACAGATCGCCCTGATGGGCGAGGTGTATACTTGGGCTTCCAAGGTATGGGTTTGGTTAGGTCCTGCGTGTCCAAACATTTCGCCAAATTCGTCTCCAACTCGACACGAGAGTGACTCTAAAGGCGACAGAAAGGTCAAAAGAGCCATCGTCGGCTTGAAGCGAGCAGCCAAACTCAGAGCGACACCTCCAGGTATGCCTTGGATCGACTCCTCCATGCATCTGAAGCAGCAAGGCCAAGGTCCGCGTACCATCTTTCAAGATATCCTCCTTTCCTCTCTTTCGCTCGCCAGAATCTTTTCCCGCCTCTGGCTCCGCGAAATGTTTGCGCAAATCAAAGCATTCTTCTTTATGTGCTGCGGCTGCTTTATGCCCCTTTCCCCAGATCTCCTCGAACCCAACGACCTCGAATATCTCCTGGATCGAGAATGGCTACACCGCGCCTGGACATTCCAAGAGATCATCCTCGCCAGCAACCCCATCATCCTCTGCGGCAACGAGTCCATCACCTGGACAGAGCTCCAGCAAGGGCTAGACTGTCTCTCCTGCCTCAAACCAACCTTCCTGATCCGTGGCTTTCAACGCTTCAACCCCCTCAATAACGACATCCACTCAGCCAACGACGTGCCCACGCTCTTCAAAATGGACATTCTCTCTCCCCACTTCCGCTTCCCCGGCCCTTCCCCCGCAAACTCCCAAGTCGTCAAAACATGGCAAGCCCTCCTGCGCGTCTGGCGTACAGTCGACCGCCCCATGACTTGGAATGGCCGCGTCTTTCGCGCGATCCCTTCTTCTTCTTCGCCTTCATCCCGGACCACCCAAATCCATTCCGATACTCACTGCCAAACCGGAATACCCACCACTACCACCACTACAACAGCAACAACAACTATTCACAACTACACCACCGCCCACCTCCTCCCCTCCTCCCGCCTCTGGTCCCTCCTTCTCCGCCCCTTAATCCTCGCTTTTTTCCTCTCCCCCTTCACCCTCTTCGCCTCCCTAGCCAACCGCCTCTCTCGTATCAACGCCACACGCTCTCACACTCCTCCCTTTTTACCTTCCTGGCCCGCTTTTCTCGCGATCCCGTACATTATCCTCATCTTTCTCTCCTGCTGTAGCGGCTTGGCTTTCATCCACATCTTAATCCTGAGCTAGGGGAAGCCAGTGATTTGGTCTTTTACCCCACTGTCCGAGAGGGAGGTGAATGAAAAAGAGGAGGAATATGAGGCAAGAAATGCGCTGGTGGCTGTTGTCAGAGCGCGAAGGGAGCGGAACGCGACGGAGGCAAAGGATAAGAGCTTTGCCATGATGGGTGTTTTGGAACGGCTGGGAATTTTCCTGAAGCCAGTGGATTACAAGAAGAGTCTGAGAGAGGTGTATCATGAGTTGTTTGTTGGGTTGTTGAGGAGGGAGCCGGCGCTGATTGCATTGCTGGTGGATATTGATGGGATCAGCGAGGCAACAAGAAGGGGAGCAGAAATGGAAAGGGAACTGGAGGGAGCACCGAGTTGGGTACCCAACTGGAGTCAACTACGCAAAAAACACTGGGGTGACTACGACGAGGCGATATATCAGCGGATACAATTGGGGACTTCTCCCTCATTACCTGCCCCTGCCCCTGCCTTTGCCCCTGTCCTTGGTTCTCAATCTCCGGACTGGCGGCTGTGTTGGGTCGACCAGAGACAAAATGACAGGGCCCTCATGGTCCAAGCCGTCATTCTCTGCCGCATAACCTACGTCTCTTACCCAATCGGCAGTAGCGACTTCGGGTCTCTCCCTTCCCAGGAACATTTCCCATCTTCCTCCCATCATCATCATCTCCTCCGCACCTCCCTCACCACCATCGACGCCTGGCTATCCGCCATTAAGCTCTACGCTCCATCCACACCGCCTTACCATTTCAATCCCACCGCCATCTTCAAGACACTCTATCCGTTTGAGTGGCAGTCACCTAAACCTAAGAACGGTCAAGGTCGTGGCATAGTCAACGCCCACTTCCAAGTCTGGAACGAGATCCTCAACGGTAGTCAGTCCGAGTACATGTACACCCCCGACCATCGACAACAACTCATCGACGAAGTCTTACAAACCCCAGAGGCGAGACATTTTACTTGTAACGTCTGTGAACGGTTTGCTGGGGAGACGAGGTTGTTTTTATCACAAGCTGATGGATTTGTAGGGATGGGGTCCAAGGGAATGAGGAGAGGGGACGTTGTTGCTTTGATTAGGGGGGTTGGGCAGCCGATGATTTTGAGAGAGAAAGAGAGAAGTGGAAGTGGGAAGTTTACGGTGGTTGGACCGGCGTTTGCGTGTCGGTTGGCGGATCTGAATACGTTCAGGTCGCCCCCGGGCCCGGAGGTGGTGGGGGCGTATAATCCGGCGAGGGATGGGAGGGTAGTATGGAGAGTTTTGTGCCTTGTTTGATGGCAAGAGCTGTCCGGTTTTACCTACTGCCGTTTTCGATTTCATGCGAAGAAAATCCAGGTGGGTTGCACCTTCCACACGCTCAGCACACAACAAGACTCTCATTTCTTTCTGTCTGTGATGTGAGGAAGGCGCACCCCGATCAGACAATTCATTGTATTCAGTTACGCGTCAGGGCTCGAATTGCCTGGTCTGACTTTTGGCGAGACCTGGCCTGGGATGTCATTTCTGCTTTCTTTCGTTCAACCAAGCCGCCGCTCAAGCATCTCTCCCATTTAGGTTCACTTCGTCTCTCGTCTCTCGTTTCTCGCACTTCCAGAGGACCCAAGCAACACAAGCAATCCTGATGCACAGCAAGCCAGACATGGAGCTGGGGCATGTCGTCGAACAAGTTGATGTGCAGTTTGTTCCTTGGAGTTGGTCGAGTTGCATGTTCCCCTCCATTACCAATTGCTTGCAGAACGGCACCCACCCATATGCCAACCTGAGAAATCTGAAGGCTACCTGACTAATCGTCGCGATTCGAAGCATGCCTTCCCCAGCCGAAGGCTTGGGTTGGGATGTGAAGAGGCAACGACGTTAATGGCAATCACGCTGCTAGTACCCCGAGTTTTGTTGAAAGATGATTGAATACTGTAAATATGCAGTTGCGAATCAAGGTCCGTTGCCTCGTAACATCCCCGATCTTTGCCTTCTGCAAAGGGAGGGACGCTTCTAGTCCAGAAGAGTACTTATAGGTGGCACTCCTTTTCTCCGATAAACGCTTGGGGGACGATCCACCACTTTCCAACATCCTTCTCCCAACAGTTCTCAAAGATTACCAACATCATCATCGTTTGAAATCCGGTTATATCCCTACCAAACATTACGTCTTTCCACCAGGCTTGTCGCAACGTAAGATCCTCACGTTCTTATCTCTGCGGAGCCCAGATCACACTGTACGTACCTCTAAAAACATTACCGGAAAACCTGGCGATGCCTTTATGTTCAGTGACTAACCTGATTATCCGGACAGACTACTACCTCTACCAAACATGCAACCACCCAACATGACTGCCCCGAACCCTGGTGACCCAGCTCAACATAATACCGCCGCCGGGAACACAACAAATCCCAGTCCCAGTAGCTTCGAGCACAACATGATGGAAAACCTGGTCATGCTGACAGAGAGACTCTCCATGGAACAAGGACAAGGACAAGGAGAACAGTCAGGGCAAGGGTCAGGGGCACAACAACAACCACAAACACCACTACAACAATCAAAGCAACAACTAAAAATTGAAGCAGCAGCGCTGGCTGCAAGAATTTTGATGGCTCTTCGCCAGATACACCTTAGAGCATGGAGTGAAGAGTCTGGTCTGAGACCGGAAGAGATTTACAGAGAGCACGAGGCCAGGGCATGCACGATTTGTGGCGTGAAGTCTGTGAGAGTGGTGGAGGATGAGCTGGGCTGGAAGATGGTGGTCGAGATTGGGGAGTTGCGGAGGCTTGGGGAGTTTCCAGAGTTTAGGTTGGTGAAGGATGGGGAGCGTTGGAAGGCTGTGCGTGTACCTAGGTAGCCGGGATACGTAATCCTCTTTAATAGGGGGTGCGATGGGAGTCTGGCGATAGAAACCCCTGAGGCAATCCCCGCAAGATTTCCTGGACAGCTGCTCGAACCCTCCATTCAGGCAGAATTAGCAGGTCAGCGATGCCTTGCAACAAGAAAGAGGTCATGGCTGGGAAGTGACTCTGAGCATCGGCGGATGCTGGGCTAGCGTAAAGAGTAGCGGTATGGGAGTAAAGACAATAAAAGCAGGTCTCTTTATACAAACATCTGTTTTCCAAGCAACGGCGCTCGCTCCAGAGTCCAGGATGAACGGAACCCGACTTAGAGCCTCACCATTGATACCGCGTCATTCTCACTTGATTTGATTTTGCTCAAACAGCTATAAGGCCGGGACCATCTGACAGAAGCAAGGGCTTCTTCGACCAATCTGTAAGTGAGCTGATGCGAGTCGCAGGATTCCTTGGGAACGATCAAGTCACAGGATTGGTCGAATAAAACCAAATTCCGGGAGAAAAAAGCAGTAGCGCCACCAGATACTTACCAAGGTAAGTAATCATAGGGCTGTTTTTTTTTTAAAAAAAAAAAAACCAAACAATATAGTAACAGTATCGATATCAGACATATGGGCCAGCATCGGCCTTTCATGTGAATGACACCATTACGGTATGTAGCGCCCTCAGCGAGAATCAGTTGGACAGTTGCACAAAAAGCCCGGCTTAACTTCAGGTGGAGTAAGCCCGTCGGGCGTCGGTCCACGATGACTACCTAGTCACATGGTTGGGGGAAGGGGAACATCCGTCATGTTTGGAAAATGATTTAAAAAATATTGCAAGTCACACTGGTGACTTGGTAGGGTGCCGACGGAGTGAATAGCGAGATATCAATGTTAAACGTTAGACATAGTTGCATCTGAGAAGAGCATTGAGGTCTCTTCACAAATACCTGTCATGTCATGTCCCAAATCTGTCAGGTATCCTAACGTGTGTTCTGGCTGGAAGTAGGTAATGTTGTAGGATCTGTCTGTCATTGCGTTCCCGGACCGATCATGGCCTGGCATGTGACAGCTGGGCTGGTAAAGATGGTGAGGACAGAGTCAATGTCAATATAGGGAGCAGAGGTCGGTGAATAGAGGTTGGTGCATCACGGGGGGCTGATCGGTTTATTTTTATTTTTTTCTGCTCGTGAGATATTGGGGAGAAAGAAGCTTCTACTCGTCAGGCCTTGACCAGCCCTCGGAAGGCGAGGGGAGTGGACATATGCTTCAAAGGCCCGACGAGTATATGTAGCGGGTGGCTTGGGTTTCTAGACTTGTTGCCAACATGAATAAAGGCAATGAATGCGCTACTAGGGAGTTTGTGGTGGATGTCCGCAAGAACTGAAGGAGTTGCATCTGGGTGAGGATTGGGAATTGAGAGGTGCAGCGGAGGAGGAATTGGGTAGCTCCTGTTCAGTCAAAGGCGGAGTTTAAGGCTGGCAACGAGGAATTTTATTTATTTATTTTTGTGACGAGTTTCCTTTTGTTCACTTGCTTTGTCAAAGGGAGTGCGGTGGAACAAGGGCAAACGGTCTCAGTTCACGGTGCTGATGGTTGAGTGCAGTGTTTGGTGGAAAATGACCACTGCTGTTGAGGACTTGGAGGAAATGTCGTTCTTGGGTTCACTCTGAAAAGTGAAGGGTTAGGGTTCAAAAAGGGGGCTTGTGATTTTCACCCAATGTCGGCCAACACCGTGAGTGGTCGCTGCCGTGGGGGTCGGCCGCTCGGGGACAAATCGTCGCTCGCTTCTCAGGGGTCACCGTTGGAAAATACTAAATCGAGAACACCAATCGTGGAGAAAAATGTCTCGCGTAGGGTGTTCATCCGATATTTGATGGTGGTTATAAATATCAACCATGTTTAGTTACCCGAGAATCCCCCCTTACCCGGGTTCTGGCCCCCCTAGCTAGGAGGTTGAGGGAAGATGAAATTGTGGTGTTTGTTGACACATATGTAATGGTGTGATACGGGAGATATGTCCAAGATCAAAAGAAGAATATTGACTCCAAGAAACAAACATGGCACGACAACGATGGAGATGTGGTGATGGTCTGGTGGATGGTCCAAAATGCAAGGCTGACCAAGGCGGACGTTCCCGAATATTCGGATGGCGGGTGTGATGTCGATCATCGATCACAAATGGAATTTCGGGTCGCGACCCAAGAAATTCCAAGAATACCTGCACCATTCGTGGAGGATATCGAAGAGGCTGAGTCGTTAGTTAAGATACTAATACTGGTACTAAGCCGCACATAGGTAGACTATTGTCTTTATGACGATATCTTGCTCAATCCCGACTGAGACTCAGGGGGTTGATAAGTCACCGAGTCAAAGGGTAAGGTTCCCAGGGCCGGAACACGGAAAGGATTGAGAGTCGTGATGGTCGTCAAAACAAGGACACAGTTCACTGCCCTGGCGTTCATCCGGATGCGGAGGTTGTGCGTGTGCCTGGATTCGCCGGAGCTTCTTCCCAGGTCTGCTGGAGTTGTTTTGAGTGGTGGAGTTCAGGCACAAACGACAGGGACCGGGAACTGAAGGATTCAATGTCAATAAAAAAGCTTGGACCACCTGCCCGACCTTCTCTCCGCCAAAACACACATGCCAAGGCCTCTTCAGCGGGGAGCGCAATCAAACTGTTCAACAATGTTCACACTATCAGCTTCCTTTTCTCTCTGTTCGGTGGGGTAAATGACACATTTGAGAGAGCCAAATGCCAGCCATGAGAGCAAAGCCACAAAGTTAAAAAAGAGCCAAGAAAGGGATCGGAAGGATTCAAGAGATCAAGAGATCAGGGGAATCCACTCAAACGGGCTTGTAATATCCCTTTTTGGGCGATGCTCAAGTTGGTGCATTTTTGCAGGCATTGGGAAGTCGTGCTAGTTCGTGCACAATGACGCGTGGGTTGACGAGCAGAAAGGCGAGTGTTTTGCGCAAAAAGAAGTCGACGGGGGCGTTTGGGCGGAGATCATTCCGAGAGAATATCTCGCAAAGCACTTGTTACTGCTAATATCCAAAAACCTTTACAACTTGAAAAGATAAAAGTCAAAAAGTTGTCTGACGCCGACGGTGACAGAGACAGAGAAAGTCACCGCCCGGTAGCCCCGATATCTTCCCCGACAAAGTGGAAGCGGTAGCGGTCGAAGACAGCAGGGCACCCCGGCACACACGGTACACCCCGGCCACCGGCCATCGGTCCAGGACTCCAGCTCCAGCCCAGCTCCAGCTCTCCAGCTCCAGGGCAGCACCCCATGTCGCATTGACATGATCCCCCGAGCCCGTGCACCCCGTCCCCCGTCCCCCCGTTCCCCGTCCGTTCAGGCCACAAGACATTGATTTCCTTCCTTTTGGTCTCCCGTTCTACTAAACCCTCAACCTCACATCATCCACGGTCCCTCAATCCCAGGTTACGTTACCGTTGCGTTGCCTTGCATCGTCGACCTGCGTCCAGTGGTAGTGGTACCAGTTGCTCTTGCATTCTGGGTTCCCGTCTGCAGAGGAATTGGCACAGAACACGCTTCCACGACCGTCGTCACGGCCTGCTCTTTTTGCAGCTTGCGCTCGCTTTCAATCAGGTCACCACCGACCAACCACAGTCCACTTCTCCGGGAACTTCTGTCGTTTCTCTTTTCTCCCTTCTTTTGAACTTTGCAAGTTAGCATCGAGCAACAAGTTCTTCTCAGCTTTAGTTGTACAATCACGATTACTACGACATACAGTACCTTCTAATCGGCAGACATCTCCAAGACGCCAGCTATATCGACGAGCCGCATCCACATACACCGTAATATTAGGCCCAAAAAAGAAGAGGAGATCCCCTGTCGCGGCTTTGGTACAACGCGGTCAGCGCAATCTCTCTAGACTCAACGTCCAGGTACTTAGCCCTCACCCATTTGGCTTTCCTGCCCTTCATTTTATCCCAGCTCCATGGCCTTGTCTTGTCCTGCACTGCTGCTGTTTTATTTACGATCCCGTCCCCAAAAAGGCGGAAATAACTGGCGCCACAGCTGCAATGCAACTCTCTTAAGCTAAAGGTACTCACTCGCTCGACCTTGTCCGCTACTAAGTCACAGTATCTGCAGGTCTGCACCGCCAAATCCCAAACACCACCCACCAACCACCACCTACCCGACCTACCCAACCAAGGCCAGAGCCATTCAGCGAGACCAACCACGGAAGACATACCGTACCGACCTCTTCACTTAGGATACGTACCGATCCAACCTGCACCGACCACACACGGACTAGAGACATCGCGACCGAGAGCCCTTTCGAGACAATTTGCTCTTCCCAGGGCTTCGCTATAGCTGCCACCAAGTCGTCCTCCCTGCATACTGCCGCCGGTCGATAAGCCATCCCGACGACTCGATCCGTCTGTTTACTTTGCGCCCCCCTGCCTCCCTGGGGCTGGTCCCGACGAGAGCCTCTCACCGAGTCGACGCCGCCAATCCCCCAACACATCTCCCGCCAGTCGCAAGTCATCAGTCGCCCGTCGCAAACCTTGTCGCCCACCTCCCCCTTCTTGCGCGACCCTCTCTCCACCTTTCCCCCCATCTCGACCGCGAGAGCGTCATGAGCACGGCGACCAATTGAGGCCAACATGGTTCGTGTCACGGAGGAGCTGGCGATCTCGCCAGAACATGTCACACTCTACTATACCACCGACCCTTTGCTGGGCCATCTACCCGTCCTAATCTTCCACGGCCCTTCGACGACAGCAAACTACACTCTCAACAGCTCGCGCATCCAGGTCCACGTTTATAGCCCCGCTGGGTTTATGTCCTTTCACCGTATCACCATCTCTCCCAACTCTCCCTTCTACGATGTTGTCGACTACCTACCGCGCGAGTTCCAAGGTGACGAGATTTGCAGAGGACTGGCCTTTGGCCTGTACAAGTACTTCAGCGAGCTACCAGAAGCCGTCAAAGCCTACCTAAAACACCAGTATCCCACCCGAGGCCCGAGGGCTCCCGACACGGCAGCGACGTTATTCAGCCCTCAGCATGCTGCCGACCTCGCCAAGTCGGCCGTTCCCGCCGAAAACACCGCCGATGTGATCCAGACCCTCGAGTTTGCGCTACAATCACAACACATAGGCAACGTGGATATCGACTTGGTGTTGCCCCCAGGCTCCATCATCCCCCTTGATGACGAGGAACTCGAGGAGGTACCTGAAGACGAGGACGATATTTTGGATCCAACCCTCAGGCAATACGGCGGCTATACTCCCTTGGTCAAGCTGTTTGGAGAGCCTGTGTTCCTTCCCACTTCCAAGTTACGTCGCGCACCTTCGCGCCCCGCCTCATTACGAAACAGGACCAAATCGTTCTCCAGGAACCAGAAAGTGGATCTGCGCATGAAGCTGGGCGAGTTGGTCGATACTGAGGAGCGGTACGTGCTCAAGGTGAACGAGTTGGTGAACCATGTGGCCGACGAGTTCCGCCAAGGCGCAAAGGCACGCGCTACCGGTAGCATCAGCCCGTCAGAGGAGGACCTGGACAAGCTCTTCCCGCCATCGGCAGATGAGATATTACAGCTAAACACGGCGTTTATGCACGAGCTTCGGCGGATTATGGACGATACGGAAGAGGATGCGATCAGAGACATGGAGACACCATTTCCAATACACAGCAGAGGAGAGGGCTCTGTCAAAGTCAAGGACCCCAGCGGTGCTCTGGCCATGGCCCGTCTCTTCATGGAGTGGTTCCCCAAGTTCACAGAGTGTTATCAGGACTACATTCGGGCCAGTCGGGAATTTCCCCGGTTACTCAACCTATTTCTAGAGCAACAATCAAGCTTTCGCCAGCGGGTGGCCCAGAAAGGAGAACAGGCTGTCCGATCCCTCCTCATAGAGCCGGTCCAGCGATTGCCACGATACAGTCTCATGATCGACCAGATTGTGAACTGCCTGCCCATTACGCATCCTGCCCTCCAACTAATGCTTCGCGCAAGAGATATAATCACCAACATCTGCTCTCTGGACGAGGGTGCGGGGGACAAGCCTCACGTTATTAACAGGTTACGCGCAATGGTGGAATGCTGGCCCCCAGACTTGGAGCCGCAAGGAAGATTAGCCGTGGCTGCCGACTTCATCGAGCTATCTCCCCCATTTGATGACCTACAAGAATCAGATCTTCAAGAGAATGCCGGAATTTTCCTGGTATTCTCCGACATCATCGTCATCCTCAAGAAGAAGACCGACTCAGGGCTTACGGGTCGTGACCTACTACGCGAGATCGACAAGCCATCACCCGCCGGCCTGCTGGCGTCCATGACAAACGTTGCTGGAGGAGCTGGAATGTGGGAGTTTGCGCTTACGGGGTGGCATAACCTTGCCGATGTTCGCTTCACGGAGTCTGCCGATGGTAGACTAATCTGGATGGCGTCAACAGCTGATATGAAGGGGTCACATTCTGGCGAGTATTTCGGTGGAAAGGCGATTACCTCGAGGTGTTTCCTCCTGCAAGAAATGTATGAGGGTAGGGCATCCAAGTGGAGTGAAGAAATCATCAAAGCCCGTATCGAGGGTCGATTTTCCGAGCAGGAGAGGGAGGATCCCACTTGGACTTTGCGTTCGGTGAGGATGGAAGAGAACAATTTCCGGCTACACGCAGCCGTGTTCCAGGAGGCGGCAGATCAACTCATCGAAGGCCGTCGAGAACCAGCACCTATCCGGGTTGTCCTGGATATGGACCTAGGTACCAAGAGCGCCCCAGTCGGCCATTATGGCGTAGAGGTCGTGGTCGAGATCAGGACTGCGGATCTGAGGAGGATATCGATGAATACTCTTGGCTTAAACGGCAAGAAGTTCAGCGACGAAGTTGCCTTGGACGACTTTCTACCGACCCTCTCACGCAGAATTATCCAGTTGCTAAGTACCCAAACCTGTGTCGCTAACCTAAGACTCGCCCCTGCCCTTGTCAACTACTACACCAAGATCCTACGCGGCCTCCACATGGGATCAAAAGACATAGAAAAAGGTCACAAGCGCTCACAAAGCGCGTCCCCCGTCAAGTTGTTGTCGAATTTCCTCGGTGGCAGCACGCCCAGTGTTACACTCACGGAAAGTACGCCCAATGGCTCGTTAAATGGCTCGTTAAGGGGGCACCGGCGGGATCCTAATGGGAGTGCTCCCGCTCTGCTCCCCTCGCAGATGACCAGGACGAACAGTCGAAACGACTTGATGTTGCTTGCGGCCTCGATCAAGGAACAACATAGTATCAAGCTGGGCACTGCTGATGACATGCGGCCCGAAAACCCACTGTTCCGTCTTGAACAGACCTTCACTGGTTTCATTGCCAATCTACAGGCTCGTAAAGGCTACTATCATGGCCGAACACTGCTTACTAGATCCATGGCAGATGAACTGTTGGTCAACGACCTCTACAACAGACTGATCGAGTTTCCTTTCGATTTGGAGGCCTCGGCAGAGGTGGGCACTGATATAGTGTTTGCCGCGTTCGAGAAGTTTGTGCGCATCGCATGGCGCGATCAGATAGGACCGATCATAACCATGCATGCGCTCGATGCTCTCGTGGTTCGCGCTTCCAAGAGAGTGGTGGGAGACTTTGGCGACTTTGTTCGATTCATTTTCCGAGACCTGGCCCCACAAAACCGACGGGCTTTCACCGCACTGATCAAACTACTGGCAGATTTATTAGATGGATGTTCGAATGACGGAGATCGGGGTGCCTTGACACTAGCGTTCGCGGAATTACTTGTTGACGACGGCACCGGTTCCAACTACATCAATCTCCTAGACCGCCTTGTTGAAGACTGCGACCGAATCTTCGAGGACCACAGCTTTGGCGCAACCCTACAGCTCAACAGCTCACACGACGATATTACCGCGAGTAACCGGAGCCAAAAGTCCATTACGGGATCAGTGACGTCCAACAGCTCGTCGCTCCGAAGAAAGTTTGGGTTCGACAACCTCCTCCGGCAAAACAGCAAAACAGAATCCGGCGATCGTTCTTCCGTATGGCGGTCCCTCAGCAAGCACACAAGGAGCCCAGGTGAAAGTTCGAGCCTTTCCAAAGCGAGTAGGTCAAAATCAATCGATATAAGCGTTTTCTTCAATCCACCAACACCCAACAGGTCGCGACGCCCAGGGTCGCGAAACAGGCCTCCAATCGCCGGAGCTTTCGATGACATCACGCACCGTCCGTCTAGTTCAAAACGATTAGAAACGATTGGCGAGCCGGAAAATGAAGAAGCGTCTCCCGGATCCAAGCGGTTAAAGAAGAAGCGTCGCAGCTCGTTGTCGGATTTGAAGTCGATATTGTCGTCCACAACCCTGGTAGAATCGGTTACGAGCCCGCCCCCGGTAGACGACAAAGAGTCGCCGCTTGTCGCCGACGCCGACACCGCTGCCGCCCCTGTGCCCGCTCAGATTAACAGAAAACAGGCCTCCCAGAAGTTTAACACGGCGCCCCGTCTCCCAGCACCGACCAAGATCCCGATCAGCCCGAACTCACCCACCAAGATACCCATAAGTCCCGGCTCGGGCTCTAATATCAGCCCTGGTACTGAACTGACACCACCATTGTACGCATCGCGACAAAAGGAGAGCCCAAGTGTTAGTCCCCTAGCACCACCCCCATGCACTCCACCCGAGAAAGAGACCTTCAGCTCGTCCCTTCCGGTCCGGAGTCGTCCCAAGGCCCTTTCCGTTTCCCAGATTCCCACCCTCAAGCCATCCCGACTCCCCACTGCCGAACGCCCATCATCAAACAACAACAGCACCAGCAACAGCGCTACCAACAATGGCGGTAGCCTCACCAGATCCCTGAGCCGCCCCGCCCTGCCTTACAACAACGGCGGTCTGAAGACCCCGACCTCCTCCAGCGGCCGCCTCGGCCTCCGCGCCCCACAAAAGCTCCGCGAACGCCTGCAGACCGAACTCAAAGCCGTCGAAGAAGTCGACGCCACCCTCCAATCTGAACTCAGTCGCATCTCCGAAGACATGACCCGCATCAACGCCACTCTCCCGCGCTCCGCCTCCACGGAAATCCGCCGCCTCTCCAGCGCCGTCCGCGCCCTCGAGGAGCGCGTCCCGCAAGCCATGCTCGACCTGCAGGAGCGCCAGGCGGAGATGAATCGGGAGATGGAAGCCACGCTGAAGGCTGCCGAAGCCAAAGTGAAAGCCATTGATCAGCTCTACAAAGAGGCGACGGCCGAGAACGAGTTGTTGTATGAGAAGTTTAATAGTGAACTGGGGAAGATGCTCAAAGCTCTCAAAGGGAAGGGGAGGGAGGATAAGGAGGAGTTGTTGGCGAAACTGAGGGAGCAGAGTGAGGAGGCGGCGAGGGTGAAGAAGGAGAATGCGAGGTTGAAGAGGGAGATGGCGAGTTTGAGAGCGCTGGTTAAGGCTGGGGTTAGTAATAGTAGTACGCCGCCGGTTGGGATGGAAGGTCTTAATGGTTGATGGGTCGTGATTTTCAGACAGTGCTGCTTGTGTCCGGCGTGTTTTTTCTGGGTCCTGGATTTGGAAAAGGGGAGCATGGTGTTGGTGGTACTGTAACTTGTTGCATGGTGTTCTCTGTGTCTTCATATATGTTGGTATAGTGTGGTTCAGTAGGTTGGTACCTATGTTTGTGTTGGGGTTGCATAATAATGGCTGGTTTGCGAGAGGGGAATTGAATCGAGCATCGAGTACAAGTACAGAGCCATATGGAAGATCAAAAGCAGATGATGAACATCAAATTTACGCCTTCATTCTTCATCGGGCTGAGGAATCATCGTGTCAATTCGCTACTTTACTCAACCTCATCGTAGCGTGGTGTTGTGTTGCATTCCATCTACCTGCCTCTTGCTGTCGTTGAATGTTCGTTGTTGCACGTGAAGATACCTGTTCACAGCGCAATAATCGTTTCCGCCCCTTCCGTCTGCGTCTCGTCCTTGGTGTGGCCATCGTGATTTTTCCCATGAAGTTGTCCCCCCCAAAAACCACTATCCCAACCGCATTCCCGCTTGATCGGCGAGGCGTCATGCCTCAGACCTCCTCCGGGTGTTCCTTCTTCCACTTTTCACTCCTGAAATCCCTAAGTTCCGACTCGTCAACCTTTCGTGGAGTCCAGATCGTCAGGTTGGCGTTCAGCTGGGTGTTCAGGTTGGTCTTGGAGTCGGTGGGCCACTTTTGTATCCCGGAAAAGTTAGTATTGGTTTCTTTTGTGCTTGCGGAGCATTGCGGAGCAAGGAAGGAGGGAACGAGGTTGGTGGATGGGGGGAGGTGGATGGACAGTGCCGAAGAGGCGGGCATGTACAATTACCATTGCTCGTAGGTAGGTATACTAAGTAGGTGTGCCTTTTGCTGAGCAGTGAGTTTACTTACCTCAATTTGGTGGTTGCCCGGAAACGTGTCCTTTACCCACGGGCCTAACTTGGTAGGGTCATACTTCTTCGCCGACAGTTCAAGTTTGTGTGGGAAGGGATCTTGGGGTTGCTGCTGCTGCTGCTCTTGCTGGGAAGTCCTCTTCTTCTTCACGTTTGCTAATGCCATTTTGCTAATAAACTGTGCCGTTGAGGAACCCGGACCTTGAGATCAAGGAAGGATGAGGTTGGTTTTCTTTCTTGTTGCTGAGTGAGATAGGTGCTTTGCTTTTTGTCTTGCATTACAAAAGATACGGATGGATAAGAGTGTGAATTTTGATTAGCAGTTTTCCGCTTCTCTCGGCGGAGGTATGCGCACATATATGGTTGTGGTCAAGCCTACACTATTCATGGTGGTTGACGCCGAGGCCATGTCACGAGCTGTGGTGACAAAGGGGCTATCGAGCCAGAGGGGATGCCAACAACATTCATGGCTCAGACCAGCGCTTATTTGGCGTGGTGGGAGGGTTGAATGTGTCAAAACAACGGAAAGTCGTTGGACCTGGTCACCTGGAACTGAATGATATATGGACCCTGTTCTTCGGACCAAACGCTTCCCTCCAGGCACCGCTACATATGTTCCTCTCAAGCCAGCGGAGCCGCCCACACTATATCGCACATCTTTCCGAAGAGCAGAGGCACATGGAAGGTCAAAAGCAGTTGATGAAGAGACAATTTTGGGCCTTCGTTGGTGTTGGAGAATCAACATGTTGAATTACAACTACTTTGGTCTGACTCAGCATAGTGTGGTCTTCTGTTGTATCTATCAACCTCTTCTTGCATGACTGTCGAGTATCGTTATTGAATGCTGAGATGCCTGCTTTCTTACTCGCTGTGTAGTAGAATTTGGAGATACCTGCTCTCCTCCTACATCTAAATCCTCATCCTCACCCCGGAACCTCGTAGTGTTCATCCAACCAACAGTAGTGCCAGCTGCCAGGAGGAAGAGGACGGCTACCTAGTATCCGCAGTGTTGATAAGGCTCCTTTGCCGTTTGCATCGGAGTGGACAAAGCAGCAGCTACTTTCTCCGTGAGCGCCATGCAACACCACACCTTGTCGTCCTCGTCGAGTTTTCCAGGTGCCGAGACTTTCCATTCGGGTCGTTCTTCCACCTGGCAATCCCGCCTTGTCGTTAGTAAAGTACTTACTCGGCAGTCCCTTTGTTTTCATTTATATAGACAAAATTGCCCGAGACAGGACTGAGCACGGGGGGGCGGGCTCTGGGACCACCACTTACCTCCTCCATGAAAAAATTAAACATCCCATAACGCCACAGCATCAATCCCAAAAGCCTTCCCTCGTTGGTTCTCTTCTGGTTCAGGTATTGAAAGGGCAGTTTGGCTTGTATCTTCTTCTTGAGCTCCTGCGCTTTCTGCTGCTTCTGCCAAGCTGTGAGATGTTGTTCAGCAGGCAGCCCCTCTTCGTGTTTCTTCTGTGCTTCAGCTGCAAGCAGGATGAGTTGCTCGTCCGTTGGCGTTCCCGTCCTGACACGACAAAACAAGTCCGGCTCCGACGAAAGGTGCACAAGTTCAGTGGGGGGAGGAAGAAGCGAGGGTGGTGGATTGGAATCGGCATCGGCATCGGCATCGGCATCGGCGTCGAGTTGGTTCTGGTTCTGGTTCTGGGTATGATTCTCGCTGGTGGTGGTGGTTTGACTTTGATCTTGCGGCGGGAGTTTTTGTGCTTCGCTTTGGTCTGCTGCTGCTGCTGCCTCAGACGCAGAATGAGGTGCACGTGGTGGTGGTGCGATCACCAGGGGCACCCATCCTGTTCCGGGAGGATCGGAGGTGCAAGGGTCATTGGGGTTTGACATTGTGGATGAAAGCCGGCAGTTTGTGAGAAGTGTCTGGGTTTTTAAAGGTCAAGGGAGTTAAAAGGCTTGTGTGAGGATGCTCGGGAGTAAAACTTGATGCTAGGAAAGACTTCAGAATCCAGGGAGTCATGGCCATTAAGTAGACAGAGGTACCTCTAAGGACACGCCGTTGATGCTGGGTACGTAAGATGGGAGGCGACTAACGAGATGTGTTGACAATAGGGTGTTCAACGGAAGGGACGACCAAAATCGTATGGCTCAGATGGGTTTAGTGGAAGCTGGGGACTTGAGAATCACACGCCTGGTTGACTGACTTGACTGAACTTTGTTAATGAAACGCGCCTTCAAGTATCCATGATTTAGAATTCTCCACCCCACGAATCGGCGGCCACCAGTCTATCTCACCTTCCTTTCACCAAGTCTTCTTTCCAGGCCACCACAATATATGGTCAGGTCTAGAAACCGCCTCTCATGTCGCTTTTCTTCCCAAGACCTGACGAACAGAAATTTCAACCCATCATCGCATGAAGCAATGATCCTCATCCACCGGACGTATCATAGAAACAGAATTCCTGATTGGTTGTAGTATGAGAGACATTTATGAAGAGACCTGCTCTTCCTCACGTTGTTATACCATTCTCGCCTACCCTCCGCGCTCTCGTCTGCCATCAACGCATATTTCCGAACGCCCCCTGCTTGATCCAATCCTTTTCCAGTTTCGAGAGTTCTCGAGGGGTGACCACCGTAACTGAATTACCCTATTCGCCATAATAATGGTGTAAGTACTACGTTCACTTCTGTTTGTGGAAAAGCAGGAATGTGTCAAGATACATACGCCTTTTTTATATTTGAAATTTCCTTTTGGAAATGCGTTCCTTAAAACTGTCCAGATGCTTTCGCCGTGCGTCTTTTGTGTCCCGGTTATTCTTTGGCGTTTACCGTCAACTTCGTCATCCCACTTGAACGAGTCGAAGCGTGTGTCAGACATGCCGGACGAGAATGTAAGGTATATATGGACTGAGTAGAATGGTTAGTGCCCGGCCGTGCCTAAAGGACGTGTGGGGATTATCCTACTGGTACAGATCACTTCGAAAGGCTGGTGTCAAACGTCGATATTGAGACTGGATGGGCTTCTATGTCGTCTTTTCTTCATTTTCGAGTGAGTACCTTGGGCTACCTATATATACTAAAAGCATTTCCTACCATGAGTACAGCCCATGAAGTGTATCGTAGCGGTAAAGATCATCTTTTCTCAAAGCATATCAGATACCAATTCAGTCATCCGCTGTCTGGCGCCCAATGGGCGGCTATGTTAGGGTGATATTTGTACCTCGGGCTGTTGGATCTTGACATTCGTATTGTCAGCAACACCCAGATGAAAAGGATTATGGGCGAACTTTCTTTGGCGTTTTGCCGAACCTTTGTAGGCCGCCAGATCTGGGCTTTGCTGGACACGGGTACATCGCTGGTTGCCGCTTCAGAGGGCGGCTGGAGAACGGGAGGAGACTCCGGGATCATGTCATATGTTAAAAAAAAGTATTCTGCTTCGTGGATAATCGTTGTTTTTCCTTTTGTAGACGCGTGTCGTGAGTGAAAGGGATATCTTTCATTAAGTCGCTCAAGTCAACAGAAGAGGTGCTGCCCATCCACATGGGCTAGTAGGTTACAAAGAGAAGGCAGGAACAATGACGAGGCAGTTGTTAGGGAAGGCGCTAAACACCCAGCAGAAAGTACAATGTTCATTGTTTAGCGGTGCAGCGGCTGTGGCTTTGAATGCTAATAGTGCATATTCACACTGGATCAATCGCCTGTAGCGCTGACATGAGCCGCTTCTGTTAGGATTGGCCCCTTCCTCCCCGGGCATGCCCGGCGCTAAACCTAACCTCAAGGCATAACAAAAAGTTTTCCCAAAACATGAACTCACAGCGGTCACTCGCCAATTTGAAGGCCATCAACTGCGAACGAGTGCGCCAAAAAGACAGTTATGCCCTCTGAGATGCTCAAATCTTTTTAGACTGTTATTCTTGGGTCGTGTGACTCGAGGATAGTTGGTTGGTCTTGCAACAACTGGTGGCTCTCTTTCCTCTGCCCATTCCATCATTTGGCAGCAGCCTGTACCCCGGCCTACACTCCCCTCCCTTAGCTCTTCGCTTGTTGAGCCGAACACCGAACACACCTGACGACCACTTGTCACTGCCATCATCTGCCGGCAACATTTGTTCAAGCACTTCTTTTGAGCTGCGATATCCAACACCGCTCTAATGATGTCACGAGCCACTTCCGACATGATCACGGAGATATACTGAGGCTTGTGGTCAAATTTCTCTGGATTCCTCCATTCATGCCGGCGAACAATGCTGACCGGCAGTGCTGCTCATATCCCGGAGGTCTACCTCAAGCTAAGCGATAGAAGACCGGGCCGTCCAGTTTGACCTCCATTCCCTCCTGTCCTTCCTTCTTGCACTCGACAAACATCAGTATAACCTCCATATTAGGTGTCTGGCTTCATTGAATAAAGTTCCTTCAGTTCCCGCTGCCGAAACGGTGGGCCTAACCTAACTAAGGTACCAGAAGGCCGTACATGCCCGCTCACTTCTCAAATGTCTTCCCCGGATTCATCGCCAGAATCCTCCTGCTGCCGAACGTCCTTGTAGATGGGAGTCTTTGGTCCTTTCCTTACTTCAAATCTTATACACTCCTTTCCAGGCTTAGGATTACAACTGCATTCCTTCTCAAGCCGGGTCTTTTCCTTGTCGGTGAGTAACCGGGGGCCATAAACGCGGTAGCACTGTTCATTACACTCTTGAGTTAGCCAAAGTCTGGTAGTGCCGCAGCAACTGCCGAGCTGGATCCCGCATGGGTAGGTTCCTCCCCCTGATCTTTAGATTGAGCATATGGTGGATTTATAAGTGAAATTGCATGAGTGGGTTGTCCTTACGTTGAATTCTGTTGGACGTATGTACCCTGGGCTCCCTTTCGCCTTTTCATCTTCAACAATTCCCAGTCGCCAGAACCAACATCCCTCACGCCGATCATTCAATTCCTTGAGCATCTTTGTGATTTCTCCTGTGCAGGCATCCCAGTTGCTGAGAACGGTCTCATCGGTGAAATCGGCTGTGGCGTTGACAGGTGCCGGGCCAGGGAGACCTCTGACTGCCACCCGGGCTGCGGAGAAATTTTGGCGAGGAAGTTCGTCTGACATGATGTTGAGTAGTGTGAACTTAGTGAGGCAGTTGCAAAGGTGTGGCACGGGGAAATCAGTTTGCGGTGGGATCTGAGCAGAATGTTGCAAAGTGCCTGGAGTCTGTCTACATCTTCTTTCCAGAATCGGTGAAGTATCCTGTCTCTAAATAAGTAAAAGATGCGCAGCCGCCGGCCCTGGTGTGAGTACCTCTACGGGTTGGCGCGATGGCAGATAAAGGAAATGTACACGATCGCGTCCAACGGATGTTACTTATCCTGTCTGTCATGTTGGACGGTTGTGACTGGGCCGGAAATGCGGTTGGATCAAAATCCGTCCCCAACCAACCGCTCAGGGCGGGATGGACAATGGATCGAGCGGCACATGTATTTGTCGCTTTCTTTGACCGGGGCAGAACGTCTAGAGGTTTTGATGACAAGCGCGGTATTGGTCGAATTCTAATGAGCTGCGGGAAATTTCCGTGATTGGTGTTGGAGAAATTTTAGGTTCCGGAAGAAACCTCTATCACTTGCACCTTCCATATTCTAGTTTTTCCACTTCCTGGCTCTGTAACCGCCGACGCTTGCCCTTTCAATCTGCCATGTCATTCTTGCCGCGTTCTTGACCCCTTCCATTCACGGATCGGGACCATCAACCCTCTGTTCTTCCCTCGACATTTTCCCAGTTGCACCGGATTTGCAGCAACTCGACACTACCACCCGTCTAGAACCCTTCACAAGACCGAATCTCCGCGTCCGTCAACGCCCTCGGCGCAGTGACCTTATAACTCCCATCATGTAGTACCTTCCACTCCCCCAAATCGTTAGCTCCCTCCCTCTTCTTTCCAGCTTCCCTCCCCCTTCCATCCCTAAAATCCCAGATAGGTAAGTACTAACCTCAACCACCCAAACAGGCGGCTCCCTCCCCCACGGATCTCCAAACTCCCTCCTCAAAAGATCCCCAAGCTTAGCCGGATTAATGTCAAACAATGCTCTAGGATAAACCTTGGTGACGCCCGTGTCAAGGCTGATGGATCCGGTTCGTTCGTTGACGGTAACCGCAGTTCGCTCGTTAGCGTTGGAGGTGATCACACTTGCTACTGTGGCCGCGAAAGCTGCTTCGGCTTCTTGTTCTTCAAGAGGAGGTGGAGCTCGTTCGATGAGAGTTGGGTCAATGTTGTTGCTGGTTTCGTTGATGGTTGCACCGCCGCTGATGTTTATGGATACCCCGTTGATGGTAGTTCCGTTGACGTTGGTGCCGTTGATGGTGATTCCGCTGATGTGGGTGCCGTTGATGGTTGTTCCGGTGATGTAGGTCTGGGTAGGGACTGTCCCTGCTCCTGCTCCTGTAGTTCTGACGTGGATCGAGGGTTCGGTTGAGCTGCTGGATGCGATGATGCGGACTGGTGAGCGCATCTGCACTTCTTCGGCTGTGTTGCTCTCGTCGGAGTGGTGGCCGTTGGTGAGGTGGCCGTTGGTTAGGGGATGGCCATTGGTTAAAGGGTGGTCATCATCGTTGGTGATTAGACCGAGGTGTCTTGGTCTTTCTGGGTCTGCCTCTGTGGTATACGAGTCTGTGGAGGGACTGCTCATGGTGGTGTCGTTACTGCTTGGTTGAGACCTGGTGCCGTGCGGCATGACGGATGTTGATTATAAAAACTAAGATGCATTTCTAGTGGGAAGACTGGTCCACGACCTTAAATATCTGGCCACTATTTTAGTATTAAGCCAATCGTAAACTTTGATGCTTGAGAAGAAAAAACCTTTCATCGCAAAGCGGTGTATGTTCCTGGCAGATACATCAAACGAGATGAAGCAGAACTCATTCAGCCATGTTGTTTTTGGTATCGTTTGAGGTTATTGTAGTCTCCGCAAAGACTGGAGGAGCCTTCTCCGATCATCCAAGCAGGAATTTGTGAGACAGTCTCCCCCAGAAACTATGGAAAGTGCGTTATACGTTTTTATTTCCATGTGCTATTGCTTCTATCACTGCCTAGTTTAGTCCTTCATTTAGAGATTTGGATGCAAGAACGAAGGACAAGTTAATGACCACGGGTCAAGCATCAACAATGATCGTGAACTAAGTTTAAGAAATATGGGGTATCACAGAATAAGTGGCTTTCACAACTTTCCTTCATTCAAGCGTCAAAGGCAAGCCATCGGGGATTTCCCGCTTCAGCTCCTTGTCACTTCTGTTGGGTCGAAGTATTTTCCCACGGGCATGGGGTGCAGCCGTACGACTCTTCTTGTTTGCATCTCTTCAGCATCTTGGTCAGCTCCACGTGAACCTGCTCACTGGTTAACCTGACCTCCTGATGGCGATCCTCCCTGACGATGAGCAAGCCAGTCTGAATCATGTTTAGAAAGTCGTGAACGAACTGGATACATCTTGGGTTACAGTGAAGCCTTTCAACAAACTAAACACATGTCCGTTAGCACTCAATGGCGTCTCGTGTTCCGGTGGACAAGATGTTGATAGGAATAGGAGAGGAGATGAGCAGTTACCTTTGTCACCTGTGGCTTCACTTCTGCTTTCATGCTTACTTGCCCGGAGACGTCGCCTTCAGCTTTGACCTCAAAGAAAGTGTCTGTCTTGATATCCTTCCAGGCCCACCGTGGATCCATGGTGCTTCGTGCGCGTTCAAAGTCTTTGACTAATTTCCATCCTCCCATCATCCAGGTTATGAACTCAAGGTAGAGACAACCCAGCGTCCACAGATCGTACTGTCTTCCAGGACCCCCGCAATTCAGGAGTTCGGCCTCGGGAGCGCAATATGATCTCGAACAAGGAAACCCAAAAACTTGTCTCGAAACGGTACGGTTTGTGTTGATAGCGGCAAGGCCAAAGTCTGTTAGCTTGAGGGTTCCTCTCTGGAATCCCTCTGATCCGGCATTGGTCTCGTGGCCGTCTTGAAACCACAAGATATTCTCAGGCTTGATATCGCCATGATGGCCAAATTGGACATTTTGACCGGCTGTTGGGTCAAGTTCGGTCTTGCTCCACTTGCCCGACCTATACTGGTGGATCGCCAACACTCCGTATGCGATTCCCTTGCATTGTTCGGCAACCCAAAGTACGGTTTGTGTGTCCAGACTGGGATTTGGGTGTTTCTCTTCCCAGTAAGTCTTCAAGGTGGCTTGTGCCCACGGAAAGATCAAGTAGAAGTCATCGTTGTGCTCGTAAGTGGCTAGTAAAGATATGAGGTGGTTGTTCTTCTCATTGCTAAACCGCCTGAGCACATCGACCTCCTTCTTGAATTGTTGGAAGGCCTCGTCTGTGGAATGCAGCTGCTTGATGGCAAAACGGCAATCGCAATCTCGGTCCCTGGAAGGAGTTGTAGTGTCAGAAGAATTGCTCGCTGCAGTTGCGTTATTCCGAGGGCACTGGAGATTGATTGAAGGTCAGCATGTGCTCTTGGTGAATTGAGATTCACAAGGTGACCACTGTACCCACATCTTTATAATGGAAGGAATGATGGTCCGGGTGAATCCTGACTTTGGTAACACGGCCGCCTCCACCTTCGAACTCTTCTGCTCTCCTGCCAGCTATACCGCTGTCGTGGATGAATGGTAAGGTAATCATGCCTGTTGGCGAAAAATAGTGCGACACACTTTTGTCTTCATCCGATTGCTCAAAGATTGGGGCTAGGGTCCTCCATTGCCACTGCTCAAAACTCTTCATCTCTATCTTGTTCCACCCTTCGCGGAAGCATTCCACTCTGTCTCCGGCGTATCGTCCACGTGACCGTCGGAACTCAGAGATCTGGACCTGCTTTGAAGGTACGTAACACGCTGTCAATGGGAGATTAGAGTCATTGACCTTTTCGTCCACGAACTTGAAGATCGCTTGCGTCTTCCCAATCATGACCAGTATGGCAAATATTTTTCGGAAGGAGGCTGTTGTTGAGGACGATGTCCCGCAGATTTTCCGTGCATATCTCGATATGCCGTCCCAGTCCTTCATCGCAGGTTTGAAATGCTTCTGAAGCTCCTCCTTAACGGTCGACTCGGTGATTATATCTGGGAGCGAGTTGACCGGGAAGAATCCCCAAGTCGTGTCGTTGTTGACTAATGCGTCAAGTAGTCGATCTTCAAGAGGTTCTTTTGGGTGTTCATGTGACGGCGTTATATGTAGGTGAGAGCTTTGACCCAGGCCGCTCTCGAAGTTTACCCTTCGTCCAAGGTCCAGTTCGCCACGTCCTCCGGTCACAGTGTGTGTCTCCTCTCTGCTGAGCGCAGGTAGGCCACCATTTTGATCTCGAAAAGGTGCAACTTGCGCGGGATTGATGTCACCTCCAACATTTATTCGGTTTGACGAAGTCAATTCCTAACATCGCACAGTAGGATTAGCCTTCTTTCGGATGTTGATTAACAGATCGAAGCTGAGAAGGCGCTGACGAAAGCACTTACCAGCTGCTCGAGAGACTCTTCCATGCTTGTTTTCAGTTCCAAATCATCTTGCCCACGCTCGTGCCAACCATCCTTGTCCAGCCCATGGTAATAAGCCTCCTCAGTAGGATCGAGGTCTTCAGATGGAGTGTACACGGACCTGCAGTCATCGGAGTCGAGGATACTATATGAACCTTGACTTCGCTCGCACCCTGGCACTTCGTGAGGATTTTCCGGGGATTGTTCACGTAGAGATGCCCCATCGGCTCCCGTGATTCGGATTGTGGGGTTTGGGATCCCAGCTGGTTCAGAACGTGTGCCGGGCATGCTGTCGCTCGGGAACTTCTTGTCGTGAGCATTCGACCGATCTTCAGGCCATGCATGTGCGAAGTTGGTGCCACGACCAGCAAGAGGTTTATCTTGAGATTCCGAAGACTTCATCATCCACATCCGCGTTGGGGCAACTGAAGGTCTGGGCGACGTCAAGGCGTTTGTAAGTATGGGCCGAAATGGAACGTAGATGAAGTTCCACAGCAATCAGCTTATCACGGCCTGTCCAGCTGTGTCAGAGCCTCATGAAGTTGTTGACCATGGGATCCATTGGTTGCCTCCGGCCCAGCCATTAAGCTATTTCAGCGCTTTTATGCGAGGAAAGAGTGCCCTCTTTGGATTAGTTTTGATGAATGGACACATGAGGCACAGCTTGCCCGGGCGCTTCTTGGTGGGTTGCATTATCCAGCCTACCGGCCTGGTGAAGAGAGGCTGAAACATGATGTGGGTGATCCAGGTCTTGGGGTCGCACGCCATGTGCTGTGCACTGGGCGGAATCGTAGGCATTTTCGTAGAGGAATGATCGAAAGCCAATAGATTAGCTAGGTTCCGGGGGCCTTCTCGGTGAGGGTATGCATTTGTGCATATCCGGCCAGATGAGGCAACCCGTTGGTGACTACGCCCCCTTTTCATTCTCTGCGGGAGCCTGAAGCTATCCCCAAACAACCAGAGCACCACTTGAAGGTTACGCGCTGGGCGGAGTCAACATAGATCATCCCTCCACTTAACCAGCCATTAGAACTCATGGGCTTTCTCTGAGGATTGTCAGCCCAGTCTCTGCATCCATCCATATATAGAGGGCAGGATGGGTTGGATGAACCTACCGGTATTTGGATGAACTTCAATGTTTTAACGACATCCAGCACAACACTATCCAGCTTGACATCAGATCTTTTCCCTTCTCTTGTTGAACGTCGACTAGTTTCGAGGCAGCTTCAAGACCGATTCACACGCCCAAAACGTGCCAATATACGCGTGGGCAGCTGCAACACACGCCCTTCAGCAATGATCGATCACAGCACTTTCTCGACCACGCAAGATAGCGATCGAGACGACGGATTGGAAACCACAAGCGAGATGGATGGTCAGAGCCTTGTCTATCAGGAGCTCCCCGCGAGATTGACAAACCCTGTGAAACTGGTCGCACTGTTAAGGATGCAGTTCGGTGTGGGTAAATACGACGTTTCGGTAAGTAACGAAAGAACGATACCTCCAGTTTTGCTTCGGAGATTTCGAGGTTTCGCAAGCAACTGCGAAAATTACATGCACGGGACTTGATGCTCACGAAGGAATACCGTAGATGGTTGGAAGTGTCTATAGTGTTGGCACACCACGAAAGCTTTCGCTGGAAGAGATTTCACAGTGTCGGGGGCTGTGACATGCAGCACTGCATACAGTTGGCCGAATTGGCCCAACTATTCCTTCCTCACCATTTTCCCGTTGCATTTTCACTTAGCATTTTGTTTTGCATCCTTCCTTCCCGGTAGGGGATGGAAGTTGGAGTTAGGAAGGTGGAATCAAAATTCAGATCATTTTACACTTCACAATTTCGGATTATCGCACGTTGACGCGTGTGCCTTTTGAGGCCCTCGCTGAATTGACAATGAAGATCATAACACCAACAGCATTTTGATGACGTTGGTGGGCGCACCACTTCCTGTCTTCCTGTATCTACTTTTTGACTCTACGCAACCCCCCATTGTTCAGCTTATCGGTGGGTGAGTTTCTCATCCATACTTCGATCAAGCAAGGCTCTCTAAGCGCCGTGGCTTCGCTGTGATGGGGGGTGACTGACCGCATTTGCCAAGATCAAAGGCAACCACACGCGTCGAGCAGATGGTTCCATGATTGGCACCGTGCATTTGGAGCGTAACATCGTCGTCCCGCATCGCCATCAGGCTGGGAAGAGGAGGCTGCAACTATTGATACCCGACGTTCGCTCTCATCGTCTGAGCCAGGTCGACCTACCCCTGACCACCCCTGTCGGATGCCTCGTTGCCTCACTAAATGCATCCGCTGCACTGGCATCGCTCGTGGGAACATTGCACCGGGCTGTGTCGCAGAAAAAGGCTTTCAGGTTGAGAGCAGACATTTCCCACTGTATATAGCCAGCGCGATGTTTTGACCCAGACCACATCTCAGCACCTTGTATCGCCATTCGCCATACCTGCTGGATCCATCATGGTGCAAAGCAAGTTATCCTTCCTCCGGAAGACCAGAACTTTCTCTCGCCTGGAAACAGATGAATCCCAGAACAGCCCTGCACAATCCAGCTCTGCAGGTAACCGGCGATCATTCAACTCCCACCGCGACAATGAACAGCAAAATGGCGGTCTCAGCCCTCGAAAATCCTGGACCAGCGTGACCAGCGTGACCAGCGTGTTCAGCAATATCCTCCCCAAGAACAAAACGAACAAACGTGGAAGCTCCGCAACATTTGACGCCTCCAGTGCACCTCAGCCAAAGCCTGAAGCTAAGGAAACGACAGAAACCAAAGCCGAGGAAGAGGTTGTTGTCGAGCACCGAGTCCAAGAGAATCCAGATCTTGATATCAGGTCAAAGCCAGGATCGCCAGATACACAAGGAGTTCAGCCTCGCGACGACACAGAGTTCCCAATGGTGACTTCAAACCACACAAGTCTCGGTACCGGAACAGCACCCACGCCCGGAGACTCACCTGAGGCTGAGACAGAGAACAAAGATACGTCGGAATCCGAAGGACTGGGCTCTCTCATTCTCGACAAAATGGAGGAGAGCAAACTACTCTCCAGCGGCGAATTTCTGCCCGAGGGTCTCCTAGTCAAATTTCTCACGAACAAGTCTGTCTATCGAGAGCTCACCGAGGACAAAATTCCCTCGGATGACGTCAATGACTTGGTTGATTTCGCTCTCCATCATGCACGGAAGATCTTCGCAACTTTGCTGCTCCTCAACCAGAAGGGTGAAACGCTACAAAGGGCCATGCAATACTTCCGAAGAGACAAGATTGGAGACGACTTCCTGCCTATCACCGACGAAACTAGAGACAAGATCCCGTTCTTAGTCAACAGAGAAGGGCCTTGGGGTAGGGTGGCAGAGAAAAATTTTCGTCAAAAGCAATGGGCCTTTCTCGCCCCTGAACTACCACCACGAAAAGCAGATGAGCCGATTCTGAGAATAGATGCCAATATCCCCCTTCCCTTCATTGAGGCAGAGAAGTTCGATTCAGGCGCCTTTGGGGACGTGTATAAGACCCTACCGAGCGAATCAAATATCCGTCTTCCAGAGTTGAAAGTGAGTCCGCATTCGCATGATTGCCAATTACCTGCTGCTGTAAACCGGCAGTTCCCTCCAGAGTTGGATAGCAGCTAACTTGAGTAGGGTCGCTGGATGGCTGTTAAATATCTGAAGGATCAAAGCCCCAAAGGCGACAGAGCAAGGCTGAAACAGTATGAGAACTGGACCAGGGAAGTGGAGACTCATCACAAGATCAAACGCCTTGGTCATCGTCACATTGTGGAATTTATCGCCGCGATTGAAAGGGGCATGAAGCGCTACCTTGTGTTTCTGTGGGCGGACCAAGGAAACCTGCAGTCGTTCTGGGAGAATCATCCATCTCCGCGAATCTCGGTCACTCTCGTGGAGGCCGTTGTTCGACAAATTCAAGGGCTTGCCGCTGCACTCGACAAGTTGCACAACTACAACAAAGAACCAGGGGCTGGTGCTGAGAGTTCAGTCCGACATGGTGATCTCAAGCCGGAAAACATCCTCTCCCAATCAACGCCAGGTCGACAATCATCAGCGGATGAGCCTGACATTGGCACGTTGATGATATCTGATCTCGGGTTAGCCAAACTCCATTCCGTGGGGACAGATGTCCGGGATAGAACCAGCACGCGAGCAACAACATGGAGGTACCAGCCACCCGAGGTTTTTACCCTGGAACAGAACCAGTCTACAGGGCGGTCAAGACGGTATGACATCTGGTCCATGGGCTGTGTCATCCTGGAGTTTGTCATATGGCTCCGGTACGGCAATGAAACACTGAGGATATTCAACGACAACATTATTCGGGTAACGCCCGGGGGATTGATCATGGAAAATGGGAGCGCTTCTCCTTGGTTCGAAATACTCCACGATCATGACCAGACACAAAAGGCCCAACTGCATCCCATTGTCGAACAGACAATGGAGTTTATGTTGGAAAATGATCCAGAATTCCAGGGTGACACGGCTCTGCGTGACATCATCCACCTCATCAGAGACAGGTTGTTAGTGGTCGAGCTTGGGCCGAGCAACAGTCAGGTCGTTATGGGTGAGAACGATGACGAAGAGGACAATGACATGGATGACATGGATGAGGATGATGACATGGACGAAAATGACGAGCAGGAGCTTAGTGATGAGGAGAGGACCGGTGCTGGTGCTGGTACTGGCTCCAAGACTCCAGCCACAGGCCTTCCCACTAGTGAAGTGGAAGGTGAAACACTGCTTGCTCAGACTTCTTGGAAAGAACAAGCCGTTGATCCCCCAGAAAGAGATCTGCCCGACGCCGGGATCTCGATTGTCGTTGATGGGGCAGAGGAGCCAAGTTCAGAGAGCTCGGCCAGCATGCGCGCCAAATCTGAAGAGCTTAACGACAGACTACTGGAGATTCTGGAGAAAGGTAGGGACAACAGGGAGTACTGGTATAGCGGAACGCGTCGTGTATTGCTTGACATGAACAAGATCAAAGAAGCGGCGGGTATCAGCAACTCCTTCCCCTCGCCAGATGCAGCAAGAAATGGCGGCCTTCTTAATCCGGCAGGCAGAGGATTGGCCGCATCGTCCGCTCAAGCTAGAAAGGTATGTTGATATATTCTTCCCTATTAACAAAATACCACATGATGGGCTGTGCTGACTCTAGACTATTGCAGAATGTTCGTCACACTCAATCCCAACCTCTGACAGTGTTCGTGTTAACAACTAACGACGCCAATCAAAACCTCACAGGAAGTAAGGGTTCCTATCCTGGTTTAGAACAGCGTATTTTCCAATGCACTGGCTAATAATGTTGGTGCTACAGTATGTATGTTTTGTCTCCCCCCATCTGTGAATCTTCGTACACAATGATGAAAAAGCAGTAATGGTGCTAACCTCCTCCGTAGCGTGTAAGTACCTATCTCCCCACAACCCTTCCAGCATAACTGTCATGTGCTTCGGACAGTATGCTAATCAAATTGCGTTCAGAATGTAAGCGCACCAAACCAGAGTCGTCAAGAGCACTCACTTGAAGTAGATTTCTTGCTAATCTCCCGGCTCCAAAAAGGCAGCAAGTATTCCAACGGCTCCATCCTTCAAGTGCCATGTTTACTAATTCACCCTCAAAATAGGCAGAGGTAAATTCTTCTTCTATCTTTCGGTGGGCTAGTGGTCAAACAAAACCTCGGCATCATGTAGAAACGGACGAACCCATATTGAGTCACATTATAACGGCTTCCGCTTCGAATCCCAATTTCATTCGAGCATCTTGACATCCCTTTTCTATGGCCAACTACAAGGTCAGTAACCGGAAAAGAGTATTAACAATTTCGTCAGCTTGATCGGACCGATTACTCCATCGACAACCCCTTTGCACTGAAGGCCATTTCGAGTATGGACAGTGCCGGACTGTTTCCTGAACCGTCCGACCAAACTAGACTGTGTGCCAAGTGCCAAAAGTTGGACTTCTTCGTACCAGATTTCCTCATTGAAGACACATGGGAAGGGCTCAAGGAGAGCCAAAGTAACTGCGACTTTTGCGCCTTGCGGTGGCGAGTTTGCATCAACCAAAATCTCAAGAACACGCGGAAGATAACATTCGTGCGGGTCAACTCCATGTTACACCTCAACGAACATGCTGATCCCGTACTATCTGTCTGCCGGGCCCCAGGTAAGTTCAGCGCTTGAGCTTGACGGCCTCAACGTCTCAATTTAACAGATTATGAGTAGGAGATCAGGCATTCGAAGCCAAACAAGAATCGAAGCGTGTCAAGATTGGCTTCCCCAACCTCACAGTGTCCAGCAGTCAACACATGGGGCTTATGCGTCAATGGCTCGAGTACTGTGACAGTCGACATCAATGCAAGCCACAGGCAAATAGTTCTGTGCCAACTCGCGTCATCGATCTCGGTACCGGGAAGGAACACACCGTTCGTCTTTGCGAGACCAAACCGGGAGATTCCTTCAGGTACATTGCACTTTCCCATTGCTGGGGAACGGAGCAACACTTCCTCACCACGGCTACTAATATCGAAGAGCACAAGAGAAGCATTCCCATTCAAACGCTTCCAAGGACATTTCAACATGCCATTCAAACAACACGTCAGCTGGGCATTCGGTACCTCTGGATCGACTCCATTTGTATCATCCAGGGTGACCACGGCGATTTTGATAAGGAGGCAGAGAAGATGGAGTCAGTATTCAGCTCTGCCTACTGCGTCCTTGCAGCGAGCAGTGCGCGCAGCCAGCAAGACGGCTTCCTCAATCCGCGGAAAGCAAGGAAAGTCATCAACATGGTGAAAGAAGGTCATACAAGAGGAGGCGTGTATGTGTCCCTCTTCTCAGACGACTTCAAAGTGCACGTCGTCAACTCACCGCTTAGTGAGCGTGGTTGGGTGTTGCAGGAGAGGGCTCTGGCGAGGCGAACCATCTACTTCACAGAGTGGCAAACGTACTGGGAGTGCGGCGATGGGATTAGGTGCGAGACTCTGACCCTGATGGACAAGTGCGTATCTCCCCCTCTCCCCCAACTCTATGAGCGACACCGGACTAACGGAGACCGACAACTAGCAAACTAATCTCCTTCCTCGGGGACCCGAACTTCCCTTCCAAACTATCGGACGGCACTAGTGATCGGGGCGAAAAGATCCGTTTCTACGAGGGGCTCTACAAGCAATACTCCCGCCTAACCCTCTCACGCGACAGCGACCGTCCTATCGCGATTGCCGGGCTTGAGAAACGGCTCATCCACGACTTGAAATCCTCGGGAGGATTCGGAGTGTTCGACGACGAACGCAGCTTGCTACCGCGAAGTTTGCTCTGGCAGCGAGGCAGAGAGTTCCGCACCTTGGAAAAGATCGGGAGCCAGGTGCTGCCCCGGGTGCCAACCTGGTCGTGGATGGCATACAAGGGGGGCATCGACTACCTGGACCCCCCGTTTGGGGAGGTGGACTGGAACATATCCGAGATCAGGGGGAACTGGTTCGGCAAAGGCAACAGGGCCGAGTTGAGCGCCATAACGAGGGAGTTTCGTATGGCAACGACAGGGACGACAGACTTCGACATCACCTGGGATATTCCGAAGGAGATTAACTCGGACCAGGCGCGACTCAAGTGTGTCGTGGTCGGCGTGCTGAGGCGGAGAGGCGTCTCGGCGGAGAGGAAGACTCACTATGTCTTGATCGTGAGATTGCGGGAACACGACGCGGAATTGCCAACGGACGAGACTGAGGTATATGAGAGGGTCGGTGTCGGAAAAATGCTCGGCCAGTACATCGATCTGAACAATTCTCAACCGCGAGAGTGGGTCAAAATCCGGTAGAAAAAGATTGGCGGGGCTTTTCAGATATTCATGTTTGGGCATTTCCTTTCAACCATAGACTGGCACCAGCGTATCTCTTTCGTTTACTGCTTTCATGTTTGAGTTCATTAGCTTCGTCTCACTAGTTTGAAACAGTTATGAGAAAATGAACTTCCGTTTCCACTCGTCAATAACGCACAGGTCTGCTCTCGGTTATCATCGGTGGATTGAGCGTCGTGCACTGCACGATTCCCGGACACTCTGCAAAAAAACACTCTCTCACAACACCTAAAACAAAGAGGTCTTTCCATAACGACTGAAATATGACCACGTAAGTAGATAATCAAGTCTTAATTGAAGAAATCTCCTGGCGTCAGGATCACATGCGAAGAGAAAATCACGCGTCTTTCCACGCAGGCTATATTTGGCGTGCCGCTGTAATGTACTGTACACGCGCTATAAATGTAGCGGACCGTCCACTGAACATTGATTGACCTCCTTACCTGCATGACATCCCCACACAAGCATGCCCGTACACATCATCGAAACGGATATCGCTGTATCAAGTTCACAAGCAAATAAGAGGCAATTAGGATAGAATTGCAGTACACGGGGCTTTGGGCAACTCGAAGCAGCCCATGAGCTCCCGGCCTCAACATTCACCAGCGCCCAATTGCTGACGGAAGCCCATTTCCCTTCTCTTGCGGGTTAGGGTTATTTCCCATCACGTGGATTCGCGAGACACTTTCGCGTGTCCCCAAGTGATCAGCATCGTCATAGGCGAACATCCCGGTGACATCCAAACCACAACCTCCAACGGACGACGTCTTACACGCCGCTTTCCACCAACCTTCCCGACCAGCAACATCACGTATCATAATCTAACAGAAAACATCACGAGAACAAAGACCGCACCAATGTCCACCCAAGCCAACGCGGGAATCCCGCTGTCCCACGCGCCTGACGGCGTGGGCTACAAGCTCCTTGAACTTCCACCAGAGCTGGTTGAGCTTTTGGAATCGCCAAATCCGCCTACGTAAGCTGACACCTTGACTTCTTGCACCTGCCCACCTCTCCTCTTCCACAACGTCCAGCTTGTCATCAGTCCACCGCCCAATTTGGCAACAGTCGTCCCCCATCACCTATCTCTACCTTTGCCATAGCCTCACATCCCTTCCATCCACCTTCACAGCCTTCCAACCTTCTCAGCCTACAGCTTCATCACCCTTTCTTCAACCCAACCATCACCACCCCCCTACATCACCAGCAACAAACCCTCAACCACGACACCTTACTGACAAACCCAAAAACAAAAACAGCCTAACCCTCCACCCCTCCCCCACCGCCGCCCTCCTAAAAACCACCATCAACGGTCTCCCCAAGACTTACTCCCTCCGACAAAAGAATACTTCCAACGGGCTCATCCTTTTATCCCCCCTTTCTCAGTCTCCAAACCCAACCCAGCCACCACCAGAACCACCACAACCACCACACACCAGCGACAACCAAGCTAAAGAACCCGGGGAGGACGAAATGGAAATTGAACACGAGCAACACCAAGAGCAACACCAAGAGCAAGACCAACAAGGAGCGGGGATGATGGAGGAAATAAAAATCCCAGGCCTCCGAACCCTCACAACCCTCCACGAAACGATCGAGTTGGTTCCCGAAGTAGAGGACGCGAGTGCGCCGGCTGTTAAGGCGAGGGGGAAGTGGCATGAGAAGTTTGCTAGGGGGCGTTAAGTAAGTCATTAACTTGGTATGCATGCGGCTTCTGGTTGAGAGAAAGGTCTTTCTTAGGTTTTGGTGGGAGATGGAAGATTGGAGAGGATGGGAGATGGAAGGAAGTAGGTTATGGGAGGGGTAGGTAGGGAATGGGAGGATGAATGGGAAATAATGAAAGTGGTGATGGGAGGACTCAGCTAGGATATGGGAGATTTGGGCGATAGGAACTGAAATGGAAGGAAGAAAAGTGGTGGTGATGTGATGATTGATACCTGTGATACCCTGGGAGGAGCAAAAGAGATATTAGGTATAGAAGAATAAGATGAAATGTTTTGCTTTGAGTCAAGATTAGAACGTTTGGTTGTTGAACATTTACCAGAAAATGGGGTCAGTCATAATCGCCATGTCACCAACTTTCCCTCTTCTCATTTTTGGGAATAAAAGCACATTATCGATTAGCAATGTTATTTACAACGATACCTCTGTGCAAAAATAACTAACTTGCTCTATTCGGGGTATCATGCGGTCTACAATGCTACCTACTGCTAACCACGCTTCGCCACCTAATGTGCAGTGTCTTGCAAAGCAAGAAGAAAAAAAAACAGCACAAACTGACTGGCCGGCTATGCTCCCGTCTGAAAATGCATCAAACAAAGCAAATAACAAACAAATCCGCTTTATACTCGCTCAAAAGATTCCAACATGAAAATGCAACGTGTAAGATGCAACAACGGTGACAGACTCGAAAAAGCCCGGACAGACTCCCACGCTATGCCAGTGATAAAGCCGTCATTTCCCACTCCATTTTTTTTTATCATCCTTCTCGCCACCTAATCATCAAATTCCGCCTCATGAACTCGTTGGACCGCTAGCGGGTTTTCGACGATCTCTATGGTGACCCAACTGTGCGCAGAAAACGTAACAGGGGCGACATTGCTGATATCTCAGAAAAGCCGTCGTATACGTGCCCAACAACAGGCCATCAACGAACATAACTTAGGCTAACCCGAGGTCTTCCCTCTTCAGTCCGTTCACCAGACCAGGCTTGCCAAGGCCGAGATCTAGTTTTCTTGATTGAAACGCAGCATCATTGACATGATGAAGCCCCACGAAGACCGGAGCGAGCGCCACATCGCCCGATCAATCATCCCCTGCATGGTTGGCATCAGGATCCATTCCGGGCGCCCCAGGTCCCGGAACTGGGTCATCAGGACCGTTCCCATCGTTAGGAGGAAAGATAACATGGAGGGCATCCCGTACACGTAGCAACCGAGGTGCCTGATCTGGGCCAAGAAGACCCAACCAATCGTTAGGGGGAAGGGGACCAGGGAGGGCACGGAAGGCACGGATCAAACGTAGCACCTCTAGGAAGTCATCAAAAGAATAAATGTCCTCAGCAGGAGGTCCTGCAGCTACCTGGTCTTGACGATCTGGCGCCTCCGGCACCTACTCATCAGCAGTAAGATCGACAACAGGCACCTGTTGTCCAGGAGGTACTGCCACTACCGGGGCTCGGCCAAAGCTTCGCACATTAACGCTCGGGTTTGGCACGTTGTTGACTGCCACAGGAGGAGGAAGGGCGGCCATTCTAGGCGCAGCGGGTTGCGCCATTTGGGGAAGACCAAATCCATCGTTTGGGGGAAGGGGGCCAAGGCCGAGGCCGAGGAGACCTGGCCCGCCTGGATTCCAGTCTGGAACATTGGCCGGGAAATGCGCGTTAAGCATGTAGTGGTTGTGGTTGTGGTTGTGATGGAGGACCTGATTTCCAAACCCCGGAAACGCCTGTGGTGCCTGGACTGGATTGGGGGCAGGATTGGGGGCAGGATTGGGAGCCGGATTGGCATTGTAATTGGGAAGGGGATTGGGATAGGGGTTGGGATGGACGCCAGGGGCAGCATAGCCTGCAAGTCCTTGGTTCATTCCTTGGTTGGGATGGCCGCCGTTGACCACTTGGCCCTGATGTGGCTGAACCGGTCCTCGGTTCCTCTGGGCTGCCAGTTGCGCGTATCGGCGCCCCCACCTCTCCATGAACCGGTCTCGTATTGGTCCCGGCGGCAGTCCTAGTCTTACGTCTATGGCAGGAGCAAAGTCAGTCGAGCATTCGCATGCTAGATGGAAAACAAGGTCTGGAGGAGGGCAGAATACTGACACTGCTGTAGAAGATCGGCTTCCTGTCCCACGGGCTGCACATGTGCAGCTCCTGGCATGCCTGGCTGGGCCTGATTCGGCCCGCGCACCCGGGGTCGCGCTATCGCACCCGCAAGCGCGTGCCGAATTGGAGCCGGAATCCGACCGGGGTAAGCTCCAGGAGCACGCACACCGTTAGCATGAACATGCTGCTGGCGTTTTGGAAAAAGCTTCTCATCAAACTTGATTTCAAGCTCTTGAGCATCAATGCTGGGGTCCGCTTCGAGTAGCTTCTTTCGTTCCCTCTCCTCGGCTTCCCGAGCCTCCTTGTCGTGAATCTCATCCAATGATTGTTGTTCAAAGAGAGGACAGTTGCCCTTTTTACCACCTCTATGCACATCGTCAAAGTGGCTGTAATCGCAAGGCTGCCTGCAAACGTAGCATTGCATGGCTCTGCATCTGGGACAAGTCATCTTGTTGCAACCACTTTCTTTGATGAATCGATTATTGCCTACGGCGGTTAGCCTGAACTAGACGACCAGAGGAAGATGATATGAGGACTTACATTTGTAGCACTCCCGAATCATAGCCAATGACCTGGCCTCCTCGAGTTTCCGCTTGGCGTCTTCACCCTTGTTACGGGCTGCTTCAGCCATCGCCTCCTCGCAAGACTTGCCAATGTGAGTTTCTTGACGACAACGTCGGCAGCTTTTCACCCCGCACTCTGGTTGCTGACACTCGAACTCCCAGTTAACCTCCACTGGGGGATATTCCGCAGCATAGTTGCAGAATGGACAAGTCTCCAGGCCCTCGATACCAGCCCGTCGAATGCTGTCATTTTGCTCGATCTCCTCCAGGGTACGCTTCAGGCGGTCATCCAGGAACAGGTCTTTTTGATCTCTGGAGAAAGTCGCCTCGCAGCCATCCATAGACATGCAACCTAGATGATACCGCTGCTGTCCGATCTGATTTTCTGCTTGCCGCCGAGCGCAGTCATAGCAAAACCAGTGAGGCGTGTCACCATCGCAGTGCGCCATGCGATTGTAGGGAAGTTCATCAAAACAACACCCACATTCGATGATGGCGCCTTCTGCTTTCGCATTCTCGAGGTTTTCCCTCTCCTCCCTCTGTCGGGCTTCTTCCGCGGCGTCCTTGGCTAATCTTGCTGAACATACCTCCTGCGCTGCGAGAAATTCTTGCTGTGCCTCTCTGCCCGGTGGAGTGTCATCTTCGTTATCGATTGCTACCTCTTCGATGTTGTTCTTGTGTCTGGGAAACGTTTTTCTGCGAAAGGTGACGCCATGTGGTTTCGAAAAATCCTCATGTAGTGCTGAGTACGTTTGGTAAACCGAAAAGTTGTGCTTTGACATGGCGTCCTCAATGTCGCCTACATATGCCTTGGGAAAAGCTTCCTTGAGAAGTACCCGGCTGGTCCAAGATTAGTTTTGGCTTCAAGATTCGGGTGTGAATGGGTAAACTCCAGATTTGCCTCCAGAATTTGGCAACGTTTGAGAAACTCACCAGACGCGCGTATAGTTGTGGTCTCTATTGTGTTGGGATACACGACCCTCATATTTTTTGTGCAATTTCTGCAGCTTCGACTCTTTCGCATTGTCTCCCACATCCTCGTCGCCTCGTTTCCTTTTCTTGGCGCGTCTTGGATATTTGGTGCCGTTGCCTTCTTCCTCCAAGACACGGTTGAGGAACGGTTCTGGATTCCATCCGTATTCATGACCATGCTTCCGGGCGTATTCTGGACAAATCTCCGGTAGAAGGCCTATGACTGTGGCCAGAAACGTGTCCGGGTCACGTTGTGGCCCTTCTTCCGGCACCGGCGGTACATCAGGAGGTGGCCAACCATCGTCAACGAAAACCCTGCCCAGGATATTAGTATCTCTATAAGCCTCGCAACGGGACCACGTCTCTGGATGATGATATGCAAAAGGTTGTCTACAGCCTGTCCCGTCTGCTTTTCCCTTGAAACTTTCGCCCTGATTCAAGTGAGTGAGCATAAGGGGGTTGAAGAGAGTGAACATGGAGGATAGTAACGAGAGGTAGGTTTACACCTACGGTAGTGATAACGACGAGGGAAAAAAAAGAAAAAAAAAAGAAGGGCGCCTTTAGTGTTGATAGTGGGCAGGGGTCGGGCGTGTTAGCCACTTTAAATATCAAGACTAGATGTGGAAGTTATGTTGTTGAATGGCGAGCGAAGATGGCCGCGCTCTCGCCCATAGATATTAGGCGGAAGTGATTCAGATGCCGTGTAGATAAGACAACGAGGTGCTTCAATGCAACCCCATTCTGCATGGAATGGAACGCGAAGCCTGAGAGAGAATCTTCAAATGTCCGCGTGGTGATGCGTATCTGGTTGAGAAATCCACCCACCCAGCAACGAGAGTGAAACACCCCGGTGATGCGGCTCAGGACTTGGTCAGGTGCATGATAGTCGGGGGCGACGTCCGGTCGTTCTGGTGGTTTGATATTGGCCAAGACCTGAGGGTGGGTAACCACACGGTACATGACCAAGGCATGATGAAGGAATGAAAACGAACAAGAATAGGGACAAGATGTGATGGGGGAATATCACGGTGGTTCGTGAACGCAAAGTAACTTACGGGTTAGCGGCGCTCATCGCTCAGGCTCGCTTCGCAAGGTAGTTCGATACGTGCTGACGACGAAAGAACGTATGAGCAAAAAGTCGGCGCAGCTGCAGAAATAGTGAGGCGAAACATGTGCCTGGCAGCTTGCGTTGAGCGTGTTTTATTTCTCGGATTGGAGCAATATGTACCAGCCTGTGGCTTGCGAGTGAATGGGCGTGGCCTCGGCTCGTTCGACGTGTTTTTGAAGGGTTTGGTTAGGTGGTTAGGCGGACGAGTCGAAGGCTGCAGGTTGGTCTCGTACGATCCGTCTGGTCCGCCAGGTTTGGTGATGAATGATGATGTCCTCAAGGTTCGTCTGAGCATATGTTGACTTACAGGCTGACGAAGTCCTACCACAGCCCCATGGTCCGACGGGGAGGAAAGCAGGATGCACGCGACCGTTTGGAGATATAATGAAGCGAAGGTTTGGGTGGAATGCTCTCGGTTAGCGGGCGCATCAGAGAGGAGACATCACGCTTCAAACTTGGCGACTGTGCTATGCTTAAGAAGCCTGGAAGCGTCGGGTGGTGTCGCTCTCGAGTTGGGGATTGAACGAGGCCCAAACCAACAATGCGACGGCAGTTGCGTGGACGCGAGCTGTGTCGCAAATGATGGGATGATGAATCCAACCAGTCGTGGATGCGCCAAGCGGCAGGCGGCCAGCCAAACCCCATCGAGGTTGAGGCCTTCCCCAGTTTCCAGGATTGGACAGTGTGAGCAACCGACACGTTGCCGGGCCACCGTCACCCGTTCATGCGGCTGTCGAGGCAAACGGGTGACCAAGTTAACCTTCATGGTTCGGGAAGCGACAAGATTAAAGCTGAAGTGCCCGACGGTGGAGGCCAAGAGAAGGCAACCTGAGTTGACCGAAATCCATACAACGGTGGGTAAGACAAAAAGTCATGTCGTCGGTCGGATGGCGCCGTGAATGAAAAATGCAAGTGCCTGACACAGGCGAAGCTGGAACCTGTGTGGAGAGGCCCAGAGCCTCTCTTGGTCACCAACCGCAGGCCAAGTGGAAGCAGCCACTCGACACTTTAGCAGTCGCAGCGTCCATTTTATGAACTGCAGTGGTTCCTTCCGTCACTTTAAATGATCTAACTTGGTCCAACAGGAAATGAGCACCAATGGCCCCTCCCGTCGTACTCAACTGCCTGTTGTCTCAAGAATCAGAGCTCTTTCTTCGGTGCTTCGGGTAGGGTGTGTGTCACTGTAAAAAAGGGGGTGTGGATAGGAATAGAGGTACCTTGGTCAGCTGGGTGCCTGGTTTGTGCAGTTGTTGAACGCCAGAAAGACGGCCGAACCAATGAAAGTCTTAGTTTCACACCCCCCAGCTTGAGGTCACTGATCAACTGCCTACAGCTTCTGGGGCATGGCCAAAGGCAGTTGTAGTCTTGGTGTAAGGTCGATCTGAACGGATATTCTGCAAGTATGGGTACCTAACTGTCATTACAATACAACAAGGAAGAAAGAGGACAAGCGCTGTACAAATATTCGCAAGAAACACCCAAAGGGGGCTAGGCCACGTTCACGTGTCACAACCCCACATTCCCGGAAATAATGCTTCAACCCCGATACTGTGACTTGTAATTGCGCGGTAGTTAGCAAGGCCACCCAACCCACCTTCCACCTCTACGCGGTACACGACCCTAGCTTACAAGTATGGCTCAAACATCCTCCTCATCGTCCTCCAAATCTGACATTTCCAAATCTTCATCCTCGTCGTCTTCATCGCTTAAAGGTAGATTACGCCTCGTTCTCCTTCGTGAACCCGCAACACTCGCCCTCGCCTTGGTAGCCACCTTCCGCTTGGGCTTCGTACTCATCACCGCAGGATCTTTCTTCTTTGCCGGTTCCTCAGCGTTGCCCTCGCCCTCGCCCTCGCCGTGATCAACCTCCAGTGCATCCTCTCCATCCTCGTCATCTTCGTCATCTTCGTCCACCACGGGGAAGAAAGAAGACCTGAGATGGGTATCCCTCTCATCCTCTTCCACTTCAAAGCCTTCCGGCAAAAACCCACCACCACCCATCATATCCTCATCATCCCCAGCTCCTTCAGCTTCAGACACCTCCTCCTCCTGGGCCCCCGCCCCTCCTCGTCCACCATGCTTCCCAAAAACCTCCACCTCATCACCCACATGCCCATAATCCTGCTTAATCCTCTCCACGATCCTCATCCCCATCAAAAATTTCCTCCACATCCCCAACGCCGCCTTCCGCCGCTTCTCGTCCTCCTTCCTCTTCTTCTCCGCCTCGTCCTTCGCCAGCTCCTCCATTACTTGATCATGATGCTCCTCGGCGATAACCACCCCCTGAATCACCGGCACCGCCATCCTGTGTCCAAACTCAAAGTCCACCACCGCCTCCGCGTAGTCGATACCCAACCGCTTGCACACCCGCATCGCGCCGCGGTACGGCACGTGCACCGCTCCCTGAGGACACATGTGCTCAACAAATAAATCGATGTTGCCGTATTCGTTCTTGGGGATGACGCCGTTTTCGATGGGTGGCGGGATGATCCAGTCCGTCTGATCGAAGCTGTACAAGCCCTGCAGCACTTTCTGGCCCGTAAGCCGCTCGGCTTCGGCGATCTCTCGTCGCCGGTTGTTCGTTGCTGCTCGGTAGGGGACGCGCTTCAAGGGCTGCTCGCCGGGAAGGGGAGCTCGTCCTTGCTTGTGCCAGGTCTCGGCGCTCTTGACTTGGACTACGTCCTTGCGGGAGTAGACAGGCTCGTCTTGGGCGGTGGTTGTCGAGTTTTTGCCCCCGCCTTTGTTCCTGAACATCTTGACTGGTCGCGCGTTGGGCAGGAGTGCCTCCTCGCGCTTGAGGTGGCGCTCGAGCACGAACTCTTTGGATTGCTTGTAGTACTGAAGAGTCTCTTCGCCCTCTTTGACTTCCTTCTTCTCGGGCTTGGCTGGCTTCAGGTCCGTGGCGTCTTCTTCTAGGTCGACGTCGGTCAGGGCGGGCTTGCTCCTGCCGCCTCTGGCGTAGCCTTTCATCACGGTCTGGAACCAGTCGTGCAGCTCGTACCTCGCTACCTTGCCGTGCTTGTTGTAGACGGGAACCTTCTCGATAGGGATCCGCATGCCTTTTGTGCGCCCAGGTAAGGTTCGTCGTTTGAGGTAGCGCACTGTGACGTCCTTTGCCGTTCCGTTTGGCGAGTATCCCACGACATAGGCCATGACCTGTTTGGCCTTGTCCGCTTTGCTACCCCGTGGTTCCAGAGATTCGATCAACTCCCGATTGGTTCCGATGATGGATTTCACAAGGGGGTCAATGGGTAGGTATTTCTTGGTGACTGGGGAAAGAACCTCGGTCCAGTAATGGGGGAACTCCAGGTCCTTATCGTAGACTTTGTTGCTTTTCCGCGGTGTTGGTTCGGGCTCAGGGTCACTAATGACTAGATCGTCGTCACTGTCTGCTGCTATGAGCTCTGAGTTAGATCTCTGAATCTTCGTTGCCTTACGGCTAGCACTACGTCTCGTAGATGTCCCCGAAGCCTGTGCTGTAACGGTCTCTTTGGCCACGCTCGTGGCCACGACCTTCTTTTTCGGAGTAGAGTTGAGATCTTCCTCCTTCTCCGGATCTGCCTCTTCCACTTTCGTCCAGCCAAACCCCAACGGCTGCAGGCTAGCCACCAACCTAGCCTCAAGCCCCAATGCCCTCAACAATGCCGTGAAAAGTTGAGCGCCCACATCACGACTTCCAGCGCATTCCGAAGCACACTCGCGAAAGTCTTCCAAACTGGCAATTCGCTCTCCAAATCGTTCCGGTTGATGTTTCTCCTGGTTGAAGGTTTTGGTCAAACGATCCAACCTCTCCAACGTCATGTACCCCCACTTCCGTAGCCCTGGCGCCGAGATCCGGAACCGCTGCTTCCACCACGTACTGAGAACCTTCATCAACCGAAACAGGGGATCACCATGGCTCATATCCACCGCGCCCTTTTCCAGATTTTTCGCCGCTTGACCCCAATCCCGCGACCTATCCACTCCGACATCTTTCCCTTTGGCCTTCCCTTTCTCTTTCGACTGTGCCCTCGTCTTCTTCTGGGCGGGTGACTTCTTACTCGAAGCCACAGCACCACCACCATCAAGTACCACCACCTCCAACCCACTACTCCGCCTCCACCTATCCACCTCATCCCACAGCTTCGGGGGGAGATGCGACAGAAGAATCCCCTGCACCTCCGGATCACACAGCCAAGCGTTGCGGACAGCATTGTGCCATAGAAGCAACTGCACGTGCACACAGTGGGTTGAGACTCGTATCCTCCGCTCTAGCTTGGAGGGCCCCTTCTTCCCCAGCGCATTGGCAAGGGATATGCGCGTGTCTCGGATCAGCGTCAGTTCGAGGTCGCCGGTGGGTACTTCGGGGACGTTTGCTGAGGCTGGTTGGGGCTGGTAGTAGGGTTCGACGTCTTCGAATTCGAGATCTTCGTCGTCGTCATCATCGTCTTCGTCCTCGTCTACCTGGGCATTAGAGAGCTTCTGTTTCTTGAGGACCGGGACGTCTTCAAAATCGCCATCGGACAAGGACGAGAGAGAACTGGAGTCGTCATCATCAGAGCTCTCGTTGAGGGCCAATGCTGCGAGGCTGGTCTTGGAAGAGGAACCGGGACTGGCGGTTGCGTCGAGGGCGTCAAAAAGGGTTGGCTTCCGAGGTGGAGCTGTCAACTTTGCGGTGTTGAGCTTGTCTTTGCCTTTACTTCGCTTCGCATCCTTCGGTTCAGTGGCTGGAGAGGGAGATTCATCGCGGACTCGCTTGCGGGGTACATAGGGAGGCATGGTGGGCGAGGAGCTGAGTATCCTGATGATTTATCATATCGAGGGTTAAGAGTTCGTTTGAGCTGTATCAGAATGTGTCCAACTGCATCCAACGCCCTATGTCGTCATCACAAAGACGCGGTCGGCCTTGCGGATGGCAAACAAAGCTCAAGTACCCTAACCCTGAATTTGGCTTGAGGTGCTTCCTGGTCTTTACTGGTTTTGACTTCTCATTGCTTCGACTAGCCGACAGTTATGAAACGGATTATAAGAGGGAGTTTCGCTGTTCAAAGAGAGTGTTCACCAAAGAAGGCGCAAGACGAGATTGGCACGACAGTAATGAAAGTGAAGATGTTTTGTTTTGTTTCAGAAAACATTCAGAGCTGACATCACCAGGTGAGGTTGCCTTAACCCCACGAATTACAGTGGACTCGCAGTGGACTCGGAGCGCCACCAGTGGTCAGCCGGCAGGCAATCTGTGTTGTTGTTGCCCCTGTTGATTACCAGATCTCTCCACAATTTCGTGCATTCGAGACCCTTCCAGTTCCACCGTGCGGCGGCTGACGGCAGCGGCTGACAGGGCCGCGAGGGCCGCTGCGGCGCTGAAAGGCAGGCGATGCATGCGCAATGGACCCCGAAGGCAACAACAACATCACGAAGCAGTCTTTCCTCTTACAACCTTCGATCTGGTTTGTCATCTAGCCTCCAACAACACGTCTTGTGACAGCGAACTGACCCCTTTGCCACGCCTTAGCTATCTTTAGCTATTGTATCACAAGCGAAGGCACCAGCGTCCCTTACGACTTGGCAGGGGTGGAAACAAACCATCGACTTCCATCTCTCGACTCCTTCACATCCAGGGGCATCTCATTACCAATCCCCCGAACCATACACCCACATATAAAGACACGCGAAGCCTAGCTTCGCCAACCATCGCTCTCACCATGTCCAACAACGACTCCTCCGACACAAGCTACGTCAAAATGTCCACCGCCGACGTCGCCTCGCCCTCCTCGGGCGCCAGCGCCGGCACCGACGCCAGCCTAATCGGCAAGCACTGCCAGCTCGAATACTGCAACCAACTCGACTTCCTCCCCTTCCTCTGCCAATCCTGCCACAAGACCTTCTGCCTCGACCACCGCTCCGAGTCATCACACAACTGCGCCTGCGCAGGAGCCTGGGCCGAGCGGCGCCGGCTCGCCCAGCTCGCCCGGCCCTCAGCCGGCGAAGGCAAACGCATGCGCGAGCTGGTCTCGCAAAAACCGTGCGCCGAAGACGCCTGCAAGACCATCGTCGGCACTTCCTTGGTCCCTGGCGTGCACTGCCCCTCTTGCAACCGGGATTACTGCCTCAAGCACCGGCTGGCCGAGGACCACGACTGCAAATCCAAGGTTCCCATCGGGGCGTGTGCCGCATCGGCCGCTGCCACGGCTGCCGCGGTGCAAGCGAGCGCCAAAAGCGCGCTCGAACGGTTCAAGCTGTGGGGAAAAACGAAGCGCGAGGAGGCGGCAAGATCGCTGCCGAAACCGAAACCGAGTACGGCTGCGCAAAGGATTATTGCTGTCAACACGCTGAAGAAGACGGCGAAGGGGGATGAGAAGATCCCCGCCGAGAAGAGGATATATCTGTATGTGGAGGCGGAAAACGAAACGGCCAAGGCGAAGATCCCCAAGGGCGAGTTCTTCTATAATAAGGAGTGGGTGGTGGGGAGGGTGCTGGATGCGGCGGCGAGGAGTCTGCAGGTGCAGAATATCAATAATCAGTCGAGTAAGGAGGAGGATCGGTTACGGGTTTTCCATGTGGAGGGCGGGAGGATGTTGGAGTTCAATGAGAAGATCGAGAAGGTGTTGGTGAATGGGAATACGATTGTGTTGTTGAGGGGGGTGGGGCCGCCGCCGGATTTGATTGAGATGTGAGGGAGGATGGCTGATGGTTGGAGGATTGGGGGAGCAGGAGTTCTTTCTTCCTTTTCTTTGGCATGTTTTGACAGCATAGCGACGACTAGGGCACTTCCTGATACCAAGTGCTGGAATAGGGAAGTTTCGGCGCATTTTTATAGATGACTTCACATGTCATGATACTTTGTGTAACTTGGATCAATCTCCAAAGATTTTATACAAGAATGGGTACATAAAACAAGAGTACCTATAATACACTGCAAGAGCGCAAGGGAACAGTCTCTTAGAGTGGTGACTCCTGTACCGCCTGGTTATATACAACAGATGTGTCAATGAGGGTATCATCTTCGATCCTCCTATGCATCCCTTCATCCATTCCCTATTCCGCTTACTCCCCCTTCTCCTTGTGAGGAGTAGGCTTCTCGCTCAGCGTCCTTTCTCTTCCAATAAGTGGCGCGTGTCCAACAGCCTCCTTGCCGCCAAACGTCTCGAAGCCCTTGTGGAAGACCCATTCGACCGCATTCTCAACCGGCTTATCGAACAAAGTGGGCAGGAAAGGCACAATTGCCAGACCGAGACCGATGGGACCCCAAGTCCGGATCGTCTTGTTCTTCACGTCCTTCAGCGCGCGACCGCTGTACCGCACCACGCTGTGGATCGTAAACGCAGGCAGACCCATGCTGGCCACGCTCTGGAAGATAGCCCGCTGCGCCATCACGGTGCGCCAGTCCTCCAGCGGCGTGATCTTTCCCGGCGTCGGCTTGTCGTCCTCCAGCTTCTTGGCGCCGTTCTCATCGATCAGACCCAAAATGCGCTGCTGGCGCGATGTCAGCTCGACGTTGGGGTCCAGCACCCGCCGGTTGTGCCAGTACGCCTTGTATCCTTCGTAGCTGACGTCGCCGAGGATGTAAGCCCACGAGACGGCGTAGGCACCACGGACGAGCCAGGGGTGCGCGACGGGGCGGAAGGACTCGCCGATGTCGGAGGTGTAGGCGACATAGCGGTGCGCGGAAAGGAGGATGGTGCGGGAGCGGGCGGCGTAGGCGGCGTAACGGACGTTGGAGTCGGTCGAGGGAGGAACGCTGTCGTAGAGTACATGGCCAATGTTAGCTCTGTTAGGCTGTTGGGCCCAATTTCCTTTCTTTTTTCCCTGTGTGTTGGTTTTCCGGTGTAAAACACGTACTAGCCCTCGTAGAGATCGTCGTAGAAGTCGTCCTTGTCAGTCTTTTCGATTATCTTCTGGAGACCGTCGGGGAGCTTTGACCGCGCGGGCAGCTTCTTGGGGTCGAACTCGTCATGGACGGCGTTCTTGACGTCGACAACCTTCTTCTCTACCTTGTCTTGTAGAGGGCTGACTTCTGGAGGAGACTGCTTGGGCGGCGCCGGCTTGTCTGAGTTGCTGCTGCCAAAGGGCCACATCGTGGTTTATGTTATTTTTATCGGGATTTGGGGAAATCGCTCGTATGCGACGGATTGCGCGATGTTTTTGGCGCGGTGATGTAGTTGTATGTATAAAAGGTCGTCGTTGTCCCTGATCTTGCGTCAGAGGTAGTTACAATTAGGGATGAAATCAATTAGGGAATCAGGGATGTGGTGATGGAAAGAAGACGAATGCGATGGCAGGCTGAGATGAGCTTCAGATGAGCTTCCTCCACTCCGGACCATAAGCCGGGCGCAATTCGAGCAGTGACGTAGCGAACGGTCGATAGTGGTGGATAACCGAACGATAACGCGATAACATTAGCGTGTATGACGGGGCAGCGGGAATGGCATGTGGGGTGGTTCGTGCGGCTTCCGCGACTTTGACGTTCTGGACGTGCAGGCGGCTCGAGGGCGGCTATGGGGCAACGGCTTGGCAGCGGGAGGTCGGGCTTGGCTGGCGGCTGCAACCTCAGGCATCCAAATTTTCGGCAGGTTGCGCGACGGAGCTTCTCAACTTTGCGTCGTTTTCCAAACCGTCGAATCCTCCACGCCGGTCCCATCACCACCAAGCTCCGAAAACACCCCGCCAGGACTTCCAACCGCCTCAGTCACAATGGGTGGTCAATACTACAACCTTTTCGGCCAGAAGGTCGCCTCCCAATACGTCAGTGCCCCTCCCATGGAAATAGCATCATCAACAATAAACAAGAGCCTCTATTAACAATAGCTTCCTACAGCTTGCCATGGGTGTTCTTGGCTCCCTCTTCGGCGGTGTCTACCTCGCTTCCGGCGGCAGCAGCAAGACCCCTGCTACTCCCCCCATCAACGCTTCCAGCTCCGATGAGGCCGACTTCATCAAGTACGGAACCTCCGACTCTCATTCATCCTTCGCCCCTCCACCCGCACCAGCGCCCACGTCTTATTCGCCATCGTCATCACGCATCATCATAGTACCCTCGATCGCTAACACCCCGATAGGAAGTTCCTCGAGACCTCCGAGTCCACCGAGAAGCAGGCTCCCGCTGCTGCCCCCGCCAAGCACTAAAGTGCCCGAAAACGACAGTTATGATGATCGAAACGGACACGAGGCGTTGCGGACTGGACTTGTCCTGTGTACATATATAGCGACTGGTTAATGGAAAGTTATCGCCTGGGAGAATCACGTCATGGCTCCGACATCGTTACGCATCGTTACCCGCCACGGATATCATCACCAACACCCGAATCCCCTTCTTTGTCGGAGAGGTTGAGAGAAAGATGGACACGAAGCTGGGGCTGGTACTTGGGGGTTGTCGGGCGGCTTGGTTGGAGCCTTTTGTCAACCCCCTCTTATAAAAGAGGGAAAAAATATTCTGGGACAAACTTTTAATCTGGGACAATCTGAAATGTTAGGCTGCACCATGGAAAACTGTTAGTGGGCACGATACAGCAATGACAACCACATCCACCATTTTTCTAAAATTCTGGCAAAATTCGGGAAGTAAGAAAAGGGTATAAGAAAGGCTCCCTCAAAGTTGCAAAAAATCATCTTCTAAATTGGGCGAACGGTAGCTTTTGGACTTTGCGTCGACACCAAACATCGTCATTTTTGGTCGCGCGAAAGCATCGAACCGAATATAGCAAAAAACGTTTGCAACCGAGTTTTCTCCCCAACGACTTGACCAAAATTAATGCAACTTTGAAGGCGTCTTTCCCAAGGCCTTTTCATCCTTCCTAATTTTTGCCAGAATTTTAGAAAAATAGTAGATGTGGTTGTTGTTGTTGCATCTTCCCACTAACATTCTTCTATGGTGCACGCTAACATTTCAGATGTCCCAAATTAAAAGTTTGTCCCAGAATATTTTTTCCCCCTACTTAATGAGTAGGGGGTTGAGGAAAGGTCCCACCACCGAACCGCACTACAACCCCTAAGTATCTAAGACGAATTTGGCAGTTCATCTAAAGCACCGTGCAGACCAACCTCGATCTTAGGGCGTATTCGTGTGTCCCGGAAATGGCTTTCTGAAATAAAATTTTCAGGGGAACCGCATTAGCCTTCCTGAACCGGATTTTAGCGGTAAATTCCGATAAAATATAGGGTGCCCAATTCCAGCTCAAAACCTGATTTTCAGAACTTATCCAAATGTCACAATTCCTAGAAAGTCATAAATATAAAGCATTTGTCAGTAAATCTCGTAATATTAATTAACGACGTAAATAAAAGGTGCCGCCCCATTACTACATATTGATTACACCCTTTTTAATTACCTATACCTTTCTTATTATTAAAATTATATCTTTTAAAGAACGTAAAACCCTTATTTTTACACCTAAATAATCGATAATTAAATTCAATCATCGATAAGAAGCGAATCCCAATCCTTAGGTTCTCAAATCCTATTTATAATATTAGATTTCTAACCTAACTAACCGACCTCTACCTAACCCAATCAACTTAATTAACCCACCCAGTCTACTAACCGTTCAAAGAGTAAGGGGAAGGCGGCTACGACGACAACGGCGAAGAAAAAGAAGAACTAGGTATAGACTAAACCCTAAGAAGTCCACCTCCTAATAAAATTTAGGTAGGCTATCTAAAAGGGGTTAATTAACTAGAACGGTTATAAAGAGTAAGTCTATACTAAATTAATCGAGAATATACGTAAAAAGTTTAGGACCGCCCCAGATAATTAACAAATCCGTAATAAGGTTGATTATTTCAAACGTAAATAACGTACTTAATATATCCTTAAGAGCTACTCAATATCTAAATTCGGATTTAATCTTAATACCGGTATACTAACCGCTAATAACAACGTCTAGGACTGCTTAATCGAAATCAATAACTATACTATACAAGTACATATATAATATAAATAAACTAACTAGGGTATTGTAAGCCTATAAAGAAGTCAGTCAATTTCGTAAATAAGATCCCCAACACTGTAAACTTATAAAAAAGGCCTTTATAAAGAACTAAAGAGCTACTAATAAATATGCAATAACCTTAGACTAATTATTTTAAACTAAAGAAGTACAATAAATAGAAGACCTAAACTTATTAATTAACAAAAATAATAATAAAGTACCGGTCCTTACTTATATAAAGGACGGTAACTTAAAGAGGTCTACTATTAGCGGTCGTGATCCGAAAAAGAAGAAGAGGAAGAGTAATAGCGAGGCGATCACAGAAAGTTTAAAGAATCTAACTAGCGCGTTAATAAAGCAGAATAATAATAACCGTATTGAAAGGGTAATAATCGAAGAAAAGAAAGCGGCTACTAACGAATAGTTAAATAAAGCGTTCGATATCTTTAAGTGTAACTAAGAGGATAAAATCGATAACGACGTCGCTAAATTTATCTTTTCTAAATAGGAATCTTCTAAAGCTAAAGTAAATATCTTTGTAAAGATATCTTAAAAAAGGCAGGAGGTTTATTTTAAAAAGGTAAAGAGGAGGGTCGCTAGCGAGGGTAAAGATAGGGAAAAGTATAAAGGGGTTGAACCTTTATTAAATCTCCCTATCGACCCTAATTTGCAATAGTATTAATTTTAGGGTATATAACGCTATTAATAGTATAATTTGCAAAGTATTTAGTAGGGTATATGGCGGGACGGGAACGGGAAGTAGGTCGACCCCGGATTTTCATATTTTATCTTTTTTAATATATTTTTTCTTACTGAAACGAAACCACTAAAAAAAATTGTATATATATATAAATTATAACGTTTTAATCGGTAAATTGAACCGAATCAATATATCAACTTTTTATTATTTTTAAAGCATATTTACAAAAAAAATACAAATATTACAAATAATATTATAATTTCCGTCAGTAGGGAAAGCGGGAAGCTAAGATAGCGCTGATATTATTTAACATATTAAATATATTTATTTAAAATCTAAAATATTTTGAAATCGAGGCTAATCTTCTTATACTTACACTCAAGGCACTAATCTTTCAAAAAGGCTACACTCTAGTACTTAATCTAACGATTTAAATTCATAGCTTAATAAATAGAATTTTATTTAATTTAAACAGTTTAAGGGTAATCTAGGCGGCTAACGCTAGAGTAAACTATTTACTCCCCTCCTCTTCCCTCCCCTCTCCTCTACCTCAAACCTTTTACTCTACAACCCTCTACTCTACAACCCTCTACTCTATAACTCTCTACTCTACAACCCTCTACTCTACAACCCTCTACTCTACAACCCTCTACTCTACAACCTTCTACTCTACATTTCTCCTCTCTTACGCAACTCAACATAATAACCCCTCCACATCTTTTTAATAATACAATCGCAATATTAGGCCATATATCCCTTCACACCGCTGTTAAATTCAACTTTGGTAAAATTATTCCTCCCTCTTACATCATCCTCGTCCTCTATACTAATACTATTTACTAATCTCCTCTCGATCTTAACTACGTCTTTAAAATTTAATACCTCATTATCGACCACGTTAATATACTCACTTGAAAGGTTGTTATACTAAAGCAACTAATTCAATACCCCTGCCGTCGCTAAGATTACCTTATTTTATACTTCGATATCGAAGCTAAGCATTACGTAATAAATTCTAAATGTCCCTTTCAACCTACCGATAACCTTTTTAACAATAATACGAATCTAACTATAATGGAGGTTATAAAGCTCTTCGAAATTAGCAGGTCTAAACCCTACCTTCTTGCTTTCCTTCAAGTAATACTGTACACTTCGATAGGAAATAAGCAATTAATTACTATACCTATACCCAATATCGGCTAAATAAAACTAACCAAAGGGAATTTTAAATCCTTAATTAAAAGCACTATTCAAGACTTTTATATTGTTAATTAAACCTTCCCAACTAGGTATTATAAAGGTTAATATACCTTCGAAAGTGCAAACTATTAATATATTAATTGACAAACCTCCCTTTCTATTACGCTATAACTTCTAATTATCTATACCGATCTTAACTAAGAAGTACGAACTATCGAAGGCGCTCATACTCTTTTAAAGTAATTATAGAGCTTTAGGTCCGCTGTAATGATATAAAAGGTTATAATTTCAGGAGGACAGATCTTATAGTAGGTAAGGATAAGGCAGGTATTCAAAACTTTGTAAAACGCTCTATTTAATATAAATAAATAAAATCCCGTCTTATTTCTTATCCTAATCTTAATTAACCTATATATAATATCAATGCTGTAACCCATTATATAGCCGGCGAATTTAAAGGTTATACCCTAACTAATTACGAATATAAATATTAATACCTTCTCGTATATAAATATATTTCGTATACCAAATAACGAGGTATAGCTAGTAAACTAATATACTAAATTAAAGAAAGTCTAGGGACCTATACGAATTAAATTTCTAAATCGACCCTTATACCTATATAAAAGGTCTTTAATAATATACATTCCCTACAATCTATATAAATTCATAGGAATAGGAAGGTTCCAATATATTCAAACGACGGACAATATAATAACCGCTATTTACAATACTCTTCTACGCAATTCACGATATTTACAACGTAATACGAATACTACAGCGGCTTAAATCGAAGTTATCGTAAGGGTGTTGAGGGTATTAATATAGAATGTGGTCACGAAAGGGGTTATTACGTAGTCTCAAAAACGATAGAAGTCAATTTCAAAAAGAAATTTCAATAGCTTTAAAGTCTTAAAATCTCTCCTAGATTTTTTATAAAGAATGCAGTTGTTTGATTGGTCAAATGGCTATTATAGAAATACGAAATTTTGTAAACCAAATGTGCAGGGGTTTCAGAGCAAAATCAGTTCTGGGACATTCGAACAGGCTTCTAAAATCAGGTTTCTAAACCTTTCAAAAGGCCATTTCCGAGACACACGAACGCACCCTTACCAGGAAATCCCTGCCAATTCGCCAATGTCTACCAAAGTACGTTCACCAGTATGTGGCTTGGACGCACCATAGTTTGGTGGTGGCCTCGACGGGTGATGTCGAGCCGTCGCGACAGCAGCTTTCAGGAATTCTCCAATCAAGCGGTTGGTAAGGTACCACAAAGATGAACTCCTGTGGCCTGAGATATAACAATCATTGGGCTATCTTTCGTCCTTCTGTCATCCACCAATTTACTGAGCTTTGCATGGGACATTTGCCTGGAAACCCCTTGCCGTCTTGGACGCCAACATCGCATAGTTTGCGGCTGTCAGGCTTTCCTACCATGGGGAATATTATGGTTTGGTGGTTTTCGCAATACCCCAACAGGCTCTGTTCAATGGCGCATTGGGAAGAAGATGGAAACCGTGTTACTCGAACATCGCGTTATCTGGACATCTTGTACCACTGATTGTCTGTCCATCCAGCCCAATGCCGTTCAACCCCCGTCATTAAGTCATCTCATGAGAAGACACATGCAATCGGATAGTTCCGATCAGCTAAGAAACTCGGGCAGCATCAGCTAACACATCAATTTCTGTCCATCTCATCTGTCATTGTTCATTTCATCTGTCACATTTTTAACCATCAAAAGCAGACCTGTATCACTCTCATTCAGGTCATGATCTCATTGACAACTCCACCACCCCCCTTGTCTTCCTCCCCGATGTCCCCACTCACTGTCATCGTCGGTTTGTTCGACCCTAACCCTGACAATGTAAACAAAACCCCTGAACGACAAGCCCCATCGATCACCACATCTGGATTTGTTACATCGCCCAGAAAAAACATTAACCTTCACCTTCACCTTTACCTTTACCTTTACCTTTAGGTACCTTTACCTACCTAGCTGTCCAGTCCTTTCTGCTAACACGCACACTGCACAGCAATAAGCGCCGCTAAATTCGGTGTTGTATCCTGGCTCTGCACCGTGCCCAGGCGTCCTACGAGCATTGGACTGATCTTTCCTTTTCATTCCTTCACCATATCTGCTAGTGGACGTATATCCAGCATAACAACAGCCCCAGGGCACTTTATTATGCAAGTTGGTTCTACGACTCTTCACCAACAACGACATAAATAATGGGACCTATCAGGCCTAGGTACATCAAGTCGCGATTTCCTACCAGCCTCGCGCCCATATCTCTGGACACTCCAAACACCCCTACCGACCTGACACGACCTAAACCGCTTAGCCTCCTGGAGATACGCATCTTCAGCTTCTTTGGTTACATCACGAGAGAACAAAGAACAAGATTTCTTTTCTTCTCTTTTCATTTAGGTCCCCGACCCTTCTTGATGATGTGCACAGCAATACTCGCATTATCCGGCGTCGTATCCTGACCTTGCACCGTGTTGTCTGCTCGGGAGCAGGCGTCCATGACTTTACCGCCAGCGCGGGCGACGTTGTTGCTGTTTTAAGACGACGTGTGTCAGCGTGCTTCCTTCTTCTTCTTCTTCTTCTTCTTCTTCTTCTTCTTCTTCTTCTTCTTCTTCTTCTTCTTGTTCCTCTTTGTTTTTCCAAATTTTGCAGGTACCTAGGTAACTTACCAAATCGTCGAAGCACTATTGTAATCCGGCCTGATGCCAATCATCTCGGCATTGCCGTGTGTCCAGAACGAGACGTGGTCCGAGCCCTTGTAGACCTCGCACTTCTTCGTGTTGAGGCGGGCGAGGTAGTTGATGCATTCGACTGCGTCGGGGATCTACGTACGTTTACACCAGGTTAGTTTAATCTTCGACTTCACTGTGAGATCGGCTTCAGATTGTGTGGTGGAAAAACTTACCGGTGCTTCTCCCCCATAGAGCTGGTTGCAGGTGAGTCGCTTGCGCATCTTGGAGGCTGTTTCAGGGAAAACATGGTCGCTGGAGGTGCTGCTGTTGACATAGGCGTAATAAGCGTCAAGAGCCTGCTGAGGAGTGGCGGCTTTTTCGGGGTTGGCGATGATCTCGTCTACCCATTTGGCGAAGGAGAAGGGCTCAGGGGCTCCGGCCGCCACATCGCGGGCGGTGGTGGGAACAGCGCCGGCGATGGGGGTGAGACATGCCACCGCGGCGAAGGAGAGGGTGAGGAAGTTGACCATTGTTGATGGGATGCTGTGGGAGTCTGTGAGCGGGGTCGGTCGAGAGGAATGGTGAGTGTTGTTGGGAAGTGTTGTTTCGATGTTGTGATATGACAAAAGCAGAGAGGATTGTTCAACTCTTTATAGATGCTCCTCCTATGTCACCAGACACGAGCTGCCGTCTGTCTTCCTTAACCCGACGAGAATGGAACCCAAAGAGCTGACTGAGGTCATCATAAATCCGAGAGACAAGACAAACTTTATAGCATGACCTCGGCGTTGCATTGGACTTGAGCATTTGGTGGCTACCTAAGCTTACCCATCCTTCACGCGTTCACCGTCTTTCTACGTCGCAGTTAACTTTACAGTGTCTCACGAGTGCGGCCGCTCCCAGGGCTACCTTCTGGTCCTAGACGAAAAAAATAACCATCTACAAAGAGGTTCAAGGAATCAAGGGTGTGCGAGTGGTGTCTCCCCAGAAAATCCTGTTGAGCGGTAATGTAGGGGTCTCGAGGGGTCGTCGAGGCACAGCCGCCGGTAAAGTCTCCAACATATATTACGGCTCCAATCGTTTACACTGCACGATATTGGAGTTAGACAGGAAAAGGGGGGAAGATTTCCAATGGGGACCTGGCGGGCCGGGCTGTTTCTTTGTGTTCATAACCTTCCAAATTTGAGAGGGCAATTGAAGTTCACGTTGTGTTGATGGTTAGGTTACAGTCGTTGAATTTGACAGACAGGCTTGACGGCGCAGCAAGGTCGGTAGTTATCCTGCGGTCATGGTGGTACTGAAGCTTCATGACAATGCGAACGGCATTTGAATCATTTGAGGGTATCATTGCGGATGGATATAGTCAGCACTGAAGGAATTGGTGATGCGACGGGATGATGCGCCAATGTTTGGTACCTCGAAGTTGGTACTCCTGGTCATCTGGACGAGACCTATCCCGAATCCATCTCAGGCCTCACAAGAAAACAATGAAATGCCTAGAGACGGTTTGGAAATCCATCAGAGGGATTCAACTTGGCATATTTAACAATGGGATTGGCATATTGCAAGTGAGATTATGTTTGAAGCATGGACCGAAACACATTAATTGGATGTGAAAACGCCTAGGAAAATTGACCCGAGGTCTCCAGCTAACTAGGCAACAAACCAACACTGGATTCAACGCCTTTCTCTGAACGCCATTCGTGAATCATTCAATCCCATGGGTAGGTATCGAGAAGCACAAACTCCGAACACCCTTAAAAGATCCACAAGTTCAACCATGAAAGCCAAGCGATGGTCCTGGGTTTGCCTTAGTGACCATCAGCGTGAGGGCAGGGCTTCTTCTCGGCCTTCTCCTTGCGATGCTCCTCCTTGATCGCATCCCACTTCGCCTTCCAAGCTCTCTCATGGTCCTCAAGCTCCTTGTCGAACATCGCCTTGGTTTCCTCCGACCGCGGCATGTTCCTTTCACGCAACACGATGGTCATCTTGCCCACCAGATAGTCCGCGCGCTCTTCGTGGGCAATGAAGCTGTCCTTCTGGTCCTCTGGCACAAATTGCGTTATTTCTTGTAGCTCTTGCTGCGATGCAATGACATCAGCAAGTGCCTCGTTACACTGCGAGAAGTAATCGAAACGGTTAGTACATGATGGATACCTCTTGAAAATGTTTGTTGACGAGAGTGGAAGAATTGTCGCGAGAAGCGAAAGGTGAAGGGAAAATGAAGGGAATATGAGGATTAGGGGCCAAATGAGAGAGGGAAACCTACGATATCAGAGACGCGGCGGGCAGATTCGCCATTGCTAATCGCCAGGCTGGTAGTGCCTTGGGAGATCTGGTGCATCCGTCAGCAAGTGAACCCACTATGCTAAGTCTCATCACTCGTCATGCGTGAGAATCGTATCATTGCGCCATCCTCGACCGTCAACGGGATAAATCTCTTCGAGCTGCGGCTGTCACCACCTGCGCTCGAAGAAGGAACCACCAGGAGTCGACAACATTCACGGACCCTGTATGTCCCCCGGATTTGTAAGGTAGCACTTCCTTTTAACGGAACTCAAAGAGCCCCCAACTACAACGCGAGCATCGTGGAGTGAGTACCAAGGTGGACCTCGGCTTCCACGGCCGCGGCCTGGCCCTCAACCATGACAAGGCGCTCAACATGGTTCATCTAGGCGAAAGGCAATCCCAGAAGAACAGGAGCAGATCTTGTGTACACAGGAGAGCACAAGCATCTTTACGTAGAGAAAGCGTCGCTCTTGCAGGAATCTGAAACCATTGCTGACAAGTGATGCCGGATTTACCGAAGAAGTGTTGGACATGTCGATGTCCTTGTCTTGATGGGAGGCCATTGTCGTTGGGGACGGTTGCGCTCGAAGATGTACGAGGAAGACCGAGGTCGTGATAGTTGAAAGGGAAGAGGGAGAAAGTGCAAGATTGTGTAGAGGAGGAGGGGTTCTTATAGGGAAGAGGAGGGCAGCTTGCTGGTCTGTGCAGGAGTGCAAATTCTGGCTGCAGCTCCACTGGGAATTTCAGGTTGCTATTGTGAAGTTCTGTGAATGGGTATTCAAGTTGGGATGAAACTGCAGGTAGGCATTGTTTGCGCGTCACCTGCCGTTGTGGTCTCATGGACGGACGGGACGACGAGTCTCGATGGGCTGTGGTGAAGGTCGGGCAGCCGGCGGACCCACTCCGACCAGCAACTTCAGCTGTCAAGGTCTCGTCTGATCTTCAATTGTCGAGAGAAAGATAAGGAATCTCACGGAGAAGTTTCTCCGTGTCCTCTGAGTGGCGGACTGGCTTCGAAATTAATTCTGCCAGGTGGCAGCCTGGCCTTCATCATGTGCCAGAAGCGGAGAGGAGCAAATGGATCAACTCGGTGAAGGGGTGACAGGTGACGAGCCGAAGAGATCAGACGAACGGGAAGTGATCACAGGAGACGCTGACGTCGAACCTTGGCGAGTCGTCTTTGGGAAGTCCTGGAGCAGCTGCGAAGTATACTCGGGGGGTCTTCACGCCACGGCCCGTAACCATCGAGGTTATCACACCGACCTAATGAAAACTGGCAGTAATAGATGACAGGAAGACTACGAGATGGAAATCAAAGTGTAAACAGTGACGCTGAGCTTTCCATGAAGGATGGCTGTCAGTGTCGAGTGGTCTGTCACTCAGTGACTACACGGTACCTGTCATGATTTTGCCTGCCGGTTCTCTGGTCTCACTTTGCCTGTGTGGGGTGGGTGAATGTTATCTGCTCATGAATTCATCCCATCTTTCTGAGCTAAGGTACCTGCGGATATGTTGGTGGGCCATGGAGAGTGAAGGGGACTTACGTTGTGGGCATGTTGCCTTTCACTCTGTTGTCGTTCTTTTCTGGCAGGCACGCTGAGTGTTTGGCCCGTGCAAGAAAGGTCTAGGCAGCTGCGCTGACATGACCTCGAGGAGGACACAGCTTCCATGCCGGTTCTAGAGCAAGAGACAGCTTCCGAGCCTGTTCCCGAGCAAGACGCAGCTTTGGTGGAGCAGGTCAAGGCTCTCATGAAGCAGAACGCGCATCTCGAGGCCCTTTTGGAAGAGACCAAACAGAAGATTGATGTCATGACAAAGAACGCCGAGAGAGCGAAGAAGAACTACATATCCGAAAAGAAGGCGAACAACAGAAAATACGAGGAGCTGGATGAGTTCGTGGGCAACCTGAACGTCAATCACGACGCAACACGTAAGGAAGTCTCCGATCTGAATGCCGCCATGCACTTTGTGCTGGAACAAGGACACGAGGGTAAATTCTTTGACAAGGTAAGCCGGCATTTTTACATCAGGCTAGAGGCCAGTGCTAATAAACTCTTTGGTGCAGTTTTGGTCGAAGACTCGCGAGTGGAAGAGGTACTACTTCTAGGAATGCCCTGTGGAATATCTCCAGTATCAATGGACCGTCAGGATTGTAGCTGGTCGGGGTGCATGGACTGTCCAAAGATATGGGCGGGTGGCTGGTCAAAAATCTCGATGTAATATTGGCTTGTAACCTCACGCTGTCTATCTCGTCGTTCACGAAGGGTTCGAGGAGCCGACTTGGCTTGTAATGTGCCATGGGGCTGGTTTGACCTGTTAGACCTCCACTAAAGTATCATGAAGGAATGAAAATGGCATCTTGACTGTCAAGTACTCATGGCTGGTTCACATGACCATGATAATTGATATACGCGGATGTGAGATGGTTCTGTTGAGTCAATCTGGATGAGTTAACTTGCCCACAACTCCTAAGCCATGCACGTTCGCACCTTTTTCTCTCCTCAATGACAAACGCCGTTGAAACAATGACTCGTTGAAACCCAAAAGCACTTGCAAGCAGATCTCTCAGAGCCAAGTCACCATACTTGGGCTTTCTGACTGGTGATGAAAGCTGCCTTGTTGACTCTGTATTATTGATGTATGGCAACAGGCCCTGGCAAATGCGTTGTCCTGAAGCCAGCCACTTTGTGTTTTCGAAATGTGCAGATGTGAACCAGATCTGATCTGTGCCAGAAAATCAGGAACAAGTAATCGTGTGCTCTAGAAGGGAAAGGAAGAGGAAATATCACACTTGGTAAGAGAAGAGTGCGTATGTGTGTGTTCCGAGTACGTGCGGACAAGTAAGTTAACTAGCTTAGCACACGCGGTCCACATGTCGAAGGAAAGTGAAGAAAGAAACGAGAAAAACATGAAGATTCGGAGGGGAGCAGTGAGACAGCTAAATGGCGGAGGAAGTTCACAAATGATGTAAAGATGCCATTGCGATATCGAGTAAGGAGGATTCAGATGGACTTCGATGGGAGAATATCGTTACTTGGAAGTTTGAACATCCACACTCCGTTTGTTGCTAGTTAATGCCGGCCTTGATATAACAACTGCAGTTGAAACCATCCCGACTGTCTCTTGGTCTGGGTCGGGCACTTTCACTGAAAGAATTAAACAAAATAGAAGTTTTTACCGGTCAGTGGATTGACGAATTGTGATGACGAGCAAAGAATTGTCGTTGTGGTAAATGTATATACCTCGGCGATATTCATTGACGTTACAATGCATTGGAACAAGTGAGGAGCATGCTCCAAACGCGTATTGGCACACGATGAATCAACGGGGGGGCAGCGGGTCGGGTTAGGGTTATGCATTATGACAGCAGCCTATCAGCATGCAAAACAGGACCCAAATCTCCTCCTGAACTGCCAACTCCCCGACTCTCTCAACTCCTCCGACAACGTTTAGGAACGAAAACAGCCACAAACCCTCTTTACAGCGATCACAAACCTTCGAAAAGCTCGCCCACTCCCACCCGATTACTGTGGATTACACTAAACCCTGAATACTCTCTTGTAGGGGTGTAATAAAAGACGCCCGCCCACTGCCCCAATTGCGGACCTGACCATGTCGGCCGTCGAGAGCGAGGCTGCCACCAACGCCAACACCACCTCCAGCCAAAACAACAACAACAACAACAACAACAACAACAACAACAACAACAACAACAACGGCAGCCTCTCGCCGCCCAAAGAACGCGAACGCAACTCGCTGACGCTCGACCAGCGCCGCGCCCTCCGACGATGGGCCAACTCGCAAACCGTCCGGCCTAGCCACAAGGCCTGCATCGAGTGGTTCCAAACGCAATACAACCAGACCATTTCGCAATCGACCGTCTCGCACTCGCTCTCGCCCAAATACGCCCGTTTGGACGGCGACCCGCAGCTCTCCGGCTCACGCCTGCGGTTCGGCAACTGGCCCGACGTCGAGAAGCTCGTCCTGCTCTGGCACCAGCAGATGGTGGCCTCGGGCCGGCAACCCTCCAACGAAGAACTAGCCGAAAAGGCCAAGAACATCTTCACCCAGCTCCCGCGGTACAAAGACGAGACAGCGCCCGAGTTCAGTCCCGGCTGGATCCACCGCTTCAAGAAGCGTTACGGCCTGCTGATCCGCCGCCAGCGGAGGCACGGCACGGCGCCCAACCCGGCCGACGACATTCCCTACCTCGTCGACGCCGTGGGCCGGTTCATGAGCATCACAGCCGACGTCTCGCCCACGGTGATCCGCGACACGGTCGTGCGCGTGGTGGGCGTCGAGCCCACACTCGCCACGTGCGCGCGCGTGAGGGATGAAATCGTCCGGAAAATGGAGGGCCCTTCCCCCGCTTCCCATCACCAGCAACAACCGAACCCCCACCAGAACCAGCACCAGCAACACCTTGTGGCCGGACTCCAACAGCAGCAACAACCCCAACCGCATCCTGCTCTCGGCAACACTAGCGGCCTTGCACCCACCACCGTTGGCGACGCACCCATGGGTGGATACTCCCCCGACGACGACCCGGAAGTAGTCCTCCAAAACGCCCTCCGCGCGCTCCAACAAGAAGAAGCAGACGCGGAAGCCGAAGCCGCTGCCGCGCGCGAGGAGCGCGAGCGCGCCGAGCGGGGGTTGCCTCCGTTGGGAACTATTGCCGGACAGGCTTATGCGAATGCCATGTCTACACCTGCTCGCGGTGGTGGTGGTGCTAATGGGACTACTGCTGCGAGGTTCGTGCCGGGGACAGGAGGAGGGGCAGGAGGGGGGGTGGAGGACCCGCTAACGCTGACGCCGATTCCGAGTGGAGGACCGGTTTCACTGACTGATAGACCGGTGAGATGCCCGTTTTGTGTGAATCAGAGGATGTTGAGGACTATCAAGGAGGCGGTGGAGCATATGAGTACTCATGTTGTTGTTTGAGTTGAGGGAAGAGATATGTAGGGACGGGACCGTTGGGACTTGGGGGCTGGCTTTATTTATGCATGCCTCGCTTCCAATTTCAGGGTTGGGTTTCTTCACCTTTTTTGTTACGGGTTTAGTTTAGACTTTTCTTTTGCCGTTCCGCGGTTTTCTTTTTTTTTTTTCTTCTCGTTTTGTTTTATCGTTAAACCTGTCTGTCTTGTTGGGTAAAAACAGTCAGCCATATTTAAACCTGGAATTAGTCTTTTCCAGGTATCGATCGGTATGTCTATGTACTTGGGACTTTGGTGGAATCCACTGGCGTTTTGGGCGTCATCTTTCATCTTTCATCAGCGGTATACGGTTCTCGTTCGTTGTACACCTATCTATCTACCTGTCACTGGAGAAATGTAGGCTTCGGAGTTTATTAGTTGGGGACGTGGATTGTATTTCTTCTGCATGTGTTTCAAAAAGAGTTGATAGGTCTGGCCTTTGGGCTGGTTGACTTACAACGAAGCGTTACAATGGTGGTGTGAAATGGTATCGACTTTGTTACTCCTAGCTTCGGATACCTGGATCGAATTCTGATTGTTTGGTGTTAAAGTGTTATGGTTAACATGGCTTCCTTTGCCAGAATATGCGATGTGTTATATGTTTTGATGGGCTTGGCACTTCTCTTAGTTGACAAATGGAGTATTCATTCAACTTACAATGACATTGCATATTCGTCAGGTCTACAAAATCGACGGTCTGACTGGTGGGAAACCCACTAGTTAGGGACATTGATTCGTACATGGACATTGATTCGTACCGGATTCTTGTACCGAGACGGTATATGATGTGCATGCATTGGATATGCAGCTCGGAGGGGTAAGATGCATCTAAGCCATATGTATATGTGGGTAGACCCCCTAACCAGTTTAGCATAATTACACATGCAAGTATCGAAAGTCGCGATATCTACAAACGTAGATTTACTCTAATAACTGGTTGCCAGTAGACTACATACCCTCCCGTTTCTGGCAGGTCATCTTCACTCTCAACTCTGGGTACCAAAAATATTTGTTCGCACATGGATATCTTCAAATCTCAGCAACAACACTACGGTAACAATACCTCATGTCACCACCCCATCTCATTATCAACATCTTGAAACACAAAAAGCCTCTTTGGTTGGTGTCTTTCATTTCAGTCATCATCCATTCACCACAAGGGCCCCTTCTTCCTGTTCCTTGTCGTCTCCCTCGCCCACCACCTCCTCCTTCTCTTTGCATTCCACCTCCACCTCCAAGCAACACCGTGATCGTTTGGTATCTGATTTAATCCCTCCGCTCTCTGCCCCCTGGCTGACCAAAAGCCCACCTCCCAATTTGACCCTACCAGCAGTCTTCCTGTAAATGCGTAATCCTCCCCAGACACGACTTCCCTCCTCCTCTTGATCTTGGTCACGGACCCCTTTGGGTCCGCTCTCTCCTCAGTTGTTCCAAAAAATCCCCGTTCCCCGAGATTCCCGCCGCATCCAAAATGCCCCACAACCATATGCGTCCAAAAAGTTTAGTGAGTGGAGAGGCACGAGCCGATCGATTCGAAACGCATTATATCGACTCAACCGCGACAACCTGTGTAATGTGTGTATGTGTTGTTTGGGTATATTGCGTGGTTATAAATGTCGCGATGTGTGTTTGCTGAAAAGCAGTTCGTTGGCGGCCCTCAACGGTTAAAACATGGTAGGTATGTGACTGAGTTCGAATGTGTATGTCCCTCCCGATAGCTCGTTTTGCTCGTACAACTAGCCGTCAAGCGTGATGTCTTGGATGCCGAATGTCTTGGTTCACCCGGGCTGTCTTCGAATCGAATGTTCGTGGAACATGGCGCATGTGACCATGATATGTGACTGACGCTGTGTATCGGTGTGTGGGCAACAAACGTGTATGGGCTTAGGGTGTCGAAATTTGCCAGTCGATTATTCCACGTAGACGAGCAGCTTTTCGTTCCGTTGCAGCGCAATATCGAGATCCTCGTCGTTCATCAGAGGAGGCTTCTCGCCACTCGCGTCGTCCTTGTAACTTAGCTGAACATCTTTGCCCTGAGGAATCTTGAGACGATCGAGAATCTTGTCATGGAGAGCTTGGAATGGAATATCAGTGGGTACGCGGATGGCGATGATGTCGCCATTGAAGTGCAATT